AAAAGAACAGGTCGCAAGCGAAAGAAGGGGTCAAATGAGCCCTTCAGCGGTGTTGCTGTGTCTACAGTGCATACGGAGCCACAACGGCGCAGTGCACGAGAACTGCAGCGGAGTCTCAGTGATAATGTATCTAAGTATCAGGTTGAACCAGTGGGCTTGATTAACCGGACACATGTGTTTCGAGGTGGGTCTACGGTCTACCTACATACATGTATCATTTTGCAATGATGCTAATACGAACAGGAATGCCGGACTTTGTCTTCTCTACCGGCTCCAGTTCCTTTGCCAACCGGTTTCGGGAGCAGATATTGCCATTTGACTGTACGAGTCCTGCCACCACATCACCCACTACAGCAAACTAACTGGATACAGACGACAAAATGAAACAATTCGACCTCGACATGAGCAAAGGCGCCATCACTGACGTAGACATCATACCCCCACCATCCTTCAGCTTCGGAGACATCCCCTTCACCTACATGTAAGTCCCATCCCCATCACCTTCCCATCCCAACATACAACTAACAGCAAACCAAAGCTACCGCCAAAACCCCACTGTCCGACAAGCCATCGACAACTCGGGCAACATAACAACAGTCAACACACAACGAGTAGTCAAAGTCCTAACCCACCTCGTATCCTACGACGTCGCCACAGTCCCGACCTCCCCCCGGGCCAACTGCCCTCCCATCCACACACTGGACAAAACCCTTCAAGAAACCATCACCGCCGTAGAAACCCTCTTCCAACAACGCCCCGCCTGGACCCGACGAGGCCTACGCAACTCCCTCCCAACAATCGAACAACGCTACGCCCTCCGCCACGCAATCCCCTACGTCGGCTACATCTTCCGCTCAGGACCCTGGCGCGATGCCATAATCAAATACGGCCACGACCCACGCACCGACCCCTCCTACCGAATTTACCAAACAGCCATGTTCCGGATCCTACCACGCGAAGCCGAAGTCGCACGGGACGGCTACACAGGCCGTCGACACGCCGTGGCCCGCGCCGGCGAAGTACCCCAATACCTGGACGAAACTCATCACCAACACCCAGATCAACCTACAGAAACACAACAACTGCCCACAACAACGCACCTCTTCACAGGGTGCTTGCCGCTCCCGCGCGACGGGCGGATGTGGATGTTTTGCGACGTGACGGACCCAACACTCCGGAGCATACTATTCCCATCTGATCCGCCACCGGCGGGGTTCCTGCGCGAGGAATGCGATATCCTGACGGATGGATGGTTCGGGAACGGAACGCTAGCGAAGACGAAGACGATTATGCGGGCGAAGGTTCTTGCGCTGTTGGATGATAAGATGCTGGATGATGAGGTCGAGTTTGCGAATATTCTGAGGTTGCCGGATCACGCGACGCCGGAGTCGGTCATGGTGGACTTTTGGCTGGATCCGGCGGTGGCATCGCAGAGGGAGATGATGATGGCGACGGAGGTGAGGGGGATTATTAAGGGGGCGCCGGCGTGGAAGGAGAGGGTTGGTGGTGGAAGTGGGAAGAAGGGGGTGGGGAGGGACGAGGTTGGGGATGAGGGGGATAGGAAGGGGAAGAAGAGGGCGGATCGGAGGGTGCAGTTTCAGGATGAAGTGGGTGGTGATGGTGATGGTGGCGGGGAGATGTTGAGTGAGGGGGAGGAAGAGGCTTATGAGCAGGAAGAGCTGGCGGAGGCTGTGGCGGAAGCGGCGGCGTCGGTGGGGGGAGATGAGGATGATGAGGATGATGAGGATGAAGAGAATGAAGAGGATGAGGAACAGTCTGATGATGGGGAAGATGAGGATACGGAGATGGGTGGGGTTGAGACTCCAAGAGCTACGAGGCGAAGAGCTTAGTGTACTTTACGGTAGATGATGCAATTAACTCATTATTAGTTTAGTTACTATTTACTAAGTGGATCTTTGTTTATACCAATTGATATTTATTCTTATTCTCATTCTCTCTTTTTTTGCTTTTGATTAAACTGAGGGTATGTATCTCATACAGGCATTAAGCGACGTAACACATTCTTAGGTCATTAGGAGGTAGGTAATGGACGCGGCATTCATCAGATGCGCAAAAGAGTGAGGTGACGGAGGGGGCCATTATACTTCAGGCCAATGATAGTGACTCGTGTCGAGGTAGGTAGTAGTTCGGATAATTGTAGAAAGTCGACTAGGAGGGTATGGTGTAGGTTCTGGACATGATAATAGGAAAAAGACTCAAGAAAATTCGTCTCGTGACGGATCTGGTCGGTATAAAACGGGCTCCAAACGAAATCAAAAAGACTGTATAAGTAGGGTATCCAAAAACGATGCTGTACAACCCTGAGGTAATCCGAACGCCGTGTGATATAACTCTTGTTGGTATGGATGATGGGCGATAGTCAGTGGCGAGCTATCAAGCTGTGGCCGCAGATTCAGTTGACATCGGCGGCTTCTTCTGCAGCACTCTCGCTCTCCCAGATTTCGATAGCCGCCTCAGAAGGTTCGACTTCGGCTTCAGCGGTAGGCTTGATAGGGGTGGTTGCTTCAAGCAAGGAAGAGACGGAAGAGACGTTGGAGAGCTTGCTCCGGGTGGTGTTGGGGTTTGAGCGTGGTACTGAAGGGGCCGTCTTCGCATTCTCCTCGGTCTCGTCATCATAGACAACGGCATAGGAGAAGGCATGGCAGTCATCGCCGTAGTAGTCAGCGGCATTGAGGTCACCCAACGGCTCACGAGACTCTTCCAGCATGACAGACTTGCGTGCCGCAGCCGCGGGGGACTCCTGCTGACGAGAACGAGGAAGGTCGATTCCGAGTTCTGCTGGAGGAACGTTCTCCTTGCCTCGACCGGAAGTCTCCACTTTCCCTTCCTGATCGCTGATGTCTAGGACACAGGTGGAGTGTTGCATGAGGTTGGTCATCTCTTCCTGTTCGGTGTCGACATGGATATCGAATGACCAGGAAGCAGGAGCTTTGGGGGTGGGCTGACTCTTTGCCTTTGCGCCAGACAGAGCGGTTGCAAGGGAGAATGGGCGGTGGACGGACTTGCGATTGACGGACTCGGGACGGCTTTTAGCAATAGTAGAGCGGCGAGAGAATGGCTTGCAAGACTTGGGCGGTGGTGAACGTCCGGCCGGCCTCAGGTTGGGAGCGGACTTGGGGGTCGACACGGTGGGTTTGGTGGGTGTGGTTGGCTTGCGAGGAGTGACGGTGGTCGACTTCACGGTGGTCAGAACCATGCGAGAGGTTTTGAAGGGCTTGCAGGGTTCCTTGGCAGGTTCCAGGTCATCATCGTCGGCACCACGCTTGCGTTTGGTGGATTGTTTGAAAGTGGTTGGGTCGATATTCTCCGAGTCCACGTCCGACAGGGGCTGTCTCTTTCCCGATAGAATGGCACCTATAGTAATGTGTGTTAGCTATGACGCGCGTGATGAGCATGGGGCGAAGGTTCAAGTGTCTATACCATCTTGCTTGTTCTTCATGTTCATTCTAGTCTTGAGCAAGGAGCGCATGCGAGGCGCGTCCAAGCTGGCGAATGGCTGCCGCATAGTGGTAGGGGTCATGGTGAGAGCGGCCATGCTGTAGATAGGCCGGAATGGACAAGGCACACAGGATTAAGTGAACCGAAGGGGGTGGGTGTATAGACAGACGACGAGGCCGTGGTTGCAGACGAGATGTTTTGGTCGCGTCGAGGGAGTGAGTGGGGGTGATTGGCGGTCTGAGGAGGGAAGAAGATCGACGGTCAGGATTGGAGCGGGAGAGGCTGAGTGAATGGATAAGATGGAGAAAGCAGTTAAGGTTAATCCACGATCCAGTCTCGAAGTCCAGACTAGAAGGGGACGAAGACAATGACAATAGAAGTGACAGGACTAGAGAACGAGGGGACCGGGCGAGGAGATATAAGAGTTGGAGGAGGCAAGGGTTGTTAAAAGGCAGGTGGTAGTAGGCAGCGTCAACCGAGAATGCCTAAAAATGGAGGGCAGGAAACGGTGGGCTGTTGGTCATTCAAGGCTCATTCCAAGGTTTCTGCACGACTGTCGAAACATGCAGCTGAACGGGTTTCAAGCGTAGGGGTTGAAAAGTCAAATAGAGAAAAAGAATTTTAAGTAGACGAGTGAGGGGAGGGAAGCGCGAGCGTGGACGTGGACGTGGACGTGGAGTTGTATAAGTAAGAAGCAGGAATGGAGTCAAGGCGAAGAAGCGCGTCAAGTTCGTGTCGCCCGCCAGATTGATCGATGGCCAGGGAACCCCGAGAATTCCAGACGGAGGCTAAATCCACACTGACTTAAACTACCGTTGGTGCCATGCAAGGCTTCGAGACCCATTATTGATTGATTATTGGTTGCGACTCCATCTCATTTCGGCCCTTCTTCCATCACGTCGCGTCGCGCGGATTCAGGGCTTACTTGACTTCCCCAATGCGGCATGCAAGATGCATTTCGCGATTAATGACTTTCTCTTCTTCACTACTCATGATATCATCTGAATAGTCGATCATCTAGAATGTCTATCGCCTTTTGCCTCTTCACTAGTTAATAGTCTACTTTCTATCAAATCCATTGAAACCTTAATAAACCGTCTCCATACTTGCTTTCCCTCTCCCCACCCATCCATCCATCACCCCTTCAACGCGTTGCCATCACGACCCTTTCTTCCCCTTCGTGCCTCTTCACCAACCAAACTGTCCCCTCCAGGACGCATGGCGCGCCCGTCGCTCCTTCGCGCGTGTCCATCACGACCACGTATCCCCACCTCATGTTTCACCACCTGCACCCCCTTGAAGCCGGCGCTACGGCTGCCGTCTATTGATTGTCGGTTGGCCACTACATGTACAATAGAAGCTCCGTACATGGTGTAACCGCAGCATACAAGAGGCGTCGATCTAGTCTAGATTCGACCGATCATGATATAATTATCTCTTCTCTTCAGCTCGAAGCGCTTTTGATTAGGTTCTTCATATTTGTTCCATTTGCCCCCGGCGCTTGCTGACCCATGTCTCTGGCGCTGCTGCATGACCTGAAACACCGAGTCTAGGACGTGAGGTGAACTTCTGTCCTTACTCGCTGCAACTTCTTCATCCCTCCTCTGGACGCAGCTATAATTATACAGATGTGCACAATCTCAAAGTCTGGGCCGGAGTCAGGGGTTGATGTACGGTACGCGCCGGAATTAGAAGTATCGGAGGTGAATGAAAGTGCATGGGCTGACCAGTTATCTGTCCACAATGACAACTCAATCCATTCACTCATCAAATACAAAATTTCAGGTAGGTCTTTTCGACAACGGCCATCCCAAGGGCTGGGATGATCAATGACATGCCTCTGCTTTTCCTGCCACGGACCAAAAGAGTTAATCTTCGTTAGCCTTTTTGACATGGCAGGGCGATAGTATCTCTCTCACCACGCGCGGCGCGTCAGTAATTTTCAACCCCACTTACTGGCTGGTCGCTTGATCTTCAGGAATGCTGTCAGATACTTGTAATGCGGGCCTTGGAATGTAGACCGATCATACTTATCACCCAGGCCACGGTTGCCACGAAGCCTCATACCTCACCTCTCGATTCCCTTTGCTGGTTACTCTTCCGTTTGGTCCCGTTCGGCGCGGGCTGAACCAGAAATCCGTTCTTGAGCTTTCACCTCAGCCACCTCGCTAACACCACCCCAGAAAATCAGTTGTACCACCTGCTGAGCCATAAAATTATCCGTCTTTGGCATCAGAAGGACATACTAGGTCCTAGTCCTCCCTCAAGATCCACCAGAATTCATGCCCTGATAGCGGAGCAGGCGTCGAGACTGCGGGACTTTTCAGCCCATCGCACCCATGGTTCAGTGGCTCCGGCGGGACCATGACCATGTAAACTGTGTTGACATCGTACTTTGACTATAGGTCGATGTGGAGACGAAGGTTGACCCCGTTAGACGGTGCAGTTCGAGTCAGTTCCTGCTGTTGTTGGTCTCTCCCATATGGACACCTTGTGTGGTATTGTCCACCTTCGCGAGACCTACCATTCAAGTGGCTCGTTATGAAAAGAGGGACCGGGTCTTCTGCTAATATGTGAAGAGCGCGTTCATGAGCCTGAAACCTACTTTTTGGCATAATGTGCTTGATTCTGAATATCTTGCAGTGCCTCTTTTTTATTTAGAATCCTTCGCTAATCGAATGATATCATCCATACAAACTATGAGTCCTCAAAAGTCTCGATATTTAGCGCATCGAGTCGTTGGTATTCTCGTGACCTGTTTTTGTACATTTTCTATCAATATAGCTAGATCTCGTAGGCTTCTTTAAAAAGCACGCAGAGTAAATGCATGCACTTGCACGCCGCTCGTCGACGAAGCAGACACCAGCAGGATGAGGATATACTGAGATAGTAGTATTGGACTGACTCATGCGCATGGTATGAAATGCTTTGTTGAGTTCTTTCTCAGCATCAGCAAAGCGTGGTGGCCGAAAACGAGTACTAAGCTAGTACTAGGCAATTGCTAGTAATTATATGGAATAAGAGAAGACATTATCTAGGCAGAAGGCGTTCATGCGGTCAGGTGATAGAGAGCCCAGATTTAGTGAATTGGACGTTGCTCGGTGCCGACTCTTTTATATGAAATGAAGCAGTTACCTTGAAGCAGCGAGATACTAGTATATCTGACTACTGTTTTATTCGAAATGAACCCGGAAGAGTACTGATGCGACTATTTTTAGTGGAGGCTAAGGTAGATAGTAATTGGATATCGTCAACATGACTACTACAACTAAGCTTTCGCTTAACGCATGTATATAGTTGATTGACCCCCACAATACGACTGTAATAGATATATGTTGGAGAAGCAAGATAATTTGACCTCTGAGTTCATCTGACGGAATGCTAAATGTTCCCAGCGTTGTATCAATTCTCCATCTGCGCTTACTGATACGACTCGAGATGCCTTGGCACTGCCACCATGCTTTGTTCTCTTCTCAACATCCCGGGCATCTACCGAGCATGCAAAAGCGCTGAGAGCGTCATACTTGACCAATAAACTTCATAGAGTAGCGGCAGCAATGATTGTGTCATCTGGCAGCAATCAAAATGCCCCAGATGGTAAGATGGAACGCCTAGATGGGAGTTTGATCTGGTAGAAGTATTCCAAGCAGTAGCTTGACGCTACGGGTTCATAGTCTGGGCGCAGAACTGCAGTAACAACTAAGATTCTGCCAGAATTCGATCGTAAATGCGTTTCGGACCCATATTTCGGTACCGTTGGCTCTTCATATAAAGCCCAAAGTCCAGACACCCTCGGCATCTGTAGTGTTCGATTACTGACAAGACATCTCGTCATCATGCTGCATCAATGCCGTGTTCAAACGACGTAAATATCATCGAGGTGAGTCAGACGTAGGCCTCATCCATCACAGTCACCCATCCGCTCTTGTCATGGAACCATATACTCTGCCACTTCCACAATAGCCATCATAAGTTCCTCGACAAAGGCAACCTCTCCTTTTCTTATCAGATCTGTAAGACGCTGCTCAATATCATATACTCACATTATTGGTCATATCCTTTCGGCCAGAAAGAGTTCTAGTCTAGTTGTTTCCAGAGGGATATAGTCATGGAGGTTGAGAACCCCAGAGCGGTGACCCCGATAAGCTGGGGTCAGAGATCTCCTCAAAATATCAGGAGCAGAGGGCATAAACTTTCCTTTAGGAAAGATAAAGCACAGAGGGCAGAAGGTGACGTTCGAGGTTCTCGCGTGGTCGATAGGGTTCCTTCCCTTGATCGAGTCGAGTCCGAAAACGTCAGCCAGAGAAACCGAGATTCCCAAACTGCTCCTGTCTTCGATAGACAGAAGCGCAGAAGTGCTAGCAGTAGTACTACTAGTAGTAGTAGTGCTAGTAGCAGAACGATCACCAGTGGTGATTCCAAAATCCAGGATGCTGCTTCTGTTTCTGGACCGACCGAGTCCGTCGTGACGAGGAAGTCGAACAAGCGTGGGGTGAGGAAGCAGCACCCTGGGAATCATAAAAAGAAACAGAAGCAGCAGCAGCAGCAGCAACTGCTGCCTCCACCTACCATCCGAATTCAGGATGATAGATTTGACAGAGTGTTGCTGATCAAGCCTCGTCAAGAGGCTTTGAACTATGCCAAGGAGGTGACAGAGACGTCCCCAGATGACTATCACGTCTTCTGGGTGGACGGATCGACAGCTGCCAACGAGGCAGCGCCTTCTGGAGTTGCAGTCATCCACGGGCACAGCGGACGAGACGCTGACGAGCTGTACTGCGTCGACGAGATCCGGCTCAGCCAGTTGGCTGAGTTGTTTGCCATTGGGGCCGGACTGAGAGCCGCAGTCCGCCAACTGGGGCGGCTTCAAGTATCAGGCCATGTCGTCCAGTTCTTCACGGACTGCCAAGCGGCCATGGAAATGCTCCGGCCTGGGGCAAAGAAGTTGAGCCCACTCGCTGGCCGTCTGGTGCGTCTTGTTGACGCTCTCTCTCACCGACTCTGCTCGATGGGAGTCAAGGTCGAGCTTCATTGGGTTCCGGGACACCAGTGTGTTCTGGGCCATAAGCGAGCTGATTTATTGTCCAGGGTAATCACAAAATTTTTGATGAATAATCTGGATGACAAGATCGACCAAATCCATGCAGTTAGAGTGGACTGCACTTATCTTGAGTTATCCTGAGCAGATTCTTGCGTTAAATTGATACAAAGAGGTTCCTCCCATTCTAGACTGGTTGGTTTTGCATAATTATTGTTGTTATATTGTGTCTCGTTAAATTCGCTCATCTAATAACGGATCAGTCGTTCACCGTGAAACAAAGCAGTACGCCATACACCAAGTCTTCCCCTTAAATCCCGAGCCCAAATTGATACATAGTCATCCCAGCAGACTAACATCGGAAGATCATTCATGACAATATCGCATGGTGTGAAATCAGAAGCAGACATGAAGAAGCACTAGACACCGTGTCGGTATACTTGTGAGCCACCAGACCGGATCTGAACGGTTTCTCGTCTTTGCATAACCACCAATGCCCGGTTGAGTGCTTGTTCCGTGTAGCCTCTCCCGTCGACAAATTCGCGCCTCAGCGTCGCCAGACTGGTGCTCCACCCAATGGGTAGGCGGCGCTTCAGTTCGTCTTCAATCTTGCTTGCTTCCTCCATCATCTCCTTGCTACCTTGGCCCTCACCCTGAGTGACAGCATCCATGGTAGAGGCCAAGAAGAGACGGATGGCTTCGTCAACATGGGCCTCGGTGGCAACAGGCGACAGACTCAATTTGGCCAGTGATTCGGTGATACGGACGATAGCTTCAAGCTGACGAACGGTGATAGGAATGGAAGAGCGGGTGTTGGCATCGAGCTCAGCACGGTGGACTTGCTTTCTGATGGTGACAAAGTGTGACGACAGCTTCTCAGCAGCTTCATCCGAGAGCCGGGGCGCACAGCGACTGTAATGATATATTAGCGTTCGTGATTCATATGTGGAGTATACGATGACGAAGGAGGACAACTTACGTGCGACAATAGCTGATGTAGCGCTTCATCTTGTCCAGCGGAATTTCAGCCTCAACTTGCTCTTCAACACCCCGACCGCCCATATGCACGCCCATAACGTGTCTGGCTATGCTTTCATCCCGGCTGCGCTCGTGATCATCGCGAACAATGAAGATCATATCGAAACGAGACAAAATGGTCGTCTGGAAGTCGATGTTTTCACCGGGAGTCTTCAAGTCATCATAACGACCGAAGATAGGGTTTGCTGCGGCCAGAACAGACGTTCTAGAGTTGAGGATAGTAGTAATTCCGGCCTTGGCGATGGAAATGGTCTGCTGCTCCATGGCTTCGTGAATAGCAACACGGTCCTCATCTCTCATCTTGTCGAACTCATCGATACAAACAACACCGCCGTCTGCGAGCACCATGGCACCTCCTTCAAGGTAGAACTCACGAGTGGCGTGATCGCGCTGGACCGAGGCCGTCAAACCTGCAGCCGAAGAACCCTTACCAGATGTATAGATCGCAATCGGGGAAACTTTCTCAGTGAACTTGAGCAATTGTGACTTGGCCGTACCGGGGTCACCAAGAAGAAGGACGTTGATGTCACCACGAAGCTTCATTCCATCGGGAAGTAGCTTCTTGGAACCACCCATGAGCAGGCAGACAATGGCCTTTTTGATGTCCAGATTCCCATAGATCGACGGGGCAATGCTTTTAGCAAGAGCCTCATACAAGTCAGGGCGGCGGCTCAGTTCCAAGAACTCCTGCTCTTCTTCTTCAGAGAAAATGGCGCTACCCTTGGCGGTATGATCCAGATCGGTGCTGATGCCCACCGCCCGTAAGTACGGGTTGCGGATAGCCACAGCGCCATCCTTCTTGCCACCCTTGGAGGACTGGTAGATAGAAAAGATACCCATCACTGTGCAACGGGAACCAGGCACAACTCGGTTGGCCAGGTAACGGTCTGCTGAGATAAGGACATGTCTGGGAAGCTCACCCACGGGCACTTGATCGGGCGCTTCCTGGAGCTTGAGAACCTGTTGGTCGACAAATTGACATTTTTCGTGCGACACAACGTATGGGTCAAGGGGGCAGGGTTCTGACTGAGGGTCGCCGGGCTGTTGCTGTCGGCCACATCTTCTGGGGAGTTGAACACCCGAGAAACCACCATCGACCTGAAGATCTTCGTGGTGTCCACAGTTCTTGCACCGAACGTGCATCACTGTCGCCTTGGATGATATCGTCGAAGCTCCAATCACGATACCTGGGATACGAACAAGGTGCGAGATGTTGGTAGCATTAAGGTCACGGATCGAGATATGTGTAGCTGAGGAGTGGAGCAGAAGCTGGTGGGTAGGTAGTTGGATGTCTCTCTGGGAGGGGTATACGATGCGGCGGGTACAATCTTGGAGTGCTGATTCGAACTAAAATGCATAGCTAGTCAGGATAAGGTCCAAAGATGATGGACGAATACTCACGAGGGGAATGAGGTCGGCAGGCTCTGTGGTGAGTTTGTGTGCTAGCTCTTCGTTGTATGAGATCAAGTGAGCGATATCAATATCGCAATAGTATTGCTTGACCAGAACATTCTGGCGAAGTTGGTCACTGTCATCCACCTTAGCTTTTGTTTACTTTAACCTTCACTGTATCTGGCCCAGCGCCAAACATACCGGTAGATAAATGCATTGTCAAGCTGGAATTCGAGCACAAACTCCTTTAATTTTGCTCGGATCTGAGAGCGAGAGTCTTCCACACCATCGACGCTAGGAGCGAGGACACTCAGGGTATAAGGGGTGCGTCTGTCCATGGTGAAGACACTAGAGCGGACTGCGGGGAGGGGATTGTGAGATGTGTTGATTTCGGGACCGTCTCATTGCCAGGGCAAAAAAGGAACTGCAAATAACTTTTGCGGCGGCACACGAGCCGAACGCGTCGCGTCGCTTTCACGCGTTAAGTGGTTTTCTTGTGGCCTGAGGCGCCCACAAGCACAAGACTTGGTGTCGGCAGCCGGAGATACTAACTTCCCGATGTACACCCAAAACAGACTAGCGGACACGGTCTCGGGGCCTGGCGCCATACCGGATCGGGGGAAGCTGTCATGAACCAACCCCCGTATCAGAGGGTCGAGGGTGACGTTGCAAGCGGGCTTTGTCGGCGTGGCTTTCATTCTCTCCTCTCGAGACCGCAGGCTCCATACCCTGGCTGTGTGGGATCATTGGCTGGACGCCGTTAATGCCCCTTCGTCACTGAATTGCAGCTTTTTCTCCTTGTCATGCGTAGTTAGCCGTCGTTCGTTCTCCCGAGTACTACTACTAGCACGGTGGCTGTGGGAGTCGCTAATCCGCTATCGACGATATGTCCTCCGCGACCCCCCGGAAGTCCATTGACAGCTTGGCTTCAGGCGCATCGACTCCCTCCTTGTCTCAATTCTCGCTAAATCAGATCGAATCCCCGCGGGCGTCGACTCAGAGGTACCCTCTCAGGAGAGGGTCGACTGCCAGCTCGATTGCCAGTATCGGAGGGATTTTGGATCCTTCCCACCGTCACGGATCGATAGCTGAGTCCGGGCAAAATGGTACGGCCTATGGGAGTGTGAGAGAATCTATGAAGGAAATTGCATGCTAATTCGGCGCAGCCATCTCTACTCTCCTGCAACCTCCCATTGTCCGCACCGGCCTAGTTCCCCATACCGCAGTCCCCTCCGCCGGATACAAGCCCCCAACTACTCGCGATATACCTCCTGTCACATTGACCAACATTCCACATGTGGATCCCAAAGCGTTCGAAGCCTACTTGTCGCAGGTTGGGTCGTTGTACGATGTCTTCCAACAAGCAAAGGAAAGCGCCGGTGATCAGGAGTCGCAGCTAGCGCGGGGTAGCGACAAGTCTTCACCCAAGGCAGAGGACTCTGATTCATTGGCCCCAAGGTCCAGGGAGAGGCGACCATCGGCCATTTCAACCAGTTCAAGAGCAACTTCTCCGTACGATACCCGGGGTCGAAAACGGTCGTTTGCCGGTCCCGGTCGCGGTCGCGGTCATGCTATTACACCACTATCTACCATTCCGACGGTCTACTTCGAGGACGACTTCCACCTAGAGAACCCGCGCACATTCGATGTTGTTTCGGAGAAATCAGAGATCGTTACACCATCGAAGGATAAGTCAGAGAATGGTGCTGCTCTGGAACCGGCTCCTACGGGTAGAAAGGCTCTGGCTACGAATGCCATTCTACAAGAGAAGCTTTCATGGTACATGGACACTGTGGAAATTCACCTTATCTCTTCGATCTCGACGGCGTCTAAATCTTTCTTCACCGCGCTAGGGTCACTACGGGAGCTGCATGCAGAAGCTGCCGACTCGGTCAAGCGGATCCAGGTTCTGCGGAAGGACTTACAGAAAATTGACCGTGAGATGGCCCTTGGTGGGCTCAAGATTGTGAATCTGCGACGGAGGAGAGAAAATGTCCGTATGCTTGCTGATGCAGTATCGCAACTCCGTGACGTCGTTCAGTCGGTTTCCCGATGCGAGGAACTAGTCGAGACTGGCAAGATCGAGGAGGCTGCGGATGGCTTAGAAGAGGTGGAACGGCTCATGGCCGGAGAGTATACTCCTGGTTCTCCCGAGGGCAACGAGAAACAAGAACAACCGAGAAAAGCCATCGATTTGCGCAAGCTCAAGGCCCTGGAAGGCGCATCTGACGACCTGGCGCATCTGAGATACCGCATTGGCACAGGATATGAGAGCCGTTTCTTGAGCGACTTGCTGGGAGATCTGAGGCAGCATGTCGAAACCGTGCCTTTGGATACAACATTACAACGATGGGGCTCTGCGTTCCTGCGACAGCGGGGAGGACAGCGCACAGGGGCTACACAAGCCCCAGCATATATGGCCTTTGATGACCAGTTACGGTCCCGGCTGCACCTGCATCTCACAGGGCTTGCTCGCGTGCGTCATACGACTCCTGCAGCGACCGCTTTCAAGACTGCGGTTTTGCGAGAGATGAAGAGTCTGATTCGCAAACACATGCCCGGCTCGAGTGATGACGATAACGAATCAGTGGTATCTGTATCCACGCAAAAGTCCCAGCAGCTCAGCCAGCAGGAAAAATCTTCAATTCTTGCGCGTAACCTCAGGGCTTTGGATGCCCAAGACTCATACAACATGCTTGCTCGCGTATACACGGGTATCAGTGAGTCGTTGCGGAGACTCAGTGTTCAAGTCAAGGTTCTTCTGGATATTGCCAGTGGGTTGGAAAACCCGGCCGCCATTGGTGTGAAGTCCGGCCCACCAAGCCCTAATCCTCAGGGTCCAGGCAAACCTGCAACCCCGGGCCCTGTAGCCGTTGTGGCACAGGACGAGATTCTGCAGGTCCTGGATATGTCCAGCCTTCTTGGCCAAGCCGTCGATATTGCGCAATCCCAGGTCACCAAGGTGTTGAAGGTTCGGTCTGAACAGACATCTCAGCTACCAAAGGATGAATTTCTCAAGTACTTCACCCTCAACCGGCTCTTCGCTGATGAGTGCGAAGCCATCTCCGGGCGTAGCGGTACCGCCTTGAAGACTGTTGTAGGCAACCAAATCAAAGATTACATCAATCGGTTTGGAGACGGGCAGCGACGCCGTGTGGTTGAGGTAATGGACGCGGACCGATGGGATGCAAGGGACTTTGGAGAAGCTGACAATGCTATTCTTGATCGCATCCTTGGCGCTAGTACTAGAGATATTGATGTCTGGGTCGACGCATCCAAGATTTGGCTGCCCGAGAACGAACGCCAACAACCCTCTCCGGCTAGCACAACAACTGTCAACGGGTCCGGAAAAGAGAAGACGCGCAGTGCCGTGATCGATGAGCAGAAGTATATTTTGTCCGAGTCTGCTGTTGCAATGATGAAAAGCATCGAGGAATATCAATATCTCATGGCAAATATACCCAGCATGATGCAAGACATTGCGCCTGGTTTGTTAGAGTCACTAAAGCTGTTCAATTCCCGATCTTCTCAGTTGATCCTGGGCGCAGGGGCTACTAGAAGCGCAGGTCTCAAGAACATCACCACCAAGCACTTGGCTCTGTCATCTCAAGCGCTCAGTTTCATCATTGCCTTGGTTCCCTATATCCGAGAGTTCGTCCGCCGCCATGCACCTTCTAGCCCACTGATGGGCGAGTTCGACAAGGTGAAGCGGCTGTATCAGGAACACCAGTCCGGTATTCACGAGAAACTCGTGGATATTATGGGATCTCGATCAGCCATCCATGTCAATGCTTTGAAGAAGATTGACTGGAACGCGCCTGCAGGGGGCAGTGCTGTGAGCCCGTACATGGAAACGCTGACGAAGGAAACTGGCACGCTGCATCGTGTGCTGAGCAAACATCTCCCCGATATGACGGTCATGATGATTATGGACCCCGTGTTCAGCAGCTACCGAGAGCAGTGGACAAAGGCATTCGAAGAGGTCACCGTGACTTCGGAGACTGCCAAGGAACGGCAAGTTTTACTGCATGATGCATTACTCGACGTAGGCTAATAACTTGATCAGGTTGCAACGCGACGCAGAATATCTGCAGACAAAGCTCGGCAAGATCAACGGTTTCGGTGATCTGGGCCAGCGTCTCGTTGAATTGGTGAAGCAAAAGAAGATCACCACAGAATCCAAGGTTGCCACCGACTCGTCCGGAAAGTCGTCGCCTGATTCCAACGGCTCATCAAAGAAACAATCCTAAGCGGAGGCGATCCATATTTGGGCCTTGATGGCCCAGATGTACATGATATGGATCACCTCAGAAGATCCCAGTACCTCTTGGTACAGGGCTGTACAGCCTTTTATTTCACATTCATGTTTTCCTCACATTGCCTGGCACACACCATGAAGACCGTGACCATATTTATATAGACTCTAATACGAAATTTACCACTATACCAATAACTCATGAGAAGATTCAGTTTATTTCATTCGACCTCAACCCGGAGGTCTTCATTGCCTTTACTACTAGTTAAAGGCATATTGACTGTTAATACATATCCACCCAAAGATGTACCTAAATCATGATTCATGCATCAATCACCGAACTCCATCTGCCAGTATATTCATTCATGCTTTTATGCCTTGTGAGCTCCCAATCCCTTCTTCTCGCCCAACGTCTTGGGCTCGTGTCCGCCCTTTCCGCTACCGGACTTGTTCGGACCTGAGCTGCCCCCGATGCTGTACTCGCCGCCACTGCTCTGCGCGGCCTCGGGGAGGGGAGCGGTGCGCTGGACGCGGTTGAGGTGGTCGTTCTATACGTCAATTAGCAAACATTTCTTCTTAAATGTAGGATTGCAGATTGAAAGGACAACATACGGCAGGGTTCGTTCCATGAACCTTAGTCTCGCCGGCCTCAATGGCGTTGTCGGAGTGAGGGACTCCGTCGTCGTATTCGGCTCCGCGGGGCATTTTGATAACTGCAGAGGTTAATCATTAGCCGAGAAACTTATGCAGTGGTGTAGTATATGTTACATACCTTGTGTGTGTATATTTGTGTGTAGAGTGAGAGAGCAGTAGGAATGGAGATGAGAATTTGTGTCTTTGTTTGTTGCGAGTCTGAGTCTGATGTTAAATTCAAAGCAATGGAACAGTAACAGCATCCTACTTATATCCAAAAAGTCAAGGTGATGTGTTCATCGATTCGGGCCCAGATTGATGGCGTTGACAACATCGTGAAGTCATCGGGGCCGGGTACGGGCCCACTTATGATCTCATCGATGGATTGCGGACAGGTACCATCTCTCTCCAGTAATCAAGTAATCTTAGGGGAATTGACCTAGATTTCATGTTTTAACTAGAAGTGATACTATGTTTCAGAAATATTCTTGGTACTTGGTGCTGGGGTGTGATTTGTGGTTGTGATGTCGTGTGCCTTGGTTGTCTTGGTTTAGTTGGCGGCGGGAAGATTGGCTGTGGTAGTATGTACGCTATTTCGGGCAGGGAGGTAAGGTACTTTTTGGTAGTTCGGTAGTTTTCAATGTCACTACTCAGGATGAGGGTGTGCTATGGAGACATTATGTTTATGCTTCTTGTTGGATAGGACTTAAGTGTAATTGGATGGTAGATCGTAATGTTGAGATGAGCACTAGTCTGTGACTACCATTGGGACATCTTCCGTGTCTAGGATATTTAGTTGTGAGTTGAGCATTTATTATACTAGATCCTACAAGTGGTCGAATCTCATTCCGAATTATCGATGATATGTGAGTACATTGATTTTGCCCACGTGGTGGAATAGTAGTATCATAGCGTCCTGCCCTGCGCTAACAAGCTGTAGGGGTTTGAATACCAGGGACCATGTCCTACGCTCCATCATTACGAAGGAGTACCAAGGTACCATTCATGCCTGCTGCATACCACGTGCGAAGTCGCTACAAACAACTCGAGTAGTTATTTGGCTTAACTAGGACATCGCTAGTCAGCCAAACTCTCATCATCTTGACGATCATCTATGGTATCAGCTTGCATACAAGGCGAGCAAAGAACGGAACACACGCCACCGAGCTATAAAAAGGCGTCAGTGTGCCGTTCATGGTATGCTGGCTTCTTTGAAGCTCACTGGCGAAGAATGCAGATCTGGATGCGGATCGTAAACCTATAGAAGGGTAGAGCATCTGCGCGGGGTAGCTATCATCTCGCAGATGTCGCAAGGCCGGACATTATTTGTTGCAGCAATGGAGCTTTGACGCATTGAATTCACGTCCACACGGATAGGTATCCATTGCAGCAAATAATTTTGATGGACCAAGGGAACGCCGAATATCGCTCTTCGGGCCATACCGTTGTCGGTAAGCTTTCTCGAGGACAAAGCGCGGACCACATTCAGACACTGTCTAGAATTTGCAGACACACACGGATGAGAGTATCGCTGGTTGCATTGGCATATAATCTTTGTAGAGGCCAATGTAGCGAATACGAAGCCAGGAAGAAGTGGTCTCCCGCGGAGAACCCTGCCATCAGCATCACTATGATAATCGTGCGATCTTCCCGCCCATGATTGTCGCTGCGGTGCAGCTGGTGGCTGCAGGCATGCGAAGTGATACGTTGAGAAGGCCCGGGGGTTTATCGGCCCCAGGCAGCCAGGCCGGGTGTCACATGAGACTGGTGACGTCACGGGAAGACAGCTTTCCCCAGATTTGCCCCGAATTGGTCCAAGCGGAGACAGTTTCTGGTACGTGTCTCGAGAGTGAACTTATGGTTCTTCTTATCATGGCAGAGTACGTCCCTTTTCCGGTCGCGATTGATGTTCTCCTCAAACGGAGAAAATAGAAAACTCTTCACGGGTTCCTGAGGGGCAAGTTCATTTTTCATTGTGCCACCAACAAGCCGCTCGGGTGTCTGAACCCCCTGTAGGGAGGCGGCTCGACTAGCTCCCAACAACAATGTAAAACAAAACTCACCCCCTCTTCCACCCAAGCAGTAGGCGCGCGATGGGCGCAGATAGCAGGGTCGTGCAAGTCCGAGCTTCCAGCTGGAACGTTGCAACCCATCATCATCTGGTCGGATGATTCTGCAATCGACAGACCAACCGGGGTTGTCATTTGCCGGGAGAGGTTCCTTTGGTGGTCCATCAACCAGAACCGGGGATGCGTCCGTGCAACTCCAAACCTTGGCTATAGCACGGGGGCCTTCGGTGAGCTTTTCCCGGCACCCTGGTCGGGCCATTGCGCGCAGGATGCTGTCTCGTAGCGTGAATTGAACCTGTTGGAGGAAAGGGAGTGAAATGAAAAGAATCGGAACCCCCTCCTTGCGGTCCCTGTGCCAACGATGGCGCGGTCCAACCACTTCCTCCCTGCTTGATTGATATTCTCTTCGTTTTCCCCCCCGCCACCCGCTGCCTGTTCTTCCCCCGCACGTCACCTTAACTTTTCTCCTCTTCCTCGAGCTTTGCTGAGCTTGCTGCCCCGGACGCGCTCGTCCCTCGGATTCTGCGCCAGTTGAAAGCATTACTCTTTACCTTCTCCTACCTCTCCTACAGCGCCGTCTTTCCCTTCCTATTCTTCCTTACTTCTTCTTTTCTTTTCTTTCGTTAATAAGCTATTCATAACCCTTCCAGCACTGCAGTTCCTCTGAGCGCTCTCAAGGCAAGCAAGCATGGCCAGTGAGGATAACGGCCAAGAGCCTATAAAGCGCGATGTTCGCAATCACATTCTATTCGAGGTAGCTACGGAAGTGGCCAACCGGGTGGGAGGCATTTACTCGGTGCTTAAGTCTAAAGCTCCCGTGACGACCGCAGAGTATGGCGACCGTTACACCCTGATCGGTCCTCTCAACCGTGCTTCGGCAGCTGTGGAGGTCGAGGAGTTGACTCCGTCGAATCCCCGCATGATCGAGACCATCCAGTCCATGAAGGAGCGCGGGATCGAGATCGTCTACGGTCGCTGGCTGATTGAGGGTGCTCCGCGCGTGCTTCTTATTGATACAGGCACTGGCTACAAATATTTGGACGAGTGGAAAGGTGATCTCTGGAACGCAGCTGGTATCCCGTCCCCTTCCGCCGATAGCGAGACCAACGAAGCCATTGTGTTTGGCTACCTGGTGGCATGGTTCCTAGGCGAGGTACGTAACCTAAGCGCATGGACCGCTGATTGCACGTGCGTATTTGCTAATGTTCATCTAACTAGTTCATCGCTCATGAGCGTCGCCGTGCGGTGGTGGCTCATTTTCACGAATGGCTTGCTGGTGTCGCTTTGCCGCTGACCAAGAAGCGGCATATGGATCTGACAACAATTTTCACCACCCACGCGACCTTGCTCGGTCGGTATCTGTGCGCTGGGTCTGTGGACTTCTATAACAATCTCCAGTACTTTGATGTTGACGCGGAAGCTGGCAAACGAGGGATCTACCACCGCTACTGTATTGAGCGAGCTGCCGCACACACAGCTGACGTCTTCACGACTGTGTCCCATATCACGGCCTTTGAGAGTGAGCATCTCCTTAAGCGGAAGCCTGATGGGGTGCTGCCCAACGGATTGAACGTGAAGAAGTTCTCGGCTGTACATGAATTCCAGAACCTACATTCGCAGTCCAAGGAGAAGATCAATGACTTTGTGCGGGGGCATTTCTATGGCCACAACAACTTTGACTTGGACAATACCCTCTACGTATTTACAGCCGGACGCTATGAATTCCGAAACAAGGGTGTGGATATGTTCATCGAGGGCCTGGCGCGTTTGAATCACCGTCTGAAAGAGGCCGGTTCCAAGATGACCGTCGTCGCATTTATCATCATGCCCGCTCAGACGTCATCCCTGACCGTCGAAGCACTCAAGGGCCAAGCTGTTGTGAAGTCTCTGAAGGACACAATCGAGATGATCGAGAAGGGCATTGGGAGGCGAATGTACGAGCGGTGTCTTGCATGGAAGGAAGGCGACAACATGCCGGACGAGAAAGATCTGATGGCTAGCCAGGATCGTGTGCTACTGCGCCGCAGACTCTTCGCCATGAAGCGACACTCCCTGCCTCCGATTGTCACGCACAACATGTACAATGATCACGAAGACCCAATTCTGAATCAGATCCGTCGTGTCCAACTTTTCAACCACGAGTCAGACCGGGTCAAGGTTGTCTTCCACCCGGAGTTCCTGAACTCGTCCAACCCGGTGCTACCCTTGGACTATGACGACTTCGTTCGGGGTACTCATCTCGGAGTGTTCCCCTCGTACTACGAGCCTTGGGGATATACGCCGGCTGAATGTACCGTGATGGGTGTCCCGAGTATCACCACAAACCTGTCTGGTTTCGGTTGCTATATGGAGGAACTAATTGAGAATTCGTCCGACTACGGAATCTATATTGTGGACCGTCGGATGAAAGGCGTGGATGACTCAGTCAATCAACTGACGGAATTCATGTTCAACTTCACCCAGAAGAGTCGGCGCCAGCGGATCAACCAGCGGAACAGGACAGAGCGTCTGAGTGACCTCCTGGACTGGAAACGCATGGGCCTGGAGTATGTCAAGGCTCGGCAGTTGGCACTCCGTCGAGGTATGTGTATTTCCAAGCCACTATTGATTAGATTGCTCACACATTCATGCAGCCTATCCTTCGTCTTTCGGCACGCCTGATGATGTTTACGACGTAATCGGTGGCACGGAGCAGAAGATATCGCGACCATTATCCGTACCCGGATCCCCGCGAGATCGTTCTGGTATGATGACTCCCGGGGATTTTGCCTCTTTGCAGGAGGTGAAAGAAGGCCTGAGTACGGAGGACTATGTCGCATGGCGACTGCCGTAAGTCCACCACCCCACCCCCTTGGGTGAATGAATGACACAAGGAGCGCTGATGCTGATAAACTGGCTGTCTAGAACTAGCGAGGAAGAGGAGCCAGATGACCAGTATTTCCCGCTCACCCTGCGCACGAAGAAGAATACCGACCGTCCGGCGTCGCCGCTCGATCAGCTGTCGGTCAATGGAGACAGTTGATCGACTGGTGAGATAGCGGGGTGCGACAGTCTGGAATTCTGAATAGCCTGCATATTCGAGGTACCGTTCTTGGTGGAATGATCGTGTTCGCGTTTACTTGCTCTCACTAATCGCCCGCGTCTGAAATACTGCTTTTGGTCACCCACCTGCTATTGTTATCCAAAGCGAGCTTCATTCAGAAAAGATAGTAGCTGATTTAGTCCATCGAACTCTGATCAGCATGGCATTTCATTTTGTTGTTCCATTTTTCATCTTGCATTGCTCGTTCCCTCCATTCTTGCATTGTTTTATCCCTCCTTTGCATATGTCATCAATGTTGTAGCCAGCGAATTGTATCTTCTGATTGGATTCTACCGCAGTAGGTCCAGGTTGAGATAGTCGAATGCACGATGAATATTGTATTTGTAGCCCTACAGTAACATACCATCACAAGCTCCGTGCTCCCGTCAATCGTATCCAGCCCGCCGACGCGGTAACCGATAATCCGTGCTGTTGAGAGCGACGATGCACAAGCAGCTAGGCTGATCATCCGATCCCAAGCAGAGCCAAGCAGATCCTTCCTCAAGAGTGTCTAGACCCGCCAGCCAGGACCGAAGACATCCGGTTGTTGAGACTAGCCTGGCCAACCATATAGAGTTGAGTCATAATAACCTTGTCCGTTGTGCTTCCGAGCGGGTCTCGAAGCGGGGGAGAGGATGAGACAAGGTTCATGATGAGGTGGTTACTGCTGGAGAACCGGAAAAGAACGCCAGGAGCACACCACTCCGGCGACAGGATCTCCAATGAGGCATCTGCTTCGTTTTCGTGGGGGTCCTGGATGTGTTTCTCGGTGAGGGAAGACGACAATCGCGGATCCTAACTTAGTAGTGGGGGTTTAGTCCAGGGTCTCGCTTGACCCCGCTGCTTCCCATTTATGCCTCCTCTTCTCCCCCCTCTCTCTCTCGCTTGCTTTCCTTTTCCTTCATCTTCCCATCTTCTCACTATCTAACTACAGATATATTCTTTCTGAATAATCTACTTCTTCTTCCCCAACAACTTCCTCGTCAACCGTCCGGTACGACTCACAATGAGGCCGCGCACGCAGGATCAGACTCCGGGTCTTTTCGCTATGGGTTCAGATGGGTCAAGGTATCGTACAATAGTATAACAGTCACTGCTCGCGCATGACAGGTGTTCGGCTCGTGCTTCTGTTCCTTTCCTTCTGGTTTGGACAGGAGCGCGGTCGTTCTGAGATTATACTGTCAAAACTTGATCTAGATAATACTAGCGAAAGGACATGCGTGGCACTGATTGTCCCCTAATTGTTTGACCTACAGAAGACGAGAGGGATCTCGCATCCCTCTCTGTTGCTGACAGTTTCCAGACCTTTGCAATTACCCTCGACCTGAGTGTATTTGTGCCAAAATGTCTACTGACAAGATCACCTTCCTGACCAACTGGTATGGTTTGGGATCTCTGTTTTTGATTCTTAGAAACAGGTCACAGAATATATGCTAAATCATGCGTTCTCTTAAGGCACGCGACCCCGTATCACGCCCCCCTATACCTCGCCCAGAGCAAGGGCTACTTCAAGGAAGAGGGCCTTAAAGTTGCTCTCCTGGAGCCCAATGACCCCTCCGATGTCACCGAGATCATCGGCAGCGGCAAAGTTGACATGGGCTTCAAGGCTATGATCCATACCCTTGCTGTATGAGCTACCTTTCCCATCTCCCTTCTTCAAATCCTATACAACCAGCATCTAACCAAAGCAACAGGCCAAGGCCCGCAACTTCCCTGTCACCTCGATTGGTTCTCTCCTCGACGAGCCCTTCACTGGCGTCGTCTACCTCAAGGACAGCGGAATCACCGAAGACTTCCGCTCCCTGAAGGGCAAGAAGATCGGCTACGTCGGCGAATTCGGCAAGGTTTGCCTTCCCTCCTCCCTTCCATTCCACCACCATATCCTAACCAACCCACCCCACAGATCCAAATCGACGAGCTCACCAAATACTACGGCATGACCGCCGACGACTACACCGCCGTCCGCTGCGGCATGAACGTAACCAAAGCCATCATCCGCGGCGACATCGACGCAGGCATTGGCCTCGAGAACGTGCAGATGGTCGAGCTCGCCGAGTGGCTCGCCACGCAGGGCCGACCCCGCGACGACGTGCAAATGCTGCGCATCGACCAGCTCGCCGAACTCGGATGCTGCTGCTTCTGCTCGATCCTGTACATCGCCAACGACGCCTTCCTGGCCGCCAACCCGGAGAAAGTGCAGAAGTTCATGCGGGCTGTCAAGCGCGCTACGGACTACGTTCTGGCTGAACCCGCCCGCGCTTTCGAGGAGTACGTTGACATGAAGCCGATCATGGGCACTCCGGTTAACCGGAAGATCTTTGAGCGTTCGTTCGCGTACTTCAGTCGTGACTTGAAGAATGTTAGTCGCGACTGGGCTAAGGTGACCAACTATGGCAAGCGGTTGGGCATTTTGAGTGCTGATTTCGTGGCGAACTACACTAATGACTATTTGTCATGGGGCTTGGATGCTGACTCGACTGATCCCCTGGGTGATCAGAAGCGCATGGCTGAGTTGCAGAAGAAGGTCGCTGCCGAGGGTGGTTACAAGCGGTTGGAGGTTGCTTCTTCGGCTTGATTGATTATCAGACTCGGTGGGGCAGCTTGCTCGCTTGACACTCTAGGAACAGGGATGATTCTTATGTAACGGTCGTTTACGAGTCTAGCTGGATGTGCTAGCTTACGCACTCTTTTAGTATGACAGCAATATATCATACGATCTTTTGAGACATGAAACCAATCTTTGTAGTGATCCGTAAGAAAGCAAGACTAAACCAAGTCAGGCTAGTATCTACATAACATATATCCAAAACAGATGAGATATACTGCTGTACACATGGTCTACTCGCTATACATGCATGTACAAACCCAGAAGATACCCCCATCACCTCCTAACGACATCCATACTCCCCGCCCTCTCCACATCCGGCCCCGAACCCAATACGCGATCCCCCAACAATGCCGAAAACTCAACACTATCCTCTACCTCTGCATCACTCAGATTCACGCTTCCACCCGAACGATTCAAAGGCTGGAAGGTCCCGCGTTCTTTATCATTCCATCGATGGCTCCGTACCCAAGACACAAGATAGCCCTTCTTGACGCCGAACCATAAAAACGCGCCAATCGCTGCCGTGGAAAACAACGCAATCGTGAGGAATATGAGAATGGCATAGACTGTCTCACTGTCCACAAAGAAGGATTCGTCGCTATCACCACTCACTACGACTGCTTCGTTGGAAGTAGGATCCCATCTTGCTAACTTGCTAGCGGCAAGAGTCTCGCCCTCTGCATTGACGGCGCGAACGCGCAAGTATTTGAATTTTGCGTCGTTCGGGATGGGGATGACTGTCTCGAAGCCATCTTTAGGCACTGCTGAGAGGAAGGTGGGCTGTGCTGTTTCTGAGATCTTTTCGTTGGTGCCTTCTAGCACCCAGTGCGTGACTTCGGTGGCGCCGTTCCAACTGGCTGCTGCGCGATAGGCGTATACCTCAAAGTCCGGGAGGGTGTTAGGCGTGCCGATCCAGGAGTGTTTGAAAGTGCGATAGGAGATAACTTTGCCTCTGCTGAAGTCTCGCTCAGGTGCGAAGTGGGCGTGGCAGAGGACTTCGCCATCCATGCTGAATTCCGTCCATGCGGCGCTGAAGCCGTATCCGACAAGGACGTTGCCGCTGTCGAGGATTTGTATGGAGCCTTGGGATTGGCTTTTTATAGGGGATGCATTCCAGTACTCGTGGCGGACTTGAACGGTCATGTTGGTTTCGTCGATGTCGAGGTAGAGCCCTCTACTTGGGTATTGGGGTGCGCCTCTGCCGCGAGATGAATTGTCAAGGAGGGTGATTGCTGTGCCGTTGTCGCGGAAGCGGGCGTGGTGTTGCCAGGTGAAATTAGTAGCTGCGCCGCCTGAAAGATCGGTGAAATTGCTTCGCTTGCCGCCTAGAGTCCAGATAGTCTCGCCTGTGCGACCGTCGATATAGATCAGGCAGTTGCAGTAGCGGGCTGAAACAAGAAAAATTGCCTTTTGCGTCTTTGTCGATGCTGTTGATATGAAAGTAGTCCCACGGGCGTTTCTCATCGTCCCCCGAGCCTTCGGGACCTCTATAGACGTCGGCGATGTCGAAGTGTTCGGAGGCTCGCCATTCGAAGAGGAGTTCTTTCGTCTCAATGTTAACTTCTTGGAACGTGCCATCCCATATCCAGCCATTCTCAGGACCGCCAGCGACCCGGATATCTGCCGGGCGGATGTCATAGATAGTGTAAACTGCGGTCTCGTCGAGGGTTATGTGGAACTCGTGAAGATCTGCTGCGAGTCCTTTCGCACCACTGAGGGTGAATGCTTCCTGGTACGACGAGTCTAGCTTTATTGGAGACCTTAGTCTTGCTTTGCCCCATTACTATGCGGAATAGAGGTGGTGCCGTACCATGTAGTATGTGCCCTCGCCGTGTCCCACCCTACTGTCGTCGCCCACCCAGAACGTTAAATAATCCTGGCCCTTATAGTTGTAGACATTGAAATTGTAGGTGTGCCCGTATGGCTTCGTCCAGACCAAGCGACCCTTCTGGTCTAGGATCATCGGCCCGGGTTTATGCACGCTATACCCGCGCGGAGAGATGAAGTAATACTGGTCATCTTTGCATTGGGGCCCATACTGCAAAAAGTTGACGACTGCGCCTACGGTGGAAGTCGAACGGTAAGTCTCAATAGGCCATGGTCCCATGCCACCCTGTTCGTACCGTTCGGAGTCGAAATAGGGTCCTACATCTGCCAAGGCAGAGGCCAGGAACAGGAACGCCGCTAGCGCGACGGTTAGAGTGCCCAGAATCATGGCGCAAGGGGCGGATAGTTCAGCGCTCAGGAGACATGTGTTAAACTGCACAAAGGCAGCGCTGCTTGACAAATATAACGCCTCAACGGCGAGCACAAGATATGAAAGAGAGTCAGGGGAAGAAGGGCATGATGATCATAGGGGAAGACAGGTAGGGAGCTGGCACGATTTTCAAGACCTCGATGGGGGCGCGGGAGATCCACCGTGCCCATCGGCAGTGGCTTGCTTCAAAGCCAGCAACAGCAGACTATCCAGACGAAGGCAGGCTAAATGGCCAAATCATTTCTAGACCAGGATTACTTGTAATGGCGAGAGCAAGTGTGAATTGATTCATCCAGCGAGTCAGTGGATGCTGTTGGGTATGGTGAGGAGGTCCCGGTGATATTTTCCTTGTTGGGACAGGCGCGAATGTCCCACAGCAAAGAATGGATGGAACAAGAAGCTCTGCCGGCCAATGCTTAGGCTCGGGTTCCCTCAATGGCTGGTATTTGCTCTTTATCATTACCCCCCTGTGAAGAGGACACGGAAGTCCGATGGGTTAAGAGTGAGGAGTGGAATAGCACTGGCATGATTCAAGTCGCTGTAATCAAGCCTTTTAGCTGGGATTCATCAACCAAGCACAACTGGATGGGCAACGTCCCACTCTGTCCGACGTAGCCGGTTGGCCCTGCTCGATAATAATAGTCTCCAATCGCCAGTGCCTAATTGGAGGTACTGCGCTGGTAGTTTGGACGAGTCCGACTCCACTCGGCGCCACAGCCTTCTGAATATACTGAATTAGATTGGAGTTCTGAGGGGTATCTAGTCCTGCCCAGGAGGGTGCGAGTAATTAGATATCGGGACTTGGTCGGGACAAGGAGGTCATGGTCATTGCTAGACCTTCAGTTGCTAAAACCCCAGGCAGATTAGATTTTGTAAAGAAGTAGTAGTAGCAAGGGTGGTCGAGGACGAGTTGAAGACGAAGTTGAGGAAATGGCAGGTACAGGTCAGGTGGTATCCACGTGGAGGATCCTTTTCTTTTCTACTATTACAAGTGTCTATTCTCTAAATTTCTGGCCTTTCCCCCTACTAATCGCGCTATCGCAACATCCAGCACGCCACCTTCAGAAATTCTCACGTCATATCAGTCCTAACTCGGAGTACGTATTTTGGTATATTGTATCTAGGAGGAACTGCAGAGCCGATCCTTTCGGCAACGTTTGGCCCGAGATGTTGGTGCGGAGATCGACACGGACACCACTGTTCAAGATCGTGGCACCTCATTGCTGGGCTTTAATGTTCGTTGCGCAATTTGATTCGTGGAATGCCGCCTGTAAAAGGCGCTGTAACCCCTCTGCCTTCACGATTAGAGATGTGAGGGGTGTTCGAGGTTTATAAGGACAGATCCAGGCTACCATGGAAAGCGGATTCGGAAAATTGCTGGAAGATGGACTAACACTGCATCGTCATCATGCGACCTTCACTAGCCTTGGCGAATCTCAGCCTAGTTCCTTATCTTTTCTCCAACACTGGCGAAGCTAGGATATCCCCCAAGTCTCCACCCTCCATTGACCGGGCAGGAGTAGTATCCCGGTTCAATCCTTGCCGCAATGCCAGCTCGAAGAGCACCCCGATGCAGGTGGGAAATGGAGACTTTGCATTCGGAGCAGATATTACGGGGCTACAGACCTTTCTCCCATACGGTATCCTTTCTTCCTGGGGATGGCATAATTCGTCACTGCCTGCGAACTCCACACCATCGGATTTCACGGGATTGGACTGGTGGACGCATGATCGGCTAGTGAATTATGATATGCCCAATCCTGCAGAGCCAGAGATTTCTCAGTGGTTGATTGCAAATCCGCATCGTATCAACCTAGGTCGCATCGGATTGGTTTTCGGGGGAGATTACAGCAATTACACTGAAGAAGACCTGCAGAATAAGACGCAAAAACTGGATATTTACCGGGGTTTTCTGCAGTCTAATTTCACTATTGATGGCCATCTGACCACCATCACCACCAGCGTTGATCCAGAATCGGACACGATAGCAGTACGCTTGAATTCCGAACTTTTGGCGCTAGGCCGTCTAGGGGTCTTCCTTGACTACCCGTATGCTACGGACGAGAATAAGTTCGAGGCCCCATTTGTTGGCGATTGGACCGCTGTCTCAAATCACACGACGGTCTTGCACCATGCAGGAAATGAAAACCAAGCCCAGGTGCAGCACACTCTCGACAACACCACCTACTACACCACATTACAGTGGCGTGGTAGTAATGTGTCTATTTCCAGAGTCCCCGATTCTCATCGATACGTCTTGCAGCCAAACGGGGACCACACAAGAGAATTTGAACTCACAACAACCTTCTCTCCTAGAGAGGGCTTTCAGTCTTCTTCGCTATCTTTCGATGCAATCATCGCACGATCTCAGCAATGGTGGACGGGCTATTGGGAGACCGGAGCCTTCGTAGATCTGATGGGAGCCGGGAATGCAACAGCAGATGAAATACAACGACGCGTGATACTGTCCCAATACTTGCTGGCAGTCAATGAGGCCGGACACGATCCGCCACAAGAATCAGGGTTAGTAAATAACGGATGGTATGGCAAGTTTCACATGGAGATGTATCTATGGCATTCTGCTCATTGGACTCCGTGGGGCAAACTCCCTTTGCTGGAGCGGAGCATCGGTGTCTACAATCGGTTCCTTCCCTCATCGATGCAAAGGGCAGCCGACCAGGGATACAGCGGCTTGAGATGGGGCAAGATGAGCGACCCAAGCGGGAGATCTGCCCCAGGCGAAATCAACGCCCTGCTCATATGGCAGCAACCCCATGTCTTTTACTTCGCAGAGACGGAGTATCAGTCTGCACGGCATGCGGGAAGAAACATGGAAGATGTCCTAGCGAAATGGGACTACGTACTGACCGAGTCGGCAGACTTCATGGCATCTTATGCCTTTTGGAATACCTCCACAAACGTATATGATCTCGGTCCTCCGATGTACCCAGTCTCGGAGAATACACCACCGAACAGCACCCGAAATCCTACCTTCGAGTTGGCATACTGGCACTTCGGTCTCGACGTAGCCATATCCTGGAAAGCCCGACGTGGCCAGCAAGCTCCCCAGGCATGGACACACGTCAAAGACAACCTCGCACCATTACCGATAGTATATGCTGTAAACGAAACAACGGGCGAGAAAGTACTCACATATACACTGTACGAGGGCATCCCAAGCATGTGGACAGACCCCGACACAGTCACCGATCACCCAGCACTCACTGGCATCTACGGACTCCTACCCCCCACGGCAGCGGTGAACCAAACACTCGTATCGGCGACCGCGGCCCAAGTCGCCAGTGATTGGAACTTTACAACCTGCTGGGGCTGGGACTTTCCCATGCTGGCGATGAATGCAGCAAGGCTGGGAGACGTAGACGCCGCAGTGCAGTATCTGGTGCACCCGAATTTTGAATTTGACGACGTGGGTATGCCGGTGGGGACCAAGGCACCGACCCCTTATTTTCCTGGGAGTTCGGCCCTCTTGTTGGCTGTTGCGATGATGGCTGGGGGTTGGGATGCTGCAAATAACAGCAGTCAGCAGGACTTCGCGCCGGGGTTTCCAGCCAAATGGAATGTTCGTGCTGAGGGGTTTGGGCAGATGCTGTAGGATCAGGATGCGACTACTGTACGGTCAACATTCGTAAATCGATAGGGGACAGCTGCGTATGCAATGTACGTCTCAATAGTTCAGCTAATCTATCTCGATAGGGGTATGTAGGCACAATGTACGGGGAAATTATTATGTAGAGACAAGAAGATACGGCGGAGAAGGGTAGGCGGGTATATAGTTCCTCCGAAAAGAATCGCCGAAAGTCTTTGCTTATTTAGTGCGCTTGTAGATCTTCGCGAGGAAGGCCTCGAAGACCTCCTTCTTCAGACCCTCCGACTCGTTGATGCTGTTGATCTTGGTGCGGATTTCACCAACAACGCTCTCCTCGTATTCCTTGTAGATCTTCTCCAAGTCGAGCTCCTTGTACAGGGCCTTGACCTTGGCCTCCAGCTCAGCGTCCTTACGACCGTAAGCAGTGTCAAGGACCTTGCGCTGCTCAGCGTTGCAACGCTGCAGAGCCTGGTTGACCAACCACGAGCACTTGTTATCCTGGATATCGGTACCAATCTTGCCAATGAAGGCGGGGTCACCGTAGGCATCAAGGTAGTCATCCTGGACCTGGAAGTACTGACCCAGGGGGATGAGGATGTCGTGGGCCTGACGCAGGTTCTCGGGGGTAGCGAGCTGGAGGTAGTGCAGGGCCAGAGCGACGGGGAGGTAGAAGCTGTAGTAGGCGGTCTTGTAGGTGACGATGAACATGTACTTCTCCATGGAGAAGTTGTCGAGGTTGACGTTGTCCTCGGGGGCGGTGATCAGGTCACACAGCTGGCCCAGCTCGGTCTGGTAGGTGGTCTCGTGGAAGAGCTCGACGAGGTCGATGTAGGCGGGGTGAGAGCGGAAGTACTTCTTCAGGATAATGTAGATGCCAGACTCGAGCAGGAAGGCGTCGTTGATAGCGATCAGTCCGACTCCTTCGTGCTTGTACCAGCAGGGCTGGCCGCGACGGGTGATGGAGCCGTCCATGATGTCGTCGCTAACCAGGAAGAAGGCCTGGAGCAGCTCGGTGAGCCAGCCCAGCAGACTGAGGTGCTTGAATTGCTCATCGGTCAGGGGCTTCTTCAGGAGAGCGAGACCGGTGTCGGGGACGGAGAGACCACGGTTGAGCTTTCCACCGGGGACGTTGACATTGAGGGCCTATTGAAGAGAAATAAGGATTAGAGATTGACTTTGGGGGCGAAAACTTAGGGAGGTCGGCACATACCTTCTCGAACCACTCGAGAGCGTTCTGGGGCAGCTTGTACTGCTTCGCATAGTTCAGAAGGTCTTCCCGCAAAGAGGGGAAGACGGCCTCGAAATCGGCACGGGCAGTGGTGGACATGGTTGCACGGCAGTACTAAGGAGGGGGGAAATTGGAGGAGGAAAAGAGTGAAGGTGAAAAGAAGAGCGGCGAGGAGAGAAAGAAGAAGAAGAAGAAGAAGAATGGAGAAGAACAATAGGCACGAGAGGAGGGGATCCAGATGGTGATGATCGTCCCAATTCGTCCAGTTAGTGGCCGGCCAGCCCAATTAGGAAAACCCCGCTGTTTGTTCTGTTTGCGCCGTCACCGCCCAAAAAGGAAGGCCATTCGAGATTCCCCGGAATCTTTTGGCGATGCGATGCTCTTCGCCGCGTCTCCTGCCTCTTTTTTGGACATTGTTTTCTGCCTGCTCTCTTGGCGCTGCTTATGCGCTCTAATTAGTTGACTCCCGTTGTCTCAGGTTCTCCTGACACCACCTGTCTCCACCGTATCTGGAGCGCGCAAGATCCACCAAGCAGCAATGCTCCTGGCGCGTCACTAACTATAGTTACATACAGTCAACTCAGAAGAGCTCCGCAGCCCTTTCTTTGCTGAACGCGTGCGCATTAACGCGCGCAAACAACTTCGCTCCCATGGCTGCTCAATTCACAGACGAGAATATCAAAGAGCTCAGGTTCCGGCTCGAAGATGCGGCGATCAAATGCTCCGAGCGTTGTTTATACCAATCCGCCAAATGGTACCGTTACAGGCATCACCCTGGCTCACCTCCATGAGCAGTCACTAACCTTGTGGGTCAGGGCAGCTGAAATGCTAGATTCAATCGTACCAATTGAGCAATACGACACCGATCCAGACTCCCCCATGGACTACCCCGACGCTCCTTCGAACCCCCAGAACCCTTATCTCCGAACACAAGATCCGCTCGAGGCCGCTCTCGAAGCGCAAGAGTCATACAAGTACCTCCTTGCGAAATCTTACTTTGACACCCGCGAATATGATCGCTGCGCCTCAGTCTTCCTCCCTCCGACCATCTCCCCCGTTCCCCTTACTTCAACGCCGCCGAATCCGAAGTCTAGACAGTCGTTGACTCCGCAGAAAGGGAAATCGAAGGCCTCAGCATATAGTGGCGTCAAAGATAATAGTGTAACCAGGAATCCATACCCAAAGCTCAGTCAAAAATCGCTTTTTCTCGCGTTGTATGCTAAGTATCTGGCGGGCGAGAAGCGCAAGGATGAAGAGACCGAAATGGTGTTGGGACCGGCAGACGGAGGTTCGACTGTCAACAAAGAATTACCAGATTTGGCGCGAGGATTAGAAGGATGGTTTACTGAGCGGCAAGACAAGGGACTGGAAGAGCGCAGCCAGGGATGGTTGGAGTATCTGTATGGTGTTATACTTCTTAAGGGACGAAATGAAGACGAGGCCAAGAAGTGGCTTATCCGGAGTGTTCATCTGAACCCATTTCACTGGGGCGCCTGGCAAGAGCTGAACGACTTGCTTGCAAGCACAGAAGACGTACGTCCCGTTAAATAATTTCGCAGTCGCAGGTTGCTGATCGTTCTCGCAGTTGAACCAAGTGGTCAATCTTCTGCCCTTGAATATTATGACCCTCATATTCCGCGTATACTGCAGTCAGGAGCTGTATCAGGCCACAGAGGATACCTACCAGTCACTATCTGAACTGGAAACAATCTTCCCCACGAGTGCTTTCCTCAAGACCCAAAGAGCATTGTTATACTACCACTCAAAAGGTACGGCTGCACTACAAACACACATTGCATAGACAAGCTAACCTTTCCTATAGACTTTGAAGAAGCCTCCAGTATCTTCACAGACATTCTCGTTTCATCTCCCCACCGTCTCGACAGTCTCGACCACTACTCCAACATCCTATACGTGATGGGCGCGCGCCCGCAGCTCGCATTTGTCGCCCAAATCGCGACCGCAACGGACAAATTCCGCCCCGAAACATGTTGTGTAGTAGGAAACTACTACTCGCTCAAATCCGAGCACGAAAAAGCGGTCATGTATTTCCGCCGCGCCTTGACCCTAGACCGAAACTTTCTCTCAGCCTGGACCCTCATGGGCCACGAATACATCGAAATGAAAAACACCCACGCCGCAATCGAATCCTACCGTCGGGCAGTCGACGTCAACCGCAAAGACTACCGCGCCTGGTACGGTCTAGGCCAAGCCTACGAAGTGCTCGACATGTCCTTCTACGCCCTATTCTACTACCAACGAGCCGCAGCGCTACGCCCCTACGACCCCAAAATGTGGCAAGCCGTAGGATCCTGCTACGCCAAAATGGGCCGCATCGAACAGAGCATCAAAGCGCTCAAACGAGCCCTCGTCGCTGGCTCCTACTACGCCGATGACTCCTCCCAAGTAGGAGGAGGGGGGCCAGAGCGGAAGATACTCGACCCCGAAACCCTCCACCAGATCGCCACGCTGTACGAACGTCTTGGCGATGACGAAGAAGCGGCCTCGTACATGGAACTCACGCTTCAGCAAGAGTCAGGCCAAGTGATCCAGGAAGATGAAGACATCTCATCTGATAATGATGACGACGACAACCAATCTGGGACGGAGGGGCAGTCTAGCTCAAGACGGACGCGCAAGTCGTCGACTCAGCAGAATGAGGATGAGGATGACACTTGGCATGGAACGGGCGTCACAGCTACTACTTCCAAGGCTAGGTTGTGGCTTGCGCGGTGGTCTCTGCGTAATGGGGACCTTGAGCGTGCAGATCAGCTGGCTGGTGAGTTGTGTCAAGATGGGGTTGAGGTTGAAGAGGCGAAGGCTTTGATGAGGGATGTTCGCGCGCGGAGAGAAGGGGATGAGTGATCGTTGTTATTGTTGTCATAGGTTGGGGATTTTGTACTCCGTCTCTTACGACCTTCCTGCATTTCCTCGGGGCTACTACTAGCGAGGCGTTTGGGAGAGAGTCATTATGAAATGTTTTCATATAAAATGTTCCTTTAGGTGGTTACTGGTATATTCATTAATGGCTAGAGATCAAGTTGTATACAGACGCAGACAAGAGAGAGAGGGAAGCCAGTGTATCTCAAATAGTATAAGTGTTCGGTGTCTCAGTGCGGAATATTTCCTCCAACCGACCCAACTCACGTCTATCGAAGCTAACCGTGATCTTAGGCCTCGTGCAGAGCGCGTCACATTCTCCGACTTGGTACATCTCAAACGTGTCACAACCTGTAGTCCCGTTGAACGTCCAGCTCACGCATGCATAGAAAAACACCTTGCTAATGTCTTCCCATGTCTGGCCGGGGCAAATTGCCGTGTCATAATTACTGATCTTGAGTTTGAGAAAGCTCGAATCGAGAATAAAGACTTTTCCGCCATGGTGGTGGCTGTTGGATTTGTGAGACTGGAAAGCATTTCCTATGCTTTTTATTAGATCGGGAAGAACCGTACATAGCGCATCTTCCTTGGCAGGTATCATGGCCAGTCCGCAAGCTGTGTAGTGCGAGACTGCGTGAGGGTTGGATGTCCTGGGGTGGGTTCGTGACTCTAGGCGTGTTAATGAGCGGACAAACTCTTTGAGGGTGGGTGCTATATTCCATGCATTTGGTATGGATTGAGACACTGCCATGTGATCGGATGATATGCCATGGTGAACGTATATAAGACTGTGGAGCAATGGTGATAGAATGCGCTGGATTGGTTTCTGGCCGAGGTGGGCAGTCACGACTTTATCACCAAGTGGATGGCGATTGCAAATTTCCTGGCTTGCGTTTGATCCGATATGGCAGTGTAGCGGTGTATAAACTGGTACTGAGTGCTTTTGCAGCTTGTCTAGGCTAGTTAATGGACTAGGCATTCGACAGGAGCGGGAGGCTTTCTCTGCATCAGAAGAATCGGTTGGTTGGGTTGAGTTCTTCCTCTGTCCCGCTGCATGGGAAGACAGATTTTCATTGTCTGTCAGGTAATTGCCGCATACACTGTGCCCTGCAGGTGGGGAGGGGTCTCTATTGAGATCCACGTGGATGGGAATGGTACGTTGCATAGCGCTGCTCTCGCGACGTCGTTTGGTTTGCCTCGTTGAGCCAGGTAACGCGTCTGGGGCGTTTAATGCTTTGTTAGGGAGAGACACGAATGCTCCGTTACCTGAGTCATCTTTTGCAGTAGTTGAAGACTGGGGACAAGGGCTCTGTGTTGTCTGAAAACTTTGTGATCCCTCCGGTGTACACTCCGTGCAATCTCGCAGCTTAATCCGTTTGGCGGCTTCATACTCGTGAGTCCCTGGATCCTCATCAAGGACGGTTCGAGCGGTTTCTGCTAATAACTGCAACTCTCTATATGACGCAGCGTCCTCAAATGATCGGTCAGAAAGGACCTTCAAGATCCTAGGGAAACGCAGTGTATAGTATCTGGCGCCAGACGGCTTTTCGAAGCCACTGCCTAACATCTCAACGACAAAGGGTGTTTTGAAGACGACGTCCATAGGGTTGACTACACTCTCTCCGTATTCAAGATTGAATCCGTGTTCGGAGTCTGGACTGCGCGCGCAGAATTCGCCGTATTGGTTTAAGAACTGCATGAATCTGACATGCATGCATTTGTGGTTGATAACATCCAGCACCCGAAATTTTGGTATGGCTCCACATTGAACAACCATCTCTTTATTGACGAGGCATCCAATGAAGAATTCAGTCCATAATAGCTTTTTGACTTGCTTGATTGCCATAGCATCCCGAGAGTTATACCTCGCGCCGATGATTGCGAGGTCGACGGTATCACCCAGTCCGGGTATATAATCCTTCTTTAGCTTGATCCAGCGACCGAAGGAGGGATTGTCCTTGTCATCAGAAAATATTGTAAAGTAAGGATCTTCACATGCTTTTAGGACAAATCCTTCCCATCGCTCATCGATGCCTTTGTGGAAGACACTTTCTAGTCGAGATTGACCGCCATGATGGGAAAAGTCAACAACCCACTGCTCAGATATATCCGCACGTCCTGGGATTGGCTCTATAATGTCTTTCAGAAGCAATCTCCGCTCCCGGTGTGGGAGCCTCAGACAAACATTGTCATCGATGAGCAGGATGTCAAAAAATACTATCATCAGATGCTCATAAGGTTGTGGGCTATTTGCAGAGTCAGAAGACAGCGCTAGAAACTACATGCCGTGCCACTTACGGAGAGTCGCTTTCAGTTCCAATGAAAGTGCCTGAACGCGATATGAACTTACGCAACTTATGAAAATCTGCGATCTTGCCATGCTTATCACTCCAAACAAGCAGTTCGCCCTCCAGAATGCATCGCCGGGAAACTTTGCAACCCGGCCGTCTTAGGTTCAAAGACTCGTTGATGACTTGATGGATACCGGCGCGGTCTGCTGTTGAATCTTTACCGCTTTTAGAAAATATTTGAATCCAGTTGGAGTCCTTGGAGAGATCGATATGTATCTGGCAATATTCACCATCATACTTCCTTTCGATACTCATACGACGGTTGCCGACCATGCGACAGCAATGCTTGATGCTCCTAGCCTTATAGTACTCGGGTCGTCCTATCTTGACTCCCACAGCAGGACTGAGATGCCCTAATGCGATGAACCCCAGGTCTTTGGCTAATGCAGGCTCTGGTTGAGGCGGGAAGTGTCTTATTGGGCTAGTACCCAGCACGCTTAAAGCGCGTTCGAAAGAGTCCTGAAAGAGAAGCAGATGTGGAAGAAGGAAATGGAAGCGTTTCAAGATCATGTTTGTCGGTAGAGAAACAGGAGAATAACTTTTTAGTATCATCCGTGTAAGCCATTTCGCATCTCTGCTACTTAGTCGTCGATATAATGAGGACAGCGTCTGATCGACCTTGACTGCCGTACGCTGCCTTCGCACCCGAGGGCCAGAAAACTTGCAACGAGAGGCGATTTCAGCTAGAGCTTTGTCTATCTCCTCCACAGTGACATCTTGGCCGTTGGTGACATGGTTTTCAGCCTGCCGCATGACATTCTCCACGCATTGTCCCAGGTCTACGCCCCCGGAGACACGCCAACGCTCCAGCTCCTGCCGCCGTGAACAGCCCAGGAGCAGACACCGTGCTATAATCTTGGCCAGGGATGTATCCTGTAGCCAGTAGACACGATCTGTTCGTTTCTCAGGAAATATGCAGGAAAGGAGGGCCAACTGGTCGGTATCTTTGTCGTGAATTTGCTTGTCATTTTGGGCGAACCATTGTGATACGACCCGAATGTCAGGATTCACAACTTTGGCCTCATGGGCAGCTTTCAGGATCCTGTTATCTTCGAGGGCTGATAGTAAGTCGCACAAGCGAGCAAATTTGAACCCCATATAGTGGTAGTAGCCGCGACGGGCGCGACTCAAGTGTCAGTATCGGTGGCAGGCATCCAAAACAGCCCAGTAACTGCCTGAAACATGACAGCTAAGCGAAGCACAGCCTATGCCATGAGGTTACTAGTACTCAGGAATGCACAATCCAGAGATGACAACAAAGAAGGAAGTGAAGATGAAGGAAGACGCGGGGAACAAAATTGGGATGGAAGCTACGCGAACGGGACGCGAAACCACGTGATACGAGCCAAAGTTGAGATCAAATTGATACTTTTGGCTTTGAATTGCTCCCGAAGATGATATCGAAATATTCTTGTGGTGTAGAATACATGAAAAGCAAAGCTGTCTAAGGTTGACTTTGCTTTGATATAGCCGTTCCCAACCAACACTATCCCAGTGACCACGCAGCAGTAAGGAAATTCGAGAAAAGACACCCACCAAACTCCAGGCTTTTCAAATATAAAACATAGCGAAAGGCAATGCAAAGAACATGAAGAAAGGCTGACCGGGGGTCGCCGATTACAGTATACCTTGCTTTTGCAGACTGGTAAACATTAGTAAAGGTTCCATTAGGCCGCGGAACTGTTGGGGGCACGTACTCAAGGTAGATCCTCTCCGGCATCACATTGCCTTCGGCGTCCTCCATCTGTACCACATTGTCGCGATTATCTCTATCCTTCTTGCGATCCTGCTCTAATTTCTCCCAAAGCCTGATTGCATCCTCAATCCGAGTGATTTCACGGAAAAGGTTGGTATTAGAAGTGATACCAAGACACTTCAAACCAAAGATATGTAGGGCCTCTGAGAAATGCTTGTCAAAAGCTCGACGGCCCATATACACAAAGTTACCGCAGATCTCGCAAGGATACTCCACCCCCAGGCCATGCAGCTTGTAAAGCCAGTAGGGAATTGGCTTGCCGTCCCAAGCAAGTGGCAGTTTGAGGGGATTGTAGATTCGGTCTTCGTCGTCCTCGTCAGATTGATCGCCAGCACGATCACCGCCAGGATTCTCAGACTCATTAAGCAGAGCTTCAAGTTCCATCTGGCGCTCCCGTTCAGTCATACCCTGTCTCCGCTCCACGTTCATCCTCGTCGCTACACGCTCGGGCTGCAGTACCTGCGTCAGAGAACGCACCCGATGTTCCCTCTCTGCGACTGCACGTTCCTTAAGACGATGAGCCACGGATGATGCGCCGTTCGTCGCAGGGGCTGCCGGTTTCGCGCCAGTATCCCCGGCAGCTTTGCGAGCTTCAGCGGCCCGGATGTGCTTTTTGCCTGTCAAGTGATTCTTATAGACATTCTCATTCTTGAATTCCCTCTCGCAGTCAGCACACCAGATGCCTTCTCCGGAGCCCTCGGTCTTCGGACCTTGGTTACCATTTTCAGCAACCTCCTCCGTCCAACCAGGTACCTGATTCGCCGTCCATTGCTTCTCGAACTCCTCATCAAAGCTAGCAAAAAGTTTGTCCAGATCTTGTAACGGCTTCACTTTCTTGATGAAGCTTTCCAAGTAGTTTGCAAGTTCGCCGACATACTTGAAATACCGATCGGAAAGTTTGTTGTTTCGCTTAATCGGAAGTTGCGGAGGAGTAAACGCATCGAATATGTCGAGGTATTGTACATATGAGAGCCGTTTGACCCCAGGCAAATTGAGGTAGTCTTCGTGCAGTGTTGTGAGGTCCAGAAACTGTCCATAACCCTCTTCACCGGTGAATAAATTGTCGATCTCCATGCCCGTTACTTCACCCTCTCCGGGCTGACGACGCTTATAAGCCCGTTCAAGGTTTTCCACTGGCTCATTAGGGTAGCGCTTATGGAAGTCCTTGATCTCATCCAGTTGCTTGTAGAACTCCTCGAATTGATCGCCGGTTGAGATGGTTTGGATTTCCTTCTCACGCGCGCCGTCTGCATCCTTGTAGATGTCGAGCAACCTCTTGGACTGGTCTTCTATACGCTTTAAGAAATGTGCGACTTCATGATCGCGAGCCAAGCGATCCCGAATCTGAAAGTAAAGGAGTGAGTTAGCAGAGAGCGACGAGATAGAGACTGCAGGGTTACTTACATTACGAGGCTCTTCGGCAACGCGGTCGGCAATGGCCTGCTCTAGGCGCTCAAGGTCCTCGTGGATAAATCGTTGCTCCTCGAAAATCATCTTTGCTGCGCGCACAAGGCTCTACCTGTCTTTCGCAGATAAAGCGCTTCTGGAGATCGGGGTTGAAAGCGAGCATCTCGACGCCATCCAAGAGAGCTTTGCGGCGAGCTATCGTCACGTGAAGCGGGCGGTGAGACCTCGGTCGCAACGAAAAGTCGCGCCGCAGAAGCTGGGCGATTCTTCTGCTACTCCACCAGGCCAGCTCCCCTCCTCCACTGACTTGATTCTCTTTTCTTTCACCCTTTTACTTCGATTTACAGACCTGGTGTATTCAACATGGCGGACGGAATTGATAGACGCGCTGATGGTAGGACCTCCAAAAGTCCCCAACAGTTATTCAGGTCGGTATACTGACTGCGCAAAACTAGACCGCATGGAGTTCAATACCTCGAAGGAGGTCACTGTTGCTCCTACCTTCGAGGACATGCACTTGAAGGAGAGCCTTCTCCGTGGTATCTACGCTTATGGCTACGAATCTCCGTCTGCAGTCCAGTCCCGTGCCATTGTCCAGATCTGCAAAGGTCGCGATACCATTGCTCAGGCGCAATCCGGTACTGGTAAGACCGCTACATTCTCGATTAGTATCCTCCAGGTCATCGATACCGTCGTCCGCGAATCTCAGGGTATGTAATATGCGCTCAATTGCATTTCGTTGGTGGTAATCTCACATCTGATAGCCCTCGTCCTTTCCCCCACTCGTGAACTTGCCACCCAGATTCAGTCCGTTATTATGGCCCTCGGTGATTACATGAACGTTCAGTGCCATGCTTGTATCGGAGGCACAAATATTGGAGAGGATATCAGGAAGCTTGACTACGGCCAGCATGTCGTTTCGGGCACACCGGGCAGAGTCGCCGATATGATTCGCAGACGTCATCTGCGCACCCGTCACATCAAGATGCTGGTTCTTGATGAAGCCGATGAACTACTCAACCGTGGATTCCGTGAACAGATTTACGATGTCTACCGCTACCTTCCTCCTGCCACCCAAGTCGTTGTCGTTTCCGCTACTCTCCCCTATGATGTGCTTGACATGACCACCAAGTTCATGACAGACCCCGTGCGTGTCCTGGTCAAGCGTGACGAGTTGACCCTCGAAGGCATCAAGCAGTACTTCATCGCGGTGGAGAAGGAAGAGTGGAAGTTCGATACCCTTTGCGACCTTTACGATACCTTGACTATCACCCAGGCGGTCATCTTCTGCAACACCCGTCGCAAGGTCGACTGGCTTACCGACAAGATGCGCGAAGCCAACTTTACTGTGTCCAGTATGCACGGTGAAATGCCCCAGAAGGAGCGTGACAGCATTATGCAGGATTTCCGCCAGGGTAATTCCCGTGTGCTTATCTCCACCGATGTCTGGGCTCGTGGTATCGATGTGCAGCAGGTGTCCCTCGTCATCAACTACGATCTGCCCACCAACCGTGAAAACTACATCCACCGTATCGGTCGTAGTGGTCGTTTCGGTCGCAAGGGTGTTGCCATCAACTTCGTCACCAGCGATGACGTGCGCATCCTCCGCGACATTGAACTCTACTACTCCACTCAGATTGATGAGATGCCCATGAATGGTATGTTGACACCATCTATACCACCAAAGCCAGATATAACTAACCCATTTTTCCAGTTGCCGATCTTCTGTCATAAGCAATCAGTTTTATACCTAGCGTATCGACCAAAATATCCAAAAAGAGGTCGCCTACATCACCTGATGGCATCAGACTCGCGCATCCTAACAGTCTCATTACCTCGCTCCCTGCCTATACAAATGAACAAGGTGAACGAAAGGGCCAAAACACCATATTGGTGCACTATGAAGGGGCGGAAAATCGCGTGGAGGAAATGGGAAAATTATCAAATTGGTTAGTTCACTCGTCACAATACTACAGTTTACAACCCCGGATCTGACGCCCTTCCAGTGTTGTCCGAGTAGGTGATTTGTCTACGGCGCTTACGCCAATCAATTAAGTGGCGTTGGTCCAGTCAGGATATATCATCGATTGTCATTCCACTTCTTACTTTATTTACTTTCGAATATTTCTTCTGGCGTTTGATTTGTTCCGGGGTTTATATGCCATGTTTGGAGTTACTATTATTGTTACGATCGAGTGGAAATATCAACATTCAAGAGTTCTGTGTGGTCTGTCTACACTAGTCTGACTGGCCATCCTTTCATCCACTAAAAGTACATTGGATCATTCACTTCATTCCACCCTAGCAAGCATTATCCACTACCGGCTGCCTGTCTAGTTTACACCCCCTCTTCCCTTCCTACCCACCCACACACGAGTAGATCAATCATTCGGTAGTACCCAAGCGAATATTCGATTATTTGATGCATACTCTACTACCACTACCAGCCAACTTTCCAACCTCAGTGACACAGGAAAAGGAGAAAGAAAGCAAGCAAGCAGCCACGGATCAAGCGAAGTAGCGGTAGCAAGAAGCAAACATGAACTCGAACGCCTCTTGGGGAGAAGAAAGAGAACAACGGCAAAGAGGACTCCGATCCACAATTCATTTCACGCACTAAAACAAAGCGGAGACGAACCAAAGCACACTCACACTCCTGAAGAAACCCTGAAAACCTTGCCTGATTCACCAACCCACAGGGTCCATGGACAGTAACGAGAACAACAAACCATTAACCGTAAACGTTGAAGTCTTTATAGTATGTAGAATATTGGGAAGGGTGCGATATGATATAATGAATAAGGACGCCATGTCATGGTGCAGTGGCTCATTACGGCACTGCTGGCAGGCGCCGGGGGTGATGAAAGAATGAGGGAAAGTAAAATTGATGCAAAGCATATATTGATCTGTACCAAAAGCAGTGGCGCCTGCAACCTGTATTAAATGGATCACTGATGATGGCCCAGAAAAAATGCGTATATGCAGGGTGGAGTGAATAAACGGGAGCAGTGAGGTTCGGGATAGGGACGAGGGAGGAAGCGGACGGAGTGAATGCGAGAGATGTTTAAAGCTGGAGCTGGTTCCAAGTATGTAAAACTATATGGGACTGTTTGCTACTCCTAAAACCGGAGCACTAATTGAAGCTTGATGTTGAACGCAGAGCGCTGGTGCGAGTGAATCCACTTGTCGATACTGCCCTGTGCTTGCCCGCTGAAACATTTGGTCGTATGTCACGTTCACGTGTCCAACTGGAGATACGTCAGTCAAAAGACTATCTGGGTGGAGGGAGTGTTTTGAATGGGCGGTTGCTCACATTCTAACCAAGCAGTCGTCGCCAGCAGAAGCAAACATTCCTGGGTCTCGGGGATTCCAGGACATGGAATTTACACATCCTCGTACATGCCCCTCTAAAGCCTCCACAAGTGTGCCGGCTTCTTTGTGAAAGATATAAACACGAGAATCTAGTACAGTTAGCCAAAGAAGGTGGGTATGTGTTCAGATAATGCTCACCTTCACTTCCACTAACAATGAAGTTCTCCGCCGCACCACCAAAGACACTGCGAATGACGAAATGCCCTTGTTTCTGCCCTGAGAATCGGCGAACAACGTCTGTTGTGTTGATGTCAACAAGCTGTATTTGTCCGTCGGCAGAGTTGATTAGCATGTGGCGGGAATCCCTGCTAACAGCAACAGAGGTCGGCTTGCTTTTCAGGGCTAGGCAGTATTCTTCATCGCGGGTCGCAAGGTTGTAGACGTGGACCTTTTGGTCAAGGTCTGCCGCGATAAGTCTCCGGCCATCGGGCGTGATAGCACAATCCTGAACGCGGAAGCCTTCGGGCCACATGTATAGGGTCTGTCCACGCATGCCCCAATGGCAGAGTTGCGAGCTCACGTCGAGAGCGGCTGTTACAAAAGACTCTCCATCTGGAGCCCACGCTGCAGCTGTCACAGGATGACGGTGGTGGTTGATGGTCAGAAGGCAACGACCAGTCTTTGCCAACTGTCAGCACAAACACCGTCCTCCAACTTGAGAAGGGGTCACTGTACCTCAACGCTCCATACGCGGGCGGTCTTGTCCTGCGAACAGGTAATGATCTTCGAGTCATCCGGGCTCCATGCACACTGTGCAACACCATCCTCATGGCCTAACAGCTTCTGTATCACAGAAAAGGTGCTGGTCTCGTAAATGATCACAGTCTGATCTTTGCTGGCAGTGACGAGTTTCGTCCCGTCGTTCGAGAACTGGCACCACCATACCTCATCGGAATGTTGGTTTAACTCAATCCCGGTTCGCAAAGGGAAGTCTTTCCGATCACACATGTGATCTGAATATAACGAAGGAGGTGATGCAGAATTGTGGTATAAGCACTGGTTGATCTGTGTTTGCTTGACGTGATCCAGCAGAATAGCAAGACGATTGTCCGGAATCATAACAGAGGGTGATATTGACCCTGCGACGTTGTTAGCGGTGTGCACTGTTACAGCTCCGAATCCTAGGTTCAGGAACTCACTAGACAATTCCGATAACAAACGTTCTCGAGAAGAGCTTATGGGACCGTCCCAGCCGGCCTGGTCGTGGAGGTGTTCTGGGGGGCACATGAGTAGACTAGCACTGAAGTCAGTTTCACTCATCGTGGGACCGCTGAGAGCTTGTCAGCATTGTGTGCTCACCTGGACAGGGCGTGTAGCCGTCCTATGTCATAATTCAGAGGTGTCAGTTCATGTCTCAGAACTATTAGGGCCGCCGCCAAATCGCGGGCTTCCAACAATTCGAGGAATTTTTGCTGTCGCAGGTAAAAAAGCATTTCGTTCTTCTGAGCATCTTCCACCAAAACCAGCTTCTCCCTATTTGACGCTTGGTCGCCGGTATTACTTCTCCAACCACCTCGATCTGGATAGAATGACTGCACCAGTATATGTTCCGCCTCGGTCCAACGGCCCTCCAACACCGCATTCCTAAACGTAGCAACCGCTGGGCTCTCCAATTGGTATCCACTCTCTTTGCTTAGAAGCGTCGCGGCCCCATCATAGCCAAGGTCAAACAGGGCTTGAATCAAGATTCGGGTAACTTCTTCTCGGTCATGACCATAGTATGATGGAGGGCCGACTGATGCCTTTTGAGATCCATTCGTGCGTACATCTCCGTTGGAGGCTGTGAAACTCGTTTGGCCGTTCAGAGAGTGGGCGAAAGCTGTCTTCTGGGACGGGGATGCATTTGAGCCATTTAACGTGTGGGAGGAGCCGTTCGTACTGGAAATGCCATCCGGGCGCATATTTGCCAGGCGCCTGCGCTTGGGGTACGGTTCGGGGCCCTCTGATGGGACGCGTGACTGAATACTGCTGGATGTTTGAGACCTGGCCTCGCTTGCCGTGCGATCCTCCACGAAACCTCCTGTTCCCTCGAGGGTGTGATCAGGCGTATCCGGTGTACTACTACGGCGCCGTCGACGAGCAGAGGATGAATACGGGTTTCCGAGAGAGCCCGCTGTACCGTAGTTGTAGTTGGCTGTTGGTCTTTGGAGGAAAAACGGGGAAGGGCCGCCCGGAGCGGAAGTGAGTGGACGGGACGATGTAGATTGGCGGGGGATAGGAGGGTCAGGGTGGTCGGGAGCGGCGGAGGAGGGTATATAGAAGGGATGATTGTCTGCCAGTTCGAAAACGTTCAGATCTGCCCTTCCGCCTGGCTCTGTAGGAGAACCAGGAGAGCAGACCTATATCAGCGGCGGGTCACTGATACTCGCCGAGGCTCGTTTCACGGGGGGGTGGAGCTCGTTGAGCAACTGGGTGGTCGATCAATGTGCTGGGCTTTGGGTAAAAGGATATCGGTGGAGGTTCTGAGGTATCAGACCTTGGTCAGCTCATGCACTGTGAAATGGAGGGATTAAATAGTTCGTGCAGTCGACGGGCGGAGGTCTTATCGGACTAGGATCAGATCCGGGGAAAGACGACCGAGTGTCGGGGATAAACGACAAGGAGTAGAAGCGGTACAAACCGTGTTCAAGAGCAGATGGGGATGAGCGAAGTAGCGTCGAAGGGGAGCTTGAAGTAACGGAATCAACCGAGGGCGTATGGCCGGTAATTCAGGCGGGGGGAAAGAGTAGATGGTAGATAGCAAGAAGCTGGAGGAACGGAAGTTCAGTTGAGGTCGAAGCAACATCGGCGGCTGGTCTTACTCTTCCTGTGGCCGTGGGGCCAAGCAAGCAGTCCCGACAATCCAATCCTCTCCCCCCATCGATTCCTACTGCGCAGTTTCGCCCTTCCAACCACGCCCTGCCCGAGCCCTACTGTGTCGATCGGTGATTCTACTGTGTCCTTTGGATCCTTGTCTAAATAGCGCGATAGTCTGCAGTACAGAACAGGGATAATTACAGACTTTACAGGCGTCTATCTACATTGATGATGAGTCGAGGCGATTATTGACCCTGACGATTAGTGATGACGATGATACAATACCGTATGACGATACTGACCAAAGGTTATCAGAAAAGAAGAAAACCGTGGCTTTCCTGCACTCATCCTCTTTGGGTTCTTTTCCAGCTGTGATTGTGCTCTCTTTCTGTCTGTTCCTTTTTCTCGCTTCTTAAGTTTTTATTTCTTTTTCTTGTCTCCTCCCGCGATGATCTTTCCTCCCCCTGGACTCTCTAAGCCTTCGAGTGCACATCGTAGAACAGATGGAGTGCCCCCCAAACCCGGTTGATCTGATACAAGCACATCACCTGAACGGGAGTTCTTCCCCCATCGGTTCCAGAGCAGCTGACAAGGGGGGATTCCGATATGACACCATCACCGATTATCAGCACTGAGCAGCGGTTATCCAAGGGGCATGGCCCAACGGTTGGCGGGACTGGATCCCAGATCATCACTGCCACCTAATCTAGTCTATATCACCTGCACATTCCGCTCGGAACACATCAAATGAGCTGTTCCCATGTCAGTGTCAGGGACGCTCCAAGCTTAGGGGCCTTGTAATTCTCTTCCCTTAAGACCTCCTTATCTCCTCCCATACTCGGACCATCTCCCCATAGAGGCACGGACTTCGCAAACAGCACGGTATGCCATGCAGCCCAATAACGCCACAGCCTACTAAGACATGTACCCAACCCCAACTAAGTAAGCAACCCACTGTGGAGGCATGCCATTTGGTACCACTGGCAAAGACCCAAGTGGGTATGTCGATTAGACGCTGTTGGCGGGTGTGGAGGCCCCAGACCTCATTAGACTCCATCGGATGCTATTCCCTTGCACATCATCGTGTTCCAGATAAATGCCTCTAGGGCCGTGCGACATGTTCCAGACGTAATTCTAGCACTGCATTTTCAGAACCTACAATTGAAGCCTGCAGTCACCCGGGATAGGAAGCTTAGGGTAGGGAGATCTAGCAGCCAAATACATGATTTATTTGATTGTGGGCCAGGTTCCCCCGCAGTTGCATGAGCATCTCTTGGTACATTTGTCTTCATGTCTCTCTGAACTAACCAAGCTTGGGCAGAAGGAGCTTCCTTAAGCTCTCGGGGGTCACTCAGATTGGTGGATGCTACTAGTACCTGAAACGGTGCCAGATGCCATACTTCGCTAGGCTCACTACAGGTGCCCGGCGTTCTTCACCGCTGCTTTCCAAGAAGTGTCGGCTTCAGTCAAGTATTAATGCATCTTCGGGTCTCATACGTATGTATTCTAGCCGAAAGACATGACTTACAAGGAATTCAGGGGCAATCTTGCCGCATCCTGCCTGCTGCTGAAGCCCGCCCAACGCTGAGTGTTTCCATGTGGCGCTTAATTTCCGCACTAGTAACTGATTATCGCATGTTCATGGCGGTTAACCCAGCCTTCACTTATCCCTATGTTAGAGGATTATAGTTCATTATTCACCATACATGGCGTCTACGAACAGTGGATGGATCTAGCCAGGAGTTTGGGTTTCTATGATTTACTCCTCGGAAAGTATGAATTTGTGGGCCGGCGTCGAATTCGCGCGCCAGGGTTTACATCGTTCAAAGTTCTTTGTTATTTAGGGGCCCATATTCTGCAGAGCAAATGGATCCCTAGGATCGGATCACACTATCTTAACTCAGAGTATCCAGACAGGAGCACTTGGTCTAGTGGGGACCAGACAGTGGAGTCGTGCAGTAAAGATGAGGATGTCGGACAATTGGTATATCTCCCATTATATAGCAACTGAAACGTCGGGATACCGTAGGCTAACAACAAAGGAATCAAAAGCGCCAGATTGGAAGCTCTGCAAAATCACTTTAACCTCCACAGTAGAGACATAATAAGCTTAGCCCCTTGGCTTCACTGCAACCGGGAACAGAATCCGTGACAGTCAGACAAGCAACCGAAGCCAGCAACAGTCTAGACCAGCCACAATAACCATCGAAACAGGATGTCACGCAGAGGGTCAGACGGAGATAGACAAGTAAGTGCACTGCTTTATCCTAGATATACATCTATCGTAAGTCCTTAATGGAAACATCCAATTTAGTGGATTCTCATGCCCAATTCCACATATTATACATATACTACTACTACTACTTACTCAACACAACATATAATAGAACACAACCCACCAAATATCAAAGTATAGTATCCAAAGATCCATCTACACCCCCTCAAACCTCTTAAACCTCACAGATACTTAGTAAACATGCAAATCTTATCCGATAAATAATACCAATAGTCTCCATCATCCAATGACTAACAGTCCAGTCCCCCAATCTCATAATGACATAACCGACCCGATCCGCTCCGCTTCTCTGCACCTGACCTCATGATGACTTTATCGCTCATCCGAGGACTTCCCCTCCTCCCCCGCCATCCAGAGCAAAGCTATATATAGCTGGAACTGCTCACCCCCAAGGTTCTCATCTCGTCTTATTCAACCATTCAGAAGACAAAGATATTGCACCATCCAAGACTACCAATCACTAGCTACACTTTTTTCCCTCTCTTCCTACCTTATCCAAACCTAATCTTCAATATGGGCTGTGGTTGCGGATCCGGAAACACTTGCGGTTGCAGCGGACCGAGTTCCTGCACTTGTGGACAGTCTTGCACTTGCAAGGAGTGTGGGGTATGTGGTTACCCCTATCGTTTGTTTGTCTTTTGTGGGGTGGAATGCTAACGGTGGTTTGTGTGTATAGAAGTAAATCGGTTTTCGATACCTACCTTTCTATCGACTTCCCGAGTGAATATATTTGAGGATGGAGATATGGGTGATAATGTTGTGGATGCTATTATGAAATGAAATGAACTGAACATATATGAACTGAGTTGATCTTGCGCTGGGGGTAGAACTAGTGCATATTGTAGTGTCGGGTATGTTGTAGCGGTGATAGCAAGGGGTAGGAGTACTTTGGTGTTTCACATACCTTTACCTTGCAGCGTAAGGAACACTGCATCAGTTAGTATGCTGTGTTTCGATGTAACTGGTAGTAAGTGTGCAACTGATGTTGCCCGAGGTCTTTCAGTTCTCTGGGGTCAATAACGTCATAGTGGGGCGATGAGGTACGATAACGGGTCGGGTCTATACATATACAACGCACAGGGATACACATCCTAATCCTATTGATTTCATATCTGTGAAAAGAATACTCGCATGATCATACGGAACACATATATAGCCCCACTGAGCAGAGTCACAGCAGTGATAAATGCAGCCACAAGACCCAGCCGGGCTAGTGCTTCAATGCCGCGTCGTGATGTTTTCGGGATTGTTTCTTCCTCCTTGACCGTCACTGCTTTATAGAGCGGCCCTGCATAAGATGGCTTGTATACGAAGTCAAAAAATGACTCGCCCCCAAGCCCTTTCTCTCGGTCGGTTATCATGGTGTAATAGTATCGACGACGATACTGGTCTAAGTCAGTGCACAAGGCGCTAAGGATCACACCACGAGAATACAGACGTACCGCGATAAACCTTTGATCGAGCTTCGGAAACCACCGGGTGCCATACGCTAAAGCCATGACAAAGAAGCAGTACCCGTATATCAGAACCCGATAGTACAGTTTGGGCTGAGGAATATGAAGGCCGTCAGAGAGTTGTTTCCCATTTAGTTGTCGAACCATAGCCTCCATAAACCCCATTGAAGCATGCGCTGGGGCTCTGTTCTCCAAGCCGTTGAGTATGTTACGAGCTAGGAATCTACCAGTGTTGGTAGGATCTAGTTCCGATACAAGGAGAGACTCCATCAGCGCTCGCGCGGTTTGCTGGCTAGCAAAAGGCTCGTCTGGAACTCCCAAGTAGTAGGCTACCAGTCTCCAGAGAGCTAAGTAATCGTCTATCTCCTGCTTGCGGAGCCAGATACCTTGCCGGGGGAGGCCGAGCCAGATGATGATGGATGAGAAACTGCTAATCGTTGCAGCACTGTCAAGGTCGTTTATAGGGACTCCGTATCTCCCAGTGTCATATCTTTCCCGAGTACAAATTAAGGTACGAAGATATGCATGCAGCAGCCGAACGCGGATGGATGAGATATTACCAACCCCACCTGGCTTCATTGCGTCAACAGATTCAGAGATCTGGAGGATAAACTGTAGGGTCTCCAATAGTCGCTTCCGCACAACGTATATATTGTTGAAGCCTCCACATCTGGCCAAGGCCGTAACGACACTTGGTGAGCCCCTAAGTAGGAATAAGCTGAAGCTGGGGGAGGACCTTTTGCAGAGAGACTAACATGCCGCCCAAGAGGCTTTCGAAGTTCAGCTGGCATTTCTCAGTGCTCATACCTGGAGTTCTTGTTTGCTGGACTTACCACGTTCAGAATGGGAAGACCGTAACGGAAGAACACCTCTTGTCCCCGTTTAATTTGCTGCCAATCGACCCAATCCGGCACTGAGTTGACTTGCGCCCAGAGTTCACCAAGCTTCGGATCATCTCTTGCGTGTTCCTTCAGCATGATGTACACGTCCGGGTCCGGTAACTTCCTGTCTGGATCGTTTACCCTGTCTTGTGTAACTAAATGACGGCCGATAGCATTGAGCTGTTTGATACATTCATCCCCAAGCCTGTCATAGGTGAGCCTCTTCGATCGTAACTGTTCCCTCGTCTGGTGAAGGGGCGTCCATGCAAAAGTATGGTCCCAATAGCTGTAGATTTTTGATGAGTCCATTTCTGATGATATTCATACATGTACCTTCATAAAAGGGCCAACAAATGGGCCCCAAGAAAAGTTGGATGGTTGAGCATGCGTGCATGCGTGCCTTTGAATCTTTTATCTACATCTGGCGGAGTGGCCATCACGTCACTTGTCTTCTACTTGTATCAGGGGGTTCCTTGACCAGACGACGAAATCTTCGGTCTTTTGATGAAATGGTTCCCGGGCGAATGAGCTGGTCCATAGAGCGAAGTTTCCATGGGATCAATACGGAAACCTGTCAAGGGCCCGTCAGGCAAGCAGACAACGTAAGAGGCTTGGAATTCGCGAGGGGCAGTATGCGGAGTAGTTGAACATTGATAAAGGAGCATGATCATACGGGGAGCTCACTTCCAGAGCGTAGCAAGGCCTTGGGATGGGCAACTTGGGCGTTTGGTGTAGCGTTTTAGGGATGGGTTTGATGATCCCCATCGTCAGAAGCCATTCTGGGTGGGAAGCATCCTCTTGTTGGTTCAACAAAGTCCTACAACCACTGAAATGTCTCCAAAAACTGTTACAATGGGCTTCCCACCAAACTTAGTAGAGAGGTGGATATGATGATGATGCCGGTTGCTCAACATTAAATGTGGAGAGCCCAAAAAGCAGGCGGCACCGTTTCGATAAGGCGGGCTGAGTAAACACAGGCAACACCGCAAGGACCACACGGGCAATCGCCCATCAGGGGCCACTAGTTGATGCTTCCAGATTGTCAATCTTCTAGATATTGTATTAATATTATGATTCTCTGAGCGAATGCTAGGATTAGGCGTGCGACGACTCAAAGCACGCCCCTCGCTGCTTGATTTAATTGCACATCACGAAGGAGACGAACAGCCAGTCGGTTCGAGGTCGTCATCACCGCCTGGACTAGACAGCCCGCAACTGCCACCGCTCCCCGTGTCGCCCACTTCATCATCCTGCAGCGACAGCTCCTCCTCCTCCTCTTCTCCTCCTTCCCCCATCCATCCCTCCCCCTCCCCCGCGCTGTCCACTCCTGTCATTCACCTCCCTGCTTCACGCACCATGGCCCCCTCCGCTGATGCTGGCGAGAGCCAGCATGGTTCCGTCTTCTCCGTCTCCGGTCCCGTCGTCGTGGCCGAGCATATGATCGGCTGTGCCATGTACGAGCTGGTATGCTTCCATGTGTTTCTTCGTCGCTATATACTGCGCTTCTAGGTTTACGCATCTGCAAATACCGATCGCTAACTCCGGGCATCGACTGTAGTGCCGTGTTGGTCATGACCAGCTGGTCGGAGAAGTTATTCGGATCGATGGCGATAAGGCCACTATTCAGGTATACGAGGAGACAGGTACACCCACCAACTCGTCCTGTCTTTCCACAACACCCTCGTCTAACTGCAACTCTCTTTAGCTGGTTTGACGGTCGGCGACCCCGTTACACGGACAGGAAAGCCCCTTTCGGTCGAGCTGGGCCCCGGTTTGATGGAAACGATCTACGATGGTATTCAGCGGCCCCTGAAGGCGATTTCCGACCAGTCCAAGGGTATCTACATCCCACGTGGTATTGCGGTCAACGCCTTGGACCGTGAGAAGAAGTGGGAATTCACGCCCGGCAAGTACAAGGTCGGCGATCACATCACCGGTGGTGACATCTGGGGTACCGTTTTCGAGAACAGCTTGGTGAACGACCACAAGATCATCCTCCCTCCCCGCGCGAGGGGTACCATCACCCGCATAGCCGAAGCTGGAAGCTACACTGTTGAGGAGAAGCTGCTGGAAATCGAGTTCAATGGAGTGAAGACGGAACACAGTATGATGCACACCTGGCCTGTCCGTGTGCCCAGACCGGTCAACGAGAAGCTCTCGTCGGACGCTCCTTTCATCGTCGGTCAGCGTGTGCTGGACTCTCTCTTCCCCAGTGTCCAGGGTGGTACTGTCTGTATCCCCGGTGCCTTCGGATGTGGAAAGACTGTCATTTCGCAGAGTGTCTCCAAATTCTCCAACAGTGATATCATTGTCTACGTCGGTTGTGGTGAGCGTGGTAACGAGATGGCTGAAGTGTTGATGGATTTCCCCGAAGTTAGTGCCCCGTCCTACAGTAAATCTTCATGACTAACGAGCGACCGCAATATTAATAGCTTTCTATCGACGTCGATGGCCGCAAAGAACCCATCATGAAGCGTACCTGCTTGATCGCCAACACCTCCAACATGCCTGTCGCCGCCCGTGAGGCGTCCATCTACACCGGTATCACGATCGCCGAATACTTCCGTGACCAGGGCAAGAACGTGGCTATGATGGCGGACTCCAGTTCCCGCTGGGCTGAGGCTCTTCGTGAAATTTCCGGTCGTCTGGGAGAGATGCCGGCTGATCAGGGTTTCCCTGCCTACCTGGGTGCCAAGCTGGCTTCCTTCTACGAGCGTGCCGGTAAGAGTAACGCCTTGGGTAGCCCCGAGAGAATTGGTAGTGTCAGTATTGTAGCTGCCGTCAGCCCTCCGGGTGGTGACTTCTCTGATCCCGTCACCAGTAGTACCCTGGGTATCGTCCAGGTGTTCTGGGGTCTGGACAAGAAGTTGGCTCAACGTAAACATTTCCCGTCGATCAACACATCGATCTCTTACAGCAAGTACACGACGGTTCTGGACCGGTACTACGAGAAGCATCATCCCGAGTTCCCTCGCCTGCGTGACCAGGTCAGAGAGCTTCTGACCAAGTCGGAGGATCTGGACCAGGTCGTGCAGCTGGTTGGTAAGGCAGCTCTGGGTGACTCTGACAAGATCACTCTGGATGTGGCGGCCATGGTCAAGGATGACTTCCTGCAGCAGAACGGTTACAGTGACTACGATCAGTTCTGCCCGCTGTGGAAGACCGAGTACATGATGAAGGCGTTCATGGGCTACCACGATGAAGCCCAGAAGGCTGTTGCCCAGGGCCAGAACTGGTCCAAGGTTCGCGACGCCACTACCGACATTCAGAGCGCGCTCCGGGGTATGAAGTTCGAGGTGCCGAGCAACGAAGCGGAAGTCTCCGAGAAGGTAAGCCAGATGCCACCGCTCTTAGCTATTCTGTGTTCTAACTCTGTTTGCAGTACGAGAAGATCCTCCAGCAAATGTCGGAGCGGTTTGCTTCGGTGTCGGATGAGTAGAGGAGGACATATTCACCGGGGTAGCCCGGGGAGGCGTGCTGTCTATTTTATATTCCCGAGCTTGTAGCATAGCAAATTCCCAAGTATATGTAGTTATTGCCGTTGCCTTGAAGAAGAATTCAGTTTCGAGAAGCTTCCATTATATCGAAAGCAAGAATCAAGTAGTTAGGAGTCGTGTTGTGCGTGAGTCAGTCAGGCAGCATCATTCAGTCATTTGCTGGAAGTAGTCATTGTCTGGCCGCTTTCGGGTGGCCAAATCCACATGACGCGGCCTTGCCAATTCGCTCTCACTGTAGGGATTCCCAATGTGTGGTCCATCGGGTACCTCCATCCACAGTCGGGAAGCCCGTTTGTCGCACTTCCATTTGCCACTGTCAGGGTCCCGGTTCGGTGGGTAAACGTCTACTACTGATCGTTTGGCAGGCAGACAGGCAGTGCAGGCCGCCGTATCGCTGCTATCGATTGCTCTGATCTGGACCGAAGCGAAACTCTCCACTTGGCCCTTCCCGCCTTCGCTCGCTCTCTTCCCTTTCAATCCACCCCCCCAAACATCCTCCACGCATTCTGGTCTACATCCCCCCCTTGAACGGACAATCGCTCCCCGGACATTGTCTAGACTGTTGCTTTCTTTCTCTTATATTTACTGCTTTTATTAATTTGGAGCGTCCATCCCCTATTCCTCGTTGCCAGCCATGGCAAGCCCGACTACTGGCTTCTCGTGCGCAACCCCCTGGTCCCTCATGCTTGTACCTCCGATTCGCCTGACTGACCTCATCGTGCCCGCAGGATAAATGTCAACGACCCCAGCTTGATCTCGCTGGTGAACAAGCTGCAGGATGTCTTTGCGACGGTTGGAGTAAGTCATCCCCTCCCGTGGAGCTCTCCTGCATCGCAGCCCCTCCGCCGAACTGACACCGCCTGTTCCGTTTAGGTTCAGAACCCCATCGATCTGCCCCAGATTGCCGTCGTCGGTTCGCAGTCAAGTGGAAAGAGTTCCGTCCTAGAGAACATTGTTGGCCGGGATTTGTAAGTGGTCTACATGCTCCCTTCGTTCCTTGTCTGGTCGCAGCAGTCTAACCGGCGTTCTTGTCGTTGCCTAGCCTGCCTCGTGGTTCTGGAATTGTCACTCGGAGACCCCTCGTACTGCAACTTATCAACAGGCCCGCTGGTTCGCAAACAAACGGTGTGAAGGAGGAGGCCCTGGAGACGACGGATAAGGAGGCCAACATAGACGAGTACGGCGAGTTTCTTCACATCCCCGGCCAAAAGTTCTACGATTTCAACAAGATCCGCGAGGAGATTGTTCGCGAAACCGAGTCCAAGGTCGGTCGCAATGCCGGTATCTCGCCCGCTCCTATCAACTTGCGAATCTACTCGCCTAATGTCTTGACCCTCACACTCGTCGACTTGCCCGGTCTGACCAAGGTGCCCGTGGGAGATCAGCCCAAGGATATCGAGCGTCAGATCCGTGACATGGTTTTGAAGTACATCAGCAAGCCGAACGCTATCATCCTGGCTGTCACCTCCGCCAACCAGGATCTGGCAAACTCGGATGGTCTGAAACTGGCGCGGGAGGTCGACCCGGAGGGTCAACGCACGATCGGTGTGTTGACCAAGGTCGATTTGATGGACGAGGGTACCGATGTTGTGGATATTCTTGCGGGCAGGATTATCCCTCTGCGTCTGGGTTATGTTCCGGTCGTCAACCGTGGTCAGCGTGATATTGAGAACAAGCGGCCTATCGCATATGCCCTGGAGCACGAGAAGAACTTCTTCGAGGGTCACAAGGCTTATCGCAACAAGTCCTCGTACTGCGGAACTCCTTATCTCGCCAGGAAACTGAACCTGGTACGTTTCTTTAACAATGTGGTCTGAGAACTCGAACTGACATTGGTAGATCCTTATGATGCACATTAAGCAAACCCTTCCCGATATTAAAGCGCGCATTTCGTCCTCCCTTCAGAAGTATTCCTCGGAACTGTCACAGCTCGGTGACTCGATGCTCGGAAACAGTGCCAATATCGTCCTCAACATCATCACGGAGTTCAGCAACGAGTACCGCACGGTGTTGGAGGGAAGCAACCAGGAGCTGTCCAGTATCGAGCTGTCCGGTGGTGCTCGTATCAGCTTCGTCTTCCATGAGCTCTACTCCAATGGTATCAAGGCCGTCGACCCATTCGACCATGTGAAGGACATTGATATTCGCACCATCCTCTACAACTCCTCTGGTCCCTCACCAGCACTGTTTGTGGGCACCACTGCTTTCGAACTCATCGTGAAGCAGCAAATCAAGCGCTTGGAGGACCCCAGCTTGAAGTGTATCTCGCTGGTCTACGACGAACTGGTCCGCATCCTGGGTCAGCTCCTGAACAAGTCGCTGTTCCGGCGGTACCCTATGCTGAAGGAGAAGTTCCACGCGGTCGTTATTGGCTTCTTCAAGAAGTCCATGGAGCCGACCAACAAGCTTGTGCGCGACTTGGTCAATATGGAGGCGTGCTACATCAACACGGGTCACCCTGATTTTCTGAACGGACACCGCGTAAGTGCCACTGACATTCTACGATACCTACAGTGTACTGATTGAATAGGCTATGACTATCGTCAATGAGCGTCAAACCGCAGGCAAGCCTACTCAAGTGGACCCGAAGACTGGCAAGCCTCTGCCCCCGCGGGCGAACAGCCCGTCGGTTGAGGTTCCTGTGGACAACAACAACTCCGGTGGATTCTTCGGCAGCTTCTGGGCTTCGAAGAACAAGAAGAAGATGGCTGCCATGGAGCCGCCACCGCCGACCCTGAAGGCGTCTGCCTCTTTGTCGGAGCGGGAGAGCGTGGAGGTTGAGGTCGTCAGTAAGTGCAGCGGAACTGCTTGATGGAGAGGTTGGATACTAACGGATCAACAGAGCTCCTGATTACCTCTTACTTTAACATTGTGAAGCGGACTATGATTGACATGGTGCCCAAGGCCATCATGTACACTCTCGTCCAGTATGTATCCTACGCCTTGCCCACATATCCACCACTAACCCTGTTTCAGGTTCACCAAGGACGAGATGCAGCGCGAGCTCCTCGAGAACATGTACCGCAACAGCGAGCTGGACGACCTGCTGAAGGAAAGCGACTACACGGTCCGCCGGCGGAAAGAGTGCCAGCAGATGGTGGAGAGCCTTTCCCGGGCCAGCGAGATCGTCAGCCAGGTTCAATAAGGGACGGAGTTGTTGGATGTTAGTTTTGATCTATACACCCGGTTGCGTTCCCGTTTAGTGATATCATGCTGGGGCCCGTGTTATGGGGGTTCTGTCTCGGAGGAGTTTATGCCTTATGTTTATACTTTCTTCTGATGCCAGGGTTCCACGGCCGCATGTGGTAAGACTGGACGACAGGTTTGGCCAAGATTTTCACGAATTTGTATCGCCTAATGATTGTGGATGATTGTGGTTTTTTCTCTTCTTCTCCCCCTTTAGAATTCAGACGGTTGCAGCTTAGCAGTCAGTGCCATGATGTATAGTAGTGCTGTACGGCGGTGCTTTAGTACAATGAATCAATAGAGTAGTCACTGAAATCAAGACCCCTTGAATTGTATCGCCGGATAATGTATATAGTGAATATCGATAAAGAATGTAATGAATATCCAAGTACCTAACCCACCCCTTTCACCTCACTGACAAAATCTGATTGATGTGATCCTGATAACAACCCACCACAGATCATCACTGGAGACGCTATACCAAATCAGCTATTAGTGTGTCATGTGGATACTAGTAGTATTCACAGCTAATTGCATTGTTGAACAACCAATCAGCGTTGTTAATTCTTCACCCATCATACTACTCATCTTCTGTGCATTTGTGATGTCTAGTGGGAGGTGAACTAGATTACTGTTACATGGACATTCCCCGCCTAGGAGAGAGACATGTCCGGGAACTACCATTGGCACCTGCTTGAGCAAGGAGGTAGCCATCAAGTGATTGGATTTTGCCGACTAAATGATAAGAGGGTGAACCCGTCGCAAAGCTACTATATATAATATACCTTGGTGATGCCCTGTTGGTGAAGTATCAGCAATTCAAGCATCGTACTTAGTAGTTACAGATATGTTCTGGAACTATATTAGCGTACGATGCACTATGATGGCCTTGTGAGTGACAAATGGGACAGATAAAATGTGAATGAGATGAGGGAAGGGTCACTGGAAACCCACCAGGGTGGGATGGGTATATATATCATCCTCGATTCTGCTCTCGTGGAAATCAAGGACTTCATCTTCTATTTCATATTTAGCATCTTCTTCAAGTATGCAGCATCTTTCCTCTCACCATTCAGGCTCGAGAATATTCTTCTTGATATTCTCTTCGACTTCATCTTCTATATGCATATAACTCACTATCAAGTGAAGAAAATTGCCCAAATCAAGATGATCTTCCTCCGGGGCGTGAAGTTCTAGCAACCGGTGTGCATTACTCGGATTACCGATAAAGCGCACACGTTTTAATGTGGTTGGGGTGGATGGAAAAGAAAATGAGAGACTGAATGTCCCCTATTAGGTCTACTACTATCTTGCCACTATACTGGAGACCAGGTAAGCCAGCCACCTCCCTCCCAATTTACTATACCCCATTCTCATTTTTAGTAAGAGTACAGAGTTGGACTCGGCTAACTGCTAAGTATAGGCTAGATAGTAGCGCGAGGCATTCGATGAGTGGATAATCAGCAACTATGGAAGAGAAGAAAGGAAGAAAGTGAGAAAGACGGGGCGTCTGGATCAGGAAGAATGGACCATCTGGTTCTATTTGCTACCACCTATGGTGTTTTTCTATCCTGCTACTTTCGAGAACTTCCCGCTGTTGTGCTTGGCTTCAGTGTGCCACGAAGCGGACATCAAGGATGGTTTGTGATCATCTGAGACGCTTCTATGGATATTGACTGCTAGGAGACAAGATCACCGCGCATTATCCTCTCCAAGGCGAAGATCAATGAAGCGATCACGGGCGATAATGAAAAGCTTCAGAAAATTGACTTCGCCAGGAGGAGCAAGAATGGAAGCAAGGAAAAAGGACGCTCTATCTTGGGAGATAAACTTGGTTTCATCTCCGTCTATATATTGATTTTGTATAGCATTGTAGAGTCATGATAACTCACTTGAATCACCTCTGATGCCGATACGTATAATACCACCCTTCCCTCGCCAGATCCTCCCTGACACGGTAATTTTCCTCTGCAATCTTCACCACCCCCATATCCATATTCACCACCATCACGCCCTCCTCGTCCCCCATAGCACCCACAGTCCCCACAATGGGCAGACATACCCTCGAAAGACCCAAGAATCGATCACTCTCGTCTTGCTTTCCCCTCGCCACATTGGCAAAGATAATTCCGCAGGTATTCTCGAAGCATCGCGCCGTGAGCGTCGACTCAAGGAAGAGAGCTTCAGAATTGGGATTGTGTTGGAGTGCAGCTGGAGAGGCGTCGTATTTGCTCCCTTTTTTCACAAGTAGTATAATTAGCACATGCTCAATACAAAGAAACAAAAGCTGAATCTTACAATAAGTAGGTATAACCACAATCTCCGCCCCCTTACAGATCAATTCCCGGAACGCCTCCGGAAACGCCAGATCCCAGCAGATAAGCAACCCTACCTTTCCGATAGGCGTATCGAACACTTCATGCGGATCATGCCCGGAAGAGGTAAGGTAGGGACGTTCAGGGTGCCAGATATTCTTCTTGCGGTAGTGGCCTAGGATACTCCCGTCGTTGGAGATGAAGTAGGCGGTGTTGTAGAGGACTGGTTGTTGTTGTTCGTTCGGGGAGCGGCCATGGTGTTCGACGATAGTGCCGGGGACAATGCAGATGTTGAGCTCGCGGGCAAGAGACTGGTAGGCTTCGAGGTAGGGGGTCGTTTTGGAGGCGAGAGCAGTCCAGGATGGGTCGGAGGGGGCCCAGCCGGTTAAGTGGTATCTATGTTTTGGAGATTCGTTAGTGAGTGTAGGGTTGAGGAGGCAGGAAGAGGGTGTAGTACTCTGGGAGAACGGCAAGTTCGGCACCCTGGGATGCGGCGTCACGGATGTAGGCGCATGCTATTTGGTGATTCTCGTCGATGGCGAGGTCCTGGATTCATTAAATTGGTTGAGGGGAGGATTGGAAAGTTGGGTGGGGGAGGGGGCATTGCGTACCTTGATGTTCCATTGAATGACGGCGACGCGGCGAATTGATGCCATTGTGATTGAATATAAACCTGAGTATCACTCTCTGCCTCGTGGGGATAGTAGGGAGCAGAGGGGATGTTATGCAATTGTCGAGTTGGAGATGGTGGGTCAGCGACACCCCGCATGGTGTTGGAGTCAAGCTGGACCGATAAGCAGTGATAACGTTACGAAATCTAAAGATCTCCGCTGCACTGTCTACTCATTTACTCATTACTACAATGCTTAGCCGAAATGGATGCGAAGAGGCTTCACGTAGTTGTTAAAGATGTTTATTTAATTTCATAGACTATTCCTTGGTTGGCATGCTTAGAAGAGTATCGGGCGCGTCAAGTTTGAAACGCCACAGGAAAGCTCCATGACGAAGCTCAATTCGAGGTATTGGTCATCACTGTATAAAACTTATGTGTTGGGAGCCAGGCATAAATTGAGTGTAATTTATTGAGCGATATATTGCATGCCAATGCCACAAAAGCGCTCTGCAATGGTCGCAGATTATCGGTATCTAGCCATACGGATGCAACGGATTAAAGTTGTATCTATTGTAATTCATAAAGAAATCCCCGCACAATTATCTTTTGCATATGAATAATATGACGCCGCCTGCGCTCAGTCAGCTGGTGGGTAACACAAGCAACACGAAAGCGGGAAGTGAGATCATCGACAGGAACAGATGGATCACACGGCGGCCTCGGATGACTCCTGCCAAGAAAAAGAAAACGGGACATGTGAGGAGCTGCCCAGTTCTGACATGGTCCACGCCCAAATCCTCTGGAATCCTTTTCTTGATCACAACCCTCCAAGTTTAGACCGCAGATAGAATTAGAAGACATGGCACCACTCCTTGCCGAGGAAGTCATCAAACATTCCGCATACAGTACCGTCAATTATAACCTCCCTGCCACAACGTCCGGATCATGTACTGTGGCGCAAAACAGGCGAGGAGGGCCCCTGAACATTAACTATGAGATCCATGGCTCTGGCCCAGTGAAGCTCGTGGTAAGTATGAACTATTTCATGACCTCACTGTGCGATGGTACTGACATGGGTCGCAGTGGGTAATGGGTCTCAATGCAAGTCTCAAGGACTGGAGGCGTCAGACCAAATACTTTGGTCACCAGCATGCTTCCAAATATTCTTGCCTGGTTTTTGACAATCGTGGAGTCGGCCGGTCGGACAAACCGATCTCTTATTACTCCACATCCGAGATGGCTCGAGATGTAGTAGACCTGGTCGCCTCGCTGGGCTGGATCGACCTTGCTGCTCCCCCTGAACGATCGATCCATGTCATCGGTGCTAGTATGGGTGGCATGATCGCTCAAGAGATTGGAATGCTCATTCCGGATCGCCTATTGAGCCTGACCCTCTGCTGTACCGCTCCGCGCCTGGTTCGGACAGGTCCATTCTTCGAGAACTTGCGCGAACGGGCAGGCATGTTCATTCCCCGCCATGTCGATATCGAGCTCGAGAGGATGGCAAGGAGTCTCTTCCCCGAGGATTTCCTCGCCGAACCAGACACGGAGTACGAGGACCCGGCGATGAACTTTCCCACCAAGCGTGATCGGTTTGCTGCTGGTATGTTGCATAAGCGGGCTGACACCGAAGCGCATACGAAGAAAGGATTCATGATGCAGGTGTTGGCCTGCTATTTCCATCACAAGTCAGCGGAGCAGCTCAAATCTTTGGGAGATCAAGTGGGGAGGGAGCGGATCTTCGTGTGCCATGGCACCAGAGACTTGATGCTGACCTTCCGCCATGGGGAAATAATACGCGAGGAGATCGGTGACGGAATCCAATGGAAGGTCTTTGAAGGCAGCGGCCATATGCTGGGCTGGGAGAGGGAGCACGAGCTGAACAAGATGCTTGAAGAGTTTGTGGACAGATGCACCTGAAAGATACCTGCTGGGGTTCCTCAACAGGATTTATCATAGATGAGTGTACAATAGACCCAGCTGACCTTGACTGGACGGACAGGGTTGATGCGTGAATCAAAACCGGGCTTGAAGGATGTCGTATTCCAGGGGGCTGCGATGCTCGTGATCGAGGCGCCGCAGTCACCCGTTCCCAAGTCTAGGCTGACCATTCCAGGCCCCTCCCGCCATCATAATGCATATAGAGAGCAAGCACACCCTGTCTAATTCCGCCCCCCCCCACCCAATCTTTCTCTCCGTATCCTTGCAAAATGGAGCTCCAGAAGGGCCAGTACCATCCCGCAGGAGCAGACGACCTACGTTCTCCGTGTCCTGTTCTCAATTCACTCGCCAACCATGGCTATATCGCGCGCGACGGAAAGTCCATCACCGCTGCTGAGCTGAAATCGGCCATTCGATATGTCGGGTTAGGCCTGGACATAGCCTCTGTTCTCGTAAGCCGTGTCTTTCAAATCCACTCCGACGACGCAAAACACGGACCACCAGGAAGCTCCCAAGTTGGACTACGCGACCCGGGACAAGTGAATAGAGACGGGATACCAGTGCTCAACCTCGATCAAGTCGGCCGTCCTCATGCTTTGGAACACGATGTCTCAATCACCCGACAAGACCGCGCGTTGGGCGACTGCATCCACCTAGACCCTGACCTATACAAACAATTCCTTCGGACTGCGAAGGAAGGGAAGTTTCACAGCACAGTCATGGGAAGGTATCGAAAGGTGCGATATGATGAACAGCAGAGGGACAATCCACACCTGCAGTTTGGCAAATTCGAACACTACGTTGCGTGTTCTGAAGTGGCAGCTCTGCGAAGTGTCTTTGGCAAGGGTGTCACGAAGGGTATCCCGGATGACTATGTGCGTGCTGTCTTTGGCGAAGAGCGTCTGCCGTACGAGGAAGGTTGGAGCCCACGACGATTCAAGGTGTATTTCCCAGAGGCACTAGCGCTGCTGTTAGTCATTTCGCACTATGCTTGGCCTTTTTAAGCGCTAGATTAGGCTGCATGGCGCTATTGAGGTGCAGGTTCGCTTGGCAATTTAGGCATAGCTGAATGGCCTTGGGAGATGATTCTTCTTTAATGTGCGATGTTGGGTTTTGATCAACATGTTGGGGCTTGTCAGGCTGACAGCACGGGCGCGCTATTGTCATATGTGCTTTTTTGGGATCGGTAATCATGAAGATTCAAATTTTGGCTCCGATTGAAGATTACAGTGATTGATCATTTATTGTTTCTACTGAGTACAAATATCATATAGATTGCATGATCCCCTCGCTTTGGCTATATCACCCCACAATAGCCTTTGTGTCTCGCCCACAGAAGGCTTGTTTCGGATTCCCCTCATTTTGGCTGCACTTCTGTCTCGGTTCACTGCTGGGGCCGCCCGTGTCACTAAATTTAGAACAGATAACAGGTCGCCATGGAACTTTCAGTTTATGATCTAGAGCAACATTAATATCATTATTTCAGCCAGAATGGCATTCCTTTCTACAGCTGCTATGATTCGAAGCAATACCTTGAATATTCTGTCATGATCAATGGCGATGACTAATGCACTGGAACAGGGTCCAGGGGTCACCTTCCCAACTGAGACAAGCGTTGTCAGGGACCGTGCAAACAGAACATACGCTTCTTGTTCTGGAAACATCCCAGCCAGCGCAATACATCCTTGCCTATCAATAATCCAGCATTAAGCAGCAGAGACAGTCAGAGTTATCTCCTCAATCCACTAGCCTTCTCATCGTTGGGGCCTCTTCCCAGTGTCCCGTCTTGCTCCCAACATTTTGCACGGTCGTGGAAGCAACCTCCGCATATAGAATTGTTCAAAGATTACTTCCCGGTTGCGACTGCTGATTGCCTAATCAGGCCATGATCGTTAAGGTAACGCCAGTCTGACTCGCAGATCTTTATGACACCATCCCGCCCGGCGACTTCAAGTTCACCTCCCCAACCTTTTCATTGTCAATTCTGCTAGCTACATACATTCGTTTACTGCGAAAATAGTTGGATACACTTCGTTCTTGCTATAATTATATCACTTGTGTCCTTTCTATCTGATAAGCTTGGGCCATCATGGCCGATAAGCATTACTATACACCCGGCACTGAATACAGCAGGTATGGGGGCGCCACCAGTCAGCTTCCCAAATTAGACGATGATCTCGGTCATGCAGGGCCTCCCCCGCCGCCAGGATCCGGGCAATTTATACCTTCGCAGCAGACGGCCGCTCAGTATTCCTGGTACGACCCTCGCGGCTGGTCGCTACGGAAAAAGTTGATTATAGCAGCCGTCATCATTGTCATCATCATTGCAGTCGTTGTTGGTGCAGTCGAAGGGACGAAGAAGAAAGGGTATCCCGACTATTCCAAGCTTGATTACAAGCTGGTGGACACGTATTCGGGCAACTCGTTCTTTGACCGGTTCAACTACTATTCTGGCGAGGATCCCACTGATGGGTTTGTCCAGTATGGCTATTCCCATCCTCAACGTATTAGACACAACTAACGATACACAGATATGTAAATCAGTCAACATCAAATTCCTTGAATCTGACCTATGCTGGCGAAGACTCCGTTGTGCTCAAGGTGGACACATCCAACAAGAATGCAACAAAAGGAAGACAGTCTGTGCGTCTGGAGTCAAAAACAAGTTACGATAGCGGCCTCTTCATCTTCGACATTCTCCACACGCCATATGGCTGTGGCCTGTGGCCAGCACTGTGGTTAACCGATACCTACAACTGGCCTGAAAACGGAGAAATCGACGTGGTTGAGACGAACAACCTGGCCACCGAGGGAAATGCCGTTACATTGCATACAACCAGCGGTTGTAAAATGAATGTCAAGAGAAAGGAAACCGGTACCCCAAATTACGTGACCTGCGACAACAGCACGCATAGCAACGCCGGATGTGGTGTACAGGGCTCGCCAAGCACGTACGGTCAAGAAATGAACGAGAATGGCGGCGGGGTAAGTCATCCTTTATTACAGATATGAGTCATGCAGTGCATATATTGACGACAATAGGTTTACGCTCTGGAGCTACGGGATGCCGGAATCCGAGCTTGGTTCTTCTCACGCGATTCTATTCCCGACGACATTTCGAACTCGAGCAGCACTCCAGACCCATCAACATGGGGGACTGCATTGGCTGACTTTCCCAATACTCACTGCGATATACCCTCTCACTTCAAAAATCAAAGTATAATTGCCAACATCGATCTCTGCGGACAGCTCGGTGGTAACAAGGCATTCTATACTGAACAGTATCACTGTCCGGGTACATGCGAAAGTTTTGTCCGCAGCAACCCTGGCAAGTTTACTCAGGCGTACTGGGAGTTTAAAAGCTTCAAAGTATATCAGGCTAGTTAGATGGTTGGCTTCCGTATAGAGACTCGTCTTTTGCTTTTTGCTAGTTATGATTATAACTTTCATGAATGAGGTAATGGCTGACGCGGATGACTCGAATGGCGATTATTGGTCCGGATAGATAGATGGAGGAACATACCAGCTACGAACTTTCAATGAGAAGTTTGTTCTTTGGTTCTTATGATTGACATTTAGGGAATAATTCAGACACCTTTTGTCTTAGGACATAGGTAACATATAAATCAGTGCACATCATTGTTCCCTCAATTCCATCCGGCAATGAATCTGAGGCATCTAAACTCATTCACCAAGCCAGAGAGCCATGTGATGTTGAACATAGCACCTCTAGTAGTCAACACTAGCATTTGCCGAACAGTATTAGCACCACCTTCAACTGGGAGTCGTCAGTGACTTGAGCACATCGAAGAACAGGCAGGCCTGGTAAGACCCTTCCTGAGATTCAGAGAGCTCCTAGTGTGTTGAGTATGAGACACAATCCTAATTCCATAGGTTGCTATCCTACCAGTAATAGTGACCTACAAAGTGGCGCCTAGCCAGTAACTGACATGCTGGTAGGCAAGCCGGAAAGCACATCTCAGATCTGAATCACAGTTTTCCTTTGGAAAATATCTATGTAAGTACTGGTCCCCTGACATATATAGTTCTGCTCACCTGTCGAGTACACATTCCTTAGTAGTTTTTTTGATAATGGTCTAGATGTACACGTATGCATATTTCAGCGGTAGCGACAGCAAGAGCGTAAGCGGACATGGTATTTTCCCAACCACTTATAGTAATTTTACAATACTAGCGGATACTACTAACTGCTGAGTCTAGTAATCTTCTGCTTCTTTCGAGAACCCTTCCGGGACCGTCGATCTAGGTTTCCAGTTAGCGCGGGTGCCTATTCGCTTTCGGGTCTGCATGGGGAAATTATCAACGAGGAAAGGAAAAGGGTTGCTATAATGGTGATGGTAGTGAGAGCTGCTATGATGTGACATTTGAGCTGCTTTAGTTCTTGCAGTGTATAATATAACTGCAATATTCATGCTGAAAGAAGATGTCGTCATTCTGGACACCGCCGTTCTATGATGATATCCACCATCGAGATAGTTACGCGAGGGTCAGGGATACCTTTTTTTTTTATTTGATTTATCAAAAGCAATATTTGTATTATGAGAAGAGAGCTTTCTATGTACAGATGCTACTTTTGAGTAAGCATTTGATTATGCACAGCTGCATACATGGACATGCAATCACGGTAGCTGAGTTGATCGGCGTTACATATGGCGTGATGGGCGCCCGAAGGTAGACAGTTCGTAATCATTTGACAGCCTTATCTAAGGCCTGTTCTCGAAGCTGTGAATAATGTTGAGTACAGTATTTGGGGAGATGGGGAGACGGTGAAGAGGGTAGCTGCATACTCGACAGCCGAGGCATGCTGTCCGACAAAATCGTAATGGACATATTCAATAACAGTTTGGCAGATATGTTGTATATTCGCGGGCTAGATTTTAGACCCTGAGGATTATTGAGAAGACAGGTCTTGCTCTGTTGACTGCACGAAATGTATGCTGGCGAGTGTGGGTAGCGTCAAGTTTGAATGGAATTGTAATATGTAAAATGGAAGAGTAGTATGTAAGAGCAATCTGAGAGGCTCGAAAGACGCTTTCATTAATCAAGTCATATTATATGATCTAGAAAACATATTAAGCTCCTCCAGCTATTTGTACATTTAGATTGTCCAAACTCATGAAAAATGACCAGGATCCATCCAAAAAGACCGCATAAAAGCAATATAACGATTGGTTCCTCAGCAAAAATTATGATTCACAACGTAAGCACCAAAAGTAAGCTTGAATGACTATTCAGCATACTGTCCTCCTTTGTGATCACTACACTATTAGTCTGCATGCTTGCACATACTGCATCCACCATCATCATCATAAAATATCAACAATATCCACAAACTATCTATCAAATTTAAAGACTACAGTTAGCACGCACTATTACCACAATCAAAAACAACATAGAATAGAACGCAATATTATTACAGTATACCTACTAACAAATGCAACTCCCCAATAGTTCCTTTCCACTACATAAAATCAATGTTATAATTACTCCGACCCGAAACCGGCAACCCAAAACTATACAAACCAGCATCAAGTAGCTAATACAACATAAGAACATACTTATGCAAAAAACAAACCATGGAACAAGCAAGCAAATCATGATTATAATTATAATTATAAGGTTACATCTGCAAGATATATTTATCCCCGTATCATATTTGCTTATTCCTGGCTGTGGGAACCCGATTCGTGATGTGTCGACCGGGGACGCGTCATCGCGGTCCGGTTGGCATCGGGGAGTACCCTCATGGATTTTGGGAGTGCCTATGAGGGAAATGAGGGTAGTATAGGTGGTGGTTACATTGAAGGTGGGTATTGAGGGACTCTTTTCTGGAAATTGGGTGTTTGTGAGGTGTTTTGGGAGTGGCGATTGGGGTGATATTGGGCTTGGTTGCTTTGGGGGGAGATGTATACTCCCTCCTTGGTCATGGAACAGGAGACTAGAGAGTATGGAGTGTTGTGTATACCTTTAGCAGACAGATCCCTTAATCAGGCTACTTCTAAAATGGCGAAGAAATATAATATCGGTCCAATATAGCAGGTCTACCAAGATTCGCCACTCCCCATCACCACCCTACCTGTCAGGTACCATCTCTCCTATCTAGTCCCTCTTACGTACGTACAGCAGCCACAGAGAAAAAGCTACTGCAGGAACGCGCCTCCCTCAAAGTTTTCATCGTCAGGGGTAAAAGAAGCTTGAAGGAGCCACAACCATGTGCTGGACGCGTGTCGACCTCTCTGCAGATTACTTACTTTACTTGGCTCTTTGTGGTGGTGAGGCATCTCATTTGCCCCTGCAGGATGCATGAGACTTGTCTTTCTTTTCTTTGGACGTAGTAGAATGCTATTCTTGTCTCTTGATTTTGTGTGGTGAATCGGATTGTTGATATGGTATAGTTTGATAGGGGTTCGTGGAAAGTGACAGTTGAGTTCGAGTAATTGATGTGTCCCTTGCTTGGGAGTCTGTGCTTGTGTGCTTAAAATAGATAGTATGGGGGATGTTGTGTGTATTGGTTGATCAGGAGGGTTTGTGGTTTGTGGTTAGTTATTGGTTGAGAATTGTTCCATTGTATGTTCTGTTTCTTGTGATTGTTGGATCTGGCTATCTGTCTTGCTTGGATGTAGTGTCGTGTGACATGTTAGTATGGCCACGGAGGACGGATGGCTGACGCCATGGCTGTTCAGGAATGTGTGGGGGAATAGTTCGAATAGTTACATTGCAGTCTATTCGAACAGCATAAAACAAACTTGATATCTGTTTGTATACTTCACTACGGTTGCGGGTGAGAGAGCCGTTCTCTACTCTAGCAGCGGACATAGCCATGGCTGCCAGTTATCTCCGGCACCAATCTGGGTGGTCGCGTTACGCAGAAGGAATACCGTGGCTCGGCCATCTCAGATCCCGTCGATCGATTGTGACGCCCCAAAAACAAGATCGCTGCAAAGTCTCTTGTAAAGTCAAATCAAAAACATACCCAATTCTTTTCTGCCATTTACTCACCCCTTTGATCCTCTCTCCAAAGTTCTCCTCTTCTTTCTCCTGAATGAGAAATTTCCGGAAACGCAACACGATAAGCAGCCATACCGCCCATGTTTGTTTTCGGAGAATACCTAAAACCAACACCCTCCACAGTTTCTCCACCGCAAGACTATCATATGAGAAATCCATGCATGTAATGGAGGAACGGCCATTATCCACCGCGGAAAACCGTCCCATCCGCTGCCGTCCCTGGAACGAGTGGGAGATCCTCCAGAAGACGCAATCCGTACTTATCGTTGCAACTCTGCTCGCGATGGGGAATAGCCACCACCATTAAGGCACTTGAGTAATTTCCGCAACGCAGATAATCAGGTATCGCAATGTGTTGTTCACCGCAATCCGGTCTGACTCCGTGAGATTCGGTGAGATGTCCTCCGTCAGTAGTCATCTTCGTAGCTGCATGCGGTCATCATTACTTCTTCCTGGGCCTCCTTGCAGCGACTAACAGAGCAAAACACGAGAGCGGATCCTCCAAAGAGAGAAAAAAGAAGAAAAGGAAAAAGGAAAAAAAAAAAAAAATCAAAAAATCAAAAAAAAAAATCGCATAGCTAGTCTTGATTCTTTGTTCGAATCTGTCAAACCAGCAAACATTAATAAATTTTGCGCATATAGACCAGGTTCCGTGTTGCTTGCTAGTATCGCGTTCTCTCCTCTCTATTTTCCCACATCCGCCATGACTTGGACCAGTCACGACATCCTTAGCGCAGGTCGCACCATCAACCGACTGGCACATCTCAGGAGCACCACCACAACTCCCACATTCTCCTCGTGAGACGATCATGGTACCGTCTGATCTCAAAATCTGGTCAGTCTCGGCACATGGCAACTTCAACCACTGGGACAGCATTCGGGAAGAGGAGGAGAACCAAGAGGAGGGGAACCCCCCGGATTACATAATGGGGGGTAGCAAGGCTGCGAGATTTCCAGCAAACTTGAGCGACAAAATCTTAGTCGATGGGCTGTGCAATTCACTTCGGATCGATCCAACAGATGCAGAAATACCCAAGCAGTGTACGGAGTAATCGTGATGATAGCATGCAAGGGGGAGAGTTGGCCCCGACGTGGTAGCAGCACTCATTGTCGTCCCCAACGGCACACATTCTTCTTCATCTACTCCGTACTGCGGTTGTCTTTAGCAAGCGGAGACATTGATCGGAGGATCCTCGAGATAGTCTAGTAGAGAAGTAGTGACAAGACGCTACTGTTGTTAGTCGGCGGACTAGACGACTCCCCATGAATCATCAGATCTGGGGATCCCCATCACGACATCCCGATGTAAATGGCAAGCTTCGTGGTGGTTCCGCCCATGCTCACGGACTCCAACTTGATGATCAAGTCCCATTGGGCAGGGGAGGTCCATGATCGACCGATGGCCTTCCGAAATGCCTGGGAGGCGCCCACTAGGCCGAGCTCTGGGCGAGACTAAGAAGACTAACCCGACCAAATCTCCCCTTCAGCCCGTCATCTGTATGGAGACATCCAATCACTGAGTGCGGAGAGCCCGGTTGCTTTACCTCCAAGTTGTGGCCTTTGGCACACACACACACACACACCCACCATGTCTATAGCGCGCTTTGATTGACACGTCAGGCCAAGCATTTGTGGGGGTGAGAATGTGGCCGGAAATGAATGGATGACGCTATGATGGTGGAAGGGGAGAGGGGGGTAAACACTGCCAGGGCAGACTAGGAGGCTGATAGTAATAGTACTTTGTAAATGTACTTGAAAGCCACACAGTCTTGTCCATGTTAAGAGTTGGCACGGGAGAGGCGGCCCGAGGATAACCAGTACCCAAAAATTTATAGTATGGCCATTTATTGCCTCGTTTACTTGGGACCAACCAACCCACTCTGCCAGGGGACGCTCCTGAATGGTCCAGGTAGATTCTTGCTTCTTCGAGACCCGAAATCCGAGGTCAACCACTTCTCGGATGCAGCGAGCCTGAGGAGTCATGGGGTCCCAAAAGGGCAATGTGATGAAGGCCAGCCGATCGATCAGGTGCCTAACATTAAGATATACCCTAAACTTTGCCTGGCCCGTAATATTTTCTTCAAGTAATTTTTTTTACTTCTTCTATTTTTTGGGTATTTTCTTCTTTTTGTTATGCATTATTTCGTATTTGCTTGTTCTGTCTCTCGCTACGACAAACGCGGGGGAAATCATGCAGTTGTGTTTTGCTTCTCTCTGATAGTGGCTTTGTTCCGTTGCCTGATTTTCCTCCCCGTAACCGACGGATTAGGTCTGGCCGGTTCTCAACCCTGCCCTGGATCCATCCGGGCATTCAGCCACGGGCTCCACGTCGATGCAAACAATCGGCATTAGAAATGAGCCATATACTCACATCCCATGGAGCACTGTCGTCACTAACAACTAGTCGCTTCGACTAAAGTTAAAGCTATTTCCGAAGGCGTGATTGGTCTTGGCCACTGCAGCAAGGGAGTCGACACCTACTATCGCTCGACTTTAGTCTACCTCATTTACGAGAATGACCCGAAGGTCAATGCATGCGTAAGCTCAGCTGGATCTCTAGCGTGGCCCTTACTTGCAAGGCTACCTTTTCTGCAAGCATTGTATTGACAGGCCCGATGTATACCGGCCGAGCTATTTGTACATAAAGGGCCCTTCCCTCGACTGACAATGTACCCTGGCTGAATAGAAAACAGCAATTCTTTGTTTTTTTTCCCCTCCTCCATTCCCCTTTACCCTCCTCTTCCCTTTTCTTCTTTTCCCCTTTGGAGGATACCCCCTTATCCGCTATGCTTTCGTTTGTCTTGCTTCTTTGTGTAGCGTTGGTCAACGCCTACTCAGACCCGGGTGCATGCTCGGGAACCTGCTGGGCACACGACCCCAATGTCATTCGCCGTGTGTCGGACGGAACCTACTTTCGTTTCTCGACAGGTGGTGGTGTCCATATCTCCTCTGCCAGCGCCATCACTGGTCCCTGGACTGATCTCGGGTATGCACTGCCTAACGGATCCATCGTTACAGTGGGAAATGCCTCCAACCTTTGGGTAAGACAGACTGACAACCCTGGACATCACCCTTGCCATCTGCAGTTCTGACATTCCCGCAGGCTCCGGACGTACACTACGTAGATGGCACATACTACATGTACTATGCTAGCTCTACCCTGGGCAGCCGGGATTCCACCATTGGAGTTGCAACCTCCACCACCCTGGAAGCCGACTCCTGGACCGACCACGGCGAGATTGGTGTCACCTCGTCTTCGTCCACCCCTTACAACGCCATTGACCCCAACTGGATCACCATTGGCAGCACCCCCTATCTCCAATTCGGCTCCTACTGGCAAGGTCTCTACCAGGTGGAAATGACCGACTCCCTGAGCGCCAGCAGCAGCACGCCCACTAACTTGGCCTACAACGCATCGGGTAACCATGCTATTGAGGCTTCTTACCTGTACGAGTACGGAGGCTACTACTACCTCACCTTCTCGTCCGGCAAGGCTCAGGGGTACACGACCTCCCTGCCTGCCCAGGGCGATGAGTACCGCATTGTCGTTTGCCGGTCCAAGACTGGAACGGGTAACTTTGTAAGTGCCATATGCCAATAATCAACATTCAAGGAATAGGGGGGGAAATGCTAATTTCGCCTGCAGGTCGACAAGGATGGTGTTTCATGCCTGAACAGCGGCGGAACCACCGTTCTGGCCAGCCACGACTATGTCTACGGCCCTGGTGGACAGTAAGTTTGCCCCTGTCTTCTTTTGTGGCTTGACGCACATCAAACGGGGAAGTATGCTAACAATGATCAATTGTAGGGGTATCATCAACACCACCAGCCACGGTATTGTCGTCTACTACCACTATGCCAACAAGAACATTGGCCTGGCTGTCGATGACTACCAGTTCGGCTGGAACACGCTCACATGGACTGATGGGTGGCCTGTTGTGGCTTGATTTCACTCTTCTTCTTCTATACATACATACATTTTACCGGCCGCCCAGAAATGGCCCCGGTATTATTTGCATGATGATACCTGCGTTCGATTGTATTTAGCTAATTACGTTAATTCGTAATGTTTTATATTGCGATTTAATATATACATATTGAGACAAAATTTGTTTGAGAAATTTGTGTAGAATGTCTGTAGAAAATATGAAGCGTCTCGAATTAAGAATGTCAACAACAGGAGTCACTAGAAGGGGCAACCGAACGATGAAATTACCATCACCCTACTTGATCCTTAATTCCGTCACTCCCCCTTTGACATTCCCCATCCCATCCCCATACAAAAAGCAAAAATGCCACCCCATCTAAAAAAAGGCCTAGACAACAAACAAACAAACATAACATACCATCCTACGGACCGCACCTAAACTCAATTGTGGAACAATCAGAATTCCTCGGTTTTTTGGCCCGAAGAATTTACTACATACCGACATTACTGTGCACATTGCCATTGCCATTGCCATCCAAGCGAAACAAACAACTCACCACATACTGATTAATTAAACGCACAATCCCCAATGCAACGGAGAAAAATGATGGCTCAAATTCTGCATTGAAGCTAGCCAAGCTGTCACTGAGCACAGACTCGCTGCAATTCTCCGCGTCTGAGACATTTGTTTGTCGTGTGGCGCTGCCATCCCTGTCGGGGACACAGGACGGACGGAACACGCTGCAGCAGTCGATGCGGTCAAGTTTACGGTGGCTGCAAGGGCAAAGTGGCCTTTTCTGACAGGTGCGATCTGATAGATGAACTGGGGGGATCCTTGCTCGTGGATTGATAGTGCATAGTAGAGGTTGTTGTTGTTTGTTGGTGAGATGTTGAGTTGAGTTTTGGTGTTTGAGGTCATCGACAGTGATCCTACCCCCTTCCAAGGTGTATAAGACTGGGATTCCTTACAATATGCTACAGATCCCTCAAGGATCAGTCTATTCTGTGAATATAGCCTACCTTTGTCTTTATTCTATGAATCTATAGTGCTTCGTGACTGATTCTTTACCCAGTTGACAGGCTTTTTACCCTGACAAGTAGATCCTATCAAAATATATAAGTATCAATTTAAATTCAAGGAAAATAGAAGAAAATACAATTAAAGTACCTGTAAAGAATATTCTTCTAATTTAGAACTATTTCATTAGAATAGTAACTTAACTATAATCTTTTATACTACGCACAGGCTGTAATTGAAAAGATATAGTATTTCACAGCTGATTCCTTACTTAGTTGACGGCAGGGCCTCTATGTATGCTATGGATTAACTAAGAAAGAACCTAATGTTCGTGTGCAGTAGCTCCCTGACTAATCTGGCGATCATTGACCGCCTGCTGATGTCATGGCAATTTCGTAGGAAATCAACGCGACCAGAGCGTCGGTTTTAAGCATGGTTTGTCAAGCACAACGCAAAAACCGCCAAAGTTGTCGCGAGCAATGTGACCTGGGGTGACGGCGGCTTGTTTGATTACTAATGCACCATTCACGGGCTCTTGAAGCCTTAGGCAGAAGGACTCCTGCGGGGAACAAGCCGCCAAGTGTCAGACATGTACAGTCCTTTTAGTCGACATTGCAAGAACTCACCGCTCAACTTTCAATTCCAGCTATCATCAAGAAGCACCCTACGTCACCGGAATCCAGATAGTTAACTTGGTTGCAGCTAAGGATTAGTTGGGCGTGTGAATTGTATTTACTGTTTCCGTATGTTCGCGAAAGCGACATCATGAGAGCGTCTAGGGTAGGAGCCCAGCTCCCTATCGAACTTACCCTGCTTGCCGCCGAATATCTTACACCTGTTGACCTGCTCTCTCTCTTATATGCAGTTCCTGGGCTTGTACGGTCCCTGACTTTCCACCATACCACGCTTCAGGATGAAGGAGGGAAGACGATCCTACATCTACTCGCGAGGGACGGCGAATTGATGAAGCTACTGCTCGCAAACGGCAGTATCAGGCCAGACCCGAAGGATAATTGTGGCCGGACACCGTTATCTTATGCGGCTGAAGGATATGAAGTGGCGGTCAAGCTACTGCTAGACCGACAAGATGTTGAAGCAGACTCAAAGGATAACCTGGGTCGGACACCATTATCCTATGCAGCTGGGAGTGGATATGAAGCAGTGGTCAGGTTACTGCTGGATCAAGATGTTGAAGCAGACTCAAAGGATAACCTGGGTCGGACACCATTGTTATATGCGGCCTGGCACGGACATGAAGCAGTAGTCAGGCTATTGCTGGACCAAGATGTTGAGGCGAACCTAAAGGATAATGACGGGTTGACTCCGATATCCTGTGCAGCTGGAGCGGGGCATGAAGCGGTAGTCAGGCTACTGCTGGACCGACAAGATGTTGAGGCAGATTCAAAGGATAACTTGGGTCGGACACCATTGTTGTATGCAGCCTGGCGCGGACATGAAGCAGTGGTCAGGTTACTGCTGGACCGACAAGATGTTGAGGCAGACTCGAAGGCTAACTGGGGTCAGACACCATTGTCCTTTGCGGCTGGAGGTGGACATGAAGCAGTAGTCAGGCTACTGCTGGGCCGACAAGATGTTGAGGCAGACTCGAGGGATAACTTGGGTCGGACACCTTTATTATATGCAGCCTGGCGCGGACATGAAGCAGTGGTCAGGTTACTACTGGACCAACAAGATGTTAAGGTGGACTCTAAGGCTAACTGGGGTCGGACACCATTATCCTGTGCGACTGAAGGTGGACACGAAGCAGTGGTCAGGCTACTGCTGGGCCGACAAGATGGCCAGACGGACACGAAGGTCGAAGAATAACTGTTGAAAAAGCACTTGATGGCAGCCTGACAAGCAGTCGAATTGAATTAACGGAAGAATCGTACACTTATTAGGATCAGTCTCAACCGAATGGTTCCTACTGCATAAAATAGGAAGCATGGAGAACTAAGTGTGGTTGTGCACTGCTGTTAGACCCTGTATGTTATATAGATAATAGATTATTTTATATTCACTCGAAAGAGTTTTTTTTATATTAATTTATATTAATGATATTTTTTTACTTATACCGGACAGTGTTACTGTTATTAATTTAAAATATTATTTATTAAATTTATTAAAATTATTAATAATAATTCTTACAGTTACACCTGTTTTCTAGACAAAATTATATAAATAGATAAATAAATAATTCTTCTATAAATTATACATATAGAATTATTCAAAATATCACAATTTCTTTATATACAAGATCTTCTCCTTCTATTTTGTCGCCTGTCCACTTCAAACTACTCCATTGAGACTATCCTGTGACCAAAACAACCCTTCCTTCTCGAGTTCACACGCAATTACACCCTACGCCATCAGCGAATACACACTCCTGCTACATAGTATTCGTCTCGCAGGAAGTATCAGGTTCGTTCAACAAATGGCCTCCCTGATGCAACACCATGGAAACAACACCAAATGAGAGACGGCGGAACGAATCGCGAAGCGCTCGAGTAGCATGGTCCAAGCTGCTCTTCGACTGTTTGTGTCTAATGACTCAACACAAGTTCAGGTTCTGTTTTCTTGCCATCAACACTACCTATGTACCTCCTGCATTAGATAAACACGACCGACTTAATTATTTTGCCCTTGTGTCTGTGATAGATATTAGGATAATTTGCTGTGTGTTCATCCATACTCGTAATGGGCTTGAACATAGCTCCTTGTGGACTGTGTGTATCAGTTGAAGGTGTCAAATCAACGCCCTAAGAGACCTCAGGCTATGATCCTCTCGAGGATCGTGCTCTCGAAGCTTCCTTCTTGCCTCCCAGGACGGCAGAGCATGACCAATCAAGTCGCTTCGTTTCATCCTTACAATGAGCTTCAATGTTTTCCATGTCCGAGAATTACAATCCAACCCTATACTGTCCCCGTCTGTTACACCTTATCCAATGCAATGAGTAGACAGACACCACAGTGTATTCCTCACTCAAGCGGTTATTCCATGTCTCACATTAGGCAATGCAGTAACCAAATGGCATACTACCGCAACAGCAGGAACAAAGAACTGGATCTATGCTACGAATGGGACAGAATATCATCAAGGAAGGAAGGAAGTGTAATCCATGAATCTCCCGAACGATCAACTCTGATGTGGATGACAGCGCAGCGTTCCCGGATGTCAGACGACGATACATGATAAATTATGGCCGTTGCATTTGTCTTAATCGATCCCCATTCTGCAGCATCCAGGACCTCCCGGGTGATGACGTCTTTCTACAACTTGCGAGCTAATTGCATGGATGATGATCGAAAGTGAAGGGCACGTTGGACAAAGCTCCTCGCGGACTATGTGTGTGAGTTGGTGAAGGTGTCAAACCAACGCCCTAAGAAACCTCAAACTACGGTCCACTCGAGGAGCGTGTTTACAGCAACACCTACGCGACTCTGAACTCCGAGACTATGACGAGCTAGATTGCCCTATTTCATTACGTTCTTACCCCAAGCAAGAGACATCTGGCGCGCCTTCTACTACCGAGCTATCCTTTGCCCTCCCGCCATGTCCTGCCTAATCCAGTGTGTTCCATCATAGGTAAAGCTTTCTATGTATACTGCGTCCAGCATCTCCGATGACCTCTTTCCTTCGGTCATGGAATCAACTTGCAAGTTAGTAGCGTGGATGCTGGTTTGAGAACCAAAGAGTGGACGAGTACTATATGTCCTGCCAGTGATCCTCAATGTTCATCATTCCCTATTATTATATCATTTATTGTTATTCCCTTGGCTCTATGGTTATCTGTCTGCCATTTTATCTGTCTCTAAGCTGATCTTGCTTCCTTCGATGTATGCGTTGAGCATTTCGGACTGCAAAGGTCCTGTTCATGGGATCCCTAGCGTTTGGGGATGATTCATCGGGTGATAGGGTACTTGGTTGTGATATGTGGAGTTGTATTGGTGTCTTTCTTTTTTTTTTTTTTTTTTTTTTTTTTTTTTTTTTTTTTTTTTTTTTTTTTTTTTTTTTTTAATATCTGTTTATGAACGCTAATGCAGGGGCAGAGGAGAGAATAGGATAGGGGACAGGTTGGGGATGGACGTGGGGTTCTCCCTTCCTATTAATTATCTTAGTAACTGTATATTTGAATATATAGTATAACTTAGTAGCAGTCATTCAAAGTGAACGGTGAACTGGTCTTATTTATTCCATACAATGATGTACAGTCTGCATGCATGGTCACTGGCTAAATCACTTGACTCGCTGTAAATCGACAAGTATTTGTTGTATCTAGTTAATCAAGTACTAGCAAGGCATGGAAAGAACTTCATGTGGTTTCCTGAGATAGTTATCAGATTCTCCCTGTTTTGCCTCGCAGTTGTCTCCTCATGGGAATTTTGAGATACGTCTGTAGGCGGTTTACATTCTTACAAGAGATAACGAAAGTGTATGTATGCTGTCACCGGCATAAAATCAATAGCTTATGCCAAAGCTTCAAAGTAAGGTATCTCTACTTTTGCTAAATGCGCACGCTCAAATGGGGAGAATACTATGAATCGCCTCACGTGACTACCACGAAGAAAACAAACAAACATACAACAGACAAACAAAGTGGGAATAGGGGTAGAAAAGTAAAGTAACTAGAAATGGAAAGAAGAGGAAAAAGAAGTGTCACTGCCAATGACAAAGTAAGCCAAGCCAACACAAACAATACGAAGAAAAAAAAACAAACAAAGCAACTAAACGCCCTGCTCAAGTCCAATGCGATCGTAATCGTAAATCAGCTTACATGCTGTATAATCAAAACCTCACAATCCCCGTAACAAACTCCCCTCTGCGAACGGGTTGTCCGGCGACATATCCAACATCGGTTTCGCGGCATTGCGATCCCCCGTTGCCACGCCATGGCCGACCGGAGATCCTTGTATATTTTGGTGCGGTGTAGTCCGTGCCAACAAACTGTTAGGGATGAACGGGCCGTCTTGGCTGCGCAGATTCTCTCCGTCTGTTGGCGTGGTCGGAGCGGTATGATGATACCGCTGTTGGTTGTTGACACTGCGGGCAGTGTTGGACCGATTGCGAGTGCGGACCTCCGGCATGGGCGGTTCAGGCGGCACCTGGGGTCGTCGCCAGGTGGTGGCGGAGGGTATTTGAATTCCGCCTGGGGCTTCGGGCCCCGTGGCGGCGTCGATAAGGGGCAGGCCTGGTTCGACGGCGATGCCGCGGCCTTTCCGGATGTGTTGCGGGGGCTCTTGGTAGACGGGGGTTAGGTCGACGAGGGGTTTGTTTTTCATGGATTGCGTGCGTCGAGGGAGGTTGGGGTCTGGGCCGTGACTGGATGTCATGGTGTTGGTGCGGCTGGGGTGGCGGGAGCCCATGGTGCCGATCAGGCCTTGTTTGATCAGTTCTTCGTTGTCTCGTTTCTCTTGCTCTTCGCGCTCTTTCAATGCGCGTTGGCGCATGGTGTAGGTTCGGCCGAGAAGGCCGGATGCTGAGAACGGGGCTTCATCCGAGGATGAGCCTGTCGCGAGGTCGGAATCGCCGGTGAGAAGCTTGGGGAAGGACGTGGGTGGAGGCCCGCGCTCGCGGGTGCTCTTTTTGTGCGAGAAGAGTTCCTTGGTCTTCATGGATTTGCTCCGCTCCGGCGCGGGTGGCGACGGTTTTACCTCGTTGGCTGGCTCCTCAAAGGGGTTCAGCAAGGGCTTGAATGGGGTCTCGTCCGGCTGCATGGCTTCTGCTTCCGCTGGCTGGCCTGCCCCCAGCTTCGTCACCAGGTACCAGCTGCGCCAGGTTTGGACAGCCCGGTACCAGCCATCGGCGATCTCGCGGTCATTGGTCGAGAAGAAATGGACGAAATTCTCCGTAGAGAGGAACATGTTGGATTTCTGCTGGCTCTTGACAGCCTGGCAGAACTTTTTGGGCGGCTTGACATTGTTCGCGAGGTAGCTGGCCGTAGGGGAGTAGATGTCGAAATCAGAAAGATGGCAAGCGTTGGTTGGATCTTGGGCATTCTCCTTCTTGGAGACCGTCACTTGGCCGTCGGACCGGAGGGTCACATAGCGTTTATCCCACTTGCGAGGCCGCTGCGAGTAGTACATGTAGAAGGTCACATCCGCCGGTGGTCCGAGTGACACGTTCCGCGCGTCGAGCAGGGTAAGCGCATCCAGGCTGGCTGCAGGCACAACAATCAGTGTGTTCTGTTCGTCGTGAGTCCACGAATTCAGCACATCCCGCACATATTCGTAGCGGCGCAAGGGCCGTTCTAGCCCCAGCTCAGCGAACGACTCCATCAGGATGAACTTTTCTGGGTCTACCCCGGCATCCATCTGCTTCAATGCAGTTGCGACGACGTCTCGAGCGGAGGTGGAGGGAGTAACGCAGATGCGCGTAGATGATTTCCGGTAGTGGACCAGCACCCGCCGCTCGCGCGCATTGACAGCCGATACAGGCGCATCAATTCCAGGGAACTGAGTGGGCACCGTAGTATCATTCGCAGGGACTGCTGAGGCATCGCCATGTACACTTCCTCTGCGATGCGCTGGGTTGGCTGCATCACTGACCGACTGACGCCTCGGCTCCATGCTCGCGCGACGACTCGCCGAAGCGGATCCAGTTTGGGGTTTCCGATGCTCCGAATCCTTATGGGGACGACGAACCGCATGCTCCTCCGCTTTGTCGGCTGACCTGTCGCGCGACGCAGGTTTTGAATGAGTTGTAGACACTGACTTCGCTTCGCCGCCTGTCAGCCGATCCATCGCATTCTGTCGATGTCTTTCGCGCTCTGCCTCATCATCCTCCGGTTTCTCCTGTTGCCGCTTCTCCCGCGCGGCCAGTTTGCTGGCAAGCTTGTTTCGCATTCGCACCATCTCGGCGCCCTCTGAGTCTTGAAAGTGCGGGTGAACAGGACCTCCATTGACACTGGCGTCGGCTTGCGCTTTATACGCCGGGGGAGGGGCTGGGACAGGAGGTTGTGCATCGGCATCGGCGGATTGCGCAGTAGGAGCTCTGCGACGGTATCGCGACATGCTCCTCTGAACGGTGCTGGAGCCATTGGGGAGTGCTGGCTGGTCATGCGACGGCGGCGCGGAAGCGACAGGCGGGATGGGCAGCGGCGGGGGCAGGGGGCAGGATTGCGGCGGTGGTGGTGGCTGTTTCGCCGCGGCTTTTCTCACGGAACGGTACCGGGAAAATTTCATGGGCGTCGGATGCTGGCCAGCAACCACTTGGTGATCCTGCTTCTCCATCGCCATGGCTGGGGAGGAGATTCTTCTTTCTTTTTATTGTATAAAGGGCGGATTCAGCAGTTCACCACGGGGCTTATAAAGCAATGCGCATTGGGAGGTGCAGACGACAGGGAAAAGTGTAGAAAAGAAGAAAAAAGATACAATGGCGTCAGTCACCAACCCGTTGGGCAAACAAAACAGGTTTTATGCTTTTTTAGCCTGGTAATATTTTCTTTTTGTTCCAGGGCTGAGGGGTGCATTCAACGGATTCTGGAGAAAGTAGAATCCACGAGGTGCAGTAGCGGCGCAGAAGTAGTGAGTTTAGTGCTGGGGACAGTGGAGGAAGGGAGAGAGGATCAGAACACCAAACAGACCAGTTGCATGCTGGTGATTTGGTGAAGGAGCAGACAAGGGCGAAGGGATTGGAACAAATAATGGGGGGTCGCGTGTCTCCACCCCCTAAAGGTTGCAGACATGTTTCACAGGGATAGAAATTGCTTCGTGCAGGTTGGGAGAGATCCCTAGTCTGTAGGATGGAGAAAAATAGAATAAATAAATAAATAAATAGAAAAAAGAAAGAAAGAAAAATAGAAGAATGGGAAAGGGGTGGGGATAGAGGAGAGGAGAGAGGAGAGGGGAAGAAGAGAGAGAAGATAGAGAGAGAGGAATGGAAAATGAATGGATGGGATGAATGATCACCGGCACGATGGGAAACGACGATTCAAGGACTGGACTTGTGTCTGTGTGGACTCAAGGTGGACTGTGGACTGTGGACTGTGGAGGAGGAGAAGCCCAAAGGGTCCAGGTGGTTCGAGTGGAGGAGGATCCGATGGGTTTAATTTTAAAAACGGTGGATGCTAGTGACCGTCTGGGTTTAGCATCATTGATTGATTGAGTTCACCGCGATACGGAGTAGATAGTACTGCGATGCTCCATGGAAACCTGCAGCTTCCACCTGCTACCTGTCGGGCCACCTGCAAGGGGTCTCCAGGGACTACTGCGATGGAATGCATGCTACATCGTACTAGATAGGACTAGTATCGTACGATCCCCCTGAAAACCACCGAATTATTCTCGGAATCTCACAAAGAAACACAAACCAATCCATTAAACGGGAGATTCCGTGGCGGTCGCAGCAAAGCATAAAAATTCCTCCGCCGCTAAAAGTGGCAGCGGCACAGCAATACGATTCCATTTCTGACAGTCTGACAGGCCCCATTCCAAGATCCCGCCATTACTCGTCAATCATTGACCGCGCTATAAATATGATTAACCTTCGATTTTACCTCGACCAGATTTCCAGGAACTAATTTTTTGCCGCGCTGCCCCTTCATCCGACCAAGTGGGGGAAGGGAATGCCAGGGGCTCAACACACGACGGGTTCAGAAATTAGTGTGATTCAGAAAATCCTAATAATGAATAGCCTCATGCACGTGACTGATATGATTAAATATATATAGTAGAAGGACATCCTTTTGAATTTCCCTATACACCCTATAAATTAATACTTTGGATATTGTTTGGTGTTACATAGTCTGAGATATCACGTGCAACAGGTCAATCAGCATCATGATTCCTCTGAACCTAGTTAAGCTGTTTCTCAATCCCATCTGACAATGTCGCACACTAATTTCCTGAACCCATTGCGTGTGTATGCACTGCCAGCGAGTAATCTTCATCTAATATAGTATTTGTGGTCGGCTACTCCCTTGGTTGCCGGTGCATGGCTTGACTGGTGTATGAAGGCTGCCACCCTGATTGATGGGGGGTACTTCGGTGTCTGCTAACACGTTGCCAACAGTCAGCAAGGGACTGGTTGTAATGTTTAATTATCCAGACCAGATCAATCTTCGAAAACATGCCTTTCTTCTACCATGTGTACTTTCTCCCAACATACATACACACTTTCTTGTGCTGTACTTAGCTATCACTGCTCTTCTATTGCCTTCAATGTATGGATCCGCATCAACTGGACCACAGTTAGTCTACTTATCATCCATCTTCCTAGAAATTTCATATTTATTCTCAACAATTCTTACTTTATATGCGCAGACGGAATCTTAGCAAGACAAGCCTTAAGGGGCTCTTTGGTGGACCAACTAACATCAAACACGCATCCCAGGTATACTAAAGACCTGGCTCGCTATTGCTGGACGCCTGCTCAACAACGAGAAAGGTGTCGAGTACACTACACTATATAATTGGCCTCAATCATCAGGTCCCCATTGTTGTTGAAAATCGGATTCTCATAAGCCAATGAGCCCTTGCCTGGAATCACGAACCGGGCCGAGGTGTTGAGGTCACTCTCCAGACTCTTCTCGGCTTCACCGAACGAGGTATCATTCTTGAGTTGCTGCACGAGCCGGTCCTGGAACTTCTGGTATATAGCCTTGACAGCTTCCAGTTTATCGTCAAAGCCCGATGTTGAACCATTCCACTGCAGAGGATCCGCTGTCACCTGAAAGACCTTGGTCAGATCGGCGGGCAGATTAAGAGAGAACTTCAGACCACCGTTGGTGGTGGTAACTGTGATGTCAGTTTGCCAGTTAATGGTGACATGGATGCTGGATGTACTCGGTCAGCTTGATACCAGTGAGGAATTCAGTCAGAGTGGGAAAGAATACACTCACGTGTACCTGTACCCCCCGACCATCGGAAAGGTAGTGGCAGCTGCCTCGCAATCAACGGTGATACCCGTGGTCCCACTCGCATTGATGGTGCCAGTTCCGGACATGGCGCTCAGTTTGTTGGATGTGGTACCTGAACCGCTAGTGTTAAGAATAGAATCTCTCTAACACGGGACAGCAATGAGCCACACGTACATTTGATGTTAAGAGTGTTCCAGCCTGCATCAGACTTGTACGTGTGCTGATATGTCTGCTCCTCGTTGGAGGGAGTCCACGTCCAAGCTAAAAGACTCGAGACTTGCTTCCACGCATAAAAACTAGCATCGCTTGAATGGCTCGGGTCCCCGAGCGCAATGGACCATTGCTCTCCAAAGAGCTCCGAATTATTCGCGCTGGCCACCCACGCGTACGTGTGGATATTGAATTGCGATAGCAGCTTGGGGACAGTGTCTCGAAAGAGGTATCTATCCCAGATGATGTCCCGATCGATGATAATCGTGCCGTTCATGCCCTTGGAGACGTAGTTCCCCGAATGCTCAAGGAGGCGGATATCGGGAAACGGTCGCTTGTCAGTCATTTGAAGGTAGAGTAGCATGTTGTTTTCGCCTATCGACCCAAGACCCTCCGCAGGCTTCGTCTCATTGGGAGCGATATAAGGGTATGTCTGTAGCTTCAGAGATGTTGGAGGAAAGGATGGTGCCTCCTCGTTCACCGTCTCGGGCTGGTCCGTGTGTAAGGCATATGCCAGGGTGCGCTTCTGGCGGTCCTACCATACACTGTCCTGGTTCGTGTACCAACGACCCAGGAGAATACCTAAATAAGTCATCTGCTCGTCGGACAGATCGGCGCCGTTGAAGGTGCTCTGTTCGCGGCTGGGGAGTTACTGTCAGTAACGAACGCTGATCAAGATAAAGTGAATGATCACTGACTCATAAGTGATGATATGATCATCTAGAGGTAAACGTAACATTATCAGTCAATTCCTTCCCTTCTTTGTGAAATGTTCAGCCCGTTCTACTTACTAGTGAAAGCAAAGAATAGAGAACTGATTGAGTAGTCCCCAGGCTGCATGATCTGTGTTTGAACTTCTTTGAACTCATCAGAACTTGGATCAACTACCTCCTTATCAAGATTACAAGTCCAAGCAATAGTCCAATCGGTAATTTGAACCTCTTCATTCCTATTGATAGTTAGCCATGTACGGTTAGCCATGTGATGGAAATAAACGTGCTTGGACTAACAGGATGGTGAAGTTAACAGTCCCTAACCCCAAGGTACAATAGTACATGGAGACGGCATTCTGCTGCCCGGTAACGTTCAGGGCAAGCTGGCTGGTCTTTAGTGTGGCATCCAGAGAGCCAATGCCCTCCAGGGAAGCCTTGACTTCAGTAAGTTCCGGATGATCATTCAACAGTTGGGACATGCCATCGTTGATGGCCTTCTGCGAGAGGGCAGTGATCTAACAGGAGGCTGTAAGTTTCTCCTCACCAAAGCGAGCGGCTCATCACGAATAAAATACCTCGTTGAATCTCCCCTTATCGGTAGTCAAGGAGGACTGCAGACGCTTGCTGAGCTCGGTTTCACTCATGATGATTGGTAAGAGTGTTTGCAAGAAGAAGAATACTTGACAATTTGGTAGTTGTTGATGCCAACAACTGTATCAAAGAGGCAAGATGAGGCCCTTAATGTACCTATCGGCGCGTCACGTTCTTGCTTGGCCTATGTGGGCTGATCTCGATGTTCAATAAGCCAGAAGAGTAATCTGAGGCTTTCAGCTGGGGTTCACTCCAGCCAGCCTACGGAGTATGCACATCCATGCCCATTGTGCCCACCATTTTCATATTCAAGCGGCAAAATAATGACCCAGAGCATGACAGGGATCATCCCAGTATGAGGCATTTTTGCTGCCCAAAAACCCTCAATCTACTGAGCAGGTGCTAGTCGATGTACTAATGCATCTTCTCGGGATTTGAGCTAAGCCAGTGGCGCTATTCTGAGATTTACATCCCTGCCCATCTGTCTAAAGCACGACAACTGGATTTCCCGCTTCATACATGGGGACTCACTAATCCTCAGCTTCTCGGGCAACAAAGGTAATGATGTCCAGCACATACGAACCCCAGCCAACTTACCCGGCGGAGTGGCTGAACCAGTATGCTCTCTCAGACGTGGTCTCGGCAGTGCCGGTGAAAGAAGATACTGGAATGAAAGACGGAGTAGGTCCTGACATTCATGCTCTAGATATGGTGGGCAGTGCTAACGATGGAGGTGCTGCGTGGACGATAGGATACTGGCTATCAGCGAAAAGTGTATATGACCTCTGCTGATATCGTCAATTCCCTGGACAAGGTCTCAGTAATGTACAAGTACACAGATGTTCTGGCATTCGACTCTGCAGAAACGACCCTTTCGTCCACCACGGACAGTATGTTAGTCCTGGCTGCGCGGGTCCTGACTGCCGACGGCCCCGTGACTCTCAAGGTTAACCCTGCCCAATACACGGGCTGTGTGCTCCGGATCTATGTCTCTATCCTGGACCAGCCGGTGACGGTGCAGAGTCCTGACGCATCGCAGAGTATCCGTTTGGAATTGGGTCCGGGGACGAATCATGTCGGGGCGGCAGTCACCGTCCAGACGGACAGTATCAGTGTCGCGTACTACCAGCAATATTTCGACCTCCCGGATGAGGTCTTCGAGGCCTCATTAGCGACACAATTACGGATTGCACAAGCGCTATTCTGGCAGAAGCCTTCCATCGCTATGTCATTGTGTGCCTACGTGGCTACCGCAACGGCCCGTCCCGCGCTTTACCCGGCGCTCAATACGCAGGCAGTTTCCCTGGGCCAGCAATTAGCTGCCCAGGCCATGACCGGTCCTGACACCTCGTATGCTCCTGCTTTGACTATTAGCCAGTACCGCCAAACTGTAGAGGATGCCATCAATGCCCTGGAGGCATTTCAGACGCAGTACGAGCGTTTTCACGATGAAAAGGCCAGTGTCGACGATCACAAGGCGGCTTGGACCACCATGCTCCAGCAAGCCATCAATCAACAAGCCTTGCGTGAGCAGGCTCGAGATTTGGCCTCCGACAAGTACTCTGATGCCTGTGTCACTCGAGACAGCTGCTATAATCTGGTCACCTCGGGCCGCCAGGAGTTGGAGTCCGCCCGGAAAAAGTTTGAGGACGCCCTGGTAGCCTGGGAAGAAAAGCAAGCGTTCCTTGGCGTGTATGGCCTTTTGTCTGGGATCCTAACATTCGGCGAAAAGTTGTACGGTATCTCTGCAGCTTCCGCCCTGGACGATGTGCTGAAAGCAATAGATGGCGCAAAGGACATCATCGATAAAGTGAAAGAAGCAGAGAAGATCACTGCTGCAGAGGATCGACGCATCTCCGCCGATACTTTGCAGAAGCTTACGGAGTGCATGGGTCCTCTGGAAAATCTGTATTTCTCTATGGTTACAGTCGCTGCGGCGATCAAGGAATTGGAAACTGATCCAAATGCGGCGATTCCATCGGTGGACGGTATTTCCGGCACCAGCCAAGGAGATGCCGATGCGAACCTGATCATCACGTTAGCTGCATGGGATTCTTGGAACGTGAGCTCTGTTGCGCAGCTGGAATTTGCGGTCGCCCATTCCATCCCAAACGCTGCTGCTTACCGGTTGGCTGTTCAGAAATATAGCATTAACGGGAAGGCGCTGGCTCAGGCGGATGCTCAAGCCACCAAGGCAGGACAGGAATATGTGCTGGCAGAGATGGAAGTGATTACCAGTCAGAAGGATATCAAAGAGCTGCAAGAGCTGATTGCCAAGTATACCGGTGAAGAAGAGCTGTATGCTACAGCCGAAGCGAAGTTCTACAATTCCTATCTGTTCATGCAAACCTCGGTGGCTATGGAGATGCGCAATATGGCATGGGCATACAAATACTGGGCGCTGGAAGACAGCCCTTTAGTGCTGGACTCACAAAAGACCACAGCCCAATTTCGCAGTGATGTGTATCTCATTGATGAAGCGATGAATGCCGTCAACTCCAAGTACGACCGAATCCTGCAGTGTAAGTAGGCGCCTGCAAATATTCTTCCACCTTCGCCAAAACCCACTGACAACTTCATCCCCAGTACTCACACAAACTGTGTCATCCAACGACGTAAGTTCTACCGCCTCCTATCCAAGGGCCGACATAGTATTTCTGACAAAGCTACAGCTTCCATCCAATTACGGCCAACTATTACTCTCCGGCCTCCAAAGCGAGACCCACAGCGCCAGTTTCACCCTCACTCCAAGCACCGATCCAGACAGTGAGCCCAGCTTCGCCAGCATCTTCACAGACGGGTCACACTTCCGCGCAGCCGGCCTAGTAGCCTATCTCCGGGGCGCGCGTCCACGGTCGGAGAGTCTCCAGAATGGGGTGTACCGCGTCAACCTCAATCTCTCGACCTCGGGTCTGTATGCGGATATCCAAGATGGTAAGATCTTTCATTTCACTCGTGCGCCGCAGACTGCCCGAGTGTCTTATGACATTGATGCCGATGGCGAAATCGGCGAAATCCATATCGACGGTTCGTTTGGGGACGAGGTCCATGCGTATCCGACTGTCTTTACTCAGTGGACTATCCAGTTGTTGGATGGCGACGAGCTGGATTTGAGTCAGCTTACGGGGGTGGATTTGGCGTGGAGAGTCTACGCGAGGTTTGACTAGGTGGCTGGCCATAGCCAGGACTGGACGGATTTATTTTGCCGCAGATACGAATTTCTTGCTGAATAATGATATAAGTTTCATAGCGTCGAGCGTGAGCTCTATATGAGAGTGGATAGATGTAGATAAGATGCTCTGTGCATGATTCTTTATTATGGCTCCGAAGCCGGCCCACCCGATCCAGTCCGATTTGATCACATCTTCCGTTTAGCCGAAATCAACCGTTGTGGTGGTTTCCCAATTGGTGCAGATCATCACAGATCAGCTCTATACAGGTCTCAGAGCTAAGTAACAGCAGATTCGGTATCAATAGCATGTAAATCGGCTCCATTTGGCCTGTCCCTCCAGAATATACAGCTTTTCGCTTTTCAAAAGGCGCAACAGAACAACACTTTTCATTTACGTCAGAGATTTCCATTGCTTTCTTTCTTCAAAGAAACCAACCGAATTTTTTGGAAGGAATATCAAGCCGAAATATGGCTTATAGTATAGAAGTAATGCCTCAAGCCTACCGATAGCTTACATAGGACTGGGCGTGCGGTGTTCTGCACGAACAGAGGGTTAGCCTGGACTCAGTAATGCAGGTGATGACCAGTGTGAGAAGCTTACTTAGCACATCCCCCTTATATTTCCCTTCTATACAATTGAGCAACCAGGAGGACTTGCCGTTCAAATTGCCTCCAGCAGTTGTGTAGTCATCTGGGTCAAGACTGTACTGTGACCCAAAGAGATGGCCGCCAGCCCAGTCTTCTTTTTCGTTGATGAAGATAGAATCGGGCGCATAGCCACTATGCTCTGGCTTATTGTCATTCAACACCCCAAGTTTCGCTACAAAGTCCCTTTTGTTTGCAAAATGCTCGGTGAGGAAGACGTGCGAACTGAGATTCGTGAGATTTTCCAAATCCTGACCGTCACGCTGGAGCTTCTCAATAGCGTGTTCGTTCATCTCCCACTTCCAGTCGACGCTCGGGTTTCCGAATGTGAATACGCAAAGGTGGCCCGCCATTCTTTCACGGATTTCAGTGTCTGTTGTCTCGTATGACCCATTCAATATTTCTTCCAACGCCAGACGAAGAAGTAGACAGCCTTGAGAATGGGCTATCATCACGATATGTCTAGGCTGAGTTTCATCCTTCAAGGCCGACTCCAACTCCTTTACCAATGACTTTTGAGCCATCCGGCTGCTCTTGGTTCTCTGGATCAGTTTCTTCTGTTCTCTTGTGGTGCCGTTTCTCTGGGCGGTTCTCTCGCCTGCACATTCAACCAAGTCCCAAAGAATGCCATCACCCCTGTTGAAAATCCCTGTTACTTCTCTTGAATATTGCGTCGCCAATTTTCTACAAGCAAGGCGCAGCCAAAAGAGCTCTCCGCCGATACCATTGACGTACAACCACTTTTCATTGGTTGATATTTCTTTTGAAGGGTTTTCAACAGTGATGTTCGATTCGTCAGATTTGACGTCGCTTCCGAGTGTGGTTCCATCGGTAATACCAATGTCCTCCAGCTCGTCGATATTGACAGTTTTGCCCATCCCTTTCACAATGAAGACACAGGATTTTACAAGCCTCTGAAACTGACAGATTACGGCGTGTCGATTCATAAGCACTGATGCGTCCAATTTATTGTATGCATTACGTGGTGGTGCTTCTTTTGCTGTTTCAGTCGTTGAGTCTGCTGGAATATAGTTTGCTGGGAAATAGCACTTGGCAGGTTCGATAAGGTCAACCAAAAAATTCGCCAAATCGCCGCAATTGTTCCAAATGACTCCCAGGGTTGTCAAAGTGACATCGTTGCTGGATATGCCTTCGCGTATGATCCGAAGTAATCCCACCTTAGCAATTATTGCGTTCACGGTTGCTGCTGTGAGCTCCTTCACAGTCCCAAGAAGCGATTCTGGATTGACCTTGTCAAGAATGGAACTCAGTAATTTGAATAAGCATTTGGATGCGTCTTGGAGCAGTCTGAACACGGGTTCTTTGTCCACCTGCTCAGTTATTCTGACAACAAGCTTCGTCAAAGTTTCCAGAAGAAGTTCTGGGCTTAATAGCGTCTGGGAACGTCTCAACACCGCGTCAATAAGCCCGCGAACTGAATGTTCACCAGCCTTTTGGAAGATGTGGGTCGCAGATTCGATGATACCGTCTGCATGACCAATATTGTCCACCATAAACCTAGACGCAGATGTAGCAGCATACCCCACCGTATCAAAGAAGTCACCTAGGAAATTCATCATCAAGGTTGTAGCAGCTCTCAAGTAATAAGCAGATCGTGGGAAGAGTTGACGAATATTCTTCATTCCACTAACAGAGTGTAGGAGGAAACCACACCCGCTGACCCTTTCTGGTTTTATCTATGCAGAATGTTAAAAGTTAGCCATAATCGAGTGTCCGTTCTTTTACTGCCATGTAAATTATAGTCGTTTTTCACACGCAATGGCCAAGCGGGGCCAGGTTCAAAGTCTAAGTTCAGTCACAGGGACATGGAATCCACATGAATTCTTACTTCTTGTATCTGTGTTGTTAATCATTTAGCTTTACGCCAAAGTTCTTATTCCACGGCCCAGGCCCTTCGTTTCACGGTCGCAGATCTGCTCTTTTGGTACGAAGAGTGACTTCCAGGGTGATATTCATCGCTCCAGTTACTTCAATATATCCAGGGTTCAATACTGCTTGCTAACGACGAAGACAGTTTGCAAAGGCATTAGCTATCAAGTTAGCACGCCAGGACATGCTCATCCTGGACTAAGCAGATAGGAAGGGTGACGTCAAGTGATGATCAACTCTACCTTAGGCCATCTGAAGCCTAAATCTGGGGAATGGTTTTAAGCTTATAACCCCGCCTGGATCCCGGATACTCAAGCCAAGGCGGCGATCATACGCAATGCTTGAAGTTGAGAGGCTGGAATAATTGCGAATAAAGCTACCTTGCCAGCCTCATCAGTTCTAAAGGAGGCTACTTTTGTGGCACAAGAAATACGACTCCATAATACGAAGTCGGAGCCTAGCCATTGCATCTATTTTCCCAGGAAGACACTCTGACCGTGTTCATAGTGGTCATAATCAGACGTTCTCATAGAGTTGGGCTGTTTAGTAATTGAAATAAGGTTATACGACCTCGTAAACCGTAGTTAGTACGTCAGGACGAACCATGGATATCAAATAAATAGAGAAGATGAAGAACAGTCTAGACGTAGCATAATAGTTTTCGTCTTCATCACCGCGTTCGACAACATCTTATTGGGTTCCTGATTATCCATGCCGGCCAGTATTTCATAGGGCTTGCTTGGGATACCGCGGTCCGGGGTGACGGTCTATATAAAATGAGGCGTATACGTGACGCAGAAGAAAGCAGGTAAATCGTTGATTTCCATCAACTTATTGCTAGTTCAGGAGAGAATGAAGCAAATTTGCTCGCGAAAAGCAGAAGATACAGACGATGCGGACGACGGAGACCCTGTTTAGGAAGGTGCGGGCAGTGGCCGCAACAGATCTTGAGATGTCCAATGGAGATAGCAATCAACCACCATCCCAAACCAGTCCACCGAGCCCATACATCCATTTCAGTGAGCAAGCCAACGAATATCGAGAATATGTTCAGACACTCGCAGGCCGGTGGCCTGGATTATCCTACCTCGATGCTTATCTGCAGGATGCTCTATATCTCGAGCGGAGGACTTTCGGAATCGTGCTCATCAAGCCGAGCGACGATGCTTCCGTGCAGCGTAACCTGAGATTGGAAGATGTTCTGCCCCAACTGGATGATTGTTCCATTCCGAAACTTATAGTCTTGGAAGACCCCACTCCCAGGATGATTGCAGAGCTCGGAGCAAAACTGCGAATTGATCCTCAGTTTTGGGCAGATTTCCTGGTCGGCCCGTCTTGGTTTGGGTCAGGAAAGGTAGATATTGGACCTGGTGAACCGAGTGTCCAATATAGAGATGACAGTCTGCTAGAGCAGCTTTGGCCGCTACCAAAAGCCGCGAGGCAGCAGGAGCATTACTGCTTTCGGTTTGTTGCTCACAGAGAACCAACACCGAATATGGATGACTACAGCTCATTATCAGCGTCCTATCCTATCTGTGGGAATGCCAAACCTGGGCCTCCAATTTGCGCCAACTCGATCGGTCTACGCAACAATCTCACTGTATGGGAGAACCAGCATGAACGTGATAGGGCCAAAGGTGAAACCCCACCACGGGATATAGCGTGGGTAGGTGAGTGGCTGGCCTCTCCAAAATTTGTCTTCAGGGAGTAGTAACACTCAACAGGTGTCATTGCGGTGAAGAACCAAAGTAGCCGAATACCAGTCTGCCAGCCAGGTTCTTCATATATCTTCCGAGAGTACCTTCCAAGGCCACAGTTTAGAGAAAGCTTCAATATGGATATTCTGGATAACGCAAGAGAATGGGAAGGACGACCTCAACGAGCTCTGAAAACCAATTATTCTATCAAGGAGATCCTCTGCTACCACCTCATCTACCATTTTCGGAAGAAGGATTCTCGCGATGCCGCAATGACATCACCGCGCCTCCTATTCGTTGATGTACTTCAATTGATCAGTTGCTTCTGGGTGGCTGAGATTGAATCGAAACATTTACGCTTATCTTGGATGGAGGTGTATTATCAGAAGGAGGTTATTAGACGGAATCGAAGATATCCCTCCTTCATGGATCCCCTATATCCAGACCCAAACGGCAGTCTCTCCGCAAGGCTCCAAGCAGATCTGATTGGGTTACATAGTGATCTAATCAGCATAGAGCCGTACAATCACTTTATTAAAGAAGCTGAAGAGTATTGCAAAGCTCAGAGGCAGCTCACAGGTTTGCCAGATTATAAGGAATTAGTCAACGACTTCACCTACCTACAGAACGCTGTCTCTCGCTTGACTAACCGGATCAATAGGGTCATGGGCTTCTTGAAATCAATCGATGATGATCATGAAAAATCACGATCAAGATACCGAAACATGTTGCTACTGATTCTGGCAGTGTGGGCCTGGCTGGTCTCACCAATTTCAGTGACTGCTGCAATTATGAACTTGGGTGAGAGCAGAGAAAGCGATGCCGTCAAGGTTGGGGATATCCAGGTATTTTGGAAGGTTGTGGTTCCTATTGGAGTTGGTGTGATTTTGCTTGTCGTGTCTTTGCTTTGGATCACAGAATCCTATACTTTGAGGGCGACGCGAAAGGCAAGTCGCTCTAGGAGGTATCGTTGATATTGCGTTGTAGGCATAGATAAATTGTGAATATATGCCTGACAATCTCATCCTTATCATACAGCGACATGCTACAGAATATTTAGTTGCAATTCACAATAATCCAAACATGATCTGCCCGGTTATTATACTTCGGCCAACTCTTGCTTGTTCATCAAAAATCATCAATTTACATATAGTTAGTATGAAGCCCGCCAATTACCTAATAGTATTTCTCAAAGTCTGGTATCGGATCTATGGTCTGCCTCATCCCCAGACATGTCTTCTTCAATCTATACCATGTTTATTTTATCAGTCTGGCTTCAGAAGGATTTCTTAAAATATAATATATTCACATCCTCTTCCAACTGCAACCACCCACCAAACTGTTACTTATTACAATACTGCTTGGTCAAGACTAAACCAGCCATATACTAACTACTAATCGACGCAATGATCGACAAGAAATTCCGGCAGCTCCTACTCGTACACATCCTAGCTGGACCTGGTCCTTTTCCGAGAAATTCATCGGTTGTTTCATTTCTGCTTATTCAGACATTAAGCATCATGCATGATTCCATGCTAAACAATTTGCGCAGCATGTTTCATATGAATAGTGGACTAGAATACTTTCATCCATTTTAATGCTTGTACGCTCCCAAGTGTTTCCGCCTGCGTCTGAGCGTTAGCCTCTCGACTATGCACCAACATCGATCCTGATAAGGAAAAGAACCACTTACCACCACGATACAAAGTCGACCGTCCGAAGATCTATTCCGAGCTCCTTCAGCGCTTTTGTCGACAGGTGAGTGTCGTAGGGCCGCTGCACACTCGCGTTTGGATCATTCCCTTGCTTGTTGCGCACCATGCCAACCAGGGACAGTCCGAGCACATCCGCCAGCTTCTCACAGATCTCGTACTTGGTCATCCGATCCTCCGACGAGAATTGCAGGATCTTGGGAAGCTCCTGGATGCGCTGCCGCTCCTTGACATACTTGATCACAATGTCACGGCACACCCGTGCAACATCTTCGGTGTTGGTGGGATAGCGCAGAGCCCAGTCGTCCATCTTCACGCCCGCACTCTCATCTTGGGCCTTGTACACCGCATCCACTAGGGTGTTGACGGCGCTCTCCGAGTTCTCCTTGGCAGTGCCATACAACACGGGCACCCGCAGCACGATCCCTAGCCCGGTGTCCTTGGTGGCCTCCAGCACAGCCACCTCGCCATCCCGCTTGAACTGCCCGTACAGATTCGGCGGGTTGGTCTGAGCGTCGGCCTCGTAGGGAGCCTCCCCCTCCTTACCAGGGAAAACATAGTCGGTCGAAATGTAAACCAGCAGGGCACCACGGCGCGCGGTCTCTTCTGCGAGGGTGCGGGTGGCGTCAACGTTGACCCGACGCGCCTGGTCCGGGTTCTGGTCGCACAGGTCGGGGGAACGGTTTGCGGCACCTAGAGCGGAACGGTCAGCGAGCAAGGCGATGCAGATTGGCTGCATTTCCAACAGGAGGTGGCGTACAATGGATGACTATCTGAGGTCTGCAGGGGCACGGACATCAGTCAGATTCAATTCGTGTACAACGCGGGTGTGAGATGGGGGGGTATTCAGTGTAAGATGCAGGCGGAAGCCGTAGTCGGGAATTGATTTACTTCGCTTCGTTCAACAAATTCTTGATGTCCTCCTCCTTTTCCAAATCGGCCTTCTGTATCGTGGGAGGTATGGCTCTAGAATAGCCTTGACCAACGACCAGACAGCCGGAGTGCTTGAAGGTATTGAATACCTGTCGACCCAGAAGGCCGGTAGCACCAGTGACAAGAACAGTAGTCGACATGTTTCCGAATTGCGTTTCAGTAGAGGACATGGTGGAAGAGAACAAAAGAAAAGGGATAATGACGCGCTGAAGAGATGTTTCTGGTAGCTGGTCAACTGCGGGGCATCTTCATGACGTAACGACGGGTTGGTCTCTTACTGTCTATTTTCTTCTCGGAAGAGTGGGTTGGGAGATGAGGGTCTGTCACGGTGAGCTGATCGGGATGGATGGGTCGAGACACAGCGTAATGGGCCAGGCACAATTGATCACCAACTGAACTTGGAGATGAATGTACTTCTGATTTGTGAGGCTGCATTTGATGCGGGGCTTGGCACCTCGTGCTGCCTCGATTCCTCTTTGGGAAGTCCATTGCTCTCAGTTTCATCCCACCAACAATACTATCACAATTGGTTATCATGACACTCCCATCCGTCTTGAACATCAATTGATGAGAGGCTATCTGAAACTACCATTCAATACTGCATCAATTGATCCAAGTCTACAGAACTGGTTTCCTCTTCTTTCCACCAGTCACACATCCCGGTCGCCCTTGTCAATATCAAGGGATATTAACATAAACGTCACAAGTCAATACCAAATCAGACAAGAGAATCATCGTCATCATAATGGCCACTCATCCCGATCATCCGCGGCGTACTGTCATCATCCCATCTAGCATTCCCAGTCCAGGGAGAATGAGTTGAACCGAGATCTCCGCCGTACAGGCCGATACCGCCCTTCCGACGGGACGGAAGCACCACCGGAGGACCTCCACAACTCCGACCGGTAAGCTTTTTAGACTTTCAGATATAGCCTTTGGCTCTTCTCCGTCTTCCTCACCACCAACCACCCATCATGTCCGGTGCCAGGAACCTCTCCGTCGCCCTTCGACGGGCTCGCGTGCCCAAGCCTCGCTCTCTGCTTCGTCCTCTGTCCGTCTGCGCTCCGTCTCCCGCGGCGAACTCCGTCCGCGCCTTCAGCGTCACCTCCGCGGCCAATGCGACCAAGGAGATCAAGTACACCAGCGCCGCCTACCCCAACCTGAAGCGGGATTCCAAGTTCGCCGAAATCTCTGCCGACGATGTTGCTTTCTTCAAGGAACTGCTGGGCGCCCAATCCGCCGTGATCGATGGCGTCACCACCGATGCGGCCGACGATATCGAGCCCTTCAACAGCGACTGGATGCGCAAGTACCGCGGTCACACGAGACTGGTTCTCAAGCCCCAGACGAAGGAGGAGGTCAGCAAAGTGCTGCAATATTGTAACGAGAAGAAGTTAGCGGTGGTTCCTCAGGGTGGCAATACTGGACTGGTTGGCGGTTCCGTACCGGTGTTTGACGAGATCGTCATCAACCTCTCTCGCATGAACCAGATTCGCTCCTTCGATGAAGCTTCTGGTGTGCTGGTTGTCGATGCCGGTGTCATCCTGGAGGTTGCCGACCAGTACCTCGCTGAGCGCAACCACCTCTTCCCCTTGGACCTGGGCGCCAAGGGCTCCTGCCATGTCGGTGGCAATGTGGCTACCAACGCTGGTGGTCTGCGTCTGCTCCGCTACGGCAGTCTCCACGGCACCGTCCTCGGTGTGGAGGCTGTTCTGGCTGACGGAACTGTCGTCGACTCTCTGTCCACCCTGCGCAAGAACAACACTGGATACGACCTGAAGCAGCTGTTCATCGGCTCCGAGGGTACCATCGGTATCATCACCGGTGTGTCCATCCTGTGCCCCCCTCGTCCCAAGGCTGTCAATGTCGCCTACTTTGGTCTTGAGAGCTACGACCAGGTCCGTCAGGCCTACCAGGAAGCCAAGGGACACCTGTCTGAGATTCTCTCCGCCTTTGAGCTCATGGACGGCCGCACGCAGAAGCTCGTCCACGAGTCCACGGGAACCAAGTATCCCCTGGAAGGCGAGTACCCGTTCTACTGTCTCGTCGAGACCAGCGGATCCAACGCCGAGCACGACATGGCCAAGCTGGAGGGATTCCTGGAACACATCATGGGTGAGGGCATTGTTGCCGACGGTGTCCTGGCTCAGGACGAGACCCAATTCCACGCCATCTGGCGCTGGAGAGAGGGTATCACGGAGGCACTGAGCCACTTGGGTGGCACCTACAAGTATGACGTCTCCATTCCTCTGCCGGAGCTGTACCAGCTGGTCGAGGACTGCAAGGAGCGTCTGACGAAGCTTGGATTCGTTGGCGACGACGACTCGTTCCCCGTCCGTGCGGTTGTGGGTTACGGCCATATGGGTGACTCCAACCTGCACTTGAACATCTCTGTGCGCCAGTACAACAAGGAGGTCGAGAAGGCCATTGAGCCTTGGGTGTATGAGTGGATCCAGAAGCGGAACGGTAGCATCAGTGCCGAGCACGGTCTCGGTCTTGCGAAGAAGGAGTTTATCGGATACAGCCAGAATGATACCATGGTGAAGTTGATGAAGCAGCTGAAGGGGCTATACGACCCGGTGAGTATCTTGCTAAATATTGATGATGCATTACTGATTTTGGCTATAGAATGGAATCTTGAACCCTTACAAGTACATCTAGATCGCAGCGTGCATGTTCGGAGTTACCTTGATATCAGATTTAAAAATGGAAGTTATTTGAGCAAAATTACAGCGTAAGCTATGAGCATTAACCTTTGGTTGTCCAAAGTAAACGTAATTCTCATAAGGAAGCCACTTTTAACTGACTCGATCCATAATATCGATCTGACGTGAGATTTTAGCAACAATCTGTCTTCTCAATAGACAATAAGAGGGGTAAAGTCTAGCCCTCAATATCCGATCCTACTATACCATCTACCGTTTAGCAAGATTCAGCCATCTCTACCTGCGAGCAGCTAATTGACTATCGCCATCCACATATCCCTGTCCAGTAAACCATAATCAAACCCTCTCAGATAACATCACCATATGCGCCAATATATCAACCTTAACATACCCACACAGTATACAACTCAAAACTACTCTCCCCTCCAATAACTACAACATCTCACGGATATGATCCCATCTAACTCCGCAAACTCCGCAACCATCTTCTAGCCCCCATCGGAGTAAATGGCATTAATCCTCAATCCCCGGATGATCATCACATACATAGATAGATACTAAGATAACCTTACCTGATTAAATGCCCCCACCACAGCATATAAAGCCAGCACCACCCTTCCCTATCTATCCCAATTATCCCTCTACACCCCCACCCCCAATCCAAACCAAAAAGATGACCCAACAACAACAACAACAACAAACGTGGCTAATAACCGGCTCCTCCTCCGGCCTCGGCGCCTCCCTCGCCATCGCCGCCCTGCAAGCCGGCCACAAAGTCCTCGCCACAGCGCGCAACCCCACCACCGCATCAGCCCAAAACCCCCAAATCGCCTCCCTGGGAGGAATCTGGATCTCCCTCGACGTGAACGATCCCTCCACTCCCAGCAAGATCGAATCGGCCATCAACACGCACGCCGACGGCATCATCGACGTAGTCGTCAACAACGCAGGTTACTCCCTCCTAGGAAGTATCGAGGACATGAGCGAATCGGAGATTGAATCCCAATTCAGTACGAATGTGTATGGACCGATACGGGTGTTGAAAGGTGTATTGCCCTTCATGAGACAGAGGAGGGCAGGCACAGTCGTCAATATTAGTAGTAGTGCGGGTGTGGATGGCGCGCCGGGGTGTGCGGTTTATGCGGGGTCGAAGTTTGCGTTGGAAGGTCAGTCATCTATTTACCTCTTTATATCTGTGCGTTTATGTGGGGAAGGGGTATATGCTGATGTTGGGTGATGGTGGTGGTGGTGGGAGTAGGTATGACAGAGTCTTTATCGAAAGAACTCCATCCCTTTGGGATCCGCGTCCTGCTGGTTGAACCGGGGTACTTCCGGACCAAGTTCTTCAGTGCGTTTGTGCAGCCTGCCGCGGGACTTACTGAGGATTATGTGGGGACGCCGGTGGAGGCGGCGCTGAAGTTGATTAAGTCGAAGGATGGGAATCAGGAGGGGGATCCGGAGAAGGCGGCGCTGAGGATTCTGGAGGTGGTGATGGGGACGGGGATGGCTGCTGATATTACTGACAAGGGGTTTCTGAGGGTGGTGTTGGGGTCGGATTGTTGGAAGAGGTTTTCGGGGAAGATTGAGGGCGTGAGGGAGAATTTGGAGGCGATGAGGGAGATTGCGCATTCGACTAGTTTTGACGAGTAGACTAGTAGGGTTGTTGGGATGGTGAGAGGATAGATTAGGGTTGTATATATCACTATCATGTGCAGGAGAATGACAGCATAAAAGTTTGTTCGCTGGATATCAGAATCATCAGGAGGCTGATAGAAGGCTAATAAAATCCATCAAACATAGCTGTCCCCTCCATAAAACTAGCCATTAACCCCGCGTCCATCATTTCGTAAGCCTGAAGCATGCTCAAGACCTGCAAGTCATTCTCGGCCGCTTGAGCAGCGCTACTACGCTGCGGCTGCGTCTTCTCCTGCATCAGCGCAGCACACGCTGAAGCACGAAGTGACATAAGCTTCTTGGTCGACTTGTCCAAGAATCCATTAGCTGACTCGCCTTCTTCGCCTCTCGACGCCTTGGCTTCCTGCACCCCGCTGATCAGGCGGTCCGATATCCACAGAACATCCACGGTCGATCGCACCAGGTTTGTGTCCCAGATGGGGTCGTTCATCGTCGACAGCGTCATGATGACTAGGATGCTCCGCGCTAGGTAGTTGAAGAAAAGGAATGAAATTCCGATATAATCATCAGTGGACGATATCTGGAAGAAGCTATCGAGGGCTGATCTGGCGGTTTCGAGACATGCGTGGAGTCCTTCGAGCCTTTGTAGGTCTGGAGTGTCTTGCTTTTTAGAGAGGACCAGGCCGTGGATGGTCAATTCGGTGTAATATGTCGAGGCACGGAACAGGCCTGTTCATGATGAGACATGGTTCATCTGGCAACGGTATGATCATTGATGCACTCACTATTCTGTCGCAGTTCAGGTGTTATACTTTGCTTGACTTCATTGACCTTCCGCTGCAAGGCTGAGAGGTGAAAAGCTGCTGGAACGGCTGTTGATGCAATTCGAATATGCTCCGCCTCTCTTGCAATACGGTGCAGTCGGACTTGATGGGCGAACACTTCGTCAAGCGGCGTTTCACGTTTCCGAGCCAGGGCTTCAAGGCATTCTTCCATATGTGCCGTCCACTGCATTGGTTGGATGTTGTCAAGACATGTCGATACGCTGGCTGCGTTAGGCATAGATCAAGTATGAGTGCTTGCAAACTAACATGGAGCTCAAGACAAAACATGCTAGGACCGCTCGCTGCTCCTCAAGCGTCCGAGTCGGCCCTCTCGATGATGTGCAGCCACCGAGCCCGGCAGTAAGTACATTAGAGTCATCAGGAAGCGGCTTGTTGAGACGCAGTTCGTACACAACAGTTATAGCGAGCTGTGTAAAACGCGGCAGTCCCATTGCGGTATCGTGTAGTAAGTGATCGTAGCCCCAGGCTAAAACTGTTAAAAGACCTAGCAGGAGATCAAGGTTCACTGCCCCCGGGTCACTAGAAAGAAACATTCTTTCCGTGGCAATCTTTCTGATCTTCTCCCCTAAGGCGAGCTTGGTCGGTATTGACGGACATGTCACTGCCATAATGCAGAGGAACAAAAATGGCCGCTCCTGGCGCATCCATTGGGAGTCGCTAGGAAGATGTAGAAAGGGAAAGTACTGAAGCATGCGAGTTCGAAATATGTCTAGAGACTCTTCCGGTGAAAACTCCAAGCTGTCCAGATTGGACGTCGGCACTGCGGGGGCAGTGTATACATCTCCAGAAGTAGCAGGAGAAGTGGAGTTAGATGGTGGAGCAGAAAGAGAGTTTTCGATAGAACTATTGCAGCTACTTGGCGCACGATGCGGCTGGAGGGATGACACAAGTTCATCCAGCTTCCCTTCTAGCTGAGCAATGCGCGCGACGGTGTTGTTCTTCTGGGACTGCATGGCTCTCGTCGAGGTCCCTCGCAGGCATGACTTGTTCAATCGATAGCATCTCTCGCACCCCTGACCCCCTGGTCGGTCAACGCATTTGCATTTGGCTTTTGAGCAATTTAGACAGGCCTGTTCGCCCGCCTCCGTAAGCAAGATATAGATAGTGGGCGGGCGATACATACCCGTCCGTATGACTGAGGAGCCATTCTTGGCGTATCCTGGACAAGGCTTGGTTTTGATTATATAGCCGCTGCCGAGGAGACACTACACATCTTTCGAACTGAAGGATAGGAGAAGGGAAGAAGAGGGGTGAGAGCGATGGAAGGTCTGCTTCCATGATCATCGGGGTTCGGCACGCCGGATACCGATGCACCAGGTGTGCTCGGAGATCTCCTTTCATAGAATCATTAAGGATCGGGAATACAACTAATGATCAATTGGCTAGAATTTATGGAAGAGTCAGGTATTATGATATCTCTGCAGGAAGAAATGAAGCTATTTCCCAGAACTGTAAGCATATCATGTGTGGTTCTTCACAGTATACAGACTCGATCTATGTATGGATCGGGGTTCGGAGACCGATCCCGGTACCATATTGGATGACTCAGGGAAGAGCATCAACTGGGAAACTTTCAAGACGGGGAATGTAAGGGAGACCCAAGGAAGAATCAAGCATGAACAACAAAACCTAGTTGAGTAAGATGTGACGTATCATTCATAGTGTCCATAATACTCGGTATCGAGTCACAGCTTTCATTATCTGCGAGTTCTGTCCTCCCTCCTCTGTAGAGGATCACCATCTGACTATTAAGAATTTCTGTAGCTCATTTTTATGACCAAATTCTTCTCTATGGCTAAGGAGCTGTCCGGGTCAGTTATAATTGCAGAGCAGTTCTGTCTATGAATTTAATTGTAGTCCAACTTAAGAAGATTCATTTTAAACCTCTGATCCGCAAGCGAACGGCAGAGGTAAGTTGTTACTTAGTGAAAGCTTCTTCGCCACATTCCCTTCAAGCCCTTCAATATACATAGGACGCTTCATATAATAGCAAAAGTAGAGGCTAACATAACGAAATTATAGTCTGGCAATTAGCGTACGGCCCTTGACTGTGAGCTAAGCAATTACCATTACAACAGACAAACTTTTATGTCATTCAAGCCGGCGTAACAGACACCTTAGTGCCATTCCGGGAGCACAGAGTCAAGGTCAAAGCCTCCTCCCACGGTCCTGGATCCTGGCTCTGTAAGGTCCTGAATTCTTGGGCCAAGCGGACAGTGACATATCCGGCTTCAGTCAGCGCATATTGCTGACCGAGACAGATGCGTGGGCCCCCGTTGAAGGGAAGATACTCCCAACGAGGCTGCAATTGTCCGTTCTCCCAGCGCTCTGGGCGGAATTCATCTGCATCGGGTCCGAAGATATCTTTTCGCCGATGCATCGCATATACATTGTACTCAATTGTAGACCCTTCGGGGATGAAGACCGGAGAGCGACCATCCTTACCTCCTCCCCTCGGCAGCACAGTATCTCTCAGTGCGATGCGCCCGTTCATTGGTACGACTGGATGCAACCGTAAAGCTGATGGATTGGTCAGAGGCATGAGATATGGGCCAGAGTTATAGCACAGTCGACTCACATTCATTCATACAGCATCGGAGGTACTTGAGATTTCGAAGCTCCTCATACGAGGGCAATCGGCCCTCCAATGTAGCTACTTCCTGACGCAGTTTGTTCCAGATCTCTGGGCGCTTCGCCAACACGAAAAACATGTTGCTCAAAAGGCCGGCCGTGGTGTCGCGGCCGGCGAGCAGAACGTTCATGAGCTCGTCCAAAATGCGATGTTTATCGGAGGTGCGTCGTGCCAGTTCATGAGAAAAGATATATCTCTGATGTTTTGTCTCTTGGTCTGCTCCCTTGGACTGTGCTGCTTGGACTGCCTCGTCGACAAACCGCTCAGCGAAGTCCCGGCATAGACGATAACATTTATCTGCCTTCCTCTGAGGAAAAATTCTACCTAGCGGTCCCAGAACGAAACGCAATGTTATGGCTTCCTGGGCATAGTTAAAGGCCTGAGCAAAGCCAAGCTCGGACTGGACCATCTGCAGGCTGCCGACCGACTGACCGAACAGGAATGCGGTGGCCGAGTCAATGGTGTAGCGGAAAAAGAGATCCTGCAGATCCACGACCGTCACTCCATCACGAGGAATCTGTGCAAAGAGATCAGGGATCAACTCTTCAAACATTGCCAGATCCGCAACCTGGTCGCGGGTGAAGCTGGGCCGGATGAGGGCACGGGACGCGGCCCAATGGTCACCATCTGTGTCAAAGATACCTTTACCCAGAAGCGGTTCGAAATGTGGGAGACGGTGGCCCAGACCCCAGTCCTTAAAGCTCGTCGATAGGACTGATTTTACATTCTCCGGCTCCATAGTGAAGACTCTGTAGTGGCCCAGCAATAGTTTCCAAGCGTAGGTATCCCCGTAGAGATGATAACGCTCGGTGTTTTTCTCCAGGGAAATGTGCTTTCGGAAATAGCGAACGGAGGCCCAGACTTGATCAAGTGCCAGGAAAGGATCCTTGTTGACACTGGGCGGTTCCTGACAGCCATGGCGGCGTGCGAAGTCGCGGCGGATAAAATAACGACGGATCCTGGAGGTGACGAAGGTGAGTGCTGCCAGGACCGTTACCAGCAGGAGTACCTGGTTTGTGTGGGAGTTAAACAACACTCCCATGGTGGATTGGTCGATACGACGATAGAATGTTGGTTGAGTGAAGTAGTGAAAACGGGAGGAGAAGAGAGGGGTTAAGTGTCAACTACTGAAAAGGTTATACCCCCAAGCATCGCTCCCTCCGAGATTCCAGACCTACAGAACTACTAAGGACTACGGAGTGTATACATCGACGATCCACGGTAGCTTCGGTCACACGGACTCTTCGGCTACCGAGACTACAGATGACCTCTTAAAGATGTGTATCAACACCCAATAGCCAGTAACGTAGTAACTTAAATGTACGTAGTCACGTGAAATACTGACCGAAAGCTGCATTTGTAGGGTGGGTGGAGCGGGGAGGTACCTATATAAACCGAATTTTTGGTACTGTCATGTTCTGCATAGCTGATTTGTAACCAGTTGTACTTTTAGTAGAATTTGTTGGTTGTGAATTAGATATAGCATCGTTTGAAGATACACCCCCAACTACTACGCATCTAAATACTCCAGTTATTGAGTACTGCCAACCCCGGGTGAACAGTTCGTAAGCATAGGTCATGGCGAATAGCGTCACGGAGTACTCCGTGTAGGGTAGCACCAAGTAGCACCATATGCTGGAGGCCTTGGCGAGTTGAACAGACGTGACGAGGATATTGCATAAGCTGAGCTCTCCGGTTGTAGACAATGCATCCGACAGTTCTTAGGCAGCATGGATAGCTAGGCTTCCGGATTCCCGAGACAGCCGACGGACCCTAGTCAGACTAGTAATATGCTATATGTAACTAAACTATATGTAAGCTATCAGAGAGTAAAAGATGACAGGCTATGCGGGGAAAGCAATTTAACTCTTAGGCCCCCCGTCGATGATGTTGCCAACGACAGCGAGGCACGATCGAGACTTGATCCGTATTCATCAAGTGGCTGCTGAGCCAGCGAGAAAGAAAGCTGCACACCTCAGTGTAGGACACTATCTTATCCTTGTCACCTGCAGAGGTCAGAAGCTTAATCCTGGGCTGAAGGAGTGCTAAGTAAGTAACTACTTTCTAATAAGTTGAAAACCAAGTACTCCGTACAGCCTGGGCAAATCCAAATAGACAAGCAGCATGTGATCTGACATGTCGGCACCCAAAATAATCCGAGCCGGGCGGTCAGCGGCAGGCGGTGAAGGGGTAAGCAGCGGGAACCATGGTTGCCATGAGCTACCGCCTGTTGTGTCTGCCGCGAACCATGGGAGCGAGCGGCTGCCGACCACCGGATGCGCGACGGGCTGGTCCTTGAATGGAGGAGTCCTTGGTAGATAGCCTCAGCTCTCCGGTGATTGCTCCTCCATCCCTCCGCTCTCCAAGGTCGGTTCACTCGAATTTGTTCGGCTCAGCTTCGATATCTTGTTCCCACAGGATTAATTCAGCTGGCTGGCTGTGCGGGTTGCCCCTTGTGTGCTGAGTTGTGTGTGGTCCCTGCTCACCTTTTTCCTCTTTCTTTTTTTTCCTCTCCACTTTTCACGTCGTCGCTGTCTCATACGTGTGGAGGAGTTACTCCTGCACGATAATCATGGAGGACGACATGTCAGGTCATTATCAGATGCTGGAGGAGCTGGGAAGTGAGTGGTCCTGCGGAATGTGTCAGTGGAGGCAATCGCATTGGGAACTGACCGTTTGCACCTGCAGGTGGAAGTTTTGGGACGGTGTACAAAGCCATTGAAAAGGCTACCGGAGAGATTGTGGCGATTAAACATGTGCGTGTGACTCTGCATGGCTTTTTGGCCCGGTGAACGTATCAATTTATTGACATACATCTCCCCGGTTACAGATCGATCTCGAATCCAGTGAAGATGATATCCAAGAAATCCAGCAGGAAATCTCCGTCCTCGCCACCTGTGCTAGCCAGTTTGTGACGCAATACAAGGCGAGTTTTCTGAGAGGTCATAAGCTGTGGATTGTGATGGAGTATCTCGGTGGTGGATCCTGTCTGGACCTGGTAACCCATGAGTGACCTGTCGATTCTGGATGCGCTTCGCTAACCACTTCCAGCTGAAACCCGGCGTTTTTAACGAAGCCCACGTCGCCATTATTTGCCAGCAGCTGCTGCTGGGTCTGGATTACCTGCACAGCGAAGGCAAGATCCACCGCGACATCAAGGCCGCCAATGTGCTTCTGTCGCATACCGGAAAGGTCAAGCTGGCGGATTTCGGCGTGGCCGCACAATTAATCAACATCAAATCCCAACGCAACACCTTTGTCGGAACGCCGTTCTGGATGGCGCCCGAAGTGATCCAGCAGGCTGGATACGACTACAAAGCGGATATCTGGTCCCTGGGTATTACGGCGATCGAGATGATCAACGGCGAGCCGCCACACGCCAGTACTCACCCCATGAAAGTGCTTTTCCTGATTCCCAAGGAACCTGCCCCCCGCTTGCAAGGCGATGACTATAGCAACACCTTCAAAGACTTTATCGCACAATGTTTGACCAAGGACCCCGACCGAAGACCGAGCGCCAAGGATCTCCTGAGACACAAATTCATCCGCAATGCGGGGAAGACGGAGGCTTTACAGGAACTGATTCACCGGAGGCAGGACTGGGATGCTGGTCGGGGTGTGACACACAAGGTGAAGTACTATGCAGAGTCTCTGTAAGTGGCCCGCCCGCGAACACACATCACATCCACTAACTACTTTGCGGCAGCAATACGATTCGGAACCTGGATGATGATGACGGATGGGTCTTTGATACCGTGAAAGCCCCAACAATGGCTATCCGCGAAGAGCCTGACGAGTTTGAGAACGAGCCTGAACCCCAGGATTGGGTGTTTGACGAAGCCTCCGAGCTGATGGACGACTTGCACATCTCTAGCCCACCTCTTCCACCAAAGCATGCAACGAATACCGCCGTGAGACGGACACCGGCCCCCGAACGCAGTCCATCCTTGCGGCGTGCCAAGCGGCGATCCAGCGGCGTGAAGCAACCTCTGGGCGTGGACATGAGCTTTGGGAACAGTCCATCGACCGTCCGTCAATTCCGTCGGGTGTCGGATAAGGTCCCAGCCGAAGCTTCGTACCCTCCGCAGTATTCCTACACGGACGAAAATGCCAGTCCCAAGACGCTCTTCTCCGAGCCCAACAGCAAGGAAGCACAGCTGGGCCGTCGCGCATACAGCAAGGCGGTGGGACTTGCCTGTCAGGAGGTGTTGGGCACGACGGGAGATGATGAGAAGCGCGAGGCCATTTCACGGCTGGCCGAGGCGTGGAGTGATCTGGAAATGATCGACCCCGAGGGTCTGTATCATATCGTGAGGGCGATGACGGAGCGACTGCAAGGGTAAGTGGCGATTTTTCCTGCAGCGAATGGCAAGGGAAGCTGATTGAAATGGCGGTTACTCTAGCGACCCCAAGTTGGCCAGCCTCGTCCCACCTGCTCCACCGGCCGAGTCCCCACAGAGGCCGCGACTGGTTCTGGCACAAAACAACCCACATCTGAAAAGCCACCGGCGCCGCCAGAGTGCGGCAGTGGCCGAGTCCAACCTGCAGCCGGCGCAGCTGGCGAATCTCCCGGGCCAGCAAGTACCGGGCATGGAGCACACGAAGCAGTTGTCCGATGTGCTGTATCAACGATGGTCGGAAGGCCTCCGCAACCGCTGGCCGGGGATCTAAACTCCTGGTGTCCCTGACGTTATTGACAGGATCCCTTGCGGCTCTTGTCTTCGATTGATACGTTCTATTTTTATTTCTGTACAAAAACGGTTCCCGGGGCGTTTACATGTTGGGTCCATGGGCTTGTTGTATGCTGCACCTATTGATTTTCATTCTCTGCATAATTCCCCCTCGCTTGGTACGGATTCTCGATGCATTGGGCTTCTCGGGTTGTGGCCAACCTGGAGGCCAGCTGCTGGTCGAACTGGTGTGGCAGCGTGGCACATCCCGTTGGGGACTGGTTCGATGGCTCAGCTCCGAATCTCCGCGATTTCAATTCTGATGATTATATTTCGGGCGAGCATATGTACTAAATTCTGTTCTGATAGATAGTTCTTTTTCTGCTTCTCTTTTTCTTATTGCTTTTGATGTGATCATTGTTGCGTTTTGGTTGGAAGGATAATCTTGGACCGTGTATGGACTTTTATGTGAACTATAGCTGGTGTTGGGGGGAAACCAGGCGATCTGCGACCTGCATGTATGGGTAACCACAATCCTATTTAAAATCTACTATGTATATGCTGCATTATAGGAACACAATAATAACGGGAAGTACCAGCCGAGCAGACAGACCATCCAGACCCCCGAGAAGACGGGCCCGGACAATACGAAAGTTTAAAAATAGGAGCAGTAATTTGGGAGATGAGGAGTGAGGGAGGAACTAATAGCAGGACCACCTCGTGAGCGGGAAGTTAGAGAGAATAAGAAAGACAAGTTGCAGGTAAATTGGCATCACGTTGGGGCTGTCAACCACATGAGGAGGGGGATGATGATCCTCATTGATAAAGCTGCTCAATCCTTCCCCCTTGCGTGCAGGTCTCCCCGCATCGTGCAGGCAGATAAATGGAAATGTGTGTGATGGACGATCATGTAGTAGATAGATATTATCATATATACTAACTACCTACCCAGTATACCCAGGAATTCCGAGGATACAACTTCTTGCATCGCCCATCATCATCTAACTACGGGTGTAATTTCCATAGCGCATCTTCACCCCCTGAAGAGACGAGAGAGAAATGAGGACGCGGTGAAACGCAGGACTGCAGGCGGAAGGGATGCGCGTTGCGACCCGCCATCGCCCATCCACTTCCTCCTTCGCCCGCGAGCTTCGTGGTTTTAGTGACCTTCACTAAGACCCGTTGGCTCTTAGCCATGCTTTCGCTCCCTCGGCCAGACCTTTTTTTCTCTCTCTCTCCCAGTTTGCATTTTTATTCGATTTGATTTGATTTGATTACATTCCTTCTCTCTCTTGGCCGTGCTGCTTCCCGGCCCGTTTCTTTCTTCTTTTCTCTTCTCCCTGACCTTCTTCTCTTTCCTCTCCTCCCTTTTCTGCCTCCAACGACGAACGTTGTTTATGCGGCTGATTGGCCCCATACATTCTTTTTCTTATCAGCCAATTCCCTTTCCTCCTGCCGCCCCCTGGAGGATTCGTCTGTCTCACGGGCCCCTGATTGATTGTTTCTGTCCTTCTGGTCGACTCTCGAGGGTTTTGCCATGATTCTGTCGCTTCAGCTTCTGTAACCAACTCCCCAGGCCCCGTTTGATCAGTCTCCATCCTCAGCACGCTGGTCCGTCATGGGGGATTCCCCGGGAACGGGCAGGGCGGGAATGGCTCCGGAAACGTCCCAGACATTGCTGCAGCTGTCGTCGCCCGACCACATCACGCACCACCACCCAAACCCTCCCCCTACTGATGAGCATGATCGAACTACCCTTCAGTCGAAGCGATCCTCTCTGCCAGCACGTCCAAATGGTGCTGCTCGACACGCCAAACGACTGACCCTGAACTTCCCCATCAATATCCCACCGCCCGCCACCGTCGACCCCAGTGCGAGTGTTGCCTCCCCTGGATCCATGACGCCTGTGACTCGTTCCTCCGCCTACCCCTCGCCGATCCCCCATCTCGGGGCTCCCTTGGCCTTTGACGAACAAGATGATGGCTCCGGGCTGTTGACCGCCATCGCCTCACAGGAAAGAAGAGTGCTAGAGCTGCGGGAGGAGCTCCATCGTGCGGAGACTGAGCTGGACTCATTGAAAAAGCAGTGGGCCTCGTCGGAGAGGACCAAAAAGCGAGCGGAAATCAGCTATCGGGCAGAGCCTTTGATCCCGCTGCGATCGCCCGATCAGACTCCGGAGCGCTCGCATCGTCGAGACCCCAGTCTGAGCGGCTCCGCGAGCCCCTCGCTAGCGCACGCACGACTCAGCCGGGAGCTGGACCGCCGCCACAGTCTGCGCGCAGCTGCAACCCAAGGCACGACCGTCTCGGCTAATGGACGGCGGGTGTTCCGAGGCTCTCACACTCGGACCCTGTCCTTGCTGTCGCCGGTCTCGGTTTCTGGAGACGGCAGGGCCGCATCGGAGTCGGAGACCAACTCTGTGAATGGTCGTATCGGCCGGTCTCCCCGGTCAGCCACTCTGCCGTCGTCTGTGGAGCGCAGTGCAGGTTCGGGCAACTCTTCCAAGCCCACCGACGACATGATCGCTCAGTGGCGAAACACCATGCCTCCTCCGTCTCGCGAGGCGCTGATGCGCACCGGCAAGCAAATGGCGTCGGACCTGCGCGAGGGACTCTGGACATTCTTGGAGGATATCCGACAAGCAACCGTGGGAGAAGAAGGCATCAGTGCGACCGAATCCCGCGGAGTGCCGCCCGTGCGCAAGCGGGATTCATCTAGCTCGACATCGCGAAGCAGAGACCGGTTATCCATGCAGGGGGGCAGAACGTCACGCGCGGGGACGAAATATTCTGGTAAAGACTCCAACTCGGCGGACATTGACGCGTCGTTCTGGAGTGAATTCGGCATTGATACAGCTGGGCAGAAGTCCCGGAGCGCTCGCGGAGCCTCCAGTACCCCAAGCGGGCGGATCGAACAGGGCGACTCCCACATCCCCGATGTTGAAGACAACTGGGAATGGGACTCGCCGAAGAAGACACACACGCCGTCCTCAAGCCGCTCCACATTGGAGTCGAAGCAGGACCAGTCCCCGATGACGCAGAACAGCAGTCCACGTACAAGTACCAGGTAGGTTTTACTCAAGTGTTTTGATATCTTTTCGTAGGCAGTTGTCCTCGTCTTTGTCCTTTACAGTGATACGCTGACTGGCACTAGTTTTGGCAACTGGCGCGCCCTGCACGAGTCCATTGTTCCCGATCCCAGCGTATCCGACGGTATCCCTTGGCCGGCCATTACCAAACTGGCGCCCTCGAAGTTGACCCGGACTGCGTCCAATCTGATGGCCGAATGGGAGCGGAGTCTCTCCCCCGAGCGAAAGGAACCCTATTCGCCGATCGACAAGGACGACAAGCGTGATTGATTGCCCAATTACTTTGAATGTGCCGTTCGATTACGGCCTTTCGATTATTATTATTCTTCCAATGCTATTGTAAATATGGACACGATATGTGCGACCAAACTGAGACCGACGGATTAACGCAGGGTTATGAATGTTGCAATACCCTTTACGATGAGCGTTGATTTCACTCTTTATCTTCTTGCATGTTTTAGAATGTATTTATGTTATCAGCACTGGCTTGTAAAATACGTTACATCTGGTAATTTCCTTTGTATCAGTAGCAACCTTGACTATTCATTTGACGCCTCTATACGAGAGTCTATAGAGTGTCGCGAAATCCCGGGATATCACGTGACACTGCAACTCTGGCACCTCCCGCGTCCCGTAAAAATAAATTTGCGCCCGTCGCCATCTCCGCAAAAAGTCCGGGGATGCGATAATCGGCCGTCTGTCTACCTACACCACTACCACCGTGTCGCGGAGCTCCTCCAACCACTCCAACCTCCATTTCGATCCCTCTCGAGCTCCACCACCCTACCTCACACAAGAACACATCATACACAATGAACCCCACTAGCATGACCACGCCGATGGGCGGCCTCGGCGGCGCCCCCGGCGCAGCAGGACCCAACATGCAGGGCATGAGCGAGCAAGAACAAGCCATGGTGAAGATGGTACATACATACCCATCCCCCTTTAAACTCTTCCTCTCACACCCAAAGAATCAAACTAACACACCGATCAAAACAATAGATGTACTCCGCCATGGAATCCTGCCCCATGAAGACCGTCATGGCCGGAACAATGGGTTTCGGTCTGGGTGGTGTCTTCGGTTTGTTTATGGCTAGCGTATGCCTCCCCCTCTTCCCAAATACCCTCCTTAAACTCAATACTGATATCCGAGTCTTGGTATATATATAGATGTCCTACGACTCCACCTTCACCCCTCAAGGCAAAGCGATCGCCGACCTCCCCTGGAAAGAGCAAGTACGTCGCGGCTTCAAAGACATGGGCCAGCGGTCGTGGTCCAGCGCCAAGAACTTCGGTATCGTGGGTGCGTTGTACTCTGGCACGGAGTGCTGTATTGAGGGACTGAGGGCCAAGAATGATCTTACGAATTCGGTGGCCGCGGGTTGCATTACTGGTGGTATTTTGGGTGCGAAGGCCGGCCCTCAGGCTGCTGCTGCCGGGTGTGCGGGCTTTGCGGCGTTTAGTGCGGCTATTGATGCTTATATGAGGATGCCGGAGAAGGATGATTAGATTTATTGAAGATGAGGGGAGTGGGGAAGGGAGGGAGGGGGTATAATGTGAGAGGAGGTGATGGGGGTTTGGGTTTGTTTCATGGGTGGCGTTTGGGATGGGTGCATTTTATGGCGTTTTTATTTCTTTCTTTCCTGGGTGATGGTGATTGATTGCGTTGATTGAGATGTGGGATTGAGGTATTGATAGACTTGATTGAGGATCTGGAGGGTGGTCTTGACTCGACTCATTGTATATTACTACTACTGTGTATAGATAGAATAGATCTTCATTGCAGCAGTGTTACTATCTAGTATGGTGGTGGGGTTGGTGAATGTAGAGACTGGAGAGTAACTATATTCTCAGCTAGTGGTATCGAGTTATGTAGTAGTTAGAACGATGTATAGAATGACGTCAAGTCAACAATGATATAAATATACATTAAATACTGTAGTACCGCATATGCAACTTAGCTTTTGAAAATGATATGGTATAAGTGTCGGGGTTGGGTAGTAACTTGTCGAGAAGTTCTTGATGGGGCGTGGAGGTATATATATATGATATATACTGCTATGTACTAGTGGGTCTTGAGTAATATCATGAGTCCCATTGAAGTAGTACTATTACTACCAGGCTGAGAACTAGCTCTAGCATACATCGTATCTATTCACAAGTTGATATCTGATTTACATCTAAGGAAGCACAACATAGCGCTCCAAGTGCTTCGGAACCGCGCCACGCAGTCCCTTACTCTGCAGCCACGTGTTGGAGAACAGGCGGTCCGCATAGCGGTAGGCACCATCACACAAGATAGTAACGACCGTGTTACCCCTGCCCAGCTTCTTCGCCACTTCCTGCGCGGCCACCACATTCAACGCGGAGCTAGCACCGAGGTACAGACCCTCCTCATCCAGGCAGCGGTAGACCATCTCGATCGACTTCTCGTCAGGGATGTTAAGCGATCCGTCCAGCAGACCAATATCCGGCTGCAGGTTATCCGTGACACGGCCCTGGCCAATACCCTCAGTGATACTGCTACCGGTGCGCTCAACCAAGTTCCCGCCACTCTGGATATAGCTGTGCAGCACACTGCCCGGAGGATCGGCAAGGAAACTCTTAACCTTTCCATCACTGACAGTCTTCAAGTAGCGCGTGATACCAGCCAAAGTACCACCGGTACCCGTAGCACAAGTGAAAGCGTCAATCTGACCGTTCGTCTGCGCCCAGATCTCCGGACCAGTCGTCTCGATATGCGCCTGGCGGTTGGCGGTGTTGTCGAACTGGTTCGTCCAGACGGCGTTGTCCAGGGACTCGGCGTGCCGACGAGCCTGGTGGTTGTAGTTCTGCGGGTTGTCGAATGCGACGGCGGGGACGGGGTAGACTTCGGCACCGAGGAGACGCAACAAGTCGATCTTGCCCTGCGATTGGGTGTTCGGCATGTAGATGACCAGCTTGTAGCCCTTGGAGCGGCAGACGTGGGCGAGTCCGATTCCGGTGTTTCCTGCCGTGCCTTCCACCACCGTACCGCCGGGCTTCAGGAGGCCCTTCCTCTCCGCATCCTCAACGACGAAGAGAGCTGCGCGGTCCTTGACGCTGCCGCCAGGGTTCTGGAACTCGGCTTTGCCGAGGATGTTGCAGCCGGTTTCTTCGGAGAGCTTCTTCAGACGGATGAGGGGGGTGTTGCCAATTGCTGGTGAGGGGGTTAGTTATGCGATTGATTTGCCGGTGGATAGACAAGTATGGGTGCATACCTTCCGTAAGGCCGTTGGTGAAGCCTTGGGCTTTGGACACCCGGACATTGTAGGAAGTTGTTGACGCCTCCGCAGCGCGGAGGGCCGTAGTGCCAAACCGGCGGATACTTTGACGAAACATACTGCCAATGGCTCGCTAATTGTCAAACCCAGAACGCCTGGATACTGAGGGAGGAACGCGGCGATTCCCCAGATCACCGCATGCCGATGATCGGTGTTAGTAAGCTACGTCACGTGGTCGATGGCGTGATTGCTGTCACTGCCTCTACTGGAGGTTCCATAATGGAGCTGACATTGGGATCTGTAATGTATTGTTCTGTTATGTTGATATTCGTGAAAAGAGTACTGTTAGACTAAGCCTTGTGAACGTTCAGTGCAATGACATCACATCCACTGTGAACTGCATGAAGTACAGCCCAGTAATTCTTCTGTAGATTGAACCACGTGCAGCCCTAGCCCTTATCAGCCTTCCCGTTTGGGCTGTTTGTTTATCCAGCCCCGTGACAGCCTCCGCAATGTTTGGATCGGAACAGCATCAGTCTTTCTCCTGAACACATCGAACTCTTGTACACGCCAGACACGCCTTGGACGAACGACGCGCCCGGATATATCGATGCAACCAATTTAGGATGATTTATGACAACTACTGACTGCCGACCCCTTACTGAACTGTCTGAGACGAGACGTCTACCCCGCCATTGAGCCACCATGCCTGGCCGATCCGCCCGTTCAACGTCCACCGCCACGCGCAAGACCTCCGCTCAGCCCTCGCGCGCAGGCTCAGTGACCCCGTCTTTCACTATTCCCGAGGAGCCGTCTCTTCCAGAGGCTATTCCCACCTTGCGCCGCGATGTATGCTCTATTTTCGCCGATGCGCAGCGCTCGACAACCGGACATCGGAAACTCGTCGTCCGACTGAGGAAGCTCCAAGAAGCTTGCTGCGGCATATCCCAGAAAAGCTCCAAGAAGGATGGCAGCAAGCCCAAAGCAGAGTGGTCGCTTCCCATGGAAGAGACTCTGCCCGAGACGGAATTCAACACAGAGGTCGGCCGCTGCGTCCTTCGCATTCTTCCTATCAAGAAATCAGAGCCGGTCGGCGACCGGATCCTACGCTTTCTCGGCGCATTCCTGGCATTGGCTTCCGAGAAGGATGCAGAGCTATATGCTGCAGATGACGATGATGAAGATATGCAGAATTCGCCTGAGACACCAACTTCCCGCCTCACGACCAGTCTTATCAACATAATCGTTCCCCTGCTAGCAACTAAAGACAAGACGGTCCGCTTTCGCGCCACTCAGATCATCGCCCACATTGTCAACTCCCTCGAAACGATAGACGATGACCAATATCACGCCATCCGCGGCGGTCTTGTGAAGCGCATTCGAGACAAAGAGCCTGCCGTAAGAGTTCAGGCTGTCATGGGATTGGGCCGTCTCGCAGGCAACGACGACGAAGATGACGATGACAGTAAGGCTGTACTCGAGCGACTCATCGATATTATGCAAAATGATACAAGTGCCGATGTACGAAAGACCCTGCTTATCAACCTTCCTCTGGTGCCGGGCACCCTGAAATATCTCCTGGAGCGAGCCCGCGATCTCGATGCGGCCACTCGACGTGCCTTGTACTCGCGCCTTCTTCCCACCCTGGGTGACTTCCGACATTTGTCGCTGTCTATGCGAGAGAAGCTTCTTCGATGGGGTCTGCGTGACCGAGACGAGAGCGTTCGCAAGGCCACGGGTAAATTGTTCTACGACCGCTGGATTGAAGACTGCGCTGGAACCAACAACGACCCTGAAGCCGGCCCTACTGGCCAACGCTCCCCACCGAACTTCAACGGGCTTCTCGAGCTCCTCGAGAGAATTGATGTTGTCAACTCCGGAGTGGAGTCTGGAATTGCACATGAAGCCATGCGTAGCTTCTGGGAAGGCCGCCCGGACTATCGGGAGGCGGTCGTTTTCGACGAGCCTTTCTGGGAGAACCTTACCGCAGAATCGGCCTTTATGATCCGGTCTTTCAGCGACTTTTGCCGCGTTGAGCATGAAGGGAAGTACGACAAACTTGCAGACGAGAAGATGCCCGAAGTCACAGCCCTCGCGTTTTACCTACACAAGTACATGACCGACCTGTTGCAGCGGAAGAAGATCGCCAAAGAGACCGGTGATGCCAATGATGACGATTCTGTGGAGCAAGAATTTGTGGTGGAACAGCTGCTGCATATTTCCATGACTCTGGATTACAGTGATGAAGTTGGACGGCGCAAGATGTTCTCCCTACTGCGTGAGTCGCTTGCCGTTCCAGAACTCCCTCAGGAGTGCACCAAGCTTGCGGTCGAGACCCTGCGATGTGTTTGCGGTCCTAATGCCGCGGCCGAGAACGAATTCTGTAGCGTTGTCCTGGAGGCGATTGCTGAAGTACACGACACCATTGTGACCGAGGACAGCTTTGTGTCTGCAAGGTCCGAAATTAGTGATGCCAGTTCCACCCGCCACCGTTCCGAGACTCCTCAGTCCGAGGAAGAGAAGCCATTCAACAAAGAGGAGGCTAAAGCGAAGGTCCTGAAGGAGATCATGGTCAACATGAAATGTCTGCACATTGCGCAGTGCATGCTGCAGAATGTCGAGGGCAACCTCCAGGCCAACATGAACTTGGTGACTATGCTTAACAACCTCGTCGTGCCTGCCGTTCGGAGTCACGAGGCCCCTATCCGTGAGCGGGGTCTCGAGTGTCTGGGTCTTTGCTGTCTACTCGATAAGGTATGAACTGCTCTATGAACTGCTTGCGATGTCCTACTGACGTTTTACAGAATTTGGCTGAGGAGAACATGACCCTCTTCATCCACTGCTTCAGCAAGGGCCACGAGGCCTTGCAGGTGACTGCCATCCACATCTTGTGTGATATGCTGACAACGCATCCCACGTTGCTTGTGCCTGTGGAACAATCCGATGGCGAGACCGTGGCCCCGCCGGTTTTCCAGAAGCCACTGTTGAAAGTCTTTGCTCGGGCGCTGAAGTCCAGCTCGCCTAACAGCGTGCAAACAGCTGCCGCCACCGCCCTCTCGAAGTTGTTGCTCACGAATACGTTCACACCCGCGGGATCAAACATCCCCCAGGCCATTCATGAATATAACCAGACTGCCGTTGAGACCCTCCTGCAGTCACTCATCCTTTCCTTCTTCCATCCTCGTACTCGGGACAACCCTGCGCTGAGACAGGCCTTGGCGTACTTCTTCCCGGTGTATTGCCATTCGCGACTGGACAACACGCAGCACATGCGAAAGGTCGCGGTTCCCGTCATTCGCGCCACTCTCAATGCCGCCGAAGAGTTCTACTCGCTTGAGGCCGAGGAAGACAGCGATGGTGATATCGATGAGACGGTTGGTCAGCGAGAGCTGAAGGCACTGATGACTGGCGTGGTGGGTATGCTGGCCGAGTGGACTGATGAGCGGCGGGTCGTCGGACTGGGCGGGGAGAGGATCCTTGCGGGTGGTCCGGCCAACGCCAATGCTTGCGGGTTCGTCCACCTTGCCTTGGTCAAAGATATCCTCGAGCGGGTCCTAGGAATCAGCACGGGCACCAACCGTTGCTCCAAGGAAGAGAAGAAGCTGCTCTTCTCGCTTATGAGCAAGCTCTATATCGCTCCTCCTGTCGTTCCCTCGCGGTCCGGGTCCCGGGCTCCTGAAGGCGAGGATCCGTTCAGTTCCAGCGTTCGCAGTGCGCAGGCGGAAATCACACCGGAAAATAAGGAGCTGGCGCAGGAGGTGAAGGAGTTGCTGGATGAGACGATCGAGGAAGGCCTGGCTGCCGAGGCTGCCGGGCGAAACGCGCTCGTCAAGGTCAAGAATGCGGTTCTCAAGCTTCTAGCCGCGGCTCATGGAGGACGCCCGGCCAGCGGGCGAGCCCGCGAAGGCATGGAAGAAGGCGACAGCGATGTCATGAGTGTGCGGTCGAACATGAGCGTACGGTCTGGCAGCGTGCGGCCGTCCATTGAGCCGGGGACCATGCGCCGGGGCTTCTCCCTGGAGCCAAGTATCATCGAGGAAGAAGATGAAAACGACGATAGCCGGACCACGATTGTCAAGTCGGAGGGTCAGGATGACGAGTAAATCCGTAGATAGTTGGACATATGATTGGGAATGGCGTTTGAGGATGGTTCACCGGGTGCGTTGGGATGGGGATTGGCTTGACATGGGACGGGCCGTGTAGTTAGGTGTTTGGTTACGAGTGTACATGATGTTTCTAGTTGGTTGACACACTTAATCTCATGATGATATTTGCTACATGTGGTTGGTGGGCTATTCTGCGGAGATTGTACGGGAAGCGTCAGCCTGGCCCATGGCTGGCTTACTTGTGACTGGGGGGAAAAAGGGAATCGTGTGATCTGGAACGTGGACCAGGCGGTAGCTTACTGGAGCGGCGCTAGTGGCAGTTTTAGACTGGGATGAGTTGGGATGACTGTCATGGCCTGATATGGATGGCGCGTGGTGATAAGTTCTGTCGGGATTTGGGGAGGAAAAATGTCGCAGCCGGGAAGTACTCTTAGTACTGTAGGTAAGCCTGGTCTATCGGTCGAGAACTGAACATCTTCCCTGGATGAGTCAGTAGAGTAGAACCGTCTCTTCAACTGATTGGTTATTTGGTATCTCGGTGATATTAACTACAAGACACATCAAAGAACCAGAACTCCTTCACTTTCATTCCCATGAAGTTCCCTTAGACCTGTGGTAATTAATCCAGTCAGACCCAATCACGGAATCCCTCGCCCAGCAACTTCAATCTTTCGGATGCGAAGTCTGGCGGATAGTGGGCCCTTCCCTTCCCCATCCACTCCTATCATTGGTCACTACCCACAGGCACCTCCACGGAAAACTCGCGTTTTTTTTTTTTAATTTTTTCCTCTCCTCTCACTTTTTCCTTATGCTTTGGTGTGGAACAGATCGAATAATCCATTCAATTGACTTTGCTTTGACATTCCTTTGCCCGCCTCCTCCCACCCCCAAACCTGGCACGGCCATTTAGTATCTGGGCACGCACCCACGCACATGGATAGATAGTTCATTAGACAAATAGACTCCGTAAATTAGGTAATTTGTACTATTATATCCACGCTACTTCTTTCCATGTCAACATCCTCATGGCTGCTCTTGAACCTGCTGCCTGGGGGGGAAAACATATCCAGGGTTTAAGGTTAATGGGAAATGGATCAGCCTTGGAAGTCGAGCTTCCCTTTTGGCGGCGGGCGTCGGGTCGGAGATACCGTCAGAACAAAAAAGTACGGGTTTCACTCCGGACATTCCACACATACACACTTTACTGTCTGTGTCTGTCACTTGTGATTCGGTACTATTACTATTTATATTGTTTCAGGAAGGGAGGAGAAGGAGGGGTGAGTTCCGGCATTCCAGAGGCACGATTCAATGGGGGTTGAGATGTTTTATCATTGGCTCTGGGGGTACACGGTGATCGGGATGGTTCGTTGATTTGACAGGTGATTGTCGTAGGTAGTAATAATAGAGTACTTACTTACTACGACTAGTATCTAGACTGTTCGTGTTCAATGGTGGTAAGTAAGTATGGCGAAATGTCGGGTGAGTGTAAGTTGAGTGTGTATGTGTGTCAATTGACCACATGAAATCAATTGTTCTCTGCCGCGGTGTCATGTCCAGTTGTTACTTATCTGACCAGACCGACAGATACAGATCGGACACCCTGGAGGAAAAAGTGAAGAATAAATAGTAGCAATGACTGATGACTGCTGGGGTAATTGAAAGAGGCCTGTACCAGACCTGTCATACAATACGGTAAATGGCGAGTCGTGGGATGTATCGAGTAGTAAGTAGTGTATCCTCCCCGTGGAAATTCTCAGGAGAGAAACCGACAGATTAGTAGTCAAATTATTATTCGATTGTCCCGAATACCAAAAGGCTGAGGAGAAGCCGGACTTTATGGAAGAACTGGCAAGGAATTGATTCCAATCCTTTCATTCTCTCTTGATATTATTAAGACCAGTCGGCGTTGAACCGTAGACGCCGTCCAGTTGGGCCAGGATCCCCTCGAAGCCGAAACTTTTCTTTTAATCTCGACGCTCCACCACCAGAAAAGCGAACTTGTCCTGCTTTCCCATCCTGGCCTGGGGACTTTCTTTTTCCTTCCTTCCCTTCTTCCCTCTCGATCTTCTGCTTTCTCCTCCTCCCCCTCCTCCTCCTCCTTCTCCTCCTCTTTCTTCCTTTCCTTCCCCCCCGTGATCTTTTTCTTTTCTTCTCTTTCACGGCGGTCTTTTTCCCCCATACCGGTCGTGAATCCGTGTCGCCTGCTTGTCCCTGCAGAGACACGTTTTTTTTCCTTTCTCCGACCCGTCCCTTTTCCTCCCTCCTCCCTCCCTCCTCCCTCCTCCACCCCCCCTGCCCGCTCCGTTGGCCGTGAGAATCAGCCAGCGTCTAGACAACCACCGTGAGCGATGGCCGTTTCAGCTCCCACTCCCAAGCTGGATCGCTACATTGTTATCCACGTTGCGACCACCTGCGACGAACATGGAGTCTACGTCACCAAGGACTCTGCTGAAGTGATTGAGTTGGGGTGGATCTTGTTGGATACCAAAACCTGCGAGGAGGTACGTGGGATTGCTTATTTTATCTCTCATTCATTCAGTCACTGCCCCAGCCTTTCCCCCCTCCTCCTTTACAAATTCCCCTCTCTCGGATGCTTATCTGCCGTGCTTCCTTCGTCAACCGAGACCACCCCCCTCCCCAAAAGAAAGTCCTCCAAGATTCTATCATTTGCTGACACTATTTCCTTCCTCGGCTTAGTTGCACCATGAGAGCGTTCTTGTCAAGCCCGTCAACACCCCCATCACGCCTCTTTGCAGTAAGTGCACCTTGTTCGAACGCAGCCTACCCAATCACCCAACAATGCCTTTCTCTCCCTCTCTCTTACCTCCACCGTCCCTCCGCATCTATCCGTCCCTTGGTTCAATGGCTGACGGTCTTTGAAAGCGAGCTTGACGACTCTGACATGGGAACACGTCCGCTCGGCAGGCACTTTCCGCGACGCCATCAACCGCTTCGACGCTTTCGCCCAGGAACACCTCATCAGCAAGAACCTGGAGTTCGCCTTTGTGACGTTGGATTCGTGGGATCTTCGTGTACAGCTGCCTCGTGAGGCTCGGGACAAGGCAGTCGTGCTTCCGGCATACCTTCAGCACTCCCGGACATTCGACCTTCGTACCGAATATCAGCGATGGCAGACTCACCACCCCGAGTCTCTGCCCTTCGGCCCCAGCTCTCTCTCCAACATCTGCGCCGCCCTCGAAGTCGAGCCCGTCCAGTCCTCCGCCCCCATCAAGCACAACCTTCCCTTCCACCTGCAGGCGTTGGCTCCCGCCTCTCCCCGGCGCGCTATGGAGGAGGCCATCACCTTGGCCCGAGTGCTGCGCGGCTTGATCCGGAAGTCTCAGCCCCCGCATGAGCATCCCGAGATTCTCACCCGTCCCATGGATGCCAGAGCGGACGTTCGTGCCTTCCTGGCCGAGCGCAGCAAGGTTCTTCATCTCAGCGGACTCCCCCACGACACCACGCAGTCCGAGCTGGAGAGCTGGTTCACTCAGTTTGGCGGTCGTCCGATCGCGTTCTGGACCCTCCGCACCCCGGATCAGCACAAGCCTACCGGCACCGGCTTTGCCGTCTTTTCGTCTCACGAAGAGGTATGAATTAGCTTGCCATTTTCTGCTGTTATCAATTCTAGACCAGATCTCTAATCTTCCCCTACAGGCTGCCGAGAGCCTTTGCATGAACGGCCGTGCTCTTAACGAAAAGGCCATCGAGGTGTCTCCTTCCTCTAGCCGTGTCTTGGACCGTGCCGCGGAGATCCTGACGCCTTTCCCTCCCTCGAAGAACCGCCCTCGTCCCGGTGACTGGACTTGCCCCTCATGTGGCTTCTCGAACTTCCAGCGCCGTACTGCATGCTTCCGTTGCTCGTTCCCCGCGATGGCCGCTGCTCCCGACCCGATGGGATACGGTTACGGCTACGGCCCGCCGTCCATGATGCCTCCTCACATGGGCCACGGCCACGGAATGGGCCATTCTCGCGGCATGGGCGGCAACGGTGGTGTGGTGCCTTTCCGTGCTGGTGACTGGAAGTGTGGCTCCGAGGGCTGCGGCTACCACAACTTCGCCAAGAACATCAATTGCCTGCGTTGCGGTGCTCCTCGGTCTGGAGCAGCAGTGGTGGCCGATTCCGCTTTCCCGTCCCCGATGGATCCTCCCTCGAGCTTTGGCATGGGCCCCAACTCCATGACTAGCACCCCGGCACCCGGACCCTTCACGGCTAGCACTGGTGCCTTTGGCGGCTTTGGTCAACAGTTTGCCGCGCCCCCCAACAACTATGCTGCCTTGCCTTCGGGCTTGGGAAGCGCCCCGGCCGCATACCCCCCTATGGGTCAGATGAACGCTGGTTATGGTTCCGCGAATGCTTCCCATTCTGCGGCCTCGTTCTCCAACCCGGCCGCCCAGGCTGCCTTCACGGGGGCTGATCACAACTCGTCGACCAGTGCGTCCAACGGTGCCTTCTACGGCAATGATGGCTCGAGCGATCCGTTTGCCTTCCTCTCGACGGGTTTGGGAGGTTTGACTGTGGGTGAAGATGCCCACTCTCGTCGCAACGGCGCCAGTGCGAACAAGTCCCCCGCGTAAAAGGCTAGGAAACAGCAATGTTGTTTCGGCCGGGGACTTTAGAGATTTGTTTTCTACGACGGTTCTCCCTCACGGTTTTTGTCCATATGGTGGTCTGGATATGTTGGTATATGTGACGGTTGGTATTCCGTTGATGCGCATTTGTATAAGGAATTCTGCAGTTCTGGTGCATTAGGTTGGGAGGAGCAGGCCGGTAGCGTGTCGTCGTTTCGTCCGATTTGATCCTTTCTGTTTTTGCCTGGTCTCGCAGATTTGACGTCAGACCATTTTCGGTATGTCTTACTATCGTGTCTTTGCAAGCGATGTTTGAGGGTATAGAAGAAGACCGCCCGGGCAGGTGGGCCTAGGCGGTCCTATGCGCTTCTTCACCACCTGCTGGATCATCGTTTTGCGTTTGTTCTGTTCTTTTTTCATTTTCTTTCCTTCTTGGAGCGGCATGGGCTTCGCGCATTTCTCTCGTCATGGGCGCATACACCTCCGGCGGAGGGGAGGAACTCCTGTCCGGCTAGCCGCGGCGCTGGCGAGGAAGGGCTCGAGCATGGCATTGCATTCTAGATATTGTCTTTTTTCTTTTTCATTTTCCTTTTTTCCTTTTTATTTGTTGGCTTTCCGAGTTCATCTGCGCGCTTCGACAATAGGGATCATTGGAGAATCACGGTATTGATCATGGTTGGGATACAATGGAACGGACTCTGTTGGGGGTGTTGGGGTATTCCTTTTGAGCCAGCAAAATTTCAACCAGCTACGACGGATTTGGGACATCTGCGAGGCACATGGATTGGGAGTCGTGCGTGCGACAAGATTGTTCTGAGTGTCCATAATTCTTGTACTGTTCTTCATATTACTTATACTGTTCTTCGTCTTGTGTTTACATATGCTTTCCCTGCGGGATTTGTCGTTCTTTCCCTCAAAAGTCGAGACGTGATTATTGGTTTGGCCAGCCCGATGCCTGCGTTCTCTCGTATCGCCTTTCAGCGTGTGTGATGTACAGCATAGTCAGAGCTCAGCTGGGCAGGGGGTCATGGGCGATTGGGGTGTAGATCAACTATATGAGAATCCTTTCACTACCTAACCTGTGGATATCTATGCATTGGTCGTCGTGATAAATTGTGGGCGATTAAATTAAGGGTGCCATTAGAGAGGTATTTTTTTCTTTTTTTTTTTTTTTTTTTTTTTTTTTTTTTTTTTTTTTTTTTTTTTTTTTTTTTTTTTTTTTTTTTTTTTTGTTTTTTTTTTTTTTTTTTTTTTTTTTTTTTGTATTCCCGTTGTGGCCTATTTCTTGGTGGTTACTGTCTACTGCATGGAACTCGCAAGCACCAGAAGCAAGAGTTGTGCTAGGAGTAGGATCGTGGAGAACCAGCTGGAGGGAGAGCGTCATGGCAGCTAGCCGCGCGCCAAGCGCTTGGGAGCTCTCAAGGCAGCGGCGGGCCTCGCGTCCACCTCCATCTGTCATCGCCCAGCCGGACACCGGACCCCAGCATTCTACGACCCAAGACTCCGAATTGTATCTCCCTGACCTTCTTCTTTCTCCTGTGAACTTCAGTCCAGTCACCTCTTCTTCAGAATTCTCCTAATCTCGCCTACTGCCCATAATGTCTGGATATGACCGAGCTCTTTCAGGTAAGACAAGCTAGCTACGACCTTGGCTACGGGCCTGGTTGCTGAAGGGATTCCCCATTCTAACCTCTTCGCAGTCTTCAGGTATGCATCTCTAGCTTCATGAAGCTCTAGCAAACACACCCTAACCCGCCCCCAGCCCCGATGGGCACGTCTTTCAGGTGGAATACGCCATGGAAGCCGTCAAGCGAGGTTCGTCCAACCCCTCCCTCCTCTCCGACATCAAGGGAATTTCCATCCATCACATCATACTAAATCATTTTCCTTTTAACCTATTAGGAACCTGCGCCGTCGGAGTAAAAGGCAAGGACGTGGTCGTTCTCGGCTGCGAGAAGCGCTCCGCACTGAAGCTCCAAGATACCCGCATCACACCGTCCAAGATCGCCATGGTGGATAACCACGCCGTCCTGGCTTTCGCCGGCCTGAACGCCGACGCCCGCATCCTTATCGACAAAGCCCGTCTAGAAGCTCAGTCCCACCGTCTGACCGTCGAAGACCCCGTCACTATCGAATACATCACGAAGTACATTGCCGGTGTGCAGCAGCGGTACACGCAGAGTGGTGGTGTTAGACCCTTCGGTATCAGTACCCTGGTCGTGGGTTTCGACCCCAATGATAAGACGCCGAGGTTATATCAGACTGAGCCTTCGGGGATTTATTCCGCTTGGTGGGTTTATTCTCCCTCTCTTGTGTTTTGTGTTGATAGTATGAGGATGGTTTTAAGCTGACGATGGTCGGGATATAGGAAAGCAAATGCCATCGGACGCTCCAGCAAGACTGTGCGCGAGTTCCTCGAACGCAACCACCAGGAGGACATGGATCGCGAACAGACCATTCAGCTCACCATCAAGTCGCTGTTGGAGGTGGTGCAGACTGGTGCGAAGAACATCGAGGTGGCTATCATGTCGCCCGGAAAGTCGATCGAGATGCTCCCGGATGACCAGATCGAGTCGTACGTTAAGAGCATAGAGACGGAGAAGCAGGAGGAGGCGGCTAAGAAGAAGACGGGTCGCGGCGGCACCACGACGGCTGCTATTCTAACACGGCCTGGTGGCGGCGAGGGCAGCGAGAGCCGGGAGTAGGGGGATGATCATGCCGTTAATGTAGAGGCTACGTCGAATAAGCAACTATGAGACTCTCGTGCGGTGTGTGCTTTCTATCCGGTTAATTGTCTAGGGATCTTGCAGAAGCGTTACGTCCTTTTTCACGAAAATAAACTCCGTTATACTGTAATGCAGATGTGCTCCGGATATATATGAAGCTCTAGGTTCAAGGTGATATACAGAATTATTTATGTAGAAAGTAAGTGTATGCATAATTTCGTAAATCTCGTTCATCAACCCATCGGTTTGTTTTGTTGTCTTGGTCTGGCGTCTAACCCAAACGATCGGAAATATCCTTGAAGTTGAAGATGGAGCGTTCCTGGTATCCGCGAACACGGTCGTCTTTGAGCATTCTACACGAACAAGTTTCGTCAGTCAATTCTAGACATAATAGAAAGGTAGAGGGGATTGGCATCTCACCTCGAGTCAATCCTCGCATCCTCACCCTCGACCTGCAACGTCGGAGTCGGCGTAACGGCCTCAATCACGAAATGGTTATCGCAGTGCGGGCAGTACTCGTCACTAGACCCAGAAATAGGTTCAAGTCAATAAACGACCCATTTGTAACTACCCCTCCCCCTATCTCTCTCTCTCTTTTTATAGATAGCCCCTCCGGTTTATCCAAGAAGGGCGGGTGTGGGGGCGGGTGACGACGACAACGCACCTCTCATCAAACTCCGTCGCGTCTTTCCGGAAACATTTCTTGCATTTCTTGCACGCAAAGACCTAGATTTGGATTTCGGTTGGTGATTGAGGCTTGTGGTAGGAGTTTGGTTCGTGTAGGTACCATTTCAGTGGTTTTGGTGAGGGTGTGGGATTCTTGTTCTTGGTGGCATTCGGCGCAGTCGAACCATTTTTTGCCTGGCGCACGCAGGGAATGTTAGATCCGGTTTGATGGGGGTGTTTGAGAGAGGGAAGGGGGCTTACAGCAAGGAGAGCGGATGGCCACTTGGGCGTTCAGGATGTGTTTACTGAGTTGAGGATTTTGGTGAGTTGAGTTCAGGTAGAGAGGGTGAGGGTGAGGGTAAGGGTGAGGGGTATGGTTTCATACCACATTTCTAAAGTTTATACACTGGGCTGGGATATAGAGTGAGAGAGGTAATTATAGACAAGTCTGAAAGAACACAAAGATGTCTTAAATGGAGGGGGTGAAAGTGGGAAAGTTGGAGTAAAGTATGCAGTGGTTCAGGTCGGGGAGGCTAAAAATAAAGAACGATTGATGGATGGATCCATCCATTCATTCATTCCTCTCCCTCCATCAATGCATATCACGCGCGGGTCGATCATCGCCTCGCCTCGCTGAGTTCCTCTCTTTCTCTTCTTCTCTCCCCTTTCCTTTTCCTTCCCTACTACTTACTCCTCAACTTCCTCTTGTCGGTTTGGGTGACTTCATCTCCTTCCCCTCGGTGATTCCTCTCTTTTCCCGCCCATCCTCTTCTTGTCTTCCTACTACTCTCTCCCTCTTCCTCCCCACTCTTTGGATCCCTCCCTTCCTCCGTCCTTCCCCCCCTCTCTCTCCACACATTCACTGCTCAATTCCTCCCATCGCTGAGATTCCCACCTGGTGTCGTCCGGGCCATACTCCACGTCCTCCGCAGAATAGGATACCCCGTTCCAGACCATTCCTACCGCTGCACGGCGACTTGTTGTCTTTCCTGCTCCTTAATTCCTTCCGCCTAAACTGGAGCTCCGCCACAATCGTCACTCCCGGCTCACTTCCTGCCACCCGTTATCTTATCCAGCCTGGTCATTAAATTTACTGTGCCACTTTTTGGCCTCTCTGCGGTGGTAGTCTGCATTTATCGCAATTGGCGGAGCCTATGATCCATTCCTTTACTCGGCCTGTCTGTTGGATTCGCTGTTGTGGCCATGGAGGGAAACGGCAAGCAAAAGGACGCCACGGATAGTGCTCCGATTGTACGTTTGCGCCAGCAATCCCCCCCGCTGTTCTGGAGCTTCATACTAACATGCTGGCTTCTGTAGAGACCGGTGTCTTCCCTGCTTTCGCATTTCGAAAATCTCTCGCATCGTCGGGCTCCATCCGCTGCCACAAACGGTTCACGCGATACGCCGTCCTTTCTCAGAACCCCCGATTACGGTGACGATGTCCGCTCCAACAGAGCCTCTCTTGACCTACCACGTCCACGGTCTCCCTGGGGCTCGGTGCCTGATGTAGAGAGAAGTCACAGCATCGTACACGGTAATGGTCTAGCCCCGCACTCTGAATCCCCCGGGATTTCCCCGGGCAGGCGGCAGAACAGGCCCATGTCGATGAACCTCCACTCGTCGCCGCAGTTGGCACCGACTCTAACCGTCGATTCACCACGGTCTCCGCCGCGCGGGTTTGGAGCAGACCATGAGGAGGATATCCGCTCGTCTCGCACCCCGCCGAACGCTTCCCGGGAATCGCTGCCTACCATACCGCAAGGGATTCCTGCCGCTCGCCGACCAACAACCCCCGTCTCTTCGTCTTTCCCTACCGAGAGTAAAGCGGATCGTTTGTCGCCAGGCACATCAGGCTCCGTGGTAAATGGCCGCGAGAGTCCATCGGAACGCAAAGGCAAGAGCGTCTCCCTTCCCCCGCCTGCTAACCGGGCGGAGAAGCCCAAGATCCCCGCCAAACCGGCGGCATTGTCGCACCACGAAGCCAATACTCTTGCTCCACAGCTTGAGCGTGCGTCCTCGGAAGATCGCGTATCGCCATTCAGCACTCCTCCGAGCAGTCCCGAGAAAACGTCACCAAAACAACAGCCCAATACCAGAGCGGTGCCAATTCCGCGCTCGCCCTCCCGGCGTTCGCCAGCCCGTCCAGTACCTGGCCTTCCGACTCACCGGTCACTTGAGGAGAGGTCACCCGCTCCTCAGCCAGGTGTACATCGAGAGCCCTCCGTGAGGCGGCCAATCCCGGAGCCTCCCCGTGAGACGAAGCCGCTTATGGTCCAGATCCCTCCCAGGCATTACGTAGCACCGGAGCCGCTCGCAACCGCACCGCTCTCCAACTACAGGCCCCCGACGCATGATCCTCAGGAGCGCCCCGGACTGCCCCCACGACAGCCGTCCCTGGCGCGAAGGGGTGGTCCGTCACCGTCGCGGCATTCGTACCAGGTGGAAAGCCCTGCGTTCTCGCTACCTCCCCCAACACCCTACCGCGAATCTCGGCCCCTTTATCGTGACGAGCTACCCACCCCGACGCAGGTCTCTCGGCAGCCATCCATTTCTAGGGAAACTCGGCCCGTTTATCGAGACGAGCTACCAACCCCGACGCACGTCTCTCGGCAGCCGTCTATTTCCAGGGAGACTAGGCCAGTGCCGCCCCCGGCTGTCCCGGAGCGGCCCATGCCAGAGCGGACCGTGGTGGAACGTCAAGCAGTTCGCCCTATTCCTAGTGAGGATGAACAGGTTCCGGATGAGACTCCAGTTGCTCGCACGGATTATCCAGATGCGTCCAGTGCAAACAGACGGCCACCGCTGCTGAAGTCTGGGCCTCAGGAGATCCACACGCGGTATGATACGCGACTCATGGATGTATGTGGGAAGCATGTGTGCACAACTGGCTACATCACGCGGGTCTGGGACCTTACGACCGGAGAGCAAATCATGAGCCTCAGCCACGGGGAGACAGTCAAGTGTCTGTCGGTTGCCTTCAAGCCAGGTTTGGGTTTGGAGGACGAAGGTCAGCGCTTATGGTTGGGCACGAATTCCGGGGATCTTCACGAGGTTGACATTGCAACCCGGTCCATCGTCGCATCACGATCTTACCCCTCTCGACGGGAGATTGTCAAGATCTTGCGGCATAAGAAGGAAATGTGGACCCTCGACGATGAGGGTCGGCTGCTGGTATGGCCGCCAGACGAGACTGGAACTCCGAACCTCCAGTACAGTTACCACAACCCCTACGATCGGGTTGCCCGCGGGCATACGTTTTCAATGGTGGTTGGTGACCTTTTGTGGCTGGCTTCCGGCAAGGAAGTGCACGTCTATCAGCCAAATGCTCGCGATGATGTTTCCTTCAAGGTTCTCAGCAGGCCATTGGGCTTGCAGCATACGGGGGATGTAACGTCAGGTGCCTATACCACCAAGGACGGGGGTCGTGTGTACTTAGGCCATGCAGATGGAAAGGTGACGGTATACTCGGCCCACGACTACACGTGTCTTTCTGTCGTCAATGTCAGTGTCTATAAGATCAACTGCTTGGGTATTGTGGGAGACTACCTGTGGGCAGCATACAAGACTGGCATGATCTACGTCTACGATACGTCTACGAATCCGTGGACGGTGAAGAAGGATTGGCGTGCTCATGATAGCCCTGTCAGTGGATTCTTGCTTGATTCTAGCAGCGTGTGGACGATGAACCGACTGCAAGTGACTTCGCTGGGAGACGACAACTGCATCCGTCTCTGGGACGGCATGTTGGAGGATGACTGGTTGGGTAAGTAGCTTTCTATTTTTTTCCGACTGATGTGAGCTAACAGCCCGTCAGAAACGAGGATGCAGGCCAGAGACGTGGAGTTTTGCAAGTTCCGTGAGATTCAGGCGGTAATCATGACCTGGAACGCTGGTGCTTCTACCCCTGGAAGCGTGCGCACGTCCACTTTCATTCAGGATGCAATCCATCCTGAGAATCCGCCAGAGATTTTGGTGTTTGGATTTCAGGAGCTGGTGGACCTTGAGAATAAGAAGATCACAGCCAGTACGTATGCCGTTGACTTCGTTTGGGTATAGCTAACTCCGTCCAGAGAGTCTGCTCCTCGGTAGCAAGAAGAAGGAGCACGGTGATAAAGAGCATATGAGCCGTCAGTACCGGGTCTGGATGGAGCATTTGACCCGCTGCATCAATGACTGCATGCCGCTTGAGGAGTCGTATGTCCTGCTGCATAGCGCGAATCTGATCGGTCTCTTTACATGTGTGTTCGTGAAGCACAAGGAGCGGCAGCGGATCAAGAATATTGGTGCTTCAGAGATCAAGCGCGGTATGGGAGGCTTGCATGGGAATAAGGTAGGCCCACTGGTGATTCTGGTTGCTGTCAGTTGCTGATTACTGTAGGGTGCACTTTTACTGCGCTTTGTCCTCGATGACAGCTCCCTTTGCTTTATCAACTGCCACTTGGCAGCTGGTCAGACGCAGACGGCACACCGCAACAATGATATCGCAGCTATTCTTGAGGCGGAGTCACTTCCTGCTGAGAACAGTCTCGCAACTCGAGCGAATCACTACGTGAGCGGTGGCGATGGCTCAATGATCATGGATCACGAGATCTGTATTCTAAACGGTGATCTCAACTACCGTATCGACTCCATCCCGCGGAATGTAATTATCGACGATATCCGCAGCAACAACCTGACCAAGCTACTGGAACGCGACCAGTTGCTCGCCTCGCGACGCAAGAACCCAGGGTTCCGTCTGCGTTCCTTCAACGAGGCACCCATTACGTTCGCACCAACATACAAATATGACGTCGGCACCGACGAGTATGACTCCAGCGACAAGAAGCGCGCTCCAGCGTGGTGTGACCGAGTTCTCTATCGCGGACTAGGCCGCGTCCGGCAACTAGAATACCGCCGACACGAAGTCCGCGCATCCGACCATCGACCAGTGAGCGCTACATTCAAGCTGCGCGTCAAGACAGTGCTACCGACCGAGCGAGCGGGGACCTGGGAGTCATGTCAGCAGGAGTTCCAGAACGAGAAGCGCCGACTTGCATCAGAAGCGAGGTGAGTCATACCATACATTCATGAAAGGTCACTAGCTAACAGCAGCAGCATCGAATACCTCATCACCGTCCTCGGAACGGACCCTCAACAGGCGCGGGCCCTGATCCTGGGCAACGGGAATTGATGGCTTGCTGGCAGTAGAGTGTGTGTTGGCGCTTGGGAGTAGACAGGCCGAGGCCATGTGTATGACTAATGAATCACGATAGACATGTATCATGACGGGGATTAGAATTACCCGGGCATATATTAATGGAGTGTATATAGCAGTTCTGCTGATTTCGTTCAGTGTATGTGTTGAAGGGTAGGTCGTAATATATATGCGAGCTGTAGAAGGATACCCCAACTGTAAGCAACACGAACACAAACCCCATAGATTTACATCTTAATATTCTAATTATGAAGACAATACATTCCTTGACCCATAATTACATAAAGAAGACCATCCACTGAGTATATATGAACCCAAAGACACAAAACGAAATACAGCAAATCTGTCCGAAGATCTACCACTCATAGAACCCCACTCATTTAACAAATTGAGAAAAAGCAAAGCACCAACAATGGGCCTATGGCGCAATTGGTAGCGCGTAGTAAGTTCCACTTGCATTCCAACAGATTGCAAAAACATCCTTCTAACAGATTGAAATAGCGACTCCAGATCGTAAGGTTGTCCGATCGAGCCGGGCTGGGCTCATTATCTTTTTTGCTTTTTTTAACCCTCATTGCCCCACATACTCAGCTGAGTCGGTGGTGGTGGGGTTGAGATGGATATGTTTGTATGCATAAAGGTATATAAAGGTATTAATAATTTTTGGAGGTCACTTGGGATTTGTTATACCGTGGTTAGTATCCAGGGTGAATGTTGGTTGGATGTATCAAGTTTTATTGGGATTGAATGGGTTGTGGTGTCGTGTGCGGGGTATACTGCATGTACTTACTACATGTTATGGATCAGTGTGGGATGGGATGGATATTACTAATTCTGGGAATGTTGATCGGTTTCATCTTGTATTTTGCCATGAGGTCTTTCATACGTGGTAATGAATGCGATTATACTATTAGAGTAGGAGGTCTATAGATTTTGAATGCATGTCGGCACTGGATGGAGTTCTCCGTTGGGGCTGGGATAGTACACATCTCATACCACATGACAGGTGAAGTAGATATATTTAAATTAATCTATTTGCAGTACAGACCATTCATACTGATATGAGTAATATTAGACTAAGCTAAGTCTCTAGCACGCTTTACACTGTCTACTCCACTATCTTACAATCGATGGAATGTATAGATCGGATCAAACGGACCCTCCCATAGTACCTATAACTGAGACCGCATACACAGAGTATATCCACCATTAACATTCAATAGCTTAGTCCTCCATATCATTATTCATATCTAGTAAATCATTGCTCTCAGACCTTCTAGTGCGTGCATACATATCGCTCCATGAAGATCAAATACAGACACATACTAATATGCAAAGTAACAATTACAATACATTACCTATATACTGTCAGCAGCCGTCATAAGCCCAAAATCAAGAAAAGTTCTTCACCTATGGGCCTATGGCGCAATTGGTAGCGCGTAGTAAGTTCACCTTGAAAATCCAATTCTGGATTACATCAGCATCTAACAGTTTCATCAGCGACTCCAGATCGTAAGGTTGTCCGATCGAGCCGGGCTGGGCTCATACCATCTTTTTTTGCTTTTTCTCATTTTGAGTATTTCGGGGGTAGGAATGGATTTATTTTTACTGAATGGTTCCATTGATTCATTGATATCTAGAATGTAGGTATACTCTACGGCTTATATATATCATTCTTCTTTTGCATTATCCGATGGTGGAGTTGCGAATCCATACTGCCCTTTTGTTTCAGATCCAGGTCTTAGCTGTGAACGTCGGTCAGGTACAATACCTTACCCTGTGTAGGCTTCCAGAGTATACAAGAGTGACATAACAGTGCATGCAGATTTGTAATCGGTTGCACGACCAACACAGACAGGATCTTAGGTATATTTTCTCCCACGTGGTAATCTAGTCATACTTAGATCAGGTGCTGCCATTAAAATTACATATGCATCAACGAGATTTTCGTGTGGTAGTACAGCCCCGGAACATGTAGCATAAAAGGTACCTGTTTGTCACCTGAATGGGCCTATGGCGCAATTGGTAGCGCGTAGTAAGTTATCCTGATCCAATATTTGGATTCCCAACATCTTCTAACATCTTCTGCAGCGACTCCAGATCGTAAGGTTGTCCGATCGAGCCGGGCTGGGCTCATCCATTCTCTTTTTTTTCTTTTCGCTTTTTGTATTTATGATTAGAGAGCTTCTGTTGTCTATACTCTTTTCCTCCTTTGTTGTCATTTGTAGGTGAGTAATCCGGTGAAAGATCGGAGTACGGAAGTGTCTGTAAAAAATGACATGTCTTGCAGCTCATTATTGGTATGATGCTGCCATGGTCGTCATCTTGATGATCACAGTTATTGTCTAATTTCAGCTCTCTAGATATCCTCTCGTAGGTGCCTGATCTAGAAATTCTGCAGCAAAGTGACAAACTCCATGACGACCTAAAAGTAGATGCCGGTTAGGGCTGCTATCCGAAATAGGAAGTTGTCTGGAGGACTTGCAACTAGCGTGGTGGCCAAGAACTTTGATAGACCCGATTCGTCGAATATCAGAATATAGTGGATAATCCAGACGGCAACTAATACATTATTGGCTGAGTGGATTTGATACTCGACCGACTCCCCAGGAACTTCCATGTCGCCTTTTTCATTTATAAGATGGGTTCCATTTGGATTGGTGCTTAATTTTCCAGCTGGAGACAAAATGTAACTGCTTATGAATCAACCTATTAACTCAATTTAGTGCCTTGTTTGGGAAGTCTGCTTTTTGCGATGCGCATATTTATACCCATGTCTCGAGCTCGTTCAGAGCAGAGCTAGCATGGCTGCTGAGTGTGAATCAACAACGGATCATGAAAGAACAGTGTCCTGAGGACCAGCGACCTCAAGATGTCGATCGTCAGGGTCGACAGCGCCCACGCATCTTCCCTAACCTGGTCATTGAGATCGGATTCTGCGTGGCCCTTTTGTTGTCCCAGATCATGTCGGTAAGTCCGTATCAACTATCCCGCCCAGTCTTCAGCTCATCTCACATTATGGTAGGAATTCTTCATCTCCGGCTTCAACGTCCTCATCCCATCTGTCTCTCAAAGCCTCAATATCCCAGCCGCATCCACCGGCTGGCCCTCCAGCGCCTTCGCTCTGACAGCTGGCAGCTCCCTTCTCCTCTTCGGGCAGCTGGCCGACAAATACGGCGGCTTCGTGGTCTTCATCTCTGGCCTAACATGGCACCTCGTCTGGACGCTCATAGCAGGGTTCTCCCAAAACGAAATCATGCTCAACTTCTGCCGTGCCCTGCAAGGCTTCGGCCCCGCCGCCATCCTCTCCGCAGGCATCATGCTGCTGGGTTCGATCTACCCTCCGGGTCCCCGCAAGAACATCGTCTTTAGTATCTACGGCGGCTGCGCCCCCATAGGTTTCTCCGCAGGCATCCTCGTCTCCGGAATCGCCGACCAACTCCTCACCTGGCGCTGGTACTTCTGGATCGGCGCCATCCTGATCCTCATCACCCTCGTAGCCGCCCTAATTTTCATCCCCACTCCGATCCGCACACAACGACCCAACCCAACCCTCAAGATCGACTACCTCGGCGCCACCCTCTTCATCTCCAGCCTCATCCTGATCTTCTTCGCCGTCAACGACTGCGGCCACGCCCCTAACGGCTGGCGCACACCTTACATCCCTGTGACCTTGGTGATCGGCTGCATCCTCCTCGCAGGGGCAATCTACACAGAATACCGCCTCACCTCAGCCTCCTCCGACACAGACGACAACCAAAACGCAACCCCAACCCCAATCCTCCCGCTGACCCTCTTCCGCGTCCCTCACCTCCCCGCTCTCCTCATCGCCCTCTTCCTCTTCTACGGCACCTTCGGCATCTGGCTCCTCTACACAGTAACCTACATGCAAAACATCCTGCACATCTCCCCCCTAATGGTGGTAGTATGGTACCTTCCCTTCGCGCTGGGAGGCATTGTCCTCAGCTTCGTCGGCGGTACAATCCTCCACATCGTCCCGGGGACTCTCCTCCTCATACTCTCGGGCATAGGATGGGTCATGGCGCCGCTCCTCTTCGCTATTCTTCCCAAGGAAGGGGTAAGTTACTGGGCGTATATTTTCCCTGCAATGATTTGTGGTACCGTGGGCGTGGATATCACGTATAATATCACCAATGTGTTCCTTACCACCACGTTGCCTGAGAAGCAGCAGGGTTTGGCGGCCGCGGTGGCGAATAGTGTGTTGTTCTTGGGCGTGAGTTTCTTTGTTGGGTGGGGGGATTTTGTTGCTGAGATGGTGGAGGGCCAGAGGGAGGGGTATAAGGCTGCTTTTTGGTTGGGAGTTGCGTGTGCTGGCATTGCGTTGACGATTTTGTTCGGGTGGGTGAAGATTGAGGCTGCCAAGGGGGAGGAGGGGAAGGATGAGACTGAGGAAGGGGGTGGGTGAGGATGTTAGAGGTATTGATAGGGTCATTTGTCTGATATAGAAGAATTGAAAACCCATTTACGGAACCTACCGTGAAATCCCGAGGCCTGTGAAAACATTAAGATGTGAATGAGCTACATAAAGGCACTAGACCCGAAAATACCTTCTCCTGCGTAAATGCTTTCGCTTGTCACCACCATAAACCACTCATCTAGTCCTACTATATGCTCAAGAGACTGACCTTTAACGACCATTCTGATTTGGTTACTGTTACGACGTTGGGTTATTTCATGGATCAGATAAAAAGTTTTACTGAAGAAAGGCCACCAGAAGACGCATTCGGGACCTCTCAGTCCAAAAGGGCTCTCGCAGGACCATACCGACTTTTTGGGAACTTATTTCTCCCCGAGCCCCCTTTGAAGTTGCGTGACAAACTGGATGAGCTTCGGCCTTATTTGCTCGAGCTTGAAAATAGGGAGAAAAGTACTGGTATGTAGTGGGAAGCGGCTAGAGTCTAATCAAAATTTCAACTAATCAGATCATGGGCTTAGAGATCGATCATGAAGCGATATCTGAGAAATTATGTACCTTCCAGCTCGCAGAAACACAGCTCTGGAAGGACCCACTTCCCAATCGTTGTGCGGAGCATATTGTTCGCCCGTCAGGCTCATGGCATGCGCGTATCGCTCATCACCTACACAATCCTTCTTATACCACCCTTCACGCCAAGAACGGGGAGGTTGCTGATGCTACAAATGGGTGCACAGCACTCATCATGAACCATCACTACGACCCTGAGCTTCACTTTATGTTTGACCACTTCCACCGACGAGAGGACTTCTGCCCGTTTGCCAAGTATCCAAATCATATCCGGGCTTTCCATGAGAAGCACACGAATTGGATTCGAAGCACACTGCAGGCGAAGATTGAGATAATATACGGTGCTGCAGTAAGAAAGTGGGCGATGAAGCAGTTGATTTTAACATCGCTTAGTCTATGGGGCGAATACGAAGGTGTATGGCTCCATTTCGAGTGGGAGCCAGTTATGGCAGGGAAGAAAATCGCAAGACTCATCATATTCGCGCTACACCCACAGAAATTTCTCTCTTATCAGTTGAGATCCCAAAGGGAAGCAAAAGAGCAAGATTTACGGATTAGTGTTGCCCATCAGTTGGCATGCTTGCCTTTTACTGCTGATTATCATGCTACGAGGCTTTGGGCGAGCAAGGCTGGATTTATTCAGAACGCGTATTTCAATGAGTGGTGCTTAGCCGAGAAACAAAACTCTCGGCTTGGCATTATTGACCTGCCAAGGCAAAAGAATGTATCGACACCAGGTGCTGCATGCCCTCTAGTCACAGATACAAGCGGGGTCATGAGCTTGAAAAGATTGGATGAGGTGCTCTTAGAAGTTCTGGACAGTAGGAAACGTTTGGGCACGCGAGAGCTCAGGCAGGAATATAAGCTTCCGAATATGGCGAGCAACATGCTGGAGCCTTTCCCCTGTGCGGTTATGAGAGAATGGTTTCAGGCTCAACAACATTCATTTTTTAGTGGATTATGCATCAGAACTCGCGATGACCTGGTCTTTGCGTACAATAAGCATTGCGTTGGAGGTGATGAACGACAACCATCCAATCTAAATACCATGGAATTAATTCAAGCTTTGATGAATATGCAACAAGCTAGGATTCGGAACAGGGTCTATCGTGTCTACCGACCAACAGCCAGATCCTCCCGTTACTATTCCACATTCGAAAGCATGCCTTGTGTATGCGACAACTGTCGCTCCCCGCAGCCCCCCGATCTCCTTCCCCGGTTTTCTATTCAACACTCTGGGATATATATTTGTAGGGAATGCAAATGTGACTCAGAGGCTTGTTATGAAACAACAAGATATGCCGTACCGGCTGATAAGACGCCATATATGGTATTCGATTTTCTGACCAATACCACCGTTGCAGCTAGCAAGCTGATCCGCAACGGTGAGGAGTGCGAAGGGTATTTCAATACCATTGAACTCTGGTGCTTATACTGTAGGGAGAGGACTATGATAGGGAATACTTCCATTCGAAATCAAGCGCTGGATAGAAGTCCCCAATGGACGAAAGGAACACGTCCTAAATACATTCCCAGATCGTTCACATGCCACAATTGCTCTCGTAACGACCAGCATTTTGTTCCTATCAATGAAGATATTTCTTTCATCTCCCTACGTGACCTCGCCGTTTTTGCAATCAATTTCTCATATATGGACGATCAAACCTTGATCGCGCATCTTGATGCCCGCCCCTCAAGCACGTTCACAGCTCGGAGCTATTCCAGGCGTTCACATGAGAACTTAGGTCATTCTAACACGCCCAGAAATCTTGATAACGGTCCTCCCTCCAAGAGGCGCAGGAACATGAAGGGTATTGACGCATCACAAGCACAGTTGCAGAATATAACTCCCGGTGAGCCTTCCGAAAATAATGACAACGACCTGACGAACCAGAATGGATGTAAGCCTACGATTGAAGATCACACTAAGCCAGCTGTTATCGAGTTAAAATGCAGCAAATGTGGTCAGCGCTGTGGTAGCAACTATCGACCTAGATGGCATCGAGACACGGGAGAATATATTGCGCTTTCAAGGCCCCAGTGTCCTCAAGGTTGCACAAACCAGAAAATTTGGCTAGTCCCAGCTTCCGGTCTCGAATATATGACGGCCAATATGCTAGAAGCTCGGGAGAGAAGTGATGAGCGTCATCGACAGCGATACGGTCTTACCCTTCATCTCGGTAATCCGCTGTCGGAAATAGCTCTAGAGACGACTAGTTGGAGGGTCAAAAGGCTTGGGCAACAAAAGCTACAGAACGAGCTATCGTTATCTTGAAACTAGCGAACCTACCTTTTCCTGACTTTAGATTGCTCAGAGGGCAACGAAACTTTAACGAAAATAGGCTTACAGCATAGATGAAGTTATGGTCCTTCGAGTCAAAAGAGAAAATCGCGCAAGTCGTGTGTGCATCGCTTTGTCAAACTCGCCATTGGCGGTAGTACGCAAAATAAAAGGGAAATACACGCGCTCTTATACTTCCCGAAAAGGAATGTCTTCCGCTCAATCTGCACAACATCCGCTGCAGACCTGCTTCTCCGCTCTTAACATACCCTTTTGGGTAATATGATTCTAGCTGCGCAGTCTCGCAGTATTCATTGATAGATAAATATGTAGCTAATACTCAGAAAAGAGACTAATCCAGGAGACACCAATACAACAGAAATACTCCAGATACACTCATTGATTACTCTCTTCAAGAAATTAAAACTAAACCATCCCCACCAACAATGGGCCTCCTCCTCACCCTCACCCTCATTATCCTCGCCCTCCTCACATACCTCCTCAACACCAAAACTATTACCCTAACCAAATAACCCCCTCTCAACCCCCTCTCCAACCTTACCACCCTCTCCTACACCTACGAACACCGCCACTCCTTCCGCACCCAACGCCTCTATAACCTCCACCACCAGCACAACCACCCCATCATCCGCCTCTCACCCACCGCCCTCTCCATCGCAGACCCCAAAGCCATCCCAGCCATCTACGGCCACGGCACACCATGCCTGAAAGACGACGTCTACGCACTTACAAAAGGAACCCACACTCACTCCAACATGCTGAACACCATCTCCCGCGACGACCACTCCCGAAAGCGGCGAATGCTCGCGAATGCCTTCTCCACGAAGAATCTCGAAAATTGGGAGTTTAAGATTGTTGATAAGGTGGAGAGGTTATTGCGGCAGTTGGATGGGCGGTGTTCATCATCTTCGAATGGGGAGATGGATGGGAATGAAGTTGATTTGAGATCCTGGTTGAACTTGTTCACTATTGATGCGATTGCTGATATAGGGTTGAGTGTAAAGCTGGGACTACTGGATAGGGGGTCGGATGAGGTGGATGTGGATGGGGAGGTTGTTAGGTATATTGAGTGCTTGCATCGGGGGAATCGGGTCTCTTCGTGGGTTATTGGGGCGAGTGGGTGGATTGGGTTCTTGAGGGTGGTTTCTAGGGTGGTTTCACCATATTTGAGGGAGCAGTGGGAGTGTGGACGGAGGTTTGGGAGGGTTGTGAGGAGTTTGGTGGAGCAGAGGGTGAGTGCTCAGGAGGGTAGGGAGACGTTGAGTGATTTTCTGGGGTGTTTGATTGAGGATAAGAGGGGGTTTGGGAGGGGGTTGGAGAGGGGAGAGATTGAGGCCGAGGCGGGGCTTTTGTGTGAGTATTGCTTTCGAGTCATGATGTCTGGGTTATATAAATATGATATGCTGACAATGTGCAGTGGATGCAGGATCCGATACAACGGCCATCGCGTTGACGAACGTCATGTACTATCTTATCAAGAACCCGCAATCACTGATAAAGCTCAGAGAGGAAGTATCCGGCGCTGTTGTTGAGAATGGAGTGGCGTCATATGCCAAAGTCAAGAACCTGCCATACCTGAAAGCATGTCTGCAAGAGTCGCTGCGCCTATCACCTCCCGTCCCGAGGGGACTGGAAAGAAAGACACCCCCGGAAGGCATGTATATTCTGGGAGAAAGAATCCCGGGTAACTTTACAGTTAGTGTTCCCACATACGCTGTTCATCGAGATTCAGAGATCTTTCCAGACCCTGAAGCCTTCCGGCCTGAAAGGTGGTTAGAAGGTGATGAAAAGATTAAGCAGATGCGGGCTGTTTTCATTCCCTTTAGTAGTGATGCGCGGGCGTGTATTGGACGGAATATCACGTTCATTGAACAGCAGATCCTGGTTGCTACGTTGGTTCATCGCTATGAGTTTGCGTTGCCGTCTAAGGATTGGGTGCTGGAGTGGGAGGAGGCGTTTAATTTGTGGCCGGGGCGGATGCCGGTGAGGATTTGGAGGAGGGTTGAATGATTGTTTGATGTGATATCTTATATATGCGCTTATAACAGAGATCGCACTGGTTTTAGGGAACAAGTTTATTTGGTGGAGGATTAGCTCAAATTAGTTTAAATTGTTGTTGCAGCTGCTTGATGCGATGACCGGTATGGAATCCGAGCCGGTTCTCAATGCCGTCTAACAGTGTCCACATTCTAAACTTCTCAGCAATAGTGGATATGTGTTTTGCTGCTATCGTAACTATTAGTCTCCATCTATGGGTGATAAGTTCTGACTCACAGTAATACAATGGCTGCCCTGCTTGCACAAGTGAAGCATCCGATATAGGTGATGAGGCTATGCTTGCCACAGATCGTGCATGTTTATCCACTTCATCCTATTCTGTCTCAGTATTCACCAGAGATTTATGCACAAGGTATTTTGTTACCGGTGAAATCTCACCCGCAAGGGATGGATTGCGTCCTTCGGTGAGCAATAGCAGATGTGCTAAGTGATACATGCACATCGTGGCCGCTAGACAATCACTTAACTGAACCGGTAATACCATGAATATAAACTCACCTGTTGACGGAATTGCAAATAACCGCTTAATAAATCCTTCTTCAGAAGGAGCACCAAAAGGTATACCAGCAAACGATGGGGGCAACGACCCCCTCCAGGTCTCCAACTCTTCAACCAACCGCAGCCTATCACGACGCAGCGAGTGCTCAGCGACACCACCAACCTCCCCAAACGTATGCGCTATAACCTTAGCCACAATCAAATAATCTTATTTCCCAGACAATCCTCATCCATCTCCTCATCAGTCCACTCCACCCCCCACTCATCCGGCAAAAGCATAGTAGGACACTCATGTACCAAGGCCATGGCAACATCCTGCCGCGCATACACCCAGAAAGCTGCAGCCTTCTAGCCTCCAGAGCTAGCATTATGTGAATTAGTCCTGATCAGAGTCACAGCACCCGATACATGGCGACGATGATCTAGACCTGGAGATGTAAACAGCTCGTAGCTACTCAGTAGAACTGTTGCAGCGAGGGTATCATCAGAGCCATATGATGGGCCATTCAACATATGAATCAAATGATGGAGGCTCTCTCCATAGTAATGAACGGCGGTGGTTTTCCACATGTCGCCTCTACCCGCCATGCTCATTTGTCTGGCGGTGAGGGCGCAGATCGCGTTTAGAAGTAGTGGGGATCCAAGGGCACGTTTGACAATGGTGTGCGTGAGATAGCGAGGGCTGTCGAATAGACTTACCCATGTTCCTACTCCGTTTTGGTATTCTTGGAGTAGTGTTACCTTTTCTGCATCGAGAGTTGGAGGTGATGGTGATTTAGTAGAGGGGATGGATTGAATGGGTGGGAGTGCATTGCCCAATGGGGTAGAAGTATTATTGAATATGTCCCAGGTGGAGACTGGAAAACGAGCTCCTAGGTCTATAGTTTGTGCCTGAGAGGATGAGGAATTCCAGTTCGAGGGGATAATGAAGTCGGATAGCTGGCATTCAAGCTCAAGTCTTTGACAGCGCCCGCAGCGAGGACGTTTTTCATCACATTTTGTATGGCTGGATCTGCAACGAGTGCTGTGACACGTCTATTCAGTCTATATTTTACAATATAATTGAGGATCAATGGTTTATTACCATCCTGCTAACTGATTAGAGTTGTTCGTTCAGATAAACCCAGCAGCCTGGAACATACCTGTTCTGCGCCGCTTTCCTTTTCTTGATCCAGTCATCTCTTGCGATCAGCGATAACGACCTCTCCTGAAGAAGTATACTGTATGCTCCAGTTGGCTTATATATTGTAGCTTGTACAAGTAGTAGCTTTGTGGAGATGGACGTAAGAAGACACGCAAGATGGAGAGAAGAGGAATGAATGAACCTTGCCGATCCCTGGCTTTCCCATTCCCCGCCCCAAGCTCTCCCCGCAGTCCGCCTTTTGCAGCTAGAGCAGGAGCACCTTCATTTAGGATATAGCCACCACTTGGATTACCAGAAGTTCTTCATGTCGTGTAAGTGTGTCAAAGTCAACCTTGAGCACATTGGAAACTTCGTCGCCTGTGTAAGCTACGATTGACCGGGATATGAAGCAGATCAAGTTTGCTAACATCCGACTTACACAAATGTTAAGCTTGTAACTTGTGCGAAATATTCTTCTAAACGTCGTTGGGGTACATTATAGAAGTAGAATATCTCAATTCCCATCCTGAGTGTTTGTTCGAGACCACTATAATGACCTTTGACTTATGCAGTGGAATCTATCCGTTATGCCCCGACAACAATCTACGTGCTCTATGTCATTCATATGGACAACCTTGTACCAATCTTACGTCCATCAATCCTGAATATGAGTAGCCCATACATATCTTAGCCTCGACCAAATTAGAATTTAAAGGAATGAATGATTTCTTGATCGTGGAAAAACGGTCATCTGTTCAATCTTCACCAATGTCCCTTGGTTTAGCAGAATGGTCACGTCATTGAGATGGTCATTTACATATCAACGGTTATTTTTTAAATAAACTTCTGCATGGATCAAATCGGAAGGGACGCATGGACGAAACAGGCAGATTTCTCAGGGTGATTCAGCTTCCAAACATTTGCTTTGGACCTGGGAGCTCCCGCATTCTGTTGTACACATGTTGGAAACGGTGACTTATATATAGAGACAGAAAGGCTAGTATATACCTTGTTAATTCCTGACAAAAATATTTGACTGTATCACTACCTGACAAAGGGATCGAAAGGATCCCAGTCATGGCAAGGATAGTTCCTGTAGACCAAATGATATAAGAACCAGAATAGACAGCGGTGCAAGTATGCCTCTGGGATATTGTACAAATTCCTGAGAGCAAACCAGCCGGGGCTGAGATATTTATTCCGTAACGTAAATATTGTATAGCTTCAACCAAGTATGAATAAGTACTTCTTTAATAATCTTGGTCTCGTTTGGCTAACTCAGGCGCATCACATCCGTGAAAAAAAAGAAGATATTTGTTTCACGTTTAGTTTCTTCATTTCTGCACAAATCACGAAGGTAGATGTAATGTTGCAACGGCTTCTTCCACCTGCTTTTGGGTATATCTATGTATAGTCCCTGTTAATCTTAGGCTGAGTCCGGAAAACCCACCGAGGTTGGAGTTTGCATATATATAGTTGCTTCTAGAAGGGGGGGAAATGGAATATAAATACGCAGTTGAAGGAAGGGACCTGCGAAGCTACGCATATGTCTTTTTAAACTGTCCGATAAACCAGACTTGAGCTGCTCTGTCTTATAGTCAATCGTGCTTTCGACCAGACCGGCAAATCCCTCAGAATGCCCTTTCCCACCATTTCCAACGCATCCCTCTTCGAGGATGCATTGCAATCCAACGAGGCAATTGATGTGCCCGTTGGCGCAGTCGATTTTGTCTCGTTCACGAGTGGACAACCAATAAGAACAATTGGTACAAGAGGCTTGAATGGCGGTTCTGCTGTTGTGCTCGTTTCCACCAAAGGTGCCATTTTAGCTAACGTTCCTCTGTTCACCTATAGCATGGACGAACCTAATGCTGGCATAGCACATGTCTGGAGGAGAATGATCGACTTCTTGAACCTTTATAACAAAAAGAAAGGGTCCTTTCTGGAACCAGACGAGAAAAGGGCGGCGATAGTTTGCCGACTCTCTCCGAGCCATACACCCTTCTCGCAATACAACACGATCTTTGAGTCCGTCCTTTCGAGTACGTTGGGAGTTATCGCGAAGCCTAAGGTTATCTCATATGTGTTTGAAGAGGGCGGCCACAATCAGACTGATAGGGGTTCTGTCTTTATTGATGGAAGAAATGAACCTCCAAAGGTGTATGTGGAAGACACAGATCAACATTGGTTTGAGTAGGTCAATATATACTTGGCCATTGGCGTAGTTGCGCAGAACCCTAAAATGGTTCTGATGAAGTAGGCTGCTAGTCATTTGTCTGCATGTGTTCAGGCCTGCCATTCGTTGTGCTCTGGTACGTGAGAATAGCGTTCATAAGATATTATACATTAGCAGGCTTGCGGGTTTTCATCCACATTTAATGTAAATGGGTAATTGAGTCCAACCTTATACATCCACAGCCACATACCTTGATAACCGAAGCAAAAAAGGCCTCGTCTTGTGTCGATCGCTAGTACCAGCTGACTGAGGGTCTGCACGACCGGCTTGGTCAAAGGAAACTTGCTGTGCGAATTGCTCAAAGTTATTGGACTTCAACATTAAAGAGCGAACTCCAGTTTTTCGGGTGTGTGCAGGCTGTTGGGTTCAATGGCCTGATAGCTAGACTATGGGCTGCTGGGGCAGAGTGAGGGGCAGCGGGTTGCATCTAGGATCCAGAAAAATGCTGCGAAAAGGCACATTAGGTACTAGTCTTCATGGCATTGAGCTCAAGAACCATACAAATTCACGACTGTGTTAGCATAGTTCGTACATCATGATATTAAATAATACACAAAGTACTAAGTGTGGGATGGCAGAGCGTATGGGGGCCGCGGGAAGATTCGGCAGGAGCCGGAGCCGTAGCGCGGCCCAATTGGAGTGATAGCAGTGATGTGAACTTGTGACATGATAAGATGTGATTCAGCTTGCATTTGCGGTTGATTTCATTTCATATATAGTAATTTGCTGGCTAGGAAAATTCCATGGTCAAACAGGCATCCTTAACTGAATTAACCTGTACCGTGTACGGTGTAGATGAATGTCATACAAGAATGCTCCTTGCTGACCTGAAAGGGCTAGTGAGATTATGGAGTAATCTAACGTACGCGAAAGCAATAGGCTGGCCATACGGCATTTGAAAAGTTGGACATTTCTTTGTCCTCTTCGCCACCTTTCAAACGTTTCAGCATAGTTCCTTCCCCAACTGGCTGCTATCTGTCTTCTCAAGCATATGCCGTACATCCGTGGGCATCATGAATCCAATAATGGGAAAAAGTTGGTTTGCGGGACCCTAACTCCCCCGCAATTTTGTGTAGGCATGAACTTGGGCCACATCACCCCAATAATTGCTAGCCCTCTTGGGGCTTGCCGCTTCGACGTCATTGTAGAGCTCCTGTCTTGAACCGACTGCGTGGTATCGAACTGAGCCAAGAATACCAAAGCCGGACTTCCAACTGTGAAAGAGGCGGAGGCGTGTAATGCCACTCCAGCCTGTGCTCGCTCCCTTAGTCGATCGAGATTCACGGATGTGCTTAAACAAGCTTGGAATCATCGGGAGACAGGCACAAATAATGCTCATGTTTGTTTCGACCGTGGTCCAAATGCCGGGGACGGTGAAGGTGTCTTTACGGAAAGGAGGTGTGGTTAGTGTGAATGGTCTTCCAAAGAACGAGGGGGAGCACGTACATGTTAGATCGGTTACATCAATCGTGGCCATATACACCAGCCGTACAATACTGGTCACGCAGACGCTGAGGGAGGAGCTATTATTAGTCTTGTGGAATAGGTGAATTGATCGACCAACTCACAAGCCACCCAAACTGAAGACCAGCGAAAGCATAATGCGACACCGGCGTGTCTGCTTCAACCGCCAGACCACCGGTTGTGGCAGTATCAGAATAGTTACATCAAGAAGGATGTTGACTGCACCCATAGCAATCCAGAAGCTCTTGTTATGGATTGTCGTGCTGGGCTCCCAGAATTTCCACTGTGCATCCACAGGGTCGGAGGAGAAGATGAGCCCAGAGACTGCAGCTATACAGGCCCCTGCGGAGAGGCCGGTGGCCACCCAGTTGCAAAATAGGAAAGTCTTGTTGATGGAGAAAATTCGTCGATAGAACAGCAAAATCGAGATTTTGGTTAACCCAACACTGACGTTGTAGATTACCATATCGGCTAATGTGATCTGGACCAAAGAATTACCGGATGTTAGCTGATGGTACATTCCTCTACCATGCGTTACGTGCGTACCTGGAAGTATCTTTCTAGCACAAGGGGGTCCTTGTACTGTGTGATGTGGATGCCCGCATGCCCCACCGTTGTGACGAGAGCGGTGGTGCATAGGAGCCCATAGGAAAAGATTAGAGCAAGAAAGCAGAACCAGTCATCCAACTTAATGGAGAGCGTAAGAGAGCGTGAGATGAAACGCAGAGCCACCAAGCATGTCGATAGTAAGGTCATAAACCCGGTCACCGAGACGAAGGTAACATTGAGATGAAAAGAATGCTCAGAAAGACCGTTTACTGCTTGAGATGCCATTGTGCGATAAACAATTGCAGACTAGGAGTATTCAATCAGGATGAAAGTGAAAGTCAAGGGTGAGGAATATTCCTCAATGCTGGGCTGGGTCGTCATGCATCTTTCGTCTTAAATCTTTTCCAAGACAACTGCAGGCAGACACCGGCTCGGGAGATTGGATAGAGAAAAGCCAGCTAAAATTGCGACGTAGTTTAGCTATGCAGCTAGACAGTGATCTGCCCGAGACATGGTGCTAGGATCAATTAAGGCGAGAGGTGCCGTTTGCTGTTTATGGAACGAGCTGATTGACCTCCACCCAGACACACACCCCGCATCTTGCACCAACTCCACCCGAGGAGTCCACATGAAAATGTTCGTGATCCTCATCGCTCCAGAAACGCGCGATAGGGACATCCGACATGGGAAGTGATAAGAAGCTCGCTGTGTGTTGCTTCAGCGCGATCGTCGCAAAGGAGAATGGCACAGCTCAAGGAAATCTTTTTGTCGACCGGCTAATTCGTCCGTAGTCTTGGAGAGTGCATCGTAGCAAGCGCTGCGCCTAGCGAGGACTTTATCACACTTGAACCACTGCGATAATCCTTGAGGGCCTGCAGCATTCCCTGCCGGGTGTCTTCACAAAAGGAGTAGCACGGCTGGTTGTGACAAGTCTTTTTGCGAATTCGGAATATGTGGGCCAGGAGTAGGCACCGTTGATACGCTGAACTCGTCTCGGTATAACAAATGGACTGCTGTGTTTAAATTGAGCGGGGTTGAGTACTGCGCATGGTAGCATGGCCGCGACATCTTCTTAGGGCTTCGGAAATCCTGGAGGTTGGAACAATAATAGTTTGGCGGTTAGTTCAGGAGGGGAGAACGTTGGTCTTCTACTGGTGGAACGAAGCAAAGTCGCAAAGAATTAGTGTAACTACCATGGAAAGTGGTGTGAAATAATTCGCGTAAGTCACCTTGTTGGGTAGTAGGATCCCTTAACGGTCTGTAAGCTAATGCGAAGCTGGGTTGCTGCATTGTTGTGGGCAAGCAGAATAAAATATGGAGGCTGGGAAGCTGTATTGTGATGTTGATATTGTTACAGTATCTTAAGCCGTGGATGTCGTCACTCTTCTGGACAGGCTCTGTCTCTGATGTGAAAGAACTCCATAACTGGTAACTATTTTTGAATCGTTCACGAAGTGGCGATTTCCTTCTCATATCATCTATAATTTTTGGACAAGCCTTTTCAGGATGTGTCTTCAGTTGTCCATCGACCCCACCTTTCTCTTTCCTCAAAAGCCAATCGTAGATGATCTTCCCCACACTTTCGAACAATAAAAACCGCGAGAATTGGTAGTCAACCTCTAACTTATAGCCTTCCAACTTGCCTGTATTAGTCACTTATCTTCAGAAGAAAGAATCTGAAATGAGATTTTACCACCGCCTCCATTCGTACGGTTGGCAAGCCGGAGGAGATTTGCTAATCCCTCCCAAGAGCCTGACCCTGCAGCACTTCCAATGGAATTTTGGGTATGGTATAATGAGAAAGAAAGGCCCAGCTCTCCGTAGGGTCATCTGGATGAGGAATTGGCGGACAAGGGTTTACAGATTCTGGTTTGCCCGATGGCGTGTACTCGTTGCAGTATCGTGGCATCATGAGGATTTGATTTTTGAACAATTCTACAGTACCTCCTTGATTATCAAATGAAATGAACATCGAACCAGCCTCAGTCTTACCTTTTCCTGTTTAGGAGTGATGGGCTTTGCGCCTGTATGGGGGCTTGTTCCATCATCTAGAAGCACTGCTAGGAGTCCTATTCGTACTAAGCCCCCAATAAAGCCTAAGTCAAGCATGGGTAGGAATACATACAGCAGAATTCAGCGAATTTCTCAAGACACCAAGCTCCTTCCATACAAACACAAAGGCGATCTTCCTCCGCACTCGGACTTGACGAGAGCAACGGTTATCTATAAAGATGAAGCCTGACGCTCAACGTCCCATCTTCAGCCCGTTGATATATAGAAGCCAGAGAAAATCTCATTTCAGCCGTGGGGAAAAAGGGCACTTCATTAGGCAGGTCTTTCCAACACTTTGTAGACAAGAATGAGTTCACACTAACTTTGCTACTTGCTTATTCACACACGCCGCCTTCCCCTGTCATTCCACACAATGCGACCAGATACTACTGGAAATACATATAGTAGCAGGTTTCGTGATATAACTGCATAAATAGGCAAGACAAAGACGAGTCTCTTGACAGGCTACCGGTGATGAAAATCAAACATTCAAGAGATGACCATATAATATTAATTTCACGCATTATAACCTGCGAATCCAAGCTAGCCCAAGAACGAAAATATGCGAAATATCAAAGCAGGTAAGAATTAGCAAAAGTACCAAACAAACACAGGGTCAATGCGATTCACACTCAACGATTAGGCCCCCAGCTTCAACGTCTTTAACGCAACCCGCTATCCCCGTCAATGCAGTAAGATCCAAGGACAGAGACATGCCACCTAAATGCATACACGGGTTCACACTGTGGGCTAATATTTCTTGGCTGAGTACAATTTCATTTGGAACAGAAGTGCAGGAATACGGTGGAACTGGGATGGGGCTGAGTACAATGTAAGGTGCGAGAAAGTGTCAGCTTCACAGTAAAGGCTCTGTCGATTCATAGTAGACCCACACAGTATCTACTTCGGTTGGACGACAACAGAGCGGAAATTGATACTTCACATGCTTTTTGAGTATTACGCGAGGAAAGGCCACCGGTAGTGTAGGACTACATGAGCCAGCGCAGGTAAGGCGAGTCTTTACTTCAGCATAAGCGTCTATTGAGAGAGCACTACAGCTATATAAGCTGGCATGCGGCGCCTGCCTGTTGGACTCTCCGAACTGGAATACAACCAGTCACGATATCTCCACTATATCAGGTGTATATCGTTTGCCTCTCGCTCGATACCGGAAGCCTATTCATTTCGGTTATTACTACACGACAGACGAACATCACTTCGAAGGACTCTCGCACACTTCAAGTTCTCTAAGGTTCTACCAATCATGTCGGAATCTTCTACACCTTTACGACAGTCAAGTCCGCTAGGGATGCATCGAAAGACCCAAGGCAAAAAGCAAACAGCTAAGGACCAGTCAAAGTCTATGTCACCGATGACACCACCTACGGTGGAGGCTCAGTATGGAGGCAATGACAAGTCTGGCGTCCTACAAGTATTCCCGTCCGCTTGGTTGCCCTATCTACAGCTGGTTCGTCTTTGGCCTCCAGCCGCTCTTCTGCTCATTTTCTTTCCGCACGCGTTTGGCATTTTGCTTGCGGCAATAAAATCCCAGGCACCAGCGGAGTACGTCCTGCGAACCAGCATTACAGTTTTTGGGGGCTGCTTCTTCTTCTCCAATGCAGCTCACACATGGAATGATTTGATCGATGCACCCTTGGACGCCCAAGTGGAACGGACCCGCAAAAGACCCATTCCTCGTGGTTCCATCACACCTAAAGCAGCCATTCTCTTCGGCGCCACACAGGTGCTAGGTGCTGTCATCTTTCTCGCATGCATGCCGTTAGGACTATGGACTTCCGGTTTATACGCCTTACCTAACATCATCAGTACGACCTACTACCCGTTCGCTAAGCGGCATACTCGGTTTCCACAGCTCGTACTCGGGTTTTGCCTCGCATGGGGTGTGGTCATGGGGGAGCTGGCTATGGGAGTGCAGCCCTTGGCTTACTCCCCGGACGCAGCCGGTGTCACCGTTGACACTTCGGTCATCTTCCTCGTAATGGGAACTGCTTTGTGGGTCCTCATCTATGACACCATCTACGCACATCAGGATCTTCAAGCCGATCTGAAAGTTGGTATCAAGAGTTTAGCAGTGCTGTTGCAAGATCGTACCAAAGCGGTGCTGTGGCCCGTCCTGCTGCTTATGACCGGCCTTCTGGTGGAAGCTGGCCGAGCGAGTGGGCTGGGGACATCGTATCACCTGTTTGCCGTTGGCGGGGCCAGTTTGTCTCTCGGTCTTATGGTGTGGTGTGTAGATCTGCAGGATAGTCGGAGCTGTTGGTGGTGGTTTAGCAACGGCTTCTGGTGGACTGGAGGGACTATCATGATCGGGCTGCTGGTGGAATATTCCATACAGGTAAGATTTTAGCTTCCTGTGGCGTTGAAGTAAATCCCGCTCAGGGTCCGATGCATGTTCGGTGCGGGCCGCCAAGAGCAGGCATCATTTCGTCTGTACACTCGAATGACTCTAGTACAGTCAGATAGTGGGTACAATGGTATAAGTTGTGGGTGGTCTTGGTTCCTGTTTTGTAACGTTCAACAGTAAAACATAGGAATTGGCAGAGATGGCATCTGAAGATCAGGCTTCCTTTGTAATACTATGTCGAGCTTTGAAGCCCCAGTCTTTCCATGTATCTTACCATAATCGTTCGTAATGAGGCAACGCTATTACGGTTCATGTGTCGTCTGACGGCTTCTGCCACCAGCTTGGCTGCAGCGGCCATCGTTTCTCTGTTTTAGCCAGCCACTGAGATAGAAAAGACCCACAGATCATACTCCCTCACTTCCTGGTGCATTATGATGAGGGGTCTTTGCGCCGTTAGCTGTTCTGGGACGTCCATCCGAACGCTAGCGAAAGGATGCACGGGGATCTTGTGAGTGTTGCGTTATGTGCTGCTTATTCGGAGCCCTCAGACTAGACTTGACCCCAATCATATACATGTGCCTCGGCATGCCATGGACAAGTTCCAGATTCGCTCAGCCTTGCGGCACCTCTATCTTGGCTTGACAGCAATAGATGCCTGGATCATCCTCCACGCCAAGATGGCAAACCCACTTTGTAATATTGGTGAAATGCTCAAGATGTACGTATCTCTTGAATTAGTCGCACTTTCTTTTCCCCCTTTGTCTGGTACCAGTAATCCCTGGAGCGCCAATTTACCTTTGCGCTTGTTTTATTAGCTATCTAGATTCTATCTCGTGGCTCATCATCCGTAGCCGTAGATCCAACATCGTAATAATTAACTGGAAGTTCACGTGGCACCATTAAGTCACATGTCATCCTGTCCATTATGATTCCTACTTCCGGTATATCCGGTGTCTAAGCCGCAGATGCCAATGAAGAAAAGGGTTCGGGTGGGGGCCGTTTTGGGGTTGTGTGCTGTCGGAGGACCTTTTCCGACCTTTCTTAATTCAACTCCGTTGTTGAATATGCTCCCTAGCAGTGATGTCGCAAATCAGTGGGGAGGTCTAGTCGATCAGGCGAATGGGGTCAATGAGATTAACCCGTATCTTGCGGTTTCTCCACTCCCCCACTGGACCTTGTTCTAGTGAGGATAGGGTCTTGCTTTGGAGTGATTAGACATGTGGAGAGGGAGGATCGTGTGTAGGGTATTCTTCTGGGTTCTTATTCGTCAGGTCGAGTAGACTATAATACTTGGCACGATTGAAGAGTCTCGGAGCAGTTGAAGTATGTTGTAGCAAAGTAGGGGGGAAGGGGTTGGATGCCGGAAAGCCCTTGGGGCGATAGCCTCGGGCTCTCTTGGTTGAGTAGGAGAGTAGGATGTCTTTGCTGAGCCTAGTCACAACTAGTCCCATGTTACTTCCACAAGAATCGGTGTAGGTACATAATAACCATGAATTAGCTGACTTCTTGAACTGGCTAATTCAAAATGCAATGAAACAAAAAACACCTTTTTGAGGTACATCTATCACAAAAAAAGTATGATACCAAGTGATGAAGTTGCTCCTTGAAAAAGTGAAGTATATAGTATATATTGTCACACATCATATTCAATCCCTTTTCTTCTCATTCGTAGCAAACCGCCTTTGGAATAGAGATTTATTCATCCGATCGCACGCCAGATCCCAATCGCTGTTCCGGGTCCATTTGCGATGGTAAGGCTGATACCCAAGTAAACCTCCCAGCCAACGGCCGAGGGTAATCCCCATCCCCACGGCTATAACGGATCCGAAGGGCACCCACTCCGGTAGTGATAGATAGGAGCCCCCAGCATCGAACATCTGCCAGCATAGAAGGAATTGACACAGTCAGCCAAAGGATAGCACAACCTCAATAAAAGGGGACATTGGAGGGAACACACTCACCGACATAACCTGCAGAATATCGACACTCTTCCCCACAACTACAGTCTCCTCCTGATATCCGTACCAATTCATGAAAAAGAGCATATCAAGCTTGAATGTTTCGGGAGTATCTTGCCCAGATAACAGAAATCGTATTATCCCACGACCTCCGATCGTCTCATCGTCATGGCTACTCTCAAGGAGTGACTGTTGCTGTGGAGGAAACGGAGGCGGATACAACCGATGATTCACCCATGGACGAATGCAGAATCGCCCACTCTGGGAGGTCAGTGTGTACTGTTGATTCCCAACATCCACGCACAGCTCTCCTTCCAGGACTTCTATGTACTCTTCCTGATGTGGATGAAAATGTTTTGGGGGCTTGAGATTCTTGAGGAATGAAGGCCACTTGTCGAGATGGAAGGTGATTTCGAAGGCGAAGACGTAGGGTGGGATGTGCCGCTCCAGAGTTATGATTGCTCCATTGAAGCTGTGACGTCTTGATCAGAAATATTGCATGGGATGGAGCGAATGAAAAAGTGTGTACGTACCCTTTTTGGATGGAAGAATCGGAAGGGAGTCCAGTCGAGGTCATGGATGGTGAAGTGTCCTTGTGCTCGGCTTACTAGTTTTATAATAGAAAGGCGTGCGAAAGAGGTATCATGAGGACATGCTGGCATTTGGTCTGTTAGTTATATGTGGCATACTAATGAGGAGACAAGTATAATAGTAATCTGAATAGGGGCGGGAACCAAGGACGGAAGTAAACAGCCTGTAAGCAGCTAGTGTTGAAAACAGACTTGACTAGTGGTTTGACTAGTGGGTATGAAATCACAATGCTGGGTGATATTCACATGCAGCTGCTGACAGTCGTTAGAGACTGGTTAAAAGACAGAAGTAAGCACTAGGCGGATGGATAATAGTGTTCCAATTCAGCGTCTAATGTGTAAACCCCGCAGAGAAACGCATCACGCAAGGCTTCTTGGCGAAAAGACTCGATGCATGCCAGTTTTCTTGCGAATCAAGATGCTAATTTCCGAATGTTTAAGTCGAGATTGTGGCTGAGCATATCAAGAGCTCTGATTGGTGACTGCAAAATATTATGCGCATAGCAATTTTGAGAGGCTTGTAGGCATCGCAGAGTTTGAAACGATACATTGGCCAGGCTCTTGAAGACATAGGGAGAATAGTCGTTCCCCCCAAAACCTCATAGTCATCTAGCAGTATAGGGATGTGAACAAAGAGGCAAGGAGCTTTATTCTGGGTAGGGAAAATTGCAGTGGCACATCGCACACTTTCTACGAAGGCATACTTTCCATCATGCCAGCCCACTCCCCTGAATTGCGGCCGTGGTCTTCCTGACACAGTGAGTAGTCGCCGCTGTTGCGTCTGCAGCAGCACATCGCCGTCTCTCACTTCATCCGATGCAAGGGCCCAGAATGAACGGCCTACATATCAGCACAGAGCCCCTGTGATGAGCTCATACATCCCACTAATTGGAATCTGTCTTGCGGGTTAGATGGTGTATCGGATGTAGTATCATAGATGTTGTTAAAATAATGGAATGATTGGTATGAAGCCAAGTAAGGATATATGTCAACGGAGCACTGGCGCTGATAAACCATCGCGTCGTCCAGCAAGTCGGAGGCTTTTGACGGGCATGGGAATATAACATACTGGGGTTGCTCCGATGCCTATCGTTGTTGGCTGAATTGTGCGGGGCATACTATTATTAACTACCCAGTCACTTGTATGTGAGAACATTGAAAAGAAAATTGCCAACACATGATGCTGGCCCGCGAAGTGAATGTTTCTGGGCTTGGGCTGATTGGCGGTGATGTGCTGATAGACATATCCGGGATTCAGCCGGTGACATTAGCAGCAAGCGGGTATTTTTCCCTCACATTTTACCTGCCCAAACCCATATTGGAAGATGGTCAATGGTTTCCGTAAATATCATACACTTTGTGACGTGCAGGGGAGGCAAGTAACGGAAGGGCGAGTGTGACAGATGGCTAGACTGCCTGCGTACTATGTTCAAATCTCAGAGCTATCGAGACTAATCGTGATAGGAACAACAAGCCAAGGAGAACTTAGATATAGCCGGGTGTGAGATATCCCCTTAAGTAGTATATATTCAGCCCATTAAAGGTACTATTAGGTGCTTGCATAAATCACGGTATCAATGTAACTTACTTTTACACGCCTGCATCTGTTCTTCCCGTTGGTGCCTTTCACAGCCGATAAGATGGGAATTTACCAAAGTAGCTACAATTCCAGCAGTACTTATATGCGAAGGAAATAATGCGCTTAGATTGAAGTTCACCAATGACGAATCACTGTCTTCATTATAGGCTGTTGCTGATGCCCCTCGCCCCAGGGTCTTGCTGTATTTGCTTCCTCCGAGGAATCTATGATCGACAACGAACAATTCTCTTGTCATCTGAATGCCCAACGGAAGCATCCTAAATGGCTTACTACTACTTTCTCGGTATGCAAATGTGGACAAAGATAGAAATAGAAACTGCGTTCCTCATCAGTCAAGTTCATGCCGTCTTGATGACGCGCCTCTGAGAAGCCCAGACACAATTAATGCTTTGCCGTCTAGATAAAACTATTTGTCGGAAAGCTAGTAGTTCACCTGATCTGTATGTAGTACACTCAACAAGGACTCCTCTCATTGTGACGGTAGGTGGACACCTACACTGCATGTGGCAGGACCCATACTCCTGTGGAACAACAACATTTCCACCCTTTGAACCGGCAACCTTGACTTCAAAGCCATACCTTCATCTGTTGTCATCGGCCCTCCTATTTCCCACCACAAGTGGCAAAAGCGAGATACACATCCCATCTTTCTCCTCGTTCATCATGCGGTTTTCAGAAATCAACATGGGTGGTTGGGAAGTTCTTAAAGAACTTATGCCGCTCTTCATGCTCATCTCAATTGCGTACTTGCACTACGAGGTACGTCATCAGCACTCATTCCTCAGCCAAGAAAATGGCCCATCTGATCAGTTCACAGACATGGAGGTTGAGAAAACAAGTAGAGGTGCTGAATAAAGCCGCGGCTGAAGTACCCCCAATGAATCCGTAATTCGAGTATGGGGTCTGGGGTGCAACACGCAGCACCACCTTGAGAATGGGCATAAGCAGAGAAGCATAGGAAACCCGCTTTATTGCAGTGCATTATTTCGAAGTGGTCTTCTGCCGTTCGCGCTTCTCTCGGTCATAATCCTTTTCTGTGCAGGTTATGCCTCAAGATAATGTATCTCAACAACATGCCACATAAGGTTACTCACCCACATCGCTGTTACAACCTACCTCATTTCTACCGTCATATGCTCCTTCCGCGCTTGAAAGCACTATTTTATGTTTTGCTCCCCAGGCGTTGTATCTGCGGGTACACTCCATTAGTTCATGATCCTTTCTCTGCCATACATTGTTGCCAAACCAGTGATAAAGTAGCTTCCGTATATAGCCCACCTCTCAAGGAGCTGACCCAAACACGCCTTCCCAAATGATTGTATTTCGAACCAGTGTCATTTCAAGAGTCATACTGGGAAAGACGCTCCAGAGGCAGTTAAACCAATATGATGCTACTAGACAAGTTGGAAGGGTCTTGACTGGATCCAGAACCGTCGCTTGCAATATCCCTGGAAGAGAATCTTCTGTGATAAGAGCCTTGATATCATGCTTCAACAGCGAATTTATGTTGTTTCTGAGCGTGGTCCCCTAGCAAAAGCGCTTCAGGAAGAACGCTTATATTAGTCTGAGCGATCTCGACCACGATATTACTGATACATCGCAATTTTGGCTGCGATCCTGGGGCTGTCCTGGCTGTTATATGGCAGTGACTAACAATTGTACTTCATCGAATCGACCCCGCACGGAAAGCTGAAGATAAGCAGCCGGCTGAGATGACTCGGCTACTCTTATACTTTAGCGGCCGTGGCAGCATATCTGGACGCACGCCGCGCCTAAACTTACTGTTAGTGTCCTTCCGGAAGGTCGGTGCGAGAGTCGGTCGGCCCTGCCCGGTTAATCCTTACCTTCACGGAAGCGGGAGGCGGAACTTGATGTCACGGAGGAGCAGCATCGCCTAAACCTAACCTTTGGGGAATGCTTCGGGACATTCCAAGACTCTCTCCGCTTATCACCACCCATGTTGTTGCAGGATTGACTCGCTAAGTTATTTAAGTGAGACTATATCTCACACGTCTTGTTCCCATCTAAAAATTTCCGACCCCTCAATTCAAGATCGTTACCAATTCACCCTTAGCGATGTCGGTTCCCCACCCCTTTGACCCTTTGACTCCAAGAGAAATTGCAAAGGTATGCATAAAAACACAATTATGCTTGAGGGTTGCTTCTGAGAGTTCATTTTCCAGGCTGCAGCTATTGTACGCCATGCATTTCCCGGAAAAACCCCAAATTTCCGAGTGATTACTCTGAAGGAACCCCCAAAGGCAGATATGGTTCCCTTTTTGGAGCAAGTTCATAACGGAGAGAGTGCACCGAAAAGGCCTGCGAGAGTTGCTCGTGTCCAAGTAGTCCTTCCCGGGGACTCTTCCGCAAATCAATTCATTGAGCTCCTAGTCGACCTCGAGGACTCTACGATCCTTAAGAAGGAACGTCTGATCGGGAAGCATCCATACATTGACTCTGATTATATGAAAGCTGCTGAGAAGGCGTGCATGTCGGATCCAAAAGTTCAGGAAGAAATTGCTCACCTACAACTGCCGGATGGTGCTACTGTTGTTGTGGAGTCGTGGGCATATGCCACAGATGGCACCAAGGACATGTCGCAACGGACTACCATGGTAAGTATATATCATCATAACCGAAAGGTACAGGGGCTAAATGTTGACATCATGCATAGTGCTGGTTTTACATGCGCTTGGTGGATGATGCCGATGCGAATTACTACGCCTATCCACTCGATCTCTGCGCGGAGGTATCAGAGGACTTGAAAGTCACCAAGATGTATCAACTTCCTTCTGGTCCAGACGATCGCATTCACGACAAGCCAAAGCCATTCGATCGCCGCAAAATCCACGGCGCGGAGATAGAATACAGCCCTGGCCTGAGAGCTTCCGCAAGGACAACTACAAAGCCATACCAAGTGGTACAGCCGGAGGGTCCCTCATTCAAGACTCATGGAAATCATTTAGAATGGGAAAAATGGTCCATGCACATTGGTTTCAACTACCGAGAAGGTCTCACTCTTCATGACATTCGCTACGATGGCCGAAGCCTCTTCTACCGCTTGTCCCTTGCAGAGATGTTTGTGCCGTATGGCGACCCTCGGGCTCCTTACCCTCGCAAGGGGGCATTTGATCTTGGCAATGACGGGGCGGGCATCAATGCCAACAACCTCCGTCTGGGCTGTGACTGCCTCGGTCATATCAAGTACTTTGATGGCTGGCACACGACTACTACAGGAGACCCACTGAAGCTTCCGAACGTAATCTGCTGTCATGAGGAAGATGACGGCATTTTATGGAAACACACAAACTACCGGACCAGGAATGCGGTGGTGACGCGCTCCCGGATCTTGGTCCTGCAAACCATCATCACCGTTAGCAACTACGAATACATCTTCGCTTTCCAGTTCGGCCAGGATGCATCAATTCATTACGAAGTACGTGCTACTGGAATCCTTTCGACCGCTCCGATTGATATTGGCCACAAAGTGCCGTGGGGTACCATTGTCGCGCCCGGTGTTCTAGCCCCTTATCATCAGCATTTATTCTCCCTGCGCATGGATCCCGCAATCGACGGCCACGACAATTCCTTGCAGGTCGAAGAATCACATGCCATACCTGTGGACGTACGAGATTTTGATCATACCGGTAAATCTCAAGCCCAGATTGACACATATAACAATCCTTTCGGCGTCGGGTACGTCACGCACTCTTCCATCGTGGAGAAAGAAGGCGGCTTGGACCTTGATTTCACCAAGAATCGCACCTTCAAAATCATTAACGAGAATGTCATCAATCCGGTAACCGGAACACCCGTAGGCTTCAAGCTGCTTCCCGCCTATAGTCAGATGCTGCTCGCACACCCGGATTCATACCATGCCAGGCGCTCAGAGTTCGGACAGCACGCCGTCTGGGTTACTCGGTACACTGAGGAAGAACACTTCCCATCAGGCCGTCACACTATGCAGTCACTAGGCGGTGATGGGATTGCTTCAGCTATTGCCAAGCGAGCTGAAACTGAGCATTCTTCGGTGCGGAATAAGGATATTGTCATCTGGCACACTTTCGGATCGACCCACAACCCCCGAATCGAAGACTGGCCCGTCATGCCGTCGGACAAGATGGTTGTTGGTCTCAAACCTGTCAATTTCTTCACCGGTAATCCTGGTCTTGACGTTGCAATGTCGACACAGGAGAGCAACCGGAGTGTTCTGGTTGATGGAGGGGATGATGTTGACTCCAGGTCCGGTTGTTGCAATCTATAGTATTTTGATTTATATAGATAGGGAGGCGCCACCGCCATAGCTACCTCCACACCAAACCCCGCTCATGCCATCCCTCTGCCTACCTTAGTTGAATCCAGCAGAATATTGAACACCTTCTATTTGTTTATGTCTCTGCCTGAGGCCAGTAAAATCTACATCAGGTAGCACAATGCTACCTCATACACTGTGAGAAAGTCTCAGGCAATGATTTAGTTTATGAAGAGGACGATAATGTCTTTGCCAGGACTGAGAAGAGGATTTACCTTATAGGACAGGCGGCAGGTAAAATGAGGACGTGACATGAGCAAAGGCTGTTGTGGCAGTAGCGTCTCCCTATATATAGATGCTATGAAACGCCCTTTATCGACAACATATTTGTAACAAGATTCCCAATCAATTACATCTTCCAAAAGCCCCCCCGATATTTTCCACGACGCAGTAATGACTCTATAATAACACTCTACAAAGATCCGTTCTTCCTTCCCTTGCCACGACCTTCAAAACTCCAATCAATCTGCGTCGCCATCCTCACCTTCACCCCCAACTCATTTGCAAAGGCACGAACCAGCCCAGGATTCTGCTGAAACCAGCGCCCAGCTAGCACAGCATCAATACCAGATTGCACAACCTCTTCAGCAAGCTTGCCCGTCTTGATCCCTCCAACAGCCGTGACCAGAAGCCTGTCACCAACTGCTTTCTTGACCTCATGTGCCAAATGCACCTGATACGCAGGACCAGGTCTAATAGCAATTGCAGACTTGGAATGAACCCCACCTGAACTGACATCAATCAAATCGACCCCATGATCAGCCAAGATGGGAGCAAGCCGAACAGATTGCTCAACCGTCCAACTCTCCGGGAATTCCTTCTTCAACCCCTCGTCAAATTCAAACCAGTCCGTCGCACTGATTCGCACAAGCAGAGGCATTGTGTCCGGGATTGCATCCCTGATGGCATCGCACACTTCCAGCAATACCCTAATCCGATTCTCAAAGCTTCCTCCATACCGATCCGTTCGATGATTACTAACGGGACTCAGAAACTGATGCAGAAGGTATCCATGCGCTGCATGGACCTCGATCGCATCGAACCCCGCTCTGACAGCTCGCTTAGCAGCCTCTCCGAAGTCATTAACCAGATTTTTAACCTCCTCCTCACTCAAAGCCCGAGGGACTGTGTTAACCCCCTCTTCATGCGCAATCGCCGAAGGCCCAACAATCTCATCCGGCCATCCACCAACCTCCTTCACAGCCATAGCGTTGACGCTCAGCCAGGGAGCAACTGCGCTAGCCTTGCGGCCCGCGTGAGCTAATTGGATGGCAATCTTCTGGCTCTGACTGTGGGCGAATTCAGTGATACGCTTGAGAGGCTCGATCTGGCCGTCTTCGTAGAGCCCAAGATCTTGAGGCGTGATTCGGCCTACTTTCTGCACTGCGGTTGATTCCATGATTGCGAGTCCGGGCCCGCGTTGCAGGATCCCGCCTAGATGGGTGAGATGCCAGTCGGTGGCGTAGCCATCTTTTGCGGAGTATTGGCAGAGAGGGGCGAGGAAGAGGCGGTTGGGGAGGGTGAGGGCGCGGATGGACAGGGGGGCGAAGAGCTTGGTTGAGCCCTCTAGTTGGGTTCCTGCGGGTGGGGTTTGAGCTGGTGTGTAGTAGGAGATTCCTTTGGCCGGGGGGTTGTCAATTGGGGTTTGGGGGGTGGTCATGATTGAGGTTAGGGCTTGCGGGGATATAGTTGGTGGCGAAGGGTGCTGTTTAGAGTTGTCTGTTGATTTTTAGGGTTATAAACTGAAGTAACTCGATTCATTTACTATATTGCTATACGCCCAAGCTTACGCTGGACACGGTCAAAATTCCCTTATAGCTGTTCTTCTTGCAGGGATCATTGGCCGTGATTATAAATCCATAGATTAATAATGCGTGATCACGCCATGGGAAACTAACTTGCTTGCATGGGCTACTTGGATGATGTAACTGGGTCATTATTGAGCCCGGCACTAGTAGTTAAGCGGCATATACTAGTCGGGATCTGCAGTAAATATTACGTTCTACTTTGCCTACGCCCAATGTCTCTAATTTGAAACACTGTGACGAATGGGGCACTTGGATCTTATGTCTCGTTACATTCCTGGCATATGGGCTCCGAAGCCTTCCTGGCTGCACTTTAATGTGGCTGCGTGAGTAACATTATCTGAGACGACATCTTTCGAGGAAAATGCTCCAGGTTATAGGCATTTCGATTGCATGGAAAAGTAATGTTTGACTGCTATTGTATTTATGCCACCAAGCTGATACGGCACGGATATCCGTCCACTGGATGAGTGCCGGCTTTCTCAGACTGATATGCTCTTTCTCCGTGTAACAGCTTAGGCTTCTTGTTCTGGAACCCTACAGATTCAGCAATCTGATCAAACCAGCCCCTTTGTTTCGCCTTCATTGCGTCCCATTCATCGTATGCTGGCTTGATCTCAAATGTCCGGGCGGTCATCACTAGGACTGTCCGCATCTCGTTGTATACAAGAGTCTGACCAATGCAGTTGCGAGGCCCTTGCTCAAACGGGCGATATGCGGCTGGATCGGGATATAGTTCGTGGTCTGCATCCACCAGCCACCGTTCGGGGAGGAACTCTCTTGCTCGTGGCCATACCCTTGGGTTGAGATGTACCGCCTGGTGTAAGACGGAAACGCTGAGATCATCCGCCAAGGGATAGCGATTGCCGTGCCTATCGGTCAGTGACAAACCATCGATGCCTTGACGCATAGTACTTGCGGGGGTATAGAGCCGAAGAGTTTCTTTGATGACTGCCATGGTATATGGACATTTGTTCAGCAGTGAAGGCTGTTCGCAGAGTAGCTGCACCGCAGCGGAAGGATCTGGTCCGAATATGCGGTCATGTTCTTCCCGGACTTGGGTCAAAGCTTCAGGGTGCTTGGACAAGAGGTGATACACGTAGGCGATACTGCTTGACGTGGTATCAGTTCCAGCGAAGAGGAACAGTCGAATCTGATATGTTACATTTTTTGTAAAGTCGTCATCTAACTCGGTTGCCTCAGAGATCTCTTCATTCTTATTCTCTAGGTATGCCTCCAAGGCTAGAGTGAGGATCGATTTGGCACGCTTGGAACGGGTTGATACATCCCGTTTTACGTGCTTGATCTCGGAAAATCGGTCATTCAGTGCTTTACGAATCCATTTGTCCGCGACGCGGCCATAGTATCCCTGAATTAAAGGGCGTAGTGGGTTTGCCCGTACGCGGGGATCCCAGAACGAATGCCATTTGGTGATTTGACCAAGAGCGGTTGCAATGACGTTGTCAGAATTTTGATGGTCAACGTCGGCATCACTGCTCAGGTTAGCAGGTGGCCCAGAAATTGCAGGAGGATAAACTAACAGGGTCACTTTGAGGATTACATCCATAGTTAATCTGGTGGTCAGATCATCCAAGGCAAACATCTCTCCAGAATCGGCTTTTTCGCGTAGTTTATCGCAAAAGACACTAACTGATTTGATAACTTCAGGCAGAAGATCCTGCATGCTACCTGCACTGAACCCCGGGTTGAAGATTGATCTCCAAGGCTTCCACTCAGCGTTCCCTACAGAAATCATACTAGGCCCGCCTGTGATCGGTCGCATGAACCGGTCGTGTATAACTGTTTTGGGGAGGTTAAATTTAGTGGTAACCTGTGACGCTGCTTCCGGATAGAACACTATGTACTGTGCGGGGGACATGGGCCAGACATCCAATAGGAAGATCTCTGTGTCGGTGTATTCCCAAGCCAACTCTTGCGTCGCAAGTATAACGTTGGCATCGGGGGGCAAACGGTTGAGATACCCCGACAGGACAAACATGTGACCAGTTAGCCAGTTCCATCCTGGTGGCATTGCCTAAACAAAATGTCAATCACACAAGCATCTCAGTGAAGGTGAAGTTTCTAGTTATAGTTACTATGCCTTGTTTGCGGAGCTGGTTGATTTTGGACCGGTGTTGGTAAAGCGCATGGAGTCCATATGCGACAGCGCTTACAACAACCGGTAAGCAAATGGTCAGCAACAGGTTGATGAGAGCCATTGGTGCAGACTTGATGTCCCTCGCTTCCACCAAGGCAGAAATGGAGGAAGCAGTTTGTTTAATTTACTGATGGAGTGTTGAGGGGATCTCGGGCAGGAGGCGGTGAGATTAGGCGGGCAGTTGCCTAAAATGGTAACCGGGTAACACTCCAACATCTTCCCAGCCTCAGTCGCTGGTATGGTGTGCAGACCCTAACAATGCTTATAATAGCATCATGCGGAGCCTCAACTGTCCTGAGAGCCCTTGCGGAGGATATCACAGCATAAGCCAGAGGCTGTGTCTGGAATGATGTCCAGATAAGCCCGATTCACAACCACCGCTGGTCTGCTCGAATGCGCAGACCCCCACTACAAATAGTGACTGATGATGTAAAGAATCATCTTGTCAGTTGTCTCGCTGCATTATCCCTTGCTTGTATCATACCAGAGCACGGCCGCAGTTCCTCGACCTTACTCAGCACCTCAGGCTTGATGCCCGTGTGGATCTCCTCCAGTGGTGGATGCATATGGCGAAGCAGCAAAATTGATGGCATTGGTCGAGACGAGTATGTGGATCTGAACGGAGCCCCCAGTCTACTGTTAAGGCTGTACGTTGAGACATGGCGGTTACTATTCAAAGCTCCGAGCGACGCTGCTTGTGAAGAGGGATATGCCGATAAACGCTGTATAGATAGTGAGGTGAAGAGGGTCTTTGAACATAAGCAGGAATCTAATTCCTGCTATCCTTCAAATGAACTTATATATCAAATCGTCTGGTTAACTACGGAGGTCTTTGATGGTGGTCAGGATACTTGGACAGGGATGACGCTAGTCAGGCGCGGAAGGGATATCACTTCCCACCCACTGATGGCAGGCACGCGCAAGAGGCTGAGCTACATGGCTGTTGACTAGCACGCGTCCAAACTGTTGGGAACTGGAACAAAATTTATCAACCCCAATATCAACTTCAATATCGCACATTTAAAGTCCTCAGCGCTGGCTGGGAATCGAGGCCGAGTTTCCCAAGGGAGACTAAGAATCTCAAGGCAACTTGAGCCCCTTGCTTCTTCTGGGAGGCATTGTCAACTTCCTGAGGTCGATCAAATGCAGTCAGCATAAATTATGTAGGAAGAAATCCAGTGCGCCGCCCAAGTCCCCGCACATCCAACCCAGACAATTCGTGCAACCACAGAGTCTGACAGCCCGGCTCTACATAAAGCGGTGGTCCCGTCTGTGAGGTGCGTCAAGAATTGCACCTGCACCTCTAAAGGCTATGCCTCACTCATCCCGGAAACCTGCAAGATGGACAGCGCAGCGCTGAATATTACTTCCAGTCAAGCTTCTCAGACCCCGCCGGCCATAGGTGATATCGGTCGGATTACCCAGCGGCAATATGGCGTAAGGCTAGTCCAAGCATAATTATCCGAAAGTATAACTCTAACGAAAGATCCATGATTACCAGATAGCAGTTGGCGTTTTCTTTGCGTTAGCATCACTGTCGTTCTTTGGTCGCATCTTCATCCGACTCTTCACTCGACGACGCCTCTATTTGGACGATGCTTTCCTTAGCTTTGCTTTTACCACACTGTTGATAGGAACAGTACTGGGCTTTCTCCGCGCATACACCATCTACTTTCAGATGGCAGCATTGGAAGGAAATGTTGGCGCAGTCCTCTTTCTCGCCTCGCATTTAAATGAACATGCGAAAGACTATGGCTTCAACATCGCCTTTATAGTTCTTCTCTGGACCACAGTTTTTGCTGTCAAATGGTGCTACTTGGCATTCTTCCAGCCCCTCCTGGTGGGAATGTCACGCTGGTTTATTATCTATTACCGTTTCACTGTCGGGCTGTCTGTTATCTCGTGGATCTTGAGCGCCTTCGTCGCTCCGATCGTTCCTTGCCCGTACACAGGAATGAAGGCAATTTGTAAGCACCTCTGGTCAGCGATAGGCTCCTCCACTAACTATGTAAAGCCAAATGCTTTCCCACTTTACCAGTCCCGAACAGCACGGTTCTTGCAATGATTTGGCTTCCACCAATTTTGGATGCGGTCACCGATCTGATGAGTATGTCACCTAACCAAACGAAGACTAGTTATAACTGACCTTGCCCAGTAATTAGTATTCCAATCCGGTTGCTCTATAAGGTCCAATTGCGAACCTTGACAAAACTGGGACTTGGATGCTTCCTGTGTCTCTCGATCTTCATGTGCACATGCTCCATCATTCGCACTGCAGGCACATGGTATCACGGGCTTCTCGACTACCCATGGCAGGTATTCTGGCTGCATTTGGAGGGATGTATCGGAGTCACCATGGGATCTATCACCGTCTACCGGTCCACTTTGATCGGATCAAATGAGGTTTCAACCGCATTCAAGAGATACTTTACCCGGATCAAGGACGCGGTTTGGGGGTCGTCAAGTGGCACAGCACAAGCGCCACCAACAGAGGAAAACAAGACTCGGACACGTCAATTTGGACTGCCGTCCATTCCACAAGCAACTATTACGGGGTTGCGCACGTGGTTCGGTCTCTCCAGGAGGGATCCTGCCGCTTCCAATGATGCCTCCGGGATCAGTAGCTTTAACAGCGATATCGATTACCATACTTTGTTGAAAGCTCCCAAGGCAGCGGCGGGTCACCGTCAATGAGTCCTAGGCTTGATTGTTGCAAATTTTTTCTCTAGACAGAGGGCAGGACGATATTCGAATGTGTGTGTATTTGATCTATCTAGATCTCAAGATGATGGTTGGGTGGTAGGTAGGAGGCGGTGGTGGTCAGAGACCACGTAGACAGAGGTGGCGAAGAATCAAGTGATCCCTGGCAACAGCGCAAGTCTCAACACAGTATTATCGGGATCGGAGTTAAGATGTGCCTTGCCATATATGATATACGCGGGGATAGGATATCTCCAGCACAACAATAAGACGAAGTGAAGGATGGATCGACCGCGGCAAACACCCGGCTTAAGTCCGCGGACATTGGGTGCCGCTTTGGGCTTAGTGGCTGACAGCCGTAATATATAGGATCATCAGGAACTTGTATTAAGAGAACTAGACAGCCTGCTTCTGCTTTACAAATAACACCTTTCGATTCAGAGAATCTGAAGTCTTTCTCTGACATTACTATCTTACCCACAATGGCGTCAAAAGACCTCCCTCCTTCGACCGCTCCCTTCTTTCCCAACGTCTTCTTTTATAACCAATTCTGTGCCAAACCCAATTGGCCACCCGCAACCACAAATCTCTCTGGTCAAGTGGCCATAATCACCGGAGGGAATACTGGCCTGGGATTTGAGTGTGCATTTCAGCTTCTATCTCTTCAGCTTAGCCACTTGATCCTCGCCGTTCGCTCTCTCGAAAAGGGCGAAGCCGCAGCGGCCAAGCTTCGAGCCGTTAATCCCACGTCAACAATAGATGTCTGGCCACTTGACATGAGCTCATATGACTCCATACAAAGCTTTGCAAAGCGGGTTGAAAACAACCTTTCCCGCCTAGATATCGCTATCCTCAATGCTGGGGTGAGACAAGCCCAGTTCACCACCAATCCAAGCACCGGCCACGAGGAAACAATTCAAGTCAACTATCTCTCCACCATGCTTCTCGCTATCCTACTCCTTCCAAGCTTGAGGGACAAATCTCCGAAAGGAGTGCCAGGGCGATTAACTATCGTCAGCGCGGCACTATCGCTCCTGCCAAGCTTACCAAACGTGAAGGATGCGCCACTTCTGAAGTTGTTCGATCGTCCAGATACATATGATGCCAATGGCATTTACTGCATGTCGAAGCTTCTCGCTCATGCGTTTCTCTACAAGTTGGTCGAATATGTCGGTGCAGATGATGTGATTGTGAACCTGGCAGATCCGGCCTTCGTCAAGGGCACTGACCTGAGCCGGGATTCGCCTGGCCTTGCGAAGGCTGGGCTAGCGGTGTTTGGGGTTTTGACGGGGAGGACAGTCAAGGTTGGTGCATCGACGTTTATTGATGCTGCCGTGTTGAAGGGGAAGGAGTCGCATGGGTGCTTCCTTATGAGTTGGAAGATTGAACCGTAAGTATTCCCAACTTCCCTTTGAATCTCTCACGTCATGGCTGACACACGTATGTTCAGGTTTAATGCATCGCTGTATACGCCAGAGGGAAAAGAATCTATTGAGCAGCTCTGGCAGGAGACGATGGATGAACTTGATTTTGCTGGTGTTCGAAGGATACTTGAGACTCTGTAACTTTTTAGAACGGAGCAAACAAACAAAGGCTCAGTCACCTCTTTTGGTGCTTGTTTATCAAGCTCGATTCGGACTTGCCATGTCTGCAAAATTATAATGTTGGCAGCAACAGACTGAAATTGGCCCTAGGGATTGATGAATAATTGGATCGGCAAAGTGCAGAAGAAATCCCCATCTGCAGCCTGTGCTTTATGAGGATCCATTCAAACTTTGAATATGTTCTGCATAAGCATACCTAATATAGTATAATAAAAGGAGGTTTCATAACTCTATGACGTTGAAGAAGACCGCATGCCTCTTATGATCTCCAGATCAATCGGGTAGTGGGGATAGGACCCCACACGGGCCCACTTGGACAGCATGAGTGGGCATGAGTCATTCTGAGTCGACATGAGAACATCAAATCATGATCATTGCACAGCCCACTCTCCAGCCCAAACAGCTTGCAGTTTCCAGAATTAGCCATGGAAAGACTAAATTTCTGCTACTTTAGGAGAGATCTCTCGCCTAAAGAACTCCAGACTTGGGGAAACCTGCCCCACCCGAGATTCAAGTTACACGTGACGTTACCTTCCAAGCCCAGCTATATAACTCAACCTCAATCGCCATGAATATCACTTAAACTCGCCATCCAAAGAGCTCAATTGCACACACTTGTCGATTAATACCTTCATTCCGCTCGCATATAATACCAATTCAACTCTCTAATCATTATATGACCCCCCCACCATCCACAATGGCAACCACAACCACCACCTCAAACCCCACTCCAACAATGACCTACTACGACATCGCCATGCGCCCCCCAGTAACCCGCAACGCCGCAGCCGTAAATCCCTGGAAAGCACGACTCGCACTGAACTTCAAAAACGCCCCCTACTCCACAACATGGGTCAAGCTCCCTGAAGTATCCAAAGTGCGCCGCAGCCTGAACCTCCCCGCATGTCGCAAATTCGCCGACGGCAGCGACTTCTACACCCTCCCTATCCTCTCCGATCCCACTACAAATTCCGTCATCGGCGACTCTTTCGATATCGCGGTCTACCTACAAAAGACCTACCCCGCCTCCGGTGGCGGGGATCTCCTCCCTCCGCAGAACCTGGATTATGAATTAAAAGAGGAGCTGAAGGTGCTGGTGCCGCTATCGGAGCGGAATGATATCGAATATGCGGACTATGCCCGGTTTAATAATAATGTCGATGCGGCGTTTAGTGTGCATACTATGTTGATGGTGCAGAAGATGCCGTTTGATCCGGAGACGGCGGAGGAGAGTAAGGCCGAGTTTGTCCGGCGGGCCGGGCTTAAGTCTTGGGATGATTTTACACTTGAGGGGGAGAAGAGGGAGCAGGTGTTGGCTTCGTTCCGGGAGATGTTGGCGGATCTGGCGAGGATGTTTGAAAGAGATACTAGTGGACCGTTCTTGTTGGGGGAGAGGCCGAGTTATGCGGATTTTATTGTCGGAGGGTGGTTGAGGATGTCGAGGGTTACGCTGCCGTCGACGGAGTGGGAGCAGTTGAGGGAGTGGCATGGGGGTGTTTTTGGAAGGTTGCACGATGCGTTGGATGTATATGCTGAGGTTAAATAGACTGGTGAAAGATATAAATACAAGATGGATAGAAGGAAAAGTTCTGTACAACAATTGAATATATTTCTTATTCACTCGTGTAGTCATACAAAGCCTCATGGAACAGCAAGGAATCTTTATAATCCGCTTTCAGAATATAGCTGTGGCCACCACCCAGAAATATCTTCCCCGAAGATATCTTCTTCAAAAGATGAGAAGATATCCATCCCCGAGCCTCCATTTGTAAGAGACACGTCCCAGGCCGCCTGTCCTGACAGCAACGTTTTCACACCTGAAATCCCCATTGAGCCGTTCACTTCAGTGGTAGAGGTCTGGGCGTCTGTCGACTGTCCATAAACAGCTAGTAAGCAAGACCTCATCCTATTCACCCACGCTAATGATTTCGCAACCACGTTTTCGTGATTATCACCATCATCGCTGGTGGTTTGTACATTGCTTAAATTCTGGGCGGTCCTGTCGAGAATAGACGTAATATCTACGGTTCGTCGAACCATGTTCACATCCCACGCCGGATCTTCGAGGGATGCGAGTCGAATGAGTGTGAGAATTACTGTTCGGAATTGCCTCCAGAGAAAGAAGGGGAAGTATATGTAGTCGGTTGGTTTAAAGTTAAACGTAATGTCCACTGCGCGTTTCGCTGCATTGAGACAAGTGAGAAGAGCCTCCATGCTGCTGGTATCAGCAAGAAGAGGTGTCTGTCGGAGGCGTATAAAGATAAGGTCATTGATGCATATTTCTGTGTGCAGGGCCATTGCTTCAAGAACCTCTATTGAGTTCAAACCAGAGTTAGCGTGGCTTTCTGTCAGCTGTTTGTGGGTTTCACGTACTCTCTGTGGCCAGGTGTGGTGGAAATGATTTCCTTGTCTCCGCCAACTGGGTGTTGAGGGCAGACATGTATGGAGAGATAAGACGCGTACTTTGTTCGCAGTCGGCATCTCTTAATTGTATCCGGACATCAGTGACCTTGCTCGTTATGCGTTGAAGCTTGATCATTTGCACGAGAAGATCGTCTCCAGGAGGATTCCTTGAGCCCTGTATCATTTTCAAACATTCTTCGAGGTATGGTGACCAGGCCAAGTTCTCCCCAACTGTCTGAAATGTTGCAATACTGATCGTGCTATTAGCGGCATTCTAAATATTCCAAAGAAGGGCTAACCATGAAGTGAGAAAGTAGCAAGCTAATGCCGTCCGTGCATTTTCAGAACTCCTCGGTTGATATGTCCCAGTAGCTCCCTGGATTTGGGCTGCTATGGGTCGCGGAAATATATGACTCAAATTACCCTCTCCACAATGCCGACTTCGGATTTCCAGATCGACCGTCAAAGCAGTGCACAGATGAGACAAAATAGTAAAAAGTGATCCCATAGAGAACCGAAATTGTCCCCTATATATTATTATCAGTCACGCGGATAGCAAAGTGTGATAAGGAGAACGGACCAACCGATGAAACAGAGGAGACCATGTAACAGATCCGTTGTACATTTACCTTCTACAATTACCTCACGAGCGGCAACCTCTCGAACCGCCTTTCCCAGAGTGCTCTGTTCTTTGGCATTTGTAGATGTCACAGCCATTATACATAGCCAGAGGTATGGTGACTCTCGATACAACTTTTCCGAAGTCAAACCGTTCTCGAGATATATAAGAGGGAGGAATTTGGTGTAGTGGTTGGAAAATGCCCTCAAACGTTGTTTTGCATTGCGACAAGTTGGCTCTACGCCGGCCGGAAGGCTATACGGAGAAAAGCTCGAGCTCTCTGTTGAAGGAGCTGATCTTGGTGATGGACAGTGACGAGACTTGCCATGATCTGTAGCTACTCTATCAAGATCACCAACAAGCGGTTGTGCATGAGACCCACGATCTGCAGACACTGAAGCGTGAGACAGAGCTGATGTGAAGGACGCGGATGATGATGCTGTATCTCCGAGCTCAGGGCTACCCTGGCGAGCTTTTAATAATGAAACGAGCCCATCTAACTTCTGCTCTAGACGAGCGGCTTGAGAGCCGTTGGGCTTGGAGCCACGCCTGCGGACGGTAGGAGAAGGTCTGCATTCTACTTTTAGACGAAAGCATCTGACCATGAATATGAGCCAATCATCACCAATAGTCTTTCCGAAAATTACCTTTCACATCCATCTCCACTGGCTCGCAGCATGCACTTGCGTTTTACGCGGGCACAGCTGACGCACGCTCGGCCGTATGGGGCCGCCTTTCCACGATTATGTGCTATATCTTCCATCTAATGGGGCACTGTGAAGATGGATATAATTGTGAAGCTGTATAGTCCAATATGAGGTCTGGTGTGGCTGCAACGCGAATATAGTGTCTCTGGAATTGGCTGAACCCCCCGGCGGACGGATTTCGGGAGGTTGAAAAATCGAAATCCGCTCCGGCAACTAAAATAGCGGGTTGCGAATCCCGCTCCGCTCCGCTTCCACTTTCTATACCCTTAAAAGGCCCGGAGCCCAAACCATGAGTATCATCGTTACAAGAGGTGTTTCTCTTATTTACCCACATATGAGAATGGAGTATATCAGCAGCGCTCTCTACTACGTCTTTCATCCATATCAATTGAGAGATATTTTGAAATGGTGGTTATCACTCACCCATTAACCTACTATTGATAGCTGACGGGAGGCTTGTTACGGTCATAGGAAGATCCAGCACAATCAAATCTATCGATTGAATCTCAGGAATGAGAGTGAATCCCGGAAGGTCTGTTTCAAGTTCCTCGATCAGACCGGCCGGAGCTTCAGTGCCGTTATTAAGGAGCTCCACCCCGAACTGCTCGTCCCGATTTGTATCTTCTACCTGGTTCTCCGTGGTCTCGACACCATAGAAGACGACCCTTCTATTCCTGTAAAGGCTAAGACTGCCTTGCTTCGTGACTTCGAGGATGTATTGGTGAAGGACGGGTGGACATACGATGGCAACCGTCCCGAAGAGAAGGACCGCGAACTGCTTGTTCACTTCCATCACGTTATCAACGAGTACAAGGCTTTGAAGCCAGCCTGCAGACTTATTATCAAGGACATCACCAGGGTAATGGGTAATGGAATGGCCGACTTCTGTCACAAGGTTACCCTGAACAATCCTGATAAAGCCGGTGTCATGACTATAGCCGAGTATGATCTGTACTGCTATTATGTTGCCGGCTGTGTCGGCGAGGGCCTTACCCGCTTCTTCATCGAAGCGCAACTTTGCAACTCGTCGTTGTTCGACTACCCGAAGTTATCCCGGTCAATGGGTGCCTTCCTCCAGAAGACCAACATCATCCGCGACGTCAGTGAAGATCACGGAGACCACCGTTGCTTTTGGCCCAAACAGATATGGTCTAAGTACGTCAGCGACTTTGCAGATCTATTTAAGCCAGAAAATTGTGAGACGGCCTTAGACTGCAGTTCTGAGATGATTCTTAACGCACTAGAACATGCCAAGGACTGTCTTGTCTATCTGGCTAAGTTGAATGAGCAGAGCATCTTTAATTTCTGCGCCGTACCCCAGAGCATGGCTATCGCGACGCTAGAGCTGTGCTTCCGCAATCCCGCTCTGTTTGAGCGGGATGTCAATATTAAAATCAGCAGGGGTGATGCATGTCAGCTGATGATTGAGTGCACACAGGGCCTGCCGGGGCTGTGTCGTATTGTCAGTCGATATGCACGACGCATCAAAACCAAGAATTCACAAAGTGCCACCAATCTTTCCGAAATCAATACGGTGTGCGATTCGGTATGTTATCTCATTTATACTTCATAGTGAGCGAGTCCTAACAACCATAGATCGAGAAAGCAGTCGAAGAATTATTTCATCCGGAAGAAGGACAAACTCATTAGTGCAATGAGGATTAACAATGATGCACTACTGCTAGATAGCAGGATGGGCAACGGTAAAGAGTGTACTCGAGAAATCCACATTATGGAATCACTGGAAGAATATCCTACATCTGAACAATAATATAAGGGCGTCAACCTAGTATACCTGATTGAGCTCTTCCTGCGCCTTCGTGAGCATCTTGCTGGACAGAAGCCTACGGAACTTGGTCATTATTCGGATTGTCCATTTTAACAACAATCCGAGCCTCCCCTATCAACGCAAACAAGGAACACGGGTCAACAGCGGTTGTATCAATGCAGCTAGCAGCGATCTTCAAATAGCGATATGTTGGACTAATTGTAGACGTTGGCAGGGAATGTCGAAGATCTTTATAAACAACCTTTGTAGTATATGATAGCATCTGCAGTTAGCAGTAGCTCATTGGGAGTTAAAGTATTTACGGCATTGTGCTGCGTCGTCAATTCACAGATTGGATTTCGGCCCAAGTTGTTGTTTGCAGTTGCACGTACTGGTGCTATCATAGTGTTGCCGCGACGATGCGGGGTATAATATCTCATTCACGTTGTGATACAGCGAATTCCTCAACTCTCCTACTATCACATACAACTGTGCATCCTACGTGTAGACTTTGACAAACACCTGTATGAACCTGTTCTCTATCACACCAGATTAGCCATTTGAAAATAATCTAACTCACTCTCTCAATCTAGTCGATAACTTCTAAAACCCTCTCGTCCTACACGATGGCATCCGGCTTTGCCTATCGGATCGACGACCCGATCAGCGAGGTCTTCCATTTTCCCAACTATGAACAGCCACATCTCCCGGACCAGAGAGAAATGACACTCTTGTCGAAGGGCAACAGGGAATCTAATGCTGATCCTAGTCGATTCCTCGGTCATTTCCTGCCGTTTGAGATAATTCAGCATATACTTCTCTACCTCAACTTGGCCAGCATAGGGAAGATGCTTCTAGTGGATACGGTATCAAAATTCCAAGTTGAATCAGTCCGCCCGTATCTCTTGCTTAGAGACAAAGCCTATGAAACATTGCATCTAATGCACCGGATGCGTCTCTCCCACTATTTCACCATTGAACAGCTATATACCGAGTTCACCCACCCTCGGTGTCGAACCTGTAATGACTTCGGACCATACCTGCACCTTGCAACGCTCACCCGTTGCTGTTACAATTGTAATTATCACAATCTAATGTACAGAATGGCCAGCGTGAAGGATCTCTGTTTTTATTTCGGTTTGAAAGAAACAGATCTCGGGAATATTCCAATTGTCCATAATACGTGGAAACCCGGGGCCCGTCTCGTAAGCGTCCCTCAGGGGAACGCTATAGCTATCATACTTCACGGGCCCAAAGGATCATTGAAGATAACACGTGAAGTACATCGTACCATTGAAAGTTTAGGAGCGGCTTTCGGAGAATGGGATCTGTCAGGGCCTCTATATCGGAGTTTTGGACATCAGCGGAGCGCGAGTGTTTGGTATGAAAACGGCTGCGAACAGTTACAATTCATGGCTACCGCTCCATTCCCTTTTTGGGATAAGAAAACAAAAGCCTTGGAGCGAGGGACTTATTGCTGGGCTTGCTATCACGACTGGTCAAGGGCCATGAGCTCTGATGAACACGCGGATTACCCACCAAGTAGGCGGGCCTATCATCGGTCGTATCGAGAGGCCGATCTACCGGAGCATTTTCTAACGTGTGCTGCCTACAAAGCCTGTTACCAACCAATGCGGGCTTACCCCCGGGTTCTCCGTGGCGATGAATACGAATGGGGAGACGTGAAGAAACAATTTTGGGTTAAATACAAAGATCCCAACGATGACCCTGGATAGGTGGACTTTAATGAGGATGTAACGCCACCACCATGGAATTCAAATACGGGAACCGTAATATGGAAGTCCTGAAGTTATCCAATAAATAGCTCACGCGGCCCCTATGGCTTACTACATTCATAGTGATAGCTGTAGTGGGGTGCAATCAGTACTACAAAGTAATCCCGTTGTCTTCTCGGACTAGTTAGTAATCTGCTATAGCAGTTCAAATTGAGACCCTAGCTTGTTATCATTCTTCTCGCTTGAAAAAATGTTGTAAGCCGTCAAAACCAGATGTAAGTGGTATCTCTGTATGTTGACACTCTATGCCCAAGCTAGCGAGAGCTCCTGGATGGCTAAGTAAAACACACACACTTCAACTACGTGGTTCAGTGATAGTATTCGTCGGCCATATATTCTATCTGTTGGTAGCTGACTATATTCTGGACAAATGACTTGTTATCCCGGCCTATCGAGCCTCTTCTGGCAAGATTCGAACGTGGCTGATGACCACCACTCCCCAGGTACCTCCATGACGACGACTAGTGCATGCTAGATGGGACACACGTTAACTGATGGTTGCTGGGGATTAAGAACCTTCATGTGGAACTTATTGGGCTCCGGATGATAGGGGGATGGGCTATCGCTTCTTTCGATCCCGGTGCTGGCTATTCCAGATAAATGAGGAGCATCAGGCAGATGTGACGGTTATGACACCGGCATTGAGCTATTCTCGAATTGCCTCAAGGATAGCTCCCTTCTGCCCAGTCAATGAATTTACGTCGTCGGTGTATACCCCCAAGATCCACATCCCCTATAGAACTTTGGCCCTATTGATCATCCTCCATGTTACGCTCGTTATCCCAGTCGAATACTGAAATGCTTTCCCACTAGCCCTGAATTCCGGGGAAAGAGACAGGACTGAGCCCATTGTTATCCGTCTCCCCAACGTTCAGATAGTTAATCTTTCGGGTTCTGTCACCTTCATTGCGTCTTTCTACTCTGATCACTACAATATTTTATACAGTGGACGTGCAGTCACCAGAAATTAGAGCCCATTTATGTACCTTGTGCTACATAACCAAGACGACCACAGTTACGCCAGGCGTGTCCCCCAAACGATGGAAATTTTTGGTACACAATCTCTTCTCAGAGCCTGCTTATATTCGTGACTCCATCCTGCTTAAGACCAAAAGAAAGTATCGCCACATGCTTTGAGACGCATTCACCATACAGGCCATCTTAGACGCGATGTGTCACGGAGCTTATCAGGCATACTATTTGTCCTTCTACCTTAACTGTCTCCCGCAAGGGATTGCCGGTGATCGCCCCTCTTTAGGCTGGCATTCCTGTCCTCAATGCGGAGTAAAGGAGGTGATTATCACTCACATCATGAAGCATCCACAAGATTGACAAACAGAAACCCGTGATGACCCACTTCACCGAGCTCGGCCTGCCGAACCACACCCTCCGGTATACCACACAAGTTCTTCATCTCCCGTAAACTTTCTCCACCAGCGCATCCATGGTGGGGATATTAGGTTCCCGACCAACCTTGAGTCAACACTAAGCGAACCACCAAACACAAAGCAGAATTTGGTTCACATGCTTCACTGTGATGTAATTCACTGAGCTCCTGGGCGCACAGAAGCAGTCTACATCTATGGAAAGTAAGGTGTCTACACTGCGTCCAGCTCACTTCCGTATCAACAGTATCGGTACCATTACCGTCCCTTGAATACCCTAACATCTCAACTACTTATCCAGAACACCTCAGTGTTTTCTGGAACTGCCAAGAACCCGCGGATATCCGTATCATCCAGTGGAGTCAACCTCCTCACGTGTCTCAAATCCTCAACCCTCTTCTGGCTCCCCAGCCCATATTCAACCACAGACACACCCCAATCGTAGTATACAGCCCTGCATCCAACAATATGGAGACCTCCGCCCTCTCCCAGCGAGCCCGCACAGTCGTCTCCTCCCGCAATAACCTCATGTGGGACATCCTAAAGAACCCATGGTGTCCCACAACCAAACCCGAGGGCTACGTGAACGTGGGGGTTGCCGAAAACGCACTGATGCATGACTACCTCCTCGAATACATCAACACCAAGCTCACCCTCCCAGCCAAATACCTCACCTACAATGACGGCGCAATTGGTGCAGAGCGCCTCCGACGCGCCATGGCATCATTCCTGAACAAACACCTCCAACCATTCAAACCACTGACCATCAACGACCTACTCGTCACAAATGGCGTCTCCTCCGCCATCGAGCACATCTCATGGGCCTTCACCGACCCTGGCGAAGGCATCCTCCTGGGCAGACCCTACTATGGCACCTTCATCCCAGATATGTCCCTCCGCCCCGGGGCGACAGTTGTCCCTGTAGAATTCAACGACAGCGATCCATTCAGTCTCGAGGCCGTGGACTGCTACGAGCGCGCACTGCTCACGTTTCAGCAAGACACTGGCCGGAAAGTCCGCGCCTTGATGCTCTGTCATCCACATAACCCGTTGGGCCGGTGCTACCCCCGGGAAACTATCATCCGTCTGATGCAGCTGTGTCAGAAATATCAGATCCATCTGATAAGCGACGAGATATACGCTTTGTCTGTGTGGGAGAACACCGTTGACAAGCACACTCCCGTGCCATTCGAATCTGCCTTATCGATCGACACGACCGGCATCATTGACCCTAGTTTACTCCATGCGCTGTGGGGAATGAGCAAGGACTTTGGCGCCAATGGTATCCGTCTCGGAGTGATTATCTCTCAGAACAACCCTACCCTTCATAAGGCGTTGCAGGGTGTTTCGTTATATAGTTATTCCTCGTCTGTCTCGGAACATGTCGCTGCTACGGTTCTTGAAGATACGGACTTTACTACCAGGTATATCCAGCTTAATCGGCAGAAGATGTCCGAGTCGTATGCGTTTGCTGTTCAACGGCTAAGGGAGAATGGGATTGAATATGCTCCGGGTGTCAATTCTGCGTTCTTCCTTTGGGTTAACTTGGGCAAGCGGTATCGCGAACTACATCCCGAGCAGACTGCAGATTTGGGTGACGAGATCAGCGACAAGGTGATGCAGCTTCTCTTGCAGAGGAAGGTGTTTCTGGCTAGTGGGGTGTTGTTTGGGTCTGAGCATAGTGGGTGGTTCCGGATTGTGTTCACGCATCCGAGAGAGTATCTGGAGGAGGCGTTGCGGAGGATAGTGGTGGCGTTGAATGATTTGTGATATGGTTAGAGTATCACATAGCATACAAATACACATTGGCTATAGACAAATATATCAACAGACCACCTGACAGCCCATCATCTAAACACTTCAACTACTTCCCCGCCATAACATTTAAAGCACTCCCACTTCTAAAATACCCAATCTGCTCCTCCGTAAAACTATGCCTGAGCACAGCCTCCCACTCGCCCCCATTAACCACCAACCTCAAAGTGCTCCCCGGAACAAACTCCCCCTCCCCAAGCCCCAAAATACTAACCCGATCCTCAGCCCTAATCCTTTCATAATCCTTCTCATTGTCGAACGTCAACGCCAACAACCCCTGCTTCTTCAAATTCGCCTCATGGATTCTTGCAAATGACTTCGCGATAATCGCCACACCACCTAGATACCTCGGCTGCAGCGCCGCGTGTTCCCGCGAACTGCCCTCACCGTAGTTATGGTCAGCGATAACCACCCACGGCACGCCGTTCTCTTTGTAGTGGCGTGCTGTAGCAGGCACTTCCTGTCCATCTTGCTTCGTGAGCTGGTTCCGGATACTGTTCACCTTGCCGTTCTCGGCGTTGGTTGCGCCGATGAGGGTATTGTTGGAGATGTTTTCTAGGTGGCCTCTATAGCGGAACCACGGGCCGGCGGGGGTGATGTGGTCTGTTGTGCACTTCCCGGCTGTTTTGATTAGGATGGCGCAGTCTTTGAAGTCGTGGCCGGGCCAGGGTGGGAATGGGGACAGTTTCTGGAGGCGGAGGGATGACGGGTCGATTTTGACGGAGATGTTATCCCGGTTTGCAGGTGGGGGTGCATAGGCTGAGTCGGAGGAGAGGTAGCCCTTTGAGGGGAGGGAATCGCTGGTTGGAGGGAGGAAGTGGAATTGCTCGCCGGATGGGGTTGGGAGCGAGTCAGTTGTTGGGTTGAAGGAGAGGTCGCGGGAGAAGGCCTTTGCAATGACGAGCTCGGGCGATGCTAGGAAGACGTTGGTTGCTGGGTTGGAATCTAGACGGCCAGAGAAGTTCCGGTTGTAGGAGGTTATTATGGAGTTGGGGGTGCCCTAATATATGTCAAAAGACAGTCTGTCGGTAGGTGGGATGGCCATACTATACCTTTGGCATATCAACTCGATCCCACGACCCACAGCATGGACCACAGGCGTTGGGAAGCATCGTCGCCCCGAGTCTCTCGAAGACCGGCAGAATACCGGCATCTTTCAGTGTCTCGCGCGTCTGAACACTACCCGGAGACACCAACAGCGGCATCTTTGGTTCCAGTCCTGCATCCAATGCTTGCTGGGCAAGACTAGCTGCACGTCCCATATCTTCAAACGAAGAGTTGGTACAAGATCCAATCAAAGCCGCCGTCAATTCACCCGGCCACTGGTTCTCCGCCACGGCTTCACCGAACCGCGACACCGGGGTAGAAAAGTCCGGCGTGAAAGGTCCATTGATCCGTGGCTCGAGAGTGGACAAATCGAGCTCAATAACATTATCATACTCAGCCCCCTCATCGGCCTGCAATTCCGGTGCAATGCTCTTAACAGCATCAGCCATCTCATGGCGATGATTAGCACGAAGATAATCCGCCATCTGTGGCGCATAAGGGAAGATGGACGTTGTGGCACCTGTTTCTGCACCCATATTGCACACAGTTGCCATGCCCGTGGCTGACAGAGTCTGTGCCCCAGGTCCAAAGTACTCAATAATGGACCCAGTACCTCCCTTAACGGAAAACGTCCCGGCTACAGCATTGATAATATCCTTCGGCGAAGCCCATCCGGACAACTGCCCCGTCAATCGGACGCCCAATACCTTCGGCGCTTGGAGCTCCAGCGGCAATCCAGCCATCACGTCTACCGCATCGGCACCACCAACTCCGATGGCTATCATGCCAAGGCCTCCTGCGTTGGGAGTATGAGAGTCCGTCCCGATCATCATTCCACTAGGGAAGGCGTAGTTCTCCAGCACAATCTGGTGGATGATTCCCGCGCCGGGCTTCCAGAACCCCATGTTGTATTTCTGGCAGGCAGACTCGAGGAAATCGTACACTTCTTTATGGTTGTCCAGCGCTCGAGCGAGGTCCTGTGTTTCGCCGTCCCGACTGACGATCAAATGATCGCAGTGGACTGTGGTTGGTACGGCCGCTGTGTCTAGACCCGCGGACATGAACTGGATAAGTGCCATTTGGGCTGTCGCATCTTGGCATGCTATGCGTTGCGGGCGTAGTTTAAGCTGGGTTTTGCCGCGCTCGATGCGCTCGTCAAAAGTGGTGTCAAGATGGCTGTAAAGGACTTTTTCGGCGTATGTGAGGGGGCGGTCGTATCTATGATGTGGATATTAGTAGGAGTCTAATAATACAGCGTAGGTGCGAAGTGAGTAGCTACCGCTTTCTTAGTGATTGGATGGCAGAAGGAAACTGGGAGATGTTTATTTTGTGTTGTTCAAGTCGACTTATTGGCACTTGGGTGTGGGAGGCATAGCCTCTGGCTAACTTGGGACAGCTCACTCGTGTTCTGATCATCTTGATGATGCATTGGTAAACAAGAGTGATCTATTGGATAAGACAGTAGATATAAATCACAAGGGTCTATGTAACATCTCCAGCTGTGGCTGATTTACTCCTCGGTCTTCCTAGTGTCAGCTTCGGATGGTTCCGTCGGCTGGGCCGATGGGCATATCGCATCTCTTCTACCCGAAGAACAACCAATTACAATAGCATCGCTGTCCAGCTAATCCATCTAGACATATTCCCGCATCTCAACATGACCATCTATATCCTCTGCCTTCTTGTCTTCGCGCAGTGTATCTCCACTCTCTGCTGCGCCGACTGCCCCGAGCGGCAACCCCCTGGCCATCGGCACAATCCGCCAGATAGAAGGGGCATCCACAAACACCCGATCAAGCATCTCCAAACTACGGTGCCTCGTCTCCGGATAGAATAAGTACACGCAGACCGGGATAGTCGCAGATATAAGCGCATAGATCACATAGTACCAGCACCCAATCGTATCGATAGCAATTGGCGTAACCAGAACAACCACCAAATTCCATAGCCAGTGGTTAGCAGTCGCGAGGGAGGACATGGCCGCTCGCAGACGTACAGGCGCAATCTCAGCCGTGTACAGGAAGTTGCCACCCATGAAGCCGATTGGGTAGAAGAAGTTGAAGACGAACATGAAGGCAACATATGCTATTGCCATCGCATGCGTGATTTTGCCCAAGCCGGTGGTGACCGCTAGCACGGCCATGCAGATGGACATCCCTGCTCCGCTTACCATGAAGGATAGACGGCGGCCCCAGTTGTCGATAGTCCAGAATGTTAATAGACAGCAGAGCGTTTTCCATGATAGTACACAGGACGCCAGGACTTTAGACATGGTGGGTGTCATGTGTAGGTAATTTTGGAAGATGGTGGAACTATAGACGGATATGAGGTTGCCTCCGCAGGCCTAATGGATTAGCGGTGGTACATTTGGAGAGCCAAGTGCTATAGGAGCCGCGATACTCACCTGTTGGAAAAAGTTTAACCCCATGCAGAGCCAAAATCGCAACAACAGACGCGTCTTGTCCTTGCGATCGAAAATATCCAGGACGGACATGGTCCCACTGCCCTCTAGAGCAAGGTGAATATGGGCTATCTCGCCCATAATCTTCTCATCATGCGCATCCTTTCCTCGATACCGACAGAGACTTGCAGTAGCTTCTTCGACCCTTCCTCTAGAGATCAGCCAACGAGGCGACTCCGGAAACGTGAAAGCAGAAACCAGTAACATTGCTGAGAAGAGAAAGGGTATAGAGAGCGGAGCTCTCCATTGTCCAGTGGAAGAGGGTAGATAGCTGAATCCCAAATCAATCCAGTTGCACAATGTGTAGCCCGTGCTGATGAAAATACCCGTACAGATACCCAGCTGTCCGCGGTACTTGGGAGAGGCACACTCCGAGAGCCAGACAGGCACGGTGCCGCTGATTTGGCCGATAGCGAATCCTAGGATAACTCGACCAACGACCAACTGAACCAATGTGGTTGCAGAGACCTGTAGAGCCTGACCGAGGACGGTAATGGCAGCTCCGATGAAGACTGTCTTACGGCGTCCGAGTTTGTCGCTATAAAGGGAGAGAGACAGGGCACCTATCAGACATCCCATCTGAAACGAGGCATTGCAGGCGCCTTGGGATGTAGAGTTATGAGACTTTTGTGCCCCCGAGGTGTTTATGGTGTCGATTGCTGGAAATACAGAGACCCAACTTTGGAGGCTGAGTAAACTGCCCAGGACCGCTTGATTGTATCCGAAGAGAATGAACGAAGGGGCAACGATAAGAAGTACCAGAGCGATCTGGAGCCGGGTACCGACAACAGGGAGAGTAAGGCCTGCCATTTTCACGTTCATTCCCTGCTTGAGCTTTGGTTCAGAGACTTACTAGGCGGCTTAAGTACTTTCCGTCTGATCCCCCGTGGGGAAGAGGATGTGGAGTCAAGGAAGAAAAAGCGGGGTGCACACGTCTCCATGGTATGATCGGTTCTAGTCATTATATCTGCTATTGTCTGATTGGAAGACGTTTTTAATGTCTGGCGCTGTCTTTCTTGTCCCTCGTCTCGACCGTCTGATCATCAGATGTGGGTTTGGCATCCCAGGTGGGTATGAGTGTCGCTGCACTCAATTTCCATCGGATGCTCCGATAAACTTTACCAAACGACTCACAGGTGGCGAATGGACATATAAGACAGTGTGGTTCATATGGAATACTATGCAGATACCTGCCTAGTGCACAGTCGTCTCATGATAATGCTTAGTGAAGTTTCGAAAAGCAGGCAGGTGCGTTATATCTTGACCGAGTAAAGGTCTTGTTACTAGACAAGGCAGGAAATGGTTTCAATGTATGTTTATTAGATGTTTAGATGCAGAGGGGAGGTCCTCTTAGGGAGCAAAAGGAGATGCCTTCTAGGCAGCAGAGCTGGCGGAGGGCTTGGTGGGTTTCTGGCTACGGTGTATGCATATTCCGACAAATTATATATATAGTTATGACTAATAGTTATTACGTTAATGGCAAAGTACAACCACGATCATTACAGGAAATATACTCCCGCTTGAGAAATTGGAATATCTTAAACACTGTAAATCTAGCTCTTCCAATAAATCCGGCCCTCAAAGAGCCGTCGTGCAGTACGGAAGACAGTTGCCGCGGTAAGCTGATCGTTATCGAATTGAGCCCCAACAAGCAAATTCCCACTTGCATGACCGATCGTAAGACCAGCATCACTGACGCGATCTTGGTTGGTTGCATCTTCAACAGTACTGCCTGTCACGCGAGCAGCTGCAGAAACTGCCAACGCGACAGTAATGGGTACTGCCTTGTGTGGTTGTCCCACAGAGATTGCCCGCACAAGCAGGTCGACAGGGTCCTTTCCCTTAGACGGCTGAGGTGGTGACACCATGCAAACCTTGGGGATACTTCCTGGGACGGCGCCGGTAGTTGATGCTATACCCATCTTGACCCCTGCCTGGCGCCGGATAGAATCCAGCCTCTGCAGAAGATCTGGATGAGCGGCAATCTCGTCCGGAGTCAAATCACCACGAACCCCCAAGCTACTAGCTGGAACAAAAACGCATGGATTGGCCACATCAATACATGTGGCTGGAACACCGTCGAACTCATCCCTTGTCTGCCCCGTCGGCAGCATTTTCCCGGTCACCGAGCCAGCCGGGTTGACAAAATCTAATTGAATTCGAGCAGCTGTGCCAGCAACGCCATCAATAGCGAAATTACCGCTAGAGGCAGCCTCTCCATCCACCACGGGAAAGGAGGCAGTGATTAATTTACCCGTGTTGGTGTTGTGGATGCGTACAGTGGCCGACTCGGGCGTTTGGGAAGAAACAAGCTTTTGGTCAAGGGCAAAGGGACCAATGGCACTGATCATATTGCCACAGTTGCTGGAGTAATCGACATCGGAATTTTTGACCCCCAACGACACAAAAGTGTAATCAACGTCGGCATCAGGATGGGTGGATTTCCCCACCACGCATACCTTGGAGAGGCTGGAGATACCCCCTCCTAGACCATCAAGCTGCCGTCCGTATGGATCAGGGCTGCCAATGACGGAGCGAAAAATGGCGTCCCACTCCGAGCGAGGAGGGAGATGGGCCTGATTGAACATGACGGCGCGCGAGGTGCCTCCGCGGTAATAGGCCGCAGGGAGCGAGTGTTGCTTCGACAAGTAGCGCCGAGCGCTAGAAGCGACCCGATTCCGATAGGTATATTTGAACATGATGATGCCTTGATGGCTAGAAACAACGATGGTGCAAATGATTGGGTGGTTTTTAATCTTGTCTCCAAGGGCGGGCATTAAAGTTGCCATCGGATACATCCGAAACCAATTAACCGGTTACAGCCGGCCTCATCGGCTCATCCGATCGCGAATCGACAACTGTTCGCCTGCGACTTCGAAGCGCACTTTGGGGTCTCCAAGTCACCCCTCCTAAAGGCATCGGTATACCTAGTGCCGGAGTGTGAGATATACATCCAACCAGACAACCTGAATGCCTGGTCCGCACACATACAGACATAGCTAGCTTTGTAGCATCGGCAACTTTTATCGGTGGCATCGGACCCAGGCCGTTGACCCGAGGTATTTAACCCGTAATAGATCATACTAGACCTTGAGCAGAAAGTTGTCAAAGATCGCGTTTGGCCACATGAGTGGTTCTGCTTAAAGGTTCGAGATCTCTTTTTAATCCAGTCCTGTTGATACAGAAACCGATAATCCACTGAGAAAGTTGTAAATGGAAACCACCCTCAGCGCCACCTCAACACAATACCCGACATCATTCGCCATTCTCCGTAGAAACATCAAAATAGAACGCTCCAAACATCTGCCGTGCTCATGTCAATTCCTTCCACAAACAGGTCAGCCCATGGTAGGTCCATTTGAACGTCAGGAAGCCGTGACGGTGAGTCATGAGCATAAGCATCTGAGGCTGGGTTGCTAGCCTTGGACGGAAACGTGTGCGCTCGAAGTCCAAACCAGGTCTGGAATTCGGTGTCAACACTCAAATCTGCCTGGTCTTCATGTTCGAATAAGGACATAATCGACTGGCCAAGTCGCTCAACAATCCTGCAACATTTCTCGCCGACCGCACGCCCATCGCAAATGCCCCGGAAGAGTGTAAGAAATGTAGATATATTTGTTTTAATCACCGGCTTGGTCAATTCTTGTCGCAGGGGTGCAAACGCTCGTAGAGAGTAGAGCATCGTCACGGCTGCTAAGAACAACGAATGAATTGCGATGAACGTATATTTGATGCGGTTCCGCGCATACAATGCGCTGTATGAGCTTATCAGACCAATGGCAGACTCGGTGCAGGTCCGCAGATCATCTGGCGATGGCATTGGGACCGCACGTGATGGACGATAAAGGGAAAGAACGGCGTGATGAAAGGCAATCTGAAACCACTCAGTGGACTGAAAGGTAGATAGAGTCTGCATATAACGCGGCGCCGTAATTATCCACTGATTCAACTCCAGAAAATATCCACTGCGAAGCCGGTCTAGTTCAGCAGGATCAGTTGGAACAGAACCGATAGAATGAAATGTTTTGTAAACTCCTGCGTTAATTCGGCGGAGCTTAATGATGTGAACAAACGTTGACGTGTCCGCTACATGTGGTATCAGTGATTCTTCGACGTGGGGACTCTGGATGGATTCAATGAGCTGGGCGTCCGTCAGCTGCATAGGTAGGGGCATGCTGATATCTGACTCTTGGATGCCCAAGGGCCGGCCCATGTTGATAGCCACGCTGCAGTTAATCACGTACGCACACCAGAAAACACGCTTGGACATCTCTGCATCCATCAAGTCTTTCCCAGAAAGGCTCTCTCTGCGGTGTAGGTCAAGGCCGATGGCTAAATTCAAGGCCATGGCGGTCGTAAACCACATATTGACTGACTGGGGTTCGTTATGGCCATACATGCACATTAAGAGCAGACACTGGACACATTCAATATTTTCACCGCTCAAAATCATGTCCAGGTCTTTTATGGCTTCTCTAAAGAATACCCGATGGGTCTTGTCGCGACTTTGGGGTGATGACTTCTCGGTTGACGCAATGGCGCAGACGATGTTGACCATAAAATTGGTCAATGGTTTCATCTCGGACTTCGTCAGGAAGGCTGTCAAGTGCTTGTTAATGAAGGTATGCCGATGTAATATCGGTAAATATGGCCATCGCCTATCGAAAAAAGTGCCGGCCAGATTGATGTACGTGTCATTATCGAGACTTAAGCCATCTGTTTCAGGAACTTCGATATCTGCGATATCACCCCATAGCTCCCAAGCGCTGCTCATAGCACTGCGGCTTTCCCGCCTGGTGCTAAATTGCAGCGAGAATGTTGGTCTTAGGATCCGACTAAGGAAGCGACAATCTGGGTTCGCACTCAGTCCGTCAGACCGAGATATAGCCTCGGTGGATTCATGTTCGGGCAATGGAAGACCAGGACTTGGAATCCCGGAGACATTCGTTCGAACGGAACTCAAAGCCTCCAGTAATCGGGTCTCTAGCTGCTGACATTTTTCAGACAGCTCATTGCTTCGTCGCTCAGCAGCAGCGAGTTGGGCCCGCAGGGCATCACAATCACAATTCATAGACGGGTGCTGGATCACCAATCTATCCGACATGACACATGAGGTTTCAGCGGCAGCACATGGTCCACATGTTGGCATTTTCCCATCACACTGGCTGCTTTAGTGAGTAATTATTTGACCTTATGGTATGTCGCTGACCTTCTGCTTGCGTCGTCGACACCGCTGGCATGCAGCCACACTCCGAGGCAAACCTCGCCGATGACGACGAGGGGTTGAGCCCGATGGACTTCCACTCATCGAAGCCATAGCTTTTATGACTCTTCAATGTATGGTAGCGTAGCCGTTGAGGATACAATGCGCAGGATGGAAAGTGCAGTTCGTCTTTGCTTCTACAACCAAGAGCCTCGGGCTTGGCATTTATTACTAATCAGTCTATTAATTCCATTGCGAAAGGCCTTCGTTTTACTGAAGTTTGTGTCAGTTACAGCGTTCATAGAATATCTAATATTTCCACAGAATCTCATGAGCCACCTGAGTATGTAGGTCTCTGTTCAGTGATGCGGTTTGGTAAAAAGAGGAACTGCTCAATCCATATACAGCTGGCCTGGGTTATCCACCATCATCTTCCAGTAGGCATCATCTCCCATCCAGTCATGCAATCTTTGGAGGATTGCATGGTTGTCGATCGTCCTGAACGGTTCTTTGTTTTCTATTGAGTGTTTAACCCGGTCATGTCCATCGCCCGTGTGCGGCCAATCGCTCCCCCAAATAATCTGATTAGAAATCTCGCTGGCCATTACTTGAACGATCGGCTGCAGGTCATCAAAAGTCGAGGCTAAGCAACTTGACATACGATATAACCCAGAAACCTTTACATAGACGATCGATTGTTTCGCTAATGATAGGAGGGAGCGAAATCCCGGTTGGGACGTTGGCGTCGACTGTAAATCAGAAGGCAGCTTGGATGCGCCACGCATGCCACCGAGATGGTCTGCAATAACCCGTACGGGAAGCTCACGAACAGCATCATACAGGACTGTAGCATATCAGTGATGAAAGTTGTGGTACACTGTCATTAGTAGATCAGTACTCACGGTCCCATGTCCACCCTGGAACGAACAACTGGATCGCCCAGCCGGGAAGATGGCGTATGCGGTCTGCAGTATGATTCAGAATAGCTACTAAATGCGTAATGTCGACTTCTTTCCCATCTGCTTGGAAGTTTAATCGAACACCTCGCACTCCAAGGGCGTGCAAGTCGCTTAATTGCGCATCGGTAGTAGAGTCAAAATCTAACACTGCAATTCCGAACGAGCTTATGCCTCGGTCCTTCAATTCACGCAGGCAATGCATCATAACCGAACAGTCATTCTTGTAAGGTGATGGCTGAACCAACACCAGGGTAGTGTTTTTGTAGTCCCTTGTAAGACTCTGATTCAATGCTAGTAACTTTTGCAACGGCGCGTCCTCCGGAGTGTATGCTCGCCCGGCCGCATATGGGCCAAGCTTGGGATCGAAGACGTGTACATGTGTGTCAAATGACTCTTTTGAGAGAAGAAATCTAGGTGGGTTAGCTTGAACAGCTATATTTGCTGGATGTACCTACGGTGTATTGGAGCGCCTTTCATGGGTAGCTAGAGCTTGTGACAGCATTGTGTAGGTAACCCGTTGGTAAACCATAAATCATGGTAGGCATCCACGCGAAAGACTTAGCTTTGATATTAACATCACAAGTTACTGCACCCTAGCGCTGCACTTCCTGCGCATCTCCTCCATTGGCATTAATGGTATGTGGTCGAGCCCGGCGGCACCCCTCCTTCGGGAAAGCCGATACACCCGAGGTTTGGCATCGGGTGCATCCGATGAGCATCACAATGGTCGGTCAATCATTAGAGCATTAATTCCAGCAATTGATTCGGCAAAATGCGGTCTTATTCAGGAGACATAACACTCGAAACATGTCCCAAGTAGTAGCTACGGACACGCCGACTTTGCAAGGCGCTGCCGAGCAAAAGCGCCCCATCCCCTATCGGAACTTGGCGGTCGGCGCGTTGATGAACATCTTCCAAGGTAGTGAGGATCTCTAGCTGCCAAGTACCATTCTAACTTTGGCCAGTTACTTCTCTTGGTCAGCCACTAGAAGTAATCAAGACCCATGTATGTTGAACTTCCACTCGAGATTGTATCACATTGTCCTCAAATAACTTTCGACCACTTACCCTTGTAGTTGGCAGCAAACCGGCAAGACACATTGCGGGATGCATTCCAGAAGACTTGGTCCCGCGGACGATTTCTTGCTTTTTATCAGGGGCTAATACCGTGGGTACGTGATTTGTTCATTCCTGAACCAACATCCAGACACCCGTCGTACTAATTCTCACAGGCTTGGCTGGAAGCCTCCACCAAAGGCGCCATTCTGATAGTGACATCAAGTGAGATCGAGTACTATGCTAGAGCAAAGTTCAATGCATCACCTACTGTCTGCGGAGTCCTGGGTGGAATTGGCGGCGGTGTTGCTCAATCTTATCTGACAATGGGAATGACGACATGCATGAAAACAGTCGAAGTGACCCGCTCCAAGATGAGTGTTGGGGGTGCCAAAGTACCGGGAGCGCTAGAAATGTTCTTTCAAATACTTCGCGAAAAGGGAATTCGAGGAGTGAACAAAGGTGTTAACGCCGTCGCGCTACGACAGGTCACGGGTTGGTCTTCTCGGATTGGTATTTCCCGTTTTGCCGAAGAAAGCATCCGCAAGGTCAATGGCAAGGCGAAGGACGAGAAGCTTAAGTTTGGGGAGAAAATCCTGGCATCCACGATCGGTGGCGCATTGAGCTGCTGGAACCAGCCATTCGAAGTAGGTGTTCCTGAGATGGGCAAGTGAGGGCTTGTGGTTGCTGACTCTACAGGTGCTGCGCGTGGAAATGCAATCTATGAAGAATGACCCTGCCCGGCCAACTTCTCCGACAATTCTGTCCACTTTCAAGTATATCCTTGCGACGACCGGAGTTAAGGGCCTATTTCGCGGCGTGGTTCCTCGCATCGGGGTTGCGGCGTGGGCTACGATCTGTATGGTAGGATTCGGGGATACCGTTAAGGAGATTTTTAATCGCAGACAAATCACGGCAAATTGAAGATGAGAACGCGAGATATCTGGTACACATATAAAATCCAATTTTTATTTCTATAATGGCGACATTGGTGGGAGGATAACCCAGGACTAGTCATCTGAAAATATACAATGGCATTAGTAGTCGGCGGCCATCGTTTCACTTTCCTCATCCCATTATTACTATCTTCCCCATAGACTTTGCATGGCTTGCTGTTGCACTTATGCTTACTATCCATGGATTGTTGTCAATACCAAGAAAGACCCCATTATTACATTGTCAACATGATCATAAATTTCGGATCCACACCGAGGATATCACCCAATGAGTTGCGCTTTTGTCTTCCCGTCCCGAGTGCGTTCTTTAGATGATGAAGTTAATAATTGATTGCTTGAATTGGTGGACTTTCAACAAGAACACTGCAAACGAATGCCTCTCTAGGGGGTTTGTAAGGCTGATGCAAGGAACAATGAATATGGCGAGATAAGGAAACTCGCGGAATCACGCGGATACCAAGCTTTCTTTTCCCCTCGTCTTTATGCAAATTAAATTAATTCTCCGCCGATGAGGTGTAGTGCGTTCATGACGGGCCTATAATCTTGATCTCTCATTTAGTGTCATGCTATCTGTAAGGTAACGATGGTACTGGCTCTGTCAATGTCTCTGTGGGTAGTGCACTAATCTCCAGCTCAGCTGCATGGTCATGAGAATGAGGGGTGTCAGTGCGAATTCATCTGAGGAACGGTGAGAAATCGATGCACTACAGACAAGGGGATCATGTGGTCCATACAAGCAGCAGGTAAGATGCCCAGGCGCTTGAGCTCTCACTCTTCCAACATTTCTGGAAATTCTCTCATCTGCAACGGCGCCACTCAAAGCGCTTCCTGAGAGTTATTCCATCCAAACTAATCTTACAAAGACCAATGCGCATACATCCAAAACGCCATGCTCTGCGCTCATGCAACTATCAGACGCATTTACAAAGTAGGCGGTCAAATATCTGGCCATGCACGGACTGATTTTTGCAGGTCGATTCTGGCCACTCAATCTAAAAGTACCCCAATTTGGACAAAGATGAGCGCATTCTAAGCAGCAAGCATTTCCACTGGAATAACACCTCCACGAGTCCCACTCGACTAGCTGATATAGTGCCACTCGGTGGTGTTTGCCACACGCATGAAAGAGGGGTTCGAGGAAACGACGCCGATTAGAGGTCAACTACACATCACACTCGAAAGCTTGTCTACAATTATCCGACTACGAACTACCAATGGTTTCTTGCAACGTTATAACGGTACCGTGATTTATCACTGGTCATGTACCGCCGAGTCGAATAAATATATCCGTTGTTGACACTCCACCACTCGAACACCAATTGAATGCTCGTTTTAGGCCTTGAACGGTTACCCATTGCGGAAGGTCATCCATGATGAAGGTATTAGTCCACCCCATGGAGGCCTGCCTCCAGGCATACTAGATCGTATCTGATAGCGAACAAAACCGCGCAGGCCGTGGGAAACCGAAGATCACACCGTGTGCTTATCTCTATGGGTGCGTGCCTCGTTGAAATTATTCGGTGTCGTACATCGGATTAGTGTCTGGTCTAATGCGCCTCCCAACCTCGCCATCTCCTGAGTCTAGACTCCGTGGGGATACCTGCCCATGATGATTTGACCTCGATGTTGTGATACCCGGTTCTTAGGCCTGTCACCAACCCCCTCGAGCGCTTAGGTCCGTGATTCATTCAATACATATATGCTGTGCATAGGGGTGTTGCGCTCGCCCGGGTCAATGCTTCGGAGATGCGATGGAGCTCCGGCGCAAGGTGGACTTAGTTCTTGTGCCACCTCCTCGTCGGCCTGATAGAGGCGAAGTCAAATACAACCACTTACGAATCGCCAATTCCGAATAGCACGAATAATGTGCCGCTGTGTATCACCATTTAATTATCCTCGCGATAAGATTCCCGTTAGTGGTGTGCGCCTTCGCGAAATGATTGGTTGCTTCTCAAAACAGTGTGCCGCCGTGCCATGGTGGCCCTTCATGGACTTATGCCCCCGCAGATGGTTATCAGACTCGCCTCGGGAATACTGAGCGGCCACGTGTAGCACCGCCAATGAGATTATCCCCATATCTCATCCACGTCCATAATGTATCGCATCGGGACATTTTCGCCAACCATTGAAGACAAAATGCGAGAAGCCAATTGTATTTTTGATACCGGCGCACTGGCATCCTTATGGACTCCATTCTACCCTGCCACAACATTTCTATCCCTCATGATACGATGTAGCACACCTAAAGACCGGATTCCCGGCACATCGTTCGCAATGTCTCTAGACGATGGCGAACTAGAGGCATCATATTACTAGCCATTTACATAACGGCGTACGCGATAAGACATTAGGAGGAGCACCGGGCAATTTAATTTATCACCAACGAAGCGGGGAAGTGTATTTTGCCGTCGCTTATGGTGTAGTCCAGCCAGTACTTTCATTAGCAGACTGAGCAGGATCTGCTCTCATTGGAACCATTTAGCAAGTCGTTATCATTCTCCTTCAAGCACACAGGCCCTTATCCGGTATTCCGGTTTCTGGCCGTCATACCTCGAGATAACGGGGTGTAGTGGTGCTCGGGATGGGGTCGAACGCAGCGAACAATATATATAAGGCCACACCAGGCCACAGATATAATGAAACAATGCGATCGTCCCGTCCTTAAACCAATACCAGCATGGCGGACGAGGTCACTGACAGTCCCGTCTCCACCCCCATGGAGGAGGTGAATGAAAAGAAGGACGACTTGCTGGTCAAGGAGACTGCAGACATCCACGATGTGGAAGTCGCCCCGGGCTTTGTCGCGGAGGCGGACCTCAAGGGAGATTACAAAGATCTTCCCATCGGAGAGGGTATTGTCCCTGACGATAACGACGAGTTCATCGATCCTCGTCTGAAGGACTATCCCATTCCTTTGGTGGCTAAGACGGTAGATCTTCGCAATGACCCGACGTAAGCTTCTCGTTTTATTCCCAATGTTGATCGCATCGCTAATATCCAACCTGCGTAGTGAACCGATCCTAACCTTTCGATTCTGGGTTCTATCTACCTTCTGGGTCCTTGTCGGCTGCGCACTTTCCACCTTTTACTACTTCAAGCCATACTACAACACAATTACCAGTTATGCCATCCAGTTGCTATCCTGGGGCATGGGTGATGCCATGGCTCGGTATTTACCCACGAGGCAATTCAGCTTCTTTGGATGGAAGTGGTCGATGAATCCAGGTCCTTGGAACGCTAAGGAGCATGCACTTATTGTTGTGGCCTACTGGGGTAGTGTGAGTGACTTCTCCTTCGCGGTGATAGAGCGCTTATCAAGCTGACAAGAAACAGTGCTACACGGCTATCGGAATGGGACCCTTGTCTGCCATCGAACTCTACTACGGTGAAAAGCTCAACGCTGGGTGGTCCATGTTCTTCTTGTTGGCCTCCCAGATGATCGGATATGGCTTCGCGGGTCTCTTCCGTGATATCCTGGTTCGACCCCCGAAGATGTATTATCCCGGAGTGTTGCCCAACGTGGCACTGTTCAATGCGATGCATCGCAACCCATCCGTAACTAAGAAAGCCCTCAAGTACTTTGCCATCATCGCATCTATCACCTTTGTGTATGAGTGGCTCCCGGAGCTCATTTTTCCTCTTCTGGGCTCTCTTCCTTTGATTTGTTGGTTTGGCCATGGCAACTGGAAAGCCTTTATCCTGGGCTCGGGTACCTACGGATTTGTCTGTTCCCATCTTCATACCTGCAAAGTCAAAGTTGGCTGCTAACTTCTGAGAATAGGGTATTTTGGACTTGTCGCTTGATTGGAACTATATCACCTTCATGTATCCATACTATACACCGCTCTGGTCTAGTATGAACCAGTGTATCTTCGTCATTTTCTGTATCTGGATACTCTACCCCGCCATCTACTTTACCAACACCATGAACGCACAGAACTTTGCACCAATGGACACAGATACCTACACCGCCAATGGCAGCACCTACGATGTTTCGGCCATTGTTGGCTCCAACTTGGAGGTTAACCGCACTGCGCTGGCTGAGTACGGATCCCCTTACTGGGCCCCATCATATGTGTTTTACTGGTTCTGGACCTTCGCCGCCCTTACAGCGTCTATGACCTACGCAATCCTGTGGTACGGTAAATCAGGCTGGGAGGATTTCAAGAACGCCTGGAACAATAAGCGCAGCGACTATGATGATCCCTACCTCAAGCTCATGTCCTTCCAAAAGCGGGTACCCCACTGGTGGTATCTTAGTCTGCTTGGAATATGTGCAGTGATCGCTATTGCTCAGGGCTACGAAGGGAACATGAAGCTTTCCGCGTGGGGCCTCATCGTTATCTGTCTATTTTCTTTTGTCTTCACCTGGCCGAACGGCATTCTGTGGGCAGTGGCCAACACGCAGGTCGGAATGGGCTCGTTCAGTGATTTACTGGCGGGTGCCATGTTCCCTGGGAAGCCGACTGCCGTGCTTTCAGCCTATACCTACGGCTACTGTGTTTTAGAGCAGAACCTCAACCTCATTTCTGACTATAAGTTCGGGTTCTACATGAAGATTCCCGAGCGAGAGATGTTCTGGGGCCAGGTCTGGGGCACCCTGCTCGGTCCATTCATCAATTACGGCTTCATGCAATTGATTGTTGACCGGGAACGGCCTTTTTTGATTGGCCAGCGGAGCTCAGAGGCGTGGGACGCTGTGCAAACCCGTACTTACTACTCTAACTCCATCATCTGGGGCATCCTGGGTCCTAAGGAGTTCTTCGGTGAACGCTACCCGTGGGTGTACTATTCTTTCCTCGTGGGTGCCGGGGCTGTCTTTGTTACCTGGCTTGTGCAGAAGTGGAAGCCCCGCTGGAACCTGGAGCATTGGTTCAACCCTACGTTGATGTTCTACGGGGGCACGCTGTTTCCGATGTACCCGACTACTAACTTCTTCATGTCTTTCTTGGCCTGCATTCTATTCAT